ACGGCGGATCTAGGCTTTCAGAAAGCGCAGAAGATCAACTATGTTGATCTTTCGGGCCGCAATCTCGTCACCATCCCCATCTCCCTCTATCTTAAGGCTAACGATATCATATCACTCAACCTCTCGCGCAATCTGTCGTTAGATGTGCCAAGAGACTTTATCCAATCTTGCAAGAACCTCCGGGATATCAAATTTAATAATAACGAAGCAAGAAAATTGCCGCTTAGCCTCGGCCGCGCTGCGAGACTGACCTATCTAGATGCTTCGAATAACAGGTTGGAACAGCTGGAGCATGCCGAATTGAATGCCCTCGCTGGACTTTTGAAGATGAATCTCGCCAACAATCGGTTATCGCACTTGCCTCCTTATTTCGGTGCGTACCAGGCGCTGAGGAGCTTGAATCTTTCTTCCAACTTTTTGGACTCTTTCCCTCCCTTCTTATGCGACTTGCAAAGTCTGGTTGATCTAGACCTAAGCTTCAACAGTATCTCAGAGCTGCCAGAGGAGATTGGCCAGTTGAAGAACCTAGAAAAGCTTCTCATTACCAATAACCATCTAAGTGATAGCGTCCCCGACACGTTTCGAGACCTCATTAGCCTGCGCGAACTTGATATCAAGTACAACTATATCACTAATATTGATACTATATCCGAGCTTCCCAAACTGGAGATTCTATACGCCGCCCACAACCACATCTCGGCCTTTGTTGGTAAATTCGAGCGGATCCGCCAACTCAAGCTGAATTCGAATCCACTGAACAAGTTCGAAATCCAAGAACCGCTTCCGACCCTCAAGACCCTGAACCTTTCACAGGGCCAGCTGGCGAGCATCGACTCCGCCTTTGCGAATATGCCAAATTTAGAGCGCCTGGTTCTTGATAAGAATCACTTTGTCTCGCTGCCGCCCCAGATTGGCACGTTGACTCGTTTGGAACACTTCAGTATTGCCCATAACTCTGTAGGCGAGCTCCCGCCCCAGATTGGTTGCCTAACAGAGCTACGGGTTCTTGATGTTCGAGACAACAACATCTCTAAGCTGCCCATGGAAATTTGGTGGGCTAACAGGCTTGAGACCTTCAATGCCTCTTCTAATATGCTAGAAACCTTCCCTAAACCTGCTTCGCGGGCCCCGAGGCTGCCCGGCGAAGAAGGACAGGGGCCGCCTCCAACATCCAATGGCAAGGCGCTCCCGTCAGGGACTCTTTCCGCCACTGGCAGCTCCGACGAACTAGGAGAGGAGCGCCGACCCAGCCAAGCGTCCAGCACCACCTTGCTGAGCGTTGGTCCAACTCCTAACATACCAGGGGCGGATCGAAAGAGTTCTGTTGTGTCCGTCTACGGAAAGGGCGGGCGTAAGACGTCCGTTATGTCTAGAGGAACGACACAGTCACAGAACACAGTCTCGACTTCGGCCCAATCAGTAAGAAAGGATTCGGGTCTGTCGTCTAGATTGACAAATACGTTTTCTGGGTCGCTGCGAAATCTCTATCTTGCAGACAATCGTCTAGATGACGATGTATTTGATCAAATTACCCTTCTCGCCGAGCTCAGAGTTCTTAACCTGTCATACAACTGGGAGGTCAGCGATATGCCTCAAAGGTCCATGAAGAGTTGGCCGCAGCTTGTAGAGCTGTATCTTTCTGGAAACGTCTTGACGAGTCTTCCGGCTGATGATTTGGAAGAAACAAGCCTTCTTCAAACCCTATATATCAACGGCAACAAATTCACAAATCTTCCGGCTGATATATCAAGAGCGAAGAAGCTTGCGGTTTTGGACTGCGGCAATAATTCTCTCAAGTACAACATTGCCAATGTTCCATATGACTGGAACTGGAATCTGAATCCCAATCTGAGATATCTCAATCTTTCTGGAAACAAGCGGCTAGAGATCAAACAGACTGCTTGGGGCGGCATCGATGGCCCCGGTGCCGTGAATCGGGAGGAATACACCGACTTCAACCGACTCCCCAACTTGAGGATACTTGGATTGATGGACGTCACCCTGACTCAACCCAGCATACCAGACCAGAGCGAAGATAGGCGAGTTAGAACATCCGGGTCACTGGCAGGTCATTTGCCATATGGCATGGCCGACACTCTCGGCAAGAACGAGCATTTGTCGACGGTTGACCTTGTCGTGCCGCGTTTTAACTCGTCAGAAACGGAGATGCTTCTCGGCCTCTTTGATGGCCAGGCACTGTCAAGCGGAGGGTCCAAGATTGCAAAGTATCTGCATGAAAACTTTGGACTCATCTTCGCCCAGGAGCTCAAGGCCTTGAAAACCCGCCAAAGCGAAACACCGGCTGATGCCCTCCGGAGGGCTTTCCTGGCGCTCAACAAAGAACTAGTAACTGCTGCAGTCCAGTATACCGATGATCGCAAGAAGAAATCGCATAGGGGCGTGACCCAGCCGGTCATTCTTAGTAGGGAGGATCTGAATTCCGGAGGAGTCGCCACCGTCTTGTATCTTCAGGGCACAGAGTTGTACGTGGCAAATGTTGGTGATGTCCAAGCTATGGTTATAAAAACCGATAGTAAGCATCACATCTTGACTCGGAAACACGATCCTGCGGAGGTATCAGAACGGTCAAGAATTCGTGAGGCCGGAGGATGGGTTTCTCGCAATGGCCGATTGAACGATGTACTACAAGTATCTCGAGCTTTCGGATATGTTGATTTGATGCCTGCCGTTCAAGCTGCACCTCATGTCACCAACATGACCATTCGGGAGAATGACGACATTATTGTCATGGCTACAAGCGAGCTCTGGGAATATCTTCCACCTGGCCTTATTACAGATATTGCGCGAGCAGAGCGCCAAGATCTCATGCGTGCTGCTCAGAAGCTTCGCGACCTTGCAATGGCTTACGGCGCGTCTGGGAAGATCATGGTTATGATGATTAGTGTAGTCGACCTGAAGAGGAGGGTAGAGCGTTCCCGCCTCCATCGTGGTACAAGTATGTCGCTTTATCCTTCGGGCGTCCCTGCAGAAGCTCCGTATCTTCTTTCTACGAGAAGGGGACGAAAAGGCAAGGGAGATGTCCTCGACTCTTCCCTTAACCGGCTGGAGGCGGAGATCCCGGCACCAACCGGCAACGTCTCTATTGCCTTTACAGATATCAAGAATTCCACGACTCTCTGGGAAATGTACCCCAACGCAATGCGATCAGCCATCAAGTTGCACAACGAAGTCATGCGTCGGCAGCTACGGCGAATTGGAGGTTACGAAGTAAAGACTGAAGGTGACGCCTTCATGGTGTCATTCCCCACCGCGACTTCAGCTCTCCTATGGTGTTTTGCTGTTCAAATGGAACTTCTTGACGTCCCTTGGCCGTCCGAAGTTCTCAATTCAATGTCGTGTCAGCCGATATATGACAAAGACAATGCGCTTATATTCAAAGGGCTGTCTGTTCGTATGGGCATTCATTATGGAGATTGCGTGTGCGAAACAGACCCTGTCACCCGTCGTATGGACTACTTCGGGCCTATGGTCAATAAGGCGTCACGTATATCCGCTGTTGCCGATGGCGGCCAGATTACCGTTTCTTCAGATTTCATTTCTGAAATCCAACGCTGTTTGGAGAATTATCAAGACACTGACCGGAATATCTCAACTGGGTCGGAAGCTTCTTTCGAAGACGAGTCACTTGCGGCTACTATTCGCAAAGACTTGAGGTCTTTGACGTCCCAAGGATTTGAAGTCAAAGAAATGGGAGAGAAGAAGCTAAAGGGTCTAGAAAATCCCGAGATTGTCTACTCTCTATACCCTCATGCCCTCACCGGTCGTATCGAATACCACTTGCAGCATGAACGTCGGGAAGAGACAACAGATAAACCCACTGCCATTATGGGTGGTGAGCTCTCTTTTGATCCGGACGCTATTTGGTCATTGTGGAAAGTCAGCTTGCGTCTTGAGATGCTGTGCAGTACTCTAGAGACAGTTAGAGGACCGGGACTCCAGCCACCCGAGACTGAACTCTTAGAGCGTATGAAGAATAGAGGAGGTGAAGTCACTGAACGCTTCTTGATTAATTTTATGGAACACCAAGTAAGCAGAATAGAGGTAAGCGATTCACAAGTGTTTTCTTTCTCCCTTTTTACGATTAACCATACTAACGAGGAGCAACAGACTTGTGTATCAACCCTGACGATGCGTCATCTCGCCATTGGCGGCGGAACACTCCGGGAACTTAATCAACTTCGTGCTCCTATGGCCGCTGTATTTGAGGCCTTTATGGCGCAGAAAGAGGAGCTTGAGCGTTACAAGCAAAAATATGGCGAACTCGATGACGATGATCGTAGCAACGGGGTTATGACGGCTGACAGTGTCGAAGAATTAGAAGATGGAAGCGATACTGAACAAGAGTAAGATGTTTGTCTTGCTTGTAATATTACGCTCATCTTCACTACGTTGTTTGAAGCTTCTCAGAAAGGAGTTTTTCTTATTATTTCACAACTCTGGCGCAAGAAGAGAGGTTGTCGGAGTTGGAAAGGAGAGTTTTATATATCCTCCCTTCTTTTTTTCCTCTCATTTCTTTTTTGTTGCATTCTTGGATCAAAATCATGTTTCATCGTGGTCGGGATGGATTTATACACATAAGGCTTTGCGTTGGCGCAGTCTATGGCGAAAGTTTTTTTTTTTTTTTTTTTTTACATTATTGGGGGGAAAGACGAGGTGTAACAAATGCTTGGGACGCGCGCGGGTGTGTGCAGTCTATATATATATACGACGTGTATATACCTTTACATATATTGTTATGAGTGGTGTTTGCTTTTTTGTATAACCTCTGGAGGAAGGTAGAGGGATGGATTGGTTCAAATGCATTCTATAGCTGAAACAAATTGGGTAGCACAGCGGCTTTTTTCTGAAGGGGATTGGTTCTTTTTCTTTTGTTCCTCTCTTTTCTCTTTTGTTTATCACTGCTACAAGTAGCCACAAGGGGATTTTTGTGTATGGAAATAAGCTGCAATCATTGGGCGAAGAGAAACTACTATTGGATAAGAGAGGCGTGAAAAAAAATTATTCTATTGGATCGATTTGCAAAAAACATTTGATTTTTTTTTCTCTAGTTTGTCGATTGTGTGTATATTATATGTTCGCTTCTATCTAGTAAATATTTTAACAGGGCAGGCTGAAACACACTCTCTCTTTTTCAATATAGAGACAATATTCCTCTACTCCTTCTGTGTTTATCGGAAACAACTTTTGGTTTCAATTCTATACGGCATCATCTTCACGGACTTGTTTCATGATGTGGATTCGAGGAGACATGCGTGGCCCAACCCACCAGCCTCCAGTCAACTTTCTTACGAAATCCCTAGCGGTAGCAATTGTTGCGCCCTGTCCAAGAACACCGTCTTTGATTCCTTCCTCATGCAGTGTTTCTGCTGCCGTAGCAACTTGTCCAGGCCGTAAAATTTCGATGCCGTCGTAGCTGTGTATCTGGCCGATGGTGTCCCACGTTCCGAGGACGAGGGATGGATCTTCCATTAAGACGTAGTCGAACTGGGACCAGAAATCTTGGTGATATAGCACTTCGCTTGACTCTGTCTTGTCGAAAAACAGAATCGGAGAAGAAGAAGAGGAGGAGGACGAAGATGTGGAATTTAGAGTTGGAGGGAGGCCATGAGGGTTTTGACCAAAGAGGGTGAGGCCGGTCATGCAAGTCAAGACGTCTGCGTGGACGAATAAATGAGGAGGAGGCGAAGTGGCGTTTGAAGTGATGGCGTAGAGCTGAGAGAGCGCATCGCCGCCGGGGTAGTTGAGAGATGAGAGGAGGAGCATGAGGGTACTTGAGGCAAAGCCTGCGAGGATGGAGAGGGACAGGATCGCAGTAGCGAGGCCGTAGAGTAGCGATTTAGATCGGCGTGAAGAGATGAAGTTGGCGCCTACGGCGGCAGCAGCAGTGAGCGAAGGGACAGTGTAGAAGATGAAGCGGGTTTCTTTATGAGGTTGAATAGAGTATACGGCAATGAAGATGAGAGATGGAATGACCAGATCCTGAACTCGACGAAAGGTTCCGGGCTGATAGAGAGCCAATCCGATGAGAGGGAAGCACAGGGGATTGAGCAAAAGGCGCGGCAGAGCGGAAGTGAAATAGTAATGCCACGGCGATACACCCCAGTTGGATGAAGACCCAAGGACGGCATTGTAGTAAAAGCCCGCGAGCTCTGGCCACAAGGGCTTCTGCCAAAAGTACGAATCAATAGGGATGGAGAGGCCTAGTGCGGCGAGGAAGGAGGCGAGGAAGAAGGTGACGAGTTCTCGCAGACTGAGATAGGATTTGGCGAGAGCGAGAAGCCCCGTTGCGGCGAGGAGGATGGCCAATTCGGAGCGGAAGATGGCTGTTGCGAAGACGAGGAGGCCGATTGCCTGTCGACGGCGAGTTCTTTCGACTGAGGCATCGTTTTTGGGGAGGAGGAATGCAGATGCCAGAGTTGCTATGACATTTGTGATTAGTATGGAAGGCTGAGAGTATGTATATATAGAGCATACGTAGTAGCAAACATAGTGAGATATAAGGAATGGACAAAATGGAAACAGTTTAAAGAGACAGAAACGGAATCAGCTTACTCAGTCCAAACGCAAACATATTCGGCAACGTCCTGCTCAAGTAAAACACCACATGGAACTGGGTCACGCTGAACAACACCCACCACCTCGCCGCCCCTTTGCCAAACGCCGCTCTGACAGCAGCTCCAAAGACGACCAAGCACACGGCATTGAAGCCGCCCAGCACCGCCCTCACAATGAACTGCGCGTGCTGGAACCCAGCCAGGGCAATCAGCGGCTGGCTCACGCCCGCCAGGAGCACCGGCCCGACAAACGTCCGCGGCACGGCTCCCGGGAAGGCGAAGTGGTCATACGTGGAGGACAGCCGCTGGTGGATGTCGTGCGTGGGGGTGCCGTAGACGAGGATGTCGTGCGTGGCCTGCAGGTTGAAGGACTCCTCGACTTTGGTGTAAGGGGCGGCCAGGAGGTGCAGCAGCGGCACGAGGAACAGGAGGAGATCTTGGTGGAAGACGTGGGTTAGCATAAATCGACACGCTATCGTGTATGGAGCAAATAGAGTGGGATGGCCAATGAGGCATCTGCATACACACCTATGAATTCCATTGATGACGGTCTATCATATCATGTCATATGTGTTTGAAGAGCCACTGAGCTATGCATTGGTAGACCAATGTCCAATTGAATATTCCCTTTGAAGGGCGTCGAAAATGAGCAATTTAGTCCTTTCTGTTAATGAGAAAAGAACACATAAGCCAGTACAAATCTCACAGCGGTATAGAAATGGAAGCTCAATCTCATTCCCGTCTCTGAATGCTTAGATGTGTTTCAAGTGAGATGGCATCTATTAGGACTACCTCTCGCTATGAGGCTGAAGTGTCTCGGAACGGCTCAACCATCCCCCGCACAGCAGCGCAATATCTCCCCTCGACAACTTATGCGATTACTGGGCAGCTGTTTGATCATTATCATGAACAAGGAGACAAAATAAGATGTATTCTCTTCAATATCCATTAGGTTTTACAAGTCAAACTCATTGCCATTATTATCTCTGCAGGCCCCAAAAGCACAGTCCCTTGACCAGCCCCCCAAATTTCTCAGCTCTGCCAGTGGCACCACTCATTGGTGTAAATCACAGCGGCTGTACAGCTTAATAACATTATCCCTTCCCAACGCTATGTAAGACAACTAATTATATGATACAGCTCTTGCAGAAAAAAAAAGTAGAAAACAAGTTTCAAAAGAAAGAGAAAAATAAACCTGAAATAGAAAAAAAATGACGGGAAAAGAAAATCGACAGGAAAAAGCCAATGACAGAGAGAGAGTAAACTATGTCGACCGATCGTGGTAAGCGATACATTACCCAGTCCGCAGCATACCTGTTCTGTTAAAGTAATGCAGTAAACGCCATCTCCTAATCAACTGGCCATATTCCGTACTTTTCCTGCTGTAACAGAACTGCCGCAAGAAGAGAGTAAATCGTCAAAAAGCGAATGGTATTCGTAAGAGAAAAGATTGCTTCCCCTGCCGGGTTCCTCCTCCTTCTTGGTTCGGCGTAAAAGAATTTTCCTCTCAACTAGATAGAGATTGTAAAATGCAGAAGATTCCCATCATCAATCGTACATCGAGTTCGCCATACGCCTATTATTGCGCACCTCCGTAGAGGTTATTGTTGTCTGTACAAGTGCGTGTCTCTCTGTGTGTGTCTGTCTCTTGTGTTGTGTATACATCTTGATTACCCAAAATAAGACCACTGTATTCCGGTTTATGCTAGGAAGGGTGAGCTCTTCTTCCTGCCTAGACCAATGCTCATGCGTCCTTTCTTCTCTTTTTCTTTTTCTTTTTCTGGAGCATCGCCATTCATTGTAGTATCCAGGGAGCTATTCCTGTCCTTGAAAAAGCTGAAACTCCGCTTCGACATGGACTTGCTACCTCGCTTAGACCGATCAAGGAACCCAGAAGATCCGCCTTCTTCCTTCCTTCTGGCGGCCTCTTCGACGGCTGCAGACTTCTTGCTAGCTTCTAGCACTTTTTGTAGCTCATCTTGCTCATTCCTTCGAGCTTGTAGAGCTTTGATATGATCTTCTCTTCGCTTCTTGTCGTCTTCTTTAACCTGTTTCTCTCTGAGTTTCTCTTTCTCCTTTTCAGCTTGCTTGGCTGCCTTTTCAGCAGCCTCGCGCTCTTTCTTCTCTCGTTTCAAGTCGTCCCTGGATTTTGTTTCTATTTTGGTAGCACTTTTGCCGGTGAGGCTAACACCTGACACGCCGACAAACGGCATCTCGGGTATTTTTGGTGATTCGATGATGGGCGAAGTTGGTAATGGCACTCCAGTAGCTGTAGCGGCATGTGCGAGAGTTGCTAGAGACTCATGCTCTGGCATTACAACAGGTTGTGTTACTTGCCGCTTCAGAGGTGCTGTATCTGGCTTGTCTCCGTTTTCATCTTGTGCTATATTAGCAGCCTGCGTCGCTAACTTCACCTCCTCCATCCCCTCCCTCTCTTGCTCTTCCCTGACTTTCTCAAAGGTAGTTTCTTGGTAAAAGAGAACGTAGGCAGTCGCCATACCGGGCTTGTCGCCAAAGAAATTGCGCACAAAGTGCTTATCAACAGGCTCAACCATCTCATCATCGAATAGGACCCAACCGCGATCCTTGGTCTTGATGATGGAGACGTAGTGGCCATGATACGCGTTGCCACCTATGTGGACGACAACAGCATAGAGTTCATACATCCTATCAGGGTCCTCTGCGTCGTCTGTGGTGTTGAACATACGCAGATGATAGGGGTAGACAACACGGTGGAACAGTTTCTGGAGACGGCTATAATCCTCGGTGTACTTGAATCGCTTGAGGTGCAGAGTGAGTACTTTGGGCAAGCGTTTGACCTTCATTCGCTTTTCAGCCTCCTGCAGACCACCACAATGATCACAGTGGAATTTGTTCCGCTCACAGAGCATCTCTTCGGCCGAGAATTTTCGTAGACAAGATGTGACCGATGAGTGTTGTTCGAGATCAATGGACAGATCGAGGAAAGTCTCGTCTCTCTGTGACGCCGTCTCACAAGTCAAGCACTTCGTCTCCGAAGTCAGCACACCCTCAAAGATGTCGTGAACCCAACCCGTCCCGGGAGTGCGGTAACCAGTCATATTATTCATCAGCGCAGATCCCAAGGCGTTCTGTACCGACTGCGTAAGCTCAGCATTGCCTTTGATATCCAGCTGCTCCTGGATCTTTCTCGCATTTGCTTCGACATTAGCAATGACATCATTTAACACGAGGCCGTAAAATTCGTGGGCATCCTGGTGCATGGAATTCCGGAACATTTCGTTATCGCGCTTAAATATCTCGAGGAAACGCTGAGGACTCAGGACCCCTGTTCGAGTGCTGCTCTGAAGGACTGCCAGAAAGATATCTTTGAGGCCTGTGAAGGTGCATTCATCCATGCCGTACCCTACAGCATTTTCTTGCGCCAGCTCTAGGATTGGGCCTTTGAGCATGGCCTGCTTCTTTTTGTATTCAGGAGTATCTGGCTTGTCTTCAGGCTTGATAGCAGTTTGGCCGGGTGCGGGCTGGCCGGAGTTGATGGCTTGTCTTTGTTTTGTTGCTTCCTTGTTGCTGATGCCCTTCTTCTGCTGTTGAGGTGGGGGTGCCGGCATTGGTGGGCGAATAGTGACGTTAACCTTTGGTCGACTGCCATTGGGGGTTCCGGATGGTGATAGCGACGGATAGTTGATCACGCTTTCTCGAAACAGATCGGAATAGAATAACGCCTGTACGATGGAATTACAATAGCTAGACAAGTTCAGTTAGTGGATACAGTGTTCTATGTTGATTGGGTCTGCAAGACGAAGCGAACCAGGTGTTTCCAAACTATGGCTCATGTTAGCATGGTGGCAGTTACACAAAAGAAGGGGGACCTAGTCTAGAGAAAATAAGGGATGATAAACATACGTTTTCGAAACCAAAGAACTTGTCAGTTCCATCCTCTCGTAAGGGGCCTGCATTCAGCAGCATCTTCTCGAGAGGGGTCAATTCTGGTAAGATCTCATCCTTCTTCTTGGGTACCACATCTTTGGTGGTTTGCGCTGTCGACGGCTGCAGGGTGATGGTTTGTTAGCGCGATTAGATTATTTCGGCACAAGTTGTGCCAGAGTTTCTTGGGCATATAGCGATCGAATTTGGGTACGGCAAATAAAAGACGGATAGGTGATCGTGGTGAAGGGTGGGAGAGGCATACCGTGCTGGCGTTTTTAATCTTGTTGAAAAATCCGGCCATGTTGTCGTATTAAGCATACAATATTCGATGACTGAGTATAGTAATGGGCGACGGTGGAGAGGGAAAAGCGAAAAGATAACGGTTCCAGCAGCCAGAGCCGCTCAACAGGCGCTCAACGAGATCGAGGGCGGCAGTCGAGGGTATTCATTCGAAGTATAGAGGCGACGGAGCAAGCTGGGGCGATCAAACGAACGGATCAATGGTCAACGCCACCTGACCAGCGGAGAGGAAATCTGTCGTAGGAGCGCCTAGCCTGATTGTACAGGCCTTATTGTTTTCCCCTTCTTCCTCCTGTTGATCTTGTGACGGGGAGGTGGGAGGCTGGATCAAGGCCCGGTGGTGGCGCTGCTTCGGTGGTCAAGAGAATGCGTCGGGAGAGAAAATCGAATCGGATTCGGCGCAGATAGAGTGGTCTGGGAACAGCGAGCGAAGGACGTGAAAGACGCCGCACCAGGTTGCAAACAAGGGCGAAGCAAATGGCGACCGAACAGCAGAGAGCAGGAAAAGCACGAGAGATGAGGCGATGCGGAAGAACAGGACGAGGATGTGTCAGGACGCGGAAGTGCAACTACGTCTGGCATGGAAGTGGTCCAGTTGGTTTCTGGAAACCCCCCCAGCGCAGAGCCCGCTATCCGCGACTCACTCCAGGCCCTTTCCTCGGGGCCTCCCCAGCTCGCTGTGGGCCAGTGGGGACAGGCCGCTTGCAGGGCGCCAGGGCTGGCATTGGCCGATTGTGCAGCACCGCTTTTGCGCAGTACCTGCACCGCTACGGCGCACAAGGGACGGAGTACCTCCCATGCCCAGCAGGCCCTTGCGCATGTGGCACAGTGCTAGGCGCTGCTAGCAGTCTAGCGCCCAGGATTAATACCTGACGGCTAGCAAGGCTAGCAGGTAGTGCTGCACTAAGGCGGCGCCTGCACAGAACTCGCTCGCTGTGGGGGAGGGGAAAGAGGCCGGCCAGTGTGTCTGGTGTGCATGAGGCGAATGAGCACTTGTTGGGGACGCGAACGAGGAGGAATCCTGTTGGCAGGTGCCTGGTGGCACCGTAGAGGATTCAACGCCGCCGGAATATCAATTGCCGAGCCAAGAGGGCCGGGCCTTTTGTCATGCTTTGTTAAAGAACGCCTTGCAGCTGGTGATGATGGTGCAGGTACAGCTTAGTACCAATGTATGGAAGTTTCACAAGGTACAGTACAGTATGTGGCATAAGTTGTAATACAGGTGTAGAACATGAAACATAAAGACAGTGAGCATGCAAGGCAGAGTGCTGAGCGGCGCGCAACGCTGCCCTAAAGACCCCAGTCCGAGTCAGGTCCCGCCGCTGCTCTGTAATCATCTGCGTCCTGATGAAGATACACGCAGAATACGGAGTACCTGGCATTTACGGCCAAGCGTGAGCCACTGGCCATCCCGATCCATGCCTGCAAATAGATTGAATGTATAAATTAATAATTCGGTTGTTAGTTGGCCATTACCTTGCCATGAAATCCTTCATTGTCAATTCAGGCGGCAGATGGAGCGCCAAGAGCAACGAGTGCGTGAGCAGTAGCGCTGCGTACCACAGCATGCCCTGCACAGCCAGCAGTCGATGCTACAGCGTGATGCTTAAAATATCTCATGGCTTAGGTACTAAGGTAGGTAGTCAGTAGGTACCTGGCATTTGGTAGCATCGAATGGATTCCCGGCTGTCTTTGACATGCTGCAACCACATCTGTCTCACGGCCGATGGGCAGCTCCTGTCTTGCAGCATGCCATCTCGAATCTTGGGATTTGGCCCCCTCCCCAGTCTCTCGCTACCAGGATTGCTCCGCCATGAAACTCTTATTTTCCAAGAGACAAGTAATGCGTACATCATCGATCGAATCGAGTGGAGAGGTTAAACAAAAGGCAACAAGCACAAGAGAGGGGCTCACCCATCCCATCCCAGCCATCCAGCTGGACTTGCTCTGTCGTATGATGTATCCGGGGTAAGCCACGCGGAGGCATCTCCCATTCGCCTGCATGCGACGGTATGCACACCATCTGGCGTAGCAGAGGCTAACGGTCGGGTTAGCATGCATCTGTGATTTTTCCAGCCAGCCCAGCCCCTGCTCTGCCCAGAGGGGGATGATGATTCTCAACAGGCGGCGGCAAAGAAAAGTCAATTCTCCTAGAGCGCTCGCCACTTCACAACGCCTCTACCCCATTTATTTTTTCTCTTTTCTAGCTCCCCCCTCTCCGACCCGGTTGGTTCGGGAACGCCTCATTCGTCAGCGTTCTAAAATTGAGACAGCACGAAAAACAAGAGAAAGTAGAACGAGAAAAGAGAAGAGGGAAAGATACTGTAGGTATGTACAAGGTCGAGATTAGCCGAGCGGGCTGGGCAGAAGAGGTAATGACGCCAGACCAGGTTAACGAGTGGTTTTTGTTTGGTCTCCGCCCTTGTTTAACATGGGACAGCGAAAATTAACTCGTACGAAACGACAGGCGGCTCGGATGCGACAGTGCCTCATGGCCGTTGATTGCAAGCAGCAAATTTGCCTATCTGCGGAGCATCGCAGCCTGCGCCTACCGGCATACTGCACCTGTTGATTCGCCCGTCGGCACACACACATGACTACTGTAGCCATCTCGAGCTGTGGGTTTTGCCTACCCCCATAGTACGGAGCCGGTTTAGCAATGCGTCGATAGCTGCAGGCACTCTGTCGATGCCGCCTCTGCTGAATCTCGACTGTCGCTCCATGGCCATCTGATCATCGCTCCCATCGCCCTTTTGCTCCCCACCCCCGCCTCGTCAAATCATGTCGATGGCAGCTCTCAAGCATGGAGATACTAATCCGTAATAGCTGCAACGGTTGAACGGCTGGTTGGCACTAGAGCCAACTCTACCAAACAATCGTCAACGAATCGCAACAACTTCTCCCTCGCAAAGGCAGTGATGGTGTGTGGGGAAGAGCCCCTTGCTAGCCCAAGAGAAATAACGTGGCTTTCGAATAGCGAGGGGGCCAGGCCGGGGCTTGGGACACCGAAAGGCCCAAAAAGGACCACCAGCCGCGACCACCAGACAAGGGAACTTTGAAATGCAAGCTCCTACGAGCTCTGCGGGCCATCAGTAGACGGCGCTTGCAGTTGTATGTGTGGGCTAGTCCTGCTTCATCAACGGCATATGATGCATGGGTTGGTACAGCTGCTAGAGCCAACACGACGTGTCAATACCCCATTTATACGTCCACGCTCAGGCAGATATAATAAATAAACTGGAGGCAGCCGACTTTTTCTCTATAGCGCAGCAACCAACGGCAGCTAGTTCTGCAAGTCGCGGGCTCTTGCCTCTCCTCTCCTCTTTGTATCCCTCACTCTGAGAACTGAACGTTGGAAATCTTCACACTTATGCTGTGCTTCCTTACCTGACCGTCGCCTGTATTGCCCGCTCCACCCTGATACCTGCACGTTGCGTCTGGCTGGTTCATACAGAAAACATACATTTCAAGACAACCAACGCCGCAACACATAATCTATTATTATAACACACGGGGCATCTCCCCTTGTCAAGGCATCACAGATGAAAGGCTGGGAAGATAAAGGAGGAACGCACATCTGGTATGCGAGCACACAGTTTACATGCTAGTCTGTGAGCTATGTTCATGCCTTTGCTCCACAGGACGTCATCCTACAGATCGATAATGCGACGATAGCCTGACACTGACGAGCATATCATCCCCACCAGCTCCTCCAAGCGCTGGCTGGCAGATGTACATACTGTATCTTGCTGCAACCCCAGCGGGCACGAAATTAACAGTGACAAATCTTGTTCGGCATCCAGATCTAGCTCTCACAAAAATCGCACCGGGCTCTCGCCCAGCTTTGGTGTTCTTCCATCTTCATGAATAGAAATTATCTTCAAGAAAAATACGCCAATTCAGCTAATACGAGTACCTTGGGTGGGTGGACAAAGCATCTCATCGGCTAAAACGTCGCTCTTTAATGTACCCGTCCACCCTCTTTCGACGGCAAGCCACTGCTTTGGAATCTAGCCTATCACATATCTCATGCTCCTTCAGCCCAGTCGGGCCTTTATTCCTCTACTCTTTGCCACACCCGAATTGCGCATCCCTTCTCCATTTGCGGTTGGCCGGCGCCGCTTTACGCAGCAGATCAGGCTACTCTGCATAGAACCCGACGGAATTGGGTCCGTAGACCCGGTATTCGTATACTAACGTGAGTGAGAGAGTGCGTGTGCGAGCATATTAGCACCTCAATTCCAGCCTTTATCTGTGTGCATAAATACATACATATTTAGTAGGTGTACTGATCTTATATCCAATCAAAAATATTGAAACGGCATATTGAATAAAACCAGATGAAAATGGAGGGGGGAGAGAATACTAATTCGGACATATTCTTTCGAATGCGCATTGCCGACTTGTCTATGATTTTCTTTTTTCGTAGTTTTTACCGGCTTCCACCATGCCCAATTTCTATCCCATTACTGCTTCTATTCGTGTTACTTCCTTTCTGTACTGCTTTTATTCGGTATAACATCTACAGATTTTGCAACTGCCACTGTTGTTACTGCCGATGCTTACTACTACAGGTTTCAAGTTATTATAAGCGTGTCTTGCTAAGAAAGCGTAAGCTTTGAAAATAGCAATATGCGTACAAACTAGAGTAGAAAAACGCGGCTGTGCATTTAGAAACACGAGGTTCTTTTATCTTGCCCTGGGGTTCTAATATGGTATACCTATGGCAGAGAACTATGTGGATAATTCCTTGACTTTGATCCCTAATTGCACATCACCCAAGTGTGTCATGGATTCAAGCTGTATCTTGGCCAAGCTATTTTAATATTGGAATGCAATAGGCATGCGGCCTGGCTGCCAATTGAACGATTCAAAAAGAAAGCTTTTAAGCCAAGGACAGAGTAATCTCGAGCATCACGACATAAGCACCACGGTAGAACAAGGGGCGTCTAACTAGTAGTAGTAAACCTGACGATCCCCCTGAAGCTCCAAGTCGCAGCAGCTGCTACGCGAACTTCGTTGCCAAACACCGATTCTGACTGTAACACGCCTAAATAGGAGAGATATGCAATATCGTCAACATGTATTACTCGGAAAGAGGGACTAATGAGGCACAACGTGTTCAGGTCATCGTTGAACTTTGAAATTTAACCCATATTACGGGAGAAGCAGACGTCCACATTCACAAATTACTTCATAGCAAATCTAGGATCCAGTTCCTAGCAAATCTGTTTTCGCCAGCTCATTCTTGCCCATCTATACTCTATTTCTTCTCCGGAGGCGGCGCCGGACCACCGGTGGTGGGCAAGCCCATGAAGATCTTGAAATAGTCCTATAAATAGAAAATTAGTACGACATCCACAACTCCCTCTTCTTCTTTTTCAACAGAGATACTCACGTAAATCATCCATTGGAGACCGGTCAAAGTGCCAATCATGACAATTCTCATTGGCAAGCCGTTCCAAAGACCCTTGAAGCCGATGTCCTTGTAGATGCGACCGACGGCAGAACCGAAAGCCTCGCCGGGCTCGCGAACCGAGTTGAGCTTGCTCACCATGACATCTGCGGGGTGAGAAACGATGGCGCAAAGAATACCAGCGAGGTAACCACCGGTGAAGGAGACACCGGTCTGAGCAGCCTTGCTATAGTCATTCTTTTCTCCGGGCAAGCGAGCGTAGATCATCTCAACAATGGTTTCGAACGAGGCAAACTTCATCATAGTATATGGGATTTGTCGGCCCCACAGAGGATAAAGGCCTTTGTAAAGTCCGGCATAACCTTCCTTCGCAGTAATCTTGTTGAATCCATCAAGGGCGCCAGTGTAGGGATTTGGTGAGCCTCCCTGCATTCGAACTTTAACAGCTTCCATGGGGCAAAGAGCAATGTCGGCCAGGAATTCAGCGGAGGCTGAGGCGGACAGATACAAAATAGTTTTGTACTTGTGGGCAGCCTCCGGGCCAGCAATGTCGGAATATGTCTTCTTGAAGTACTCGTACCATCCGTACTTGAAAGCACCCTGTGCAGAGTAGCCAAAGAAGGTTGGGCTCCAACCAGTAAAGATGCCGCGGAGACCTTGAGCGCGATAAATCTTTCCCCATGCTTCAAAATTGCTCTTGTAAAGCGACGAGTCGACCTGGCGGCGTGTTTTGACGAAATCAAGAGGCGTTACAGCCGTGTGAGTGAGACCCTTGAGAAGAGAGACGGATGTAAGTCAATAGGTTCCCTTGAAAGCAAGCAAATAGAGTATGAAGGCTTGAATTCACTTACACATGCCATCATTCCTCCAAAAGTACATGCCGCATAGTATTTTCCAGAGTATAGTTCAATCTTTCCCGTCTTGGCTTGAGCCGCGGAGCTGGCCTTTTCAAATTCCTTGGCAGCTTCATTGCTAAGCTTGACAGCCTTATCTTTGGCACTATCTACCACAGACCAAGCCCCGTAGAGCTCCGGGCGAGCTTGGAGAGGGGTCGCCTTAGTCTGCGAGCTATAATGTTTGGGTGCTGGGCTATAAAAGTTGCCTTTTAGGACTTCATCTCTAGGATATAGGTGCGCCATAACGAGGAGTGGACAGGCAACCGAGCCTTCCGATTGTTCATTTATCCTGGAAAGATATGAATGAAAACCGCAATTAGCACACTGGCAATCCTCAATTGTAGGCGAATGTGGCTGGTCTGGGCTTGGAAAACAAGAGTACGACTCTGTGAATGACACTGAGGCCATAACAAAGAGATGGGTAGACATGATGACAGGACGTGCTGGAGGCAATGCTCAGGAATATCTGGCTGCCAATTCAGTCACAGAGTGAGAAACTTACAAAAGCTAGTCGTATCACTGGGTAGCTGTTGGCACGCGACAGTGATGCACAACAAGAAGATCGCGACACTGAACCCAACGAGGAGAGGAAGCGAGGACAATACAATACAGAAAAGGATCGCGCATGCAGCGTCCCGGTTTATAAATGTCGCAAGATAAGAGCGAAACAACCGCGAATCTGCGACTCCTGCCGGATAAAGCCCGCCGGGCCTAGGCCACGCCCAGCGACTGAAGTGCGTGACATCACTCAACGTCAAGATGCCCGGCTGCGAGGCGGCAGCTCCAACGGGAGCAGTTCCGACCTCACACCAAAGTCGAGGTACCAAGTCGCGACTCACAGGTACAGCGCCTGTCATAGACTGGATGCGCTGCCTCGCATGTAGCCATATGCCCCACCAATGTCCCGATACAGTATCGGATTGGATATTATAAAACCGCAAACTCCATGGAACTGCTGCATGCTCTCCCGATCTTAATAGTTGGCATGCTGGCTTTTCTTGTCCATGTTCTTGCTCGAATTTGCAATATTTCCAATCTATCCGCCGCAGTAATATGCAATTTACCGTACCACAGCCAATGTATAGCGAAATACTACTCTCTGTACGTTCTACTGGACGATCGCATCATTTGTGTCTCATCCATGGAACCCGATTCAAATCGATCGGGCGGCAGCACGAAACCGCTTTAAGCATTGCTCCACTGCCGGAGAGTCACTGCGGGGGCAATTCGGACTTAAAAGAAGCTCCCTTATCGAAGCATGAGTTAGCGGTAGCAGTGACAGCAACTAATGCTGATTGGCACCGAGACACGCGAGTATAGGGGCTGATAGAACGAATTAAAATTACAATCATGTGGTGAATTTCAAAGAATTTGTATATCTTATTCTGGACATGATTTTTTCTTATTCTCTGTCTAATACAAGATACCGCTTGGAGCGATGACGTCTAAGACACAATCACATGTATCACAGGTTTCAACCATCTTTATACGGCCCCGCCTGATGCTGAGCTAATCACACACTCCCCGCGGTCGGTGGCTCAATCGGCCCCATCATATTTGCCATTCTGCCAAAGAGTCAAACAACAGTCACAACGCAAGAAACGACCTCAACAACCAACCCGTGCGGTTTTCAACGGAGCACGATAAAGAACCAAAACAGACTTCAGCCATGGCTACCACATTAACACAGCAGCCTGCTCAAGCCGGGCCGGCGACGACAACGCAGCCTTTTTCCACGGCCTGGTCTTCAAGATATCGAGGCGTAAGTTTTGAATATCAAAAGCATCACGTTGTCGCATTCGGCAAAAGACTCTCCCAGAACACACGCCGGGATCCTCCCTCATATCATTGAGACTGCACAATGCCTCGTCGATTGGATAATCAGATTTCCACTGACAATCTCTCTCTCTCTGCAGGCCACCGTCGAAGATCTCGACCCTCCCGCCGCCCTCTCCCTCAACCCCTCCGACGCCATCAACATCGCAATGCTCTCCGCCTTCGAGCGCGAATACACACACCTCACCATCGTCGACTCAGAAACCCGCGCCCTCCTCGGCTACATCTCCATCCCCCACCTGCAGTCCCTCCTGGAAGCCGGCCGCGTCAAGCCCAGCGACCCCGTTTCAGCCGCCATGACGAGATTCAAGCGCAAGGGTCGCAAGTACCAGGTCATCACGCTGCAGACCCCGCTGGAGGATCTCGAGGCTTTCTTCCGAGGAAACGTATCTGGGGGTCCCTGGAAGGAGGAGTTTGCTGTCGTCACGGACGAGAACCGGAGATTTGTGCTGGGCGTGGCGACGGTGCAGGATTTGGAAGAGTTTGTCAAGAGACGACCTGCTTAAAGCGTTCTTATTTCACTCTTCTTGGGGTAGGTATTAGAGCTAGCAATTACGATGGAAAATGAGAAATTCGAGCAAAACCGCCAATCCAACGGTTAACGAGAATGCGAAAGCGTCGTCTTTAGGTAGACGGCGTTTTGAACATAATGGGCCTTTATTCAACATGCGTTGGAAATTCTATTTCTTGTTTATTCTACTTTACGGAGTAGGAAATGCGTGAAGGAGTTTCTTACGCTATGAGAGAGAGCTTGAGATGTGAACGGGCTCTTGATATGGGGTTCAACACCAGAATCGCAATATATCATGTCTCTAAGTAAAGAACAAGTCATCATGGATGTATATGCTTTAAGTTATAGATTTATCCTGAAATAACTAAAACGAAAGCTTTCTTAGGCTTCAACTATGGTCTACCGCCACACTTTCTCATGCCATCTAGCTCTTTTGTATCATACGATATCAAATAAGAACAACAAGTCAACTCATAATCCTAGTCGGATACTTTCGTTCTCTCACCCTATATCCTGCCACTTTGGTCAGATTTGTCCCCTTTCCCCTTCTTACTCTTCACCGTTGTAGTCGTAAACAAGTCGGATCTGAGCCCGCTCTTTTCCCTTGGTCACGACGATATTCCGGCAGTACCTACGCTCGCCGTCAATGACCTGGAAGCCCCAGACCTGCTGGGCAGTCCAGCCCTTCTCCTCATTCTTAGCGGAGTTTACAATAAACTGGCCGTCGCCCTCAATCTCCCAGCCCTTCTTGAGGTACTCGTCGGTGATCTCGTCCAGCTTGGCCCAGCGGCTGCGGCCCTTGACGGTGCCGAACAGCCAGTCGGTGTGCTCGCGCTCAAGGTCGTCGAAGCACCGGTTCTCCTGTGTGCTGGACAGGCCCGAGGCGGACTGCGTGATGTCGATGTGGACGACGACGTCGGCTGCCGTGCTGGGCGGGCTGGGAGGGCCCTCGTACTGCTCTACCTGGATGGTGATGGTGGCGAGACCGATTCCCTTGCGGACCAGGTAGCCGATGCCCTGGAGGGCAAGCACCGGCTCTGAGGAGTCAGAGAGGGTCTTGTTCTAATTGTGTTTAATGCCGCGCCGGCGCCTTTGTTAGTGGAGATGCTCTCTTTTGCGCTTTTCTGTGTGCTGATGTCATTTTGTGGGAGTGCGACTCGAGATGATGCTATGTCCCAGATGACACGGAGGCCATAGCTTCTCTCTCGTCGCACAGCTTGCATCGCTCTCAAGAGTCATATGTATTCCTCTTTTTTTCATCGCTCTTCGTCGCTCGTTAAGCTCCCTCGTCTGCCAAAACAGCAGCACTTGGCCTCGCCGTCAGGAAGCGCGATTGGCGCAGCTTGAACAAGGCGACGAAGAGCAGCAGCTTGTAGTGGGGGAGGGGCAGCAGTTCCCTCTTGAAGCGGGCGTAGCAAAGCAGGGGGAAACACGAGAAATTAAGATGGGACGAGCAGGGAAAGGATTTAGAGGGGATGGTTGGTTTGTGAGGTTGTATGGAGTGCTTCTTACCATAGTCCATTTGCCAGTGAGGTTCTTGGCGGTCTTGCTTGATGGAGCAGCCATGGTTGCGATTGGGACAGATGAATATCTCAGGCTTGATTAATGAGCGAAAGAGGGAGAGAAGGAGGCGCGATGCTCAGATAAAGAGAAAGTAGATGGAAGGATGGAGAGTAATCTTCAAAAGAGGCAGAGTACTTATAGAACGCCCGGCGTGCGCATTACGTGCTGCAACAGGTGGAACTATCACATGAAGCTTGTTTGTGCTGTTGGCGCAGCAAAAAGCAGCGCAGGTCATCATTGACCCGAGGCGTTCGTACTAGTCCTGCTAGGAAATGGCAGGCAAGCACATGCACGCTGCAGCGCCCCGCCAAATCTCCCCCACACACAGCGATGTACTGCCAGTAGCAGCGCAGGTACCTAATAGGAACATGCTCGAAACGACAAGGGAGTTCCTGTCCACCACTGCTAACTGCAATCACGTATAGTAGATCATTATTTGGATCCTTTGGCTGCCTCCTTTGTAATTCGTCCTAATTGAGACCGTCACCTACTGCTTTCGGCGTAGGTGCCGCGCCAAGACACCAGCAGCGCCTTGTTCACATCCAGAGTGTCTGTCCTAAGCTAGCTTATAGGTAGACTAGAGAGAGCTATATACAGCAGAGATGGGCTAAACAGAAGTCATGCATATTCCCGCAAGGCAATTCACCGAATAGTATTTTCTAGAGAGAAAGTAAAGAATAATCCATCTCCATGTAGGTGCTACAACTAGGTAAGTAGATGCTGTAGGCACCAACCATAGAAACAACCATTACCCGTATTCCAACAGCTTCGTTCTACCAGTCTTTCACGTCTTTAGAAAGCCGGAACCAGAAACAAACAAAGACATAAAAAGTAAAAGAAAAGAAGAAGAAGAAGAAGAAAATAAAATGTAATACAAAAGAACAAGCCCAGCATCTGTCGTTGACCTCAGCTCCCAGACGGATATCATGCTGCTCTCTCGGAACCCTGTGGATATCTTAATGGTACATTAACGAACTCCCTTTCTGGCTCGCTCTAAATCTTCAAGTCATTATCGCTATGAATGCAAGACCGTCACACATGGCTTTTGTAAATTCCGAGGGTCATTCATGCTCGCCCATAAGCTGTTCAACCACAAGGTCTGCGTAGGCATCAATCAGCCGCTTGCTTTTTCTCAAATATGCGTACCTGCGAAAGCAATAGGAGCTCAGTGTTGAAGTGGCTATAATTCTGGCTTCTCACACTCGTTTGTTGCGTGGTGTTTTGCTTGTTCTTGCCCTCATGGCCACCACTTCATCTTCTTGTAGCTCTCGATAACTTCCTCAATCAGCTCCTTCGTGACGGCAGGTTTCTCGTATTTAAAGCCCACAACAGTTTCTAGCCGGCTGCCATCCATGCTGAGGTCTGTGTCTTTGAGAAGCTCCTTCTCCATGAAGGGCGTCAGGGGGCCAGGCCGTGTAATGCCAGCATCGGCCAAGAGATCAGCCCAAGGGCCGAGGACTTCGTCATTGACATCATCCACCACGCTTTCCAGGTTCAGTTTCGCAAAACTGCTGATCAGCGTTCCCTGGAATCCCGTTTCGATTTTGAAAATTTCGCCAATTATTTCAGCCATGGTTCCCTGCGTGGTGGTGCCCTTGTCCACCACGTTGAATATCGGCACTTTGCCCATCTCGGCCTCTTTCCAGTTGGCCTTGCCAGCATCGTACCAAACGGCAGTGTCCCAAAGGGCTCGCGTTACATCGTGGATGTGCGCCGTGTTAGTCCGCAGGTCTTTGGTCCACAGCCACTTCATTTCTCCTTCGATATGCTGGTAAACTCGGGCCATGCATAGGGCTGTTGCAACCCACTGAGACGCATACGGGCCGTATACATGAGCTAGGCGGACAATCGCAAGGTTAAGCCTGTAAATGTGACATTAGTAAGAGAAAAGCCGAAAAGTTGAAAAGCTTCTTTTGCTTGACCTACCCTTCAATCTTGGCGAGCTCTTCCTCTGCCTGCAATTTGAAAACGGCAATCTTGCTCCACGGCTTCAATTTATCTCCCTCTTTGCTCGGCGACGAGTCAGGCTTGTACACCATGCCTGTGCTCAGCTCAATAAAGGCCTTCACTTTCCTCTTGGCGGCCTCCTTTCCGACAGCAATGGAGAGCTCCAAAGATCTCAGCTTGTAAATCTCATCTTCCTGAGAATATCTCGTCTCGCCACCGCAGTTGAAGACATAGTCCCATTGCTTGCCGTCGGGTCGGTCAAATACTTTCACTAGAGCCTCTGTTCAAAGCAGCACACGCATGGTTAGCCAGGGGTGGTCACTCGCGGACAATTTGCATTGGCTAAACGAATTGAGGGACTTAATTGGGAAGAGGGCCATTTACCTGGTTTGCTGGCATCAGCTTGCATAAACTTGCTCTGGGAGCAAGCCTCGGAGAATTCAGGTGCCAGCCAGGCAAGCTGGGGCAGCACCTTGTCAACAAGTCGCACCTCGGACGCAAGGTTGTTCTGGTGAATGTATTGGGCGAGGAAGCGGCCGATATAGCCCAAGCCTCCAATAATGAGGACGGATGGCTTCTCTTCAGCCATTTTGAAGCTTCTGCTGTGGTGGTCGAGAAAGCGCAAGACTGTGTGGTATCAAGAACCGTCGTCCAAGTGCACAGTTGCGGGCCACGGATTCGAGTCAGCGGCTGGCTGTCTAAACCTCCCCTGAGCTCTCTGTATTTTTTATCGTATCGGGCAAGGAGATGATTAAACGTCGGGCGGTGCTTGCTCTGGCGTTCGCTCGCGTAGCAAGTGTGCTGCGTCGGGATGGGATGGAGAGGAGACGAGGAGAAGAGGGAGGTCGACGGGCTGCTGCCTTGCGTAGGTAGCTGCGGTGTTGTCGTCTCGGTACAGGGTGCTCGATCGCCCACGCAACTGCCGAAGGAAAAAAGGACGAGGCAGAGAGCAGATACAGGCGCACTGTGCCAGGAAGCCGACGCGGAAGCCGAAGCGAAGGCAGAGGAGAAAACAGGCAAGCTTTTGTATCTCGCGGGTGGTGAGACCAGCAGCCAGTCCAGGTGCCTGAGACGGAGGGATGGGTGGGTAACGGTCGACTAAGGCGAGGCAAGGCAAGGCAAGGCAAGGCAACGAATCGAGCGAGCGAGGGGCTGCTTGTCTGGAGTCCAGTCTTTTTTATTTACCGCCGCGCCGTGAAGAAAAGCAATCAGGTGTGCATGCACCCGTCCATACACGTAAAAGTGCAGATTACTCCGTGCCCAAAAAAACCAAAGCCCCCCCACTAACATGCACCGCTGGGCCTTGTCCATGCCATGTACCATGCGGCAGGTTTCATTTTCTCCCTTGCTTTGTAAAAAAGCACGGAGCAGTGCTACTCCATGCGGACGCCGGCGAGAATCGCATAGTACAGTATGGGGAAGATGTGAGTTATTACAAGCACGGGCACAGGGAGCTAGCCGAAGCTGTTTGTTAGCGATGCAGGCCGTCATCTTTCTTGAGGCCACCACTCTTGTCCAGGGACGAGCACAGCGTCTGGTTACTTTTACTGTACGACGACGAGGGAGTTAAATACCTACTACCTACCTAGTAATACCTAGTATGCGTGTTGGACGACGGTCATTACGTGCTTTGCTTCAGCTTCAGCTCCAGCGCCAGGCACATCCAGGCACGCATGGGCTGTGACTGGACACACACCTTTCCAGCCTGGTCTTGGCCAACAGCAGGCTGAAGCTGGTGCTGGTGCTGATTCTGGCTCTACACACTGCAGTGGTGATGGTGATGATGATGATGATGATGATGACGATGATGGTGATGGTGAGCTGTGGCCGCCCATCCTTCCGACCCGTCGGGACTGATACGAGAGCCACTCAGAGGCTCTCACGACGATGGGACTTGCATAAGGCATTAGCAAACACACCGACTGACTGCCTGACAGCGGCAACGGCGAGCGAAATTGTCCCAATCCAAGGGCTCTGTTGTGCGAGGACGGACGTGTAACTTGGACCTACCTAGTATTTGGAGGCGGCTAACCGCTGCCAGGTCTCAGCATCCCTGTATACATCCCCACCAGAAGCTAGCGGGCTAAGCGGCCTGATGTTATTTGCCCAGCAGTCAGAGAATCTCTCGACTCTGGCTGGTGCCACGCACGATGAGGTGTCGTCTGCTTCTTCCTCTGCTTCCTGTTCTTTGTGGGATCCCAGATGGGAGGTCAGTCAGGCCAGACCCTGGTTCACCGCAATGCATATGGCGTCTCACCTTTTCCCCCTTCAGCTTAGCAGCCCTAGCAGCATGTGCATGTATGTACTTGTATCATTGACGGCTGTTGTCATTAGCAGCAAGCAGTTATTAGTAGGTACGGTAGGTTAGTAGACAATTCCTAGGACCCAAGGATTATGCAGCAGGAAGGCACTGCCACTACAACCGCTGCTGCTAGCACTGTCTAGCAGTGGGCAGGTACCTGTCTAGCAGCCGCCATAGCGCCTTTGAGCATGGAGCATGGAGCCTGGCTCCCCTATCGTCTGCCCTCGCTGAAATTCCGAGGACAAGGAAGGACAATTGAGCATGCCTCAGGTACCCAATCATGGCTCAACCTCTGCTTCCGCACAAGCCACTTGTTTTCAACAGCTGGGCTGATGATAGCAGCAGCAACAGCGGCAACAGCAGCACGCCCGTCACTTTTCGTTGCCTTCTTTGCCCCCTTTTTACCCATTTTCTACACTCATTCAGCGACCCGACCCGATGCCGCCGCCCGACCGGAATCGCTGAGTGGCGCCACTACGGTCCAGCAGTCGCTTTGGCCGCTGCCCTTGTGACAGGCTAGCAGTGGGACTCGTTGCGCCATGTGCAACCCTCAGGTGGGACGAACCGCTCCGAACGGGGACCAGCGGCGACGATGGCGGGTATAGCAGCCCAAAGGCGCAAACGTTTTGCTTGCTCCCTCTGCGGTGGCCGCCAATTAACACTGACACGCACAAGTGTGGTGGCATCAGCCTACTTGCCTAGTGCTTGTGCAAGAGCCCACCAAAGCGACTTGACTCGACCTCCTATTACGGGCCCAGGGTTTGCGATCTGGAGACCGAGACTGAAGCCGAGATCAGCTTTTGGCGTCGATACTTGTGTACTTGTACCTGGCGTCTACTGCATCTCTCCCTCGCCCTCACCTGTCCAACACACGCAGCATTGGCGACGTGGGGTGCGGGGTTCGCTGTCTTCCAAGCGTCGTTCTAGAAGACAACGCAGCTCAGCCAATGACTCGGCGCTCGAGGCAAACGAAACAGACCGCATTTTGTCGCACCGGCATGAAAGTGGCCCGGCGTCTTTTTTCTTTTCCCATGCCGACAGCACGCCCCAGTCCAGCTGCAGGAATCGTGCAGCCGCCGAAACGTATGTGCATGCACCTGTAGCCAGCCATCCGGCGCGAACATACGGGCGCCTCTGCCTCTGCTGCGGTCTTGAAGAATACTACTAATAGTAGTATTTTAAGCTATCTCAGTCGGCAGGCAAGCAAGCGACTACGTCTAGTGATATCACTCGGCTAGCCGGCTTTACGAGTGCAGGGAGGAAACGAAAAACGAAAGCCCCACACAATGACTTTGTTTGTGCGTGTCGTGGGATTTTACGGAGTCAAGACATGTTTTGAAGTCTCCCTTGGCTGCCACATGCAGGAGGCAGCCCTCCCTTGCCTTGGGGGCTGACCTACTATATTTCTTCGCTGTGCCACGCCGAGCGAGTGCAGGCGATGGGGGGGGGGGGTACGTCCTTATTCGCACACAATTGCTTCCAAGCAGGAAGACCCATTGCTCGTCTTTCGACTTTGTCTACCTTGATCCCAGAGATGCCTGAAGGGAGGGTGAGGGCAACAGATGCAGTGGTACGTTAACATGCTAATATTATATCTAGTAGTGTCTGTACGCTGTATTATCTGCATGCCTGCATGTAGGGACAGGATGCTTCGAGTACAAAAGATGCGCCTACGACCAATCAGCTAACAGGGATATCTCATCCTCAGTCTCGACAGACAAATCTTGAAGAGGTGGCGTACGAGCAATCCGAGAAGCACAGTGGATGTGTGTGTTGGCTTGTCTCCAATTGCGGGCTGCTCAACTCCACCGCACTTTCATGGTCTGGCCGGCTACAGTAGTATGTAGTCTATTGTCTGCCCATCTTCTCCCTCCGAGGAGTTCAAAGATTTCGGCGACGAGTCATGGATAGGAACGCCACACATGAAATGGTCTTGCTTTTGGCCGCCTTTTCTGCTCGGCTTCATCCGCAATTCTAAAGAAAAAGGATGGAGAGGTATGAGCTTGCGCAAGTCGCGATTTTGGAGCTGCCGAGGCTACTGGCAGCTCAGATGCCACCTACCTACCAAGTAAATCTATTCCTGCTACAACCTAGCAATTCACCTACTAGGCCTAAATGGTAGTAAGATATCAATGCTGTGTATCAATATTCCTGCGAGTGATACAAGGCGCGAATAGGACTAGGAAGAAGACGGATTATAATCGCAGCCCTGGCAAGACAGATCGCCACCATCCCTGGACGTGTGGAATACCTTTGGCACGCTGTCAAGGGTGCGCTTAATCAAAGCTGCACGCTAACTATCAGCCGCAGCACAGTTACGGTGTGATTCTGTTCCATCTTGGAGCAGCAAGGTCCTTAGTGTCTCGCGAATACTGCAGAAAGGAAGGGTAGGATCGCGAGGATCCGCCACGCTGCAGCACCCAATCTACCATCGTCATGGGACTTCTTCAAGGCATCCATTAGGTCCTTTAGGGAAGTGGACGATGAACGAGGGGGGTGCTTTCTCATGTGCACACGGCAAACATTTGTGTACTCTGGCTACAGTATATATTATTCCAGGTCTGTTGCATATCGCATATTACCCTTTTCTCCGTGAGCTGAAACGTCGAAAGGAGTGTGTGCTTATCCAGCAATGCCACCAGTTCCCTCATCGATGCCTGGATCGAGATTAAGCTTGGTAGTGCCTATGTGTTGGAGATGGTTGGAGATAGATTGCACTCCGTCATGCCTCAAATTTTGGTCTTTTTTCTCTTTCAGTTCTCGTGGGTTGCCCGGGGAGGGGTGCTCAGCCCCCAACGACATGGGTCAGGAGAGAGATCAAAACCAAGCGGTGGTGTCGGTTCTCCAGGGTGATATGCTGTGCTACTCATACGAAGTACTGCTGCTGCTGCTGCTGCTGCTGCTACGAATGGACATCTTTTGATCAGGCAGATTACTACAGATCGGCCATAAGTCCTATTAATCGCCGCCGCTGCCGCTATCTCCTGGAATGGTGGCAGGCCTTGCTGGTTATATTGCTACTGTACCACGAAGTCGTACTCAGCGGGATACAATGCGGTTACTCGTGCCAACCCCGGTCCTGCAAGGGGTGGCCAAGTCATGCAACTGTGCCGGTCTTTTCTTATTGCTACTAGTATCTGTTTTTGAATGCAAGTCATCCAGCCGCCTGGCCATTTCTCCGTAGCTTTGTGCCTCTTCCGGACATGCTACCGACGGTTAGGAAGCTGAGCTCTTTGTGCCATACCCCACAGTCTGTCTTATGTTTAATTATATCTCCTCTGGGGTTAGGGGGGTTGTGATTGTTCGTTCCAAGGCATTGTCTGGTCTCTCATTTTTCTTCCGTCAGAAGCGAGACATTGACTATGAATTGATATATTTGGCTTTGTTTCATTAATTGAAAGTATGAAGAAGCGATGACATAAATTGAGTGTGGCTGTTCTGAGAGCCAATGAGTGCTGCAATGCACTACTCTATCGAACATCTCTAAAACAATTGGCTCAACTTGAGCTCTTGAACATAGCGGCCGAAAACAGAAACAAACTGTTGTTTTTTCTATTTTGCCTAATCAAACTATTATTGACCTTGGTGTTTGTTTTTAACATGGCCAAATGCCCTTGGGTCGGCACAGAAGGCTCGTGAACGATTTACAGCAATAAGAGATGATCAAGAGCAGATTGAAACATCCGTCCGTCTCAGTAGAGATGGAAGTAGCGTGTTCATCTTGTGAAACCAAGTGGCTTGAATACCATAGCATGTCGCAGATACTAGCGATGGAGTTTTGCACACATAATTTTTGCCCTATTTTGCTTTCGTGCTTGTGTGACATAAAGTAGTCATGCAACATCCGCTCCTCTCAAACCACACTAGGACAGAGGGACGCCATTCACAAACCTCTTCTTCTAGAGCTAGAAAGTCTCAAGCTTCTTCTTTTTCTAATGGGAGAGAATTCTGGCAGACATTGATATCTAGCATTCATGTATCAGGCGCTTCATCTTCTTTCATAAAATTGTCAAAAAACAATTTTCAAATCATATGCCATTCAAGAGAGGGGAACAAGAAAAAAAAAACAAATTGCGAAAGAAACACAAACAATGTTGCTACATCATCATCGCTTCATGCTGCCAATAAGCTCCCTCTGCGTCTCCCGCTCCTTCGCCCCATCGCTCAAGCTGCCTACGCTCCGCAGGTCGCCCACCACGTCCTTTGCCTTGCCAAAGTACACGTCCTGCAGCAGGTTGCGCATCTTGAGCTCCATATCCTCGACCAGGCGGCCGACGTTTGCGATGTGGCTGTCGTCGTTCTCGACGGGAAGATCCTGCTCGACCTGGCGGGTCATGTTGCCGCTGAGGTCCATGTCGCCGACGGTGCCCTCGACGTTTGTGGAGAGCGAGAGGATGACGGTCGAGGTGAGCTTGTAGTGCGTCGTGCGGCCGCGCTCAATGGCTTCGAAGACGTGGATAGAGTCCCAGACGCCTTCGGTGTTTGTGCCTGGGGTGGCAGCTATAAGTTTACCTTTGTTAGTATTGCATATCAGGAGAGAAAGAGAGAGAGAGCTTGTCTCGGCCAACGTACACTTCTTCACCAATACAACGCCAGCAAAGCCGTCATCCAAGTTCCACAGATAGACACTGCTCACTCCTCCCTCATAGTACAGTTCTCTGTAAATGTCAAACGCCTCGTTGGCTTTAATCTCCATCTTCCGCACCCTCTCGTTCGGAATGGCCCCCTCGCCAGCACCGTCGTTGCTTCCAGGGCCGACGCCGCCGACGCCGCCCTCGTCCAGCGGCGGGTCAAACTGGTTGCTCCATGGGGAGCGGTAGCTGTCGCCGTCGCGGTTGTAGTCGCAGAGGAGATAGTCGCGGCCGGTTTGCCTACACCGCTTGACGGTGAGGGGCTGGTCGACGGACGAGAGGAGGTCTTCGGTCAGGTCAGGGGCGAGGGAGATGATTGCGTTGAGGTGCTCGCTTGTGTGTTTGGGGTTTAGGCGGCGGAGGAGGTCACTGTGTAAAAGATTCGATCGGTTAGTACCAGTAAAAGCCAAGGAGAAGTAGAGTCAAGTAAAAGACATTGGCGCCAAAGAAAATAAAGGAGAGAGACGACAAGGTGGGTAGCAGCAGCATAGGCAAAGAAAGAGGGGAAGAGGAGAGGGGAGAGGGCTCACAGCGCCGAGTCAAAGGGATCTGCAGCCATTGTTACGCGGATCTATTGCACTAGAAGTCAATTCCAAGCTGGCAATTCGATCGTTTCGAGGTGAGGTCTGGCAAAGGAAGCCCGAGATGTTCTTCGGTCGCGGGGTTTGGAGTTGTCGGGTCGCCAGGGGTCACGTCACCAGCAACGGGCCTCTAAGGAGCCGGTGCCTCGTAGCGGGCAGCTATCACCTGCCAACCCCACCAGATGGGCGGGCAGCTCTGGGCAGTGCTGTTTGCCATGCTCTCTCGCCGGAGCTTCCTAGCTGTGCGGTGCTAGAGTAATTGCAGCTCTAGAGCCTTAAATATTCCTCATTTCCACAGCTCATAGAGCATCAAGTTCTTAATTGTCTCTTTCTCGACAAAGTGCAGTCATTTATATGCTTTTCATCGGATATAAGCAGACAGATAAAATCTGGTCAGATATTCACCATTCAAAAGGAGGTTTCTCGTTGTTTTGTTTAATTCAACATCCAATTTGTCCGCCATCTACTTATCCAGGGCAAAATAAGAAATATGAAAAAGTGAATAGCCAAAACTCAAAGCTTCCTCCATCTTCAGCTATAAGCAGCTCGAGTAAAGGACAAGAAAAAGAAAAATCCAAGAACAAAAATACAAGAATTCTCAAGTAACAACTCGCCTTTTCCAGGCCTCTATGAGTAATAGAGAACAGACAATCGGAGAGCCGCCTTGCTATGCCCCCCTGACCATTTAACCCCAGCCCATACCGTAAAATCGCCAAAACGCCCCGCCATCAGCCCTTCATCTTCCCCTGCTGCGGTGTCGTGTCGCCAGAAATAGGTGCCATTTCCGGGCGTCTCTTTTTTTTTTTTGGTGTTCGATGTTTTTTTTTTTTTGTTTTCTTTCCGTATTATGTTGATAAAGGATACTTGCTTATGACAAAAAGCTATACCTGTAAAAACTGAGGAAATCCTCGCTGCTGCTGTCTTTCCAGAAAGGGGAATATTGGCGTAAAGCATTATCTCGTCTTCGAGGTTGCTGCAGGTACATACTCCTGCAAATTGATAGAAACTTCACCACCTCACTCAATGACAGTGCTGCACACCAGGCAATATGCCTGCTCAGTCCACTTCTTCTCTCCTCCCTCAATGCCCTCTCTTAGATCTGTTATCTCCCAGACCGTAGGGCCCTCGTTCATCTTGAGAGTAGCTTCAAAGAGGCCTTCCCAGGGCTTCTTTGATGACTTCTTGCGTCTTCCTCGCTTCGCTAAGCCAAATTTCGAGGATTTATCTGAGGAATTTTGCGGCGCAGGTGTTGGTGTTTCTGTGGCTTTGGATGATTCATCATCTCGTTGCTTCACCAGCACTTGGTCTTTTACTTCGCTGTTGGCGACAATTGGCGATTTCCTGTCCTCTCCCTCGTCTGGGCTCAATAAACGGTAAGGCAAATCCCCGTTGGTCCCTTCTTTCGGCTTCTCTTTTATAACATCGTCCTTTGCCTCCTGTTTGATAACAGGCTTTTCGGGCTTGTGGGGTGTGTCCGTCCCTAATCGATCGTACACTCGGGTGAGGACATCGTCGAGTAGGCATTCGATATGCAGCCACTCTTCGCAGGTCTTGTTTGAGCAACCCACCAGGGTTTTGTCGGGATTGGCAGGAGTCCTGCAATGGCAGACAAGAGCAACAGACTGATCGACAGAAATATAAACCATCAGCTTAATCACGTCTGAAAAGTGCAAAACAGCGCTCAGTTGTTGTAAATTTTACATACCGATAACTCTGACGTCCTGCAGTTAAACGCCTGTCTCCAATAGAGAGACTCTTGTATATCGTCATCGTTTGATTCAATCCATTGCTTGACATTGACGCCCATGACGACACTGACAACGTTGATAATGTCCACTACTTTGGCGTTAGAAATGATGCATGCGCAGCGGTGATTTCGAGATGCTTACTGTGGTTGGACGCGATCAGCTCATGCTGTCCGTGGTATGGCTGGCGTCCAGAAATTTGCTTCTTGCCATCCAGCGTTCCGAGGGGCAGCTCTTCGGGCCAATACATCCAATAGACGCGGGCATATACGTGATGTTCGTCCGAGGCTCGCACCTCCAGTATCCGCGCCACCCAGTAGTCGGCCTTCTTGGCAACCTTGCTAGCACCGGCGGGCAGAGAGTTCTGTCGTTCCATGGTCGCCTCGTTCGCCACGTAAACAAAGTCCTCGGTGTAGTATTTGACGCCGTTGACTGCACGAGTTCAGGCTTGGTTAGATGTGCTGGCTCATTTTCCCCGCTCGGGGTCGGGGTATTGGCATTCATGCAAAGGACGGGATATACTCACGGACAAAGCTGTTGTAGCGTGTCATGTCCAGCCATTGCTTCCGCGGATCTACGTTGTAGACAAGCTTCATCGACTGGCCTGACTTGAACTTGCCCTCGGGGTGGAACACGGCGTTCTGCGTCAGGACTTTTTTGTTGGAGTCTTCCGCCGGCTTGTCCTGTTTCCGCTTCTTGGACTTGGGCCCGCCATCTTTCTCGCTGCGCTCTGGTTCCGAGACAACGTTTATGGTGAATGGGCAATCCGCACGATTCTCGTCCGGGACGCTGCCGTCGGGCACAGCGTCGTCCGGCGCAGGGCGAGAGCGCTTCCGAGGCTTGGAACTCATCGCGGATCCTTGGGCAGCGCGCATGCGGCGAGTTCGCGCAATGGCTGGGGGGGCGTCGCGCGTCGAGAGGAATTTCGGGCGGTGGCGGCAGCTCGCAGCGAGGGCTCAGGGCGCAACGAGACTGTTGCCGGACGTGCTGCCTGTGGCGATGCGGAGGGCACCGAGCGATGGAACGGGATGGTTTGCGTCGGTTCGGTGTATCAGATGTAAACACACAAGCGCCCGCCCAGCCCTGGCAAATCGATAGCGACTTAGGTTGGGGTAGGATCAGCTGCTATGTAATATGCAGCTTGTTTTTAAGACAGCTGGGCTCTGGAGCTGAGTGGTCGGTCGGTGGGCGTCAAGCCACCGCGGTCCGGGGTGAGAAGAGAGACAAGGGCGGCGCAATTGTTCTAATTTTTTTCTCTGGGCGGCCGTAGTGCCGAAGTGGGTTCTGTTTGATAACAGTCTTGGACAACAATCTGCAGCGAGTCCCCTGCACAAACTAGAGGGGAGAATGAAAATGAAAGAAAAAAAGGAGAAAAGAGAGACTACTGAAGAAAAAACAAGTTTCTCTCCTTCGGGCCGTCCTCTGCTAGATCCAACAACTTCAGCTAAACAAAAAGAGGAATTACGACAACGCCCAACCAACACGGTAAAAAAAAAAGAGGCTGATGCTTGCATCTGCCTACCTAGTAGGCGCTAACTGTCACCGAGCACATCGTCACGCACCGTTACCCACTTCGGCGATGCAGGCCAAGCATCTCGAGCAAAAGGGACCCCCCACAGCCGTAGCTGTTGCTGTTGCTGCGTCTCTCTTAGCGTGCTCTGCTGCACTTTTGTAGTATCACGGAATCTGATCCAATTGCCTTAGTAGGCGCTTGGATTGCTGGCAGCAATGGTAGCTGTAAATGAACCGCCACTAACACCCACATCCAAGCGCCCGTAACGTGTCGTCCTAGTTCTGCGACAGGTGCAGATTATCTGCACGTCCTACCCAATTGAGAACGTCTAAAGCATGGAGCCCTTAGCACTAGCGGCAGTAATGCCGTGTTAGCAGGGCCGTCACATTAATTGGCATCAGTATAGAGGACATTCGCAGCACTACTTGACTGTAATAGAGAGAGGTGCCTACGCAGCATGTAGGTATATGTGCTTTCTCGCAGCGGTATTCGGTAGTGCGTTCTTAACATTGAACACATGCAAACGAAACAAACCCGAGCGAATCAAAGCTTCAAGTTAGTCACCGCTGTTTTGGCTTTCGGAGAAAGAATAAAATAATGGCCAAGTAGCATCTGATTCAAGCGCCCTCACATTACAGGTGCTACTCTTTACGGCATATCCAAAGTTCACCAACCATCCAAAACGCCTACGCTATGCATAGGTTATTAATAGAGTGACCTAATTAACTCAAACAAACAAAAAATAGCCAAAAAGAAAAGCGCTCTAACCATCATAGCAAAAATGAAGCGAATACCCAATCTCAGCGTCGGTGTGTCGTATCCCCATTCTCCTCTGTGGCTTCATAGTCTGCCAACATGCCACGAGTTGTTTCCTCGTCCTCTTGCTCTCCCTCTTCTCTCTCAGGGTCTTCTACATCAAAGGCTTCGATGGTCTCCGCGAGCTTCTCGCCCTCCGTCTTACCACGCTCCACGTTGATGAGCCAGATAAGAGGAGCAGGAAATCCAACCAGTGCGCCAAGAAACCAGAACGCAGGCCTGATGCTTCCAGTTTTGTCGATGATGGCACCAACAATGGCAGGCCCGAAAACGCTAGAGCCCTTATCGGTGATTGCATAGAGTGCGTAAAAGGCGGCTTCAGATCCGGGTGGGATTAATTCGCCAAACAAGGAGCGACAGTAGCTGCTCAGGCCTCCCATGACAAGACCATATACGGCTGCCAGAGGATACATTTCCCAAGGCTGCTGTAGTCCCATGACGCCCCACCGTTGAATGAACGGGAGGTAGCCCATCAACCCGTAGATTGGAATGAGCTCAAAGAGTGCAATGCAGACCAGGATCGTCTGATGGGGCCTCAGGTTGAATGCCCGAGAAATCCACGACCATCCAAACGCACCAAAGATTCCAGACATGGTGGAAATGACATTGATCATGCCCAAGGCCCATGGCTTCATGTGAAGCTGGGTTTTGGCGAATAGAACAGCAGTGGAAGACGTGGTGGCAATCGCATCTGAGAGAAGAAACCAGCCTCCCAGGAAGAGCATGATATCCAACAGCCGCCTCGCCAGCTGAATGGTGCGAAATAGAGATTTCCAGGAGTACTTGAAGTATGTCCACCACGAGGGGCCGTTCTTTTGCCCATGTATCGTAAGAGGTGGGCCTGGCCTAGGTCGTAGCCACATGGCAGAAGGGATAGTAAAAACAGACCACCAAGTCCCAACCATACAGAGCACCACTCTCTGCGACCATGTCGTGTTTTTCATGGCCAAGAGGATGACAATCGAGACACACTGCACAAATAAGGCGGCACTGTAGCCAATGCCAATACCAAAGGACGATATGCGCGTAGAAAGTTGAAGCTCTTTAGAAGTAATTTCCTCATGAGTGGGCACCCGCTTCAGTCCATACCTTTGAGGCCGGTCGTCAGGAGGTAGCAAGCCTGAGGTGGAATTGACCATGGCTTCTTCTAGGTCATCAGTTGACTCTAGAGCTGGGTCGGCGAGAATAGGCGTCTCTGATTGTGCGTACGCACCCATTACTTCAGGGTGATTACGGACCATAAGAGGGAGGAATGAGTTGAGAAGAACAAACGACGCGCCAAAAGAAGTATTCGAGATGACCGTTAGCAAGGCTCCGAGCAGGTACGTAGTCTTGTTAATGAAGATGAATGCCATCACCGAGAGCCCACCGAGCCAGGCGAATCCGAGAAGAAGCCGCTTTCTGTAGTTGCCATGGTCCGCAGCACAGCTGATACTAACGACGAGAAGTGCCTGCAGCAAAACACTGACGGAAAAGGTATACATGGCAAAGCTCGCCGTGTTGATCTGGATGCCCAATACATATACGATGCACTGGCCATCATCCTCTGATTTGCTGTCGCTGGAACCGCAGGGCATGTCTGGGTTCGAAAGAAGAACGCCATTTTCTCGAGCGAGCGTCTCTAAGAGGATTGGGATGAAGGACGCTGTTGCCACGGTTAGCGCGGGTTTGTTGGGCGCGGAAAGCTGATGGCAAACAACAGCAATGCCAGGAGAAGTTGGGTAGGAGCACGAATGGTAATAAGAATCAAGAACGGAGTGATAAATAGGATAATATAATAGGACAGCAAGCCTCAACATACCAATTCCGCAAATAACATAGGTCTCGGCCGCGAAGCCATACATGTACCATCCCCAAAGCTCCTTCTTGCTAGTCGGTCTGGCGTCATGGCCCTTGTAAGCCGGTACGCCTGGGCGCACGTCGCCGTCGAGGCTGTCGCGGAAACTCATCTCCTCGTCGCTGTCGGACCGCTCGTCGTCGGCCTCGAACGATGATGTCGCGTATGATCTCTTGGACAGAATCGAGAGTCCCGACCAGAACCGCCGTCCCTGAAGCTCTGGACGATGAGGCGGCATGGCAGCAGGCACGGGCTCGCAGGCAGCTAGTCAATAGGCTGATCAGCCACTGGACCCACGTGATTGACCCAGTCGGAAGCGGTACCTAATCTTGCTAATGCACCCCGCGCTGTGTTCTGCTAAGTAATTGCTAACAGCGAATGGCGGACTCGCGAGAGGCCGAGTTTGACAGGACGCTGGGACGCATCAGGACGTGAGATTTCGTATATCGCACGTATGACAAAGGGGGCGGGCTGTGTGTGAGCTTGTCCCTTTTATTCTTAGGCGTCTTCCGGCCCAGCTTTATCTTCCAACCTTGTTTGTGTGTCTGCTGTCTCTGCTGGTGGTTGATGTGCGCTGCAAAGCCTGACTCGCCGGGCGTCTTCAACAAGGCGATCGTGCTCTAGCTGAAGGATCTCTCTTCAGGCACCTGTTATTTCCGACGGCGAGATGCAGCTCTTTAATATGCGCTTGCCATAGTCCCATGCGCATCTGCAACATTCATCACAGCCCCCCTCTGCATATCGCGCCTTCGCTGAGTGCGTCACATCGCCCATTCGCTCCAGTGTGGCCCTAGTGGCTGGGATTCTCTACTCACCGACCCCAGCAACGTCTGCTCTAACCATCTACACTTCTAAATATGGACTTAGTTGCCATCGCTTTGAGGACGGCTAAGCTTTAGCACTGATCAGGGTGGAGAGCTCTCGCGTCAGTGACCCAGTTTAAGCTGCTATTCGGTAGCTAGCGGAGAGACGCGCTCTTTTTTGTGCAGGTCAGCTGAGGCGAAGAAGACGCTGTCTTGCAAATGGATTTGCCAGTTGCTAACACAAATACCAAAGCAATCCGTCTATTTCCCTGGAATAGTGCCCTATTATTCCCGAGTTTGGCGCCCATGAGACCAAGCTTACTACTTCAGGGCGGTCCCCAGGCGGAATTGCAATGGGCAGGGTTCGCAGCGACGATCTTGCCCGCCTGGGCTTTGTGGCGTGATGAGAGCTTTGGGTGCTACATAGATAATACATACCTAGACAGCCAACGTCTTTCTGTGATGTGAGGAGTCGGAGAGCATGACTGATTGAGCAGGATTTTACACGCTATTGTGATAAGAAACTTGACACGAGCTGACATAAAAACTTTATTACGCTTATTGCTTCGCATGTCACCCGCCAGTGGCATCAGCCTTGCGAGGACGATACACCTCTGGTACAGACAGCTATTAAACCAGGCAGGTCGGAACTCAAAGCAGGATATCATAGGTAGCATACGCTCTCCAACCATTACACCCCATTACTCGGCCAATAAACAGCAGCCCTCCAAAACCCTCAACAAATTTTCTATCTTGTCACGAGGAGCTCAGTGTTTGAACACACCAAACAACTTTGTCTTCAGCTTGTCCGCTAGGCCTACGGGCGCAACTGGGCGAGGCTTCGCTTCCGCATGTTCGTCTTTGACGTGGTGCTCATTACCCACCCCACCGCGGCCGGTGTGGAATCCCTGAGTATCCTGGCTTGGTCGAAAGGCCTCTTCCGGGATGGCATCTGCGTCCTTGCGAAGAGTTGCGGCAGTTCCAACGTCGGAGATGTTGCCGGCGCCTGTGATTGCATAGTCCTTAGCTGAGGCCAGGCTCTGATGATGCAACATGGACAATGAAAGACATACCTCCTCGACCGGAGCTGAAAGCGCCGTCGCCATGGCTGCCCTCGACTCCAGATCGCACGACCTCGCCGTCAACGTATTTCGTATCGTCGGTGTCAATATTGCCCGCCCCGCCGCGGCCGTGGGATACTTCAACAGCCATGAGAAGTCGTAGTTTACGCACGTACGGGATGATCGACTGTAATCAGAAATTCTTGCAGTATGCTCAATTGAATGCGATCAGCTGTATTGCCTTATTTGTGATGGAAGTAGGATATCCTTTCGTTTCAACCCACTGGAGCTTGGAAGCCCAGTGGCGCTGCCAGTCCTTATATCACAAGCCGCGACTTACATGCCGAGCGATAAGACAAAAATCGCGTGGGAGCCAAGGCGCCGGATGCGCCACATGGCTGCTCGTGGCGGAAACTCAGGCGACAGACGACTAGCACCAACGAATGAGACGCCTGAATGCGCACAAGGTAAATCCGTTATCAGTCCCCCAATGGTTGGTTTTCAGCCGCGGCCATCCCATCCATCCCATGTCTATCCTCCTAGAGATAACCTTTATCGCAGACCACCCGCGGGAGCCAGTGAGATGCAGCGGGGCGCTGGCCAGTTTTACGTACCTGAATTTGGTGACATCCAGCGACAGGGTTCCTTATCGATGACCTAAGAGCACCCACTATCAGAAGCTCCCACCTGCTTGTCACTGTAATTCACTTGTCCCGGATTCGTAGGCATGTACCGTATAATACCATTCAAGTCCCTTTATAACACGAGAAGTAAGGTTGGAATTGCCAATGCACACCTACGGGCGATCACTCAGCACATCTCAATGCAATCTCCAAGTTTTTGCAATCCCTTCATGATATACATACTACCCGACGGGAAGCTATCTTAGAGGTTGGCGTATAATGCTCAAGCATAGGAAATGCAACTAGAGCTCAGAAGCCACGCCACGTCCCCGAGGCTCTTCTCCCTCGTACTGCAACAATATGTCGGGTATCACTACTGAAGATTCCTGGCCCCAAATATCCCAAAGCGCCTTCACATGATTCTCAGGCGTGTTGTCCTCCAAGTAAAACCACGTCTCTCCGATTCTCATGACGTCGGCACGCACGCTCCGAGTACAAGCCGGTGTTTTCTTCGCCGTAGCCTCCGTTTCAGGGCCATGGTGCCAGCTACTCCCATACAGCCTTTTCCTCGACCTGGCGCAAACCCAGCCTGTCACAGTGACGAAGTCCCCCCCACACGTCCCGTCCTGCTCTTCGCGACCAGCAACTATGTCTTCCTTGACGCAATCCTCGCAAGTAAACCCAGCGATCAGGTATTCGCCGTGACAGCAAGTGTCAGGGGCTATGTCGTGGCAAAACGCAACATTGCCGCTGCAGTCACCCCATGCCCAGAGAGTTAACGTTCTGTTGGCTGCAGACGTGGCGTGGGCGGCCTGGAAACCGAGGAGTATTAGAATAGTACTTGCTTGAAAGAAATGCATACTTTGTGTCGCTGCTTCTGGCTTGTTGGAATTATGAATTTGGTTTTAAATTCGAACATGCCGCCCCGAAGATGGGGACTGTGCCCTTTAAATGCATATTCGTCCGTATCCCTTGCATGATAGAGAGACATGGCCGCCTTGTATTATGCGATTCGATCGCTATTGTATTGCACCAACTTCAATTTTGTAGGATTTATGACTGGAAAGACTACTGAAATGACCATGAATGCCTTAATATACGGTAGAATTCTTACATGTTTTGTCCTAGAAATGGATCCTGCTACTGATGGGCTTATATAGGTACTACTTAACCTACGACATCCATTTCGGACTTCTACTACAATAAAACGATGCCATCCCAAATGATGTAATCGTCCACTTTAGAATAGCACGTATTCTGTTGTGACATCTGACCCAAGAGTTAGTGCTGCTGCATGCATGTATCAGAACCAATATCGTCTCTACACTTTATCTCTGTCATTCAAACGCTGTTGGGTCTACTGGTATTTTCTTTATATGACGGAAATCAATCTTCTAGCTATACTTTGCCAGCACGGCCTATCTGGAGAATCTCGCCCGTCAGCTGCTCATCGCTTCGCAGAACCGGCCAAGAAGCTCCATCAGCCTTAACAAGAACAAGCTCTAGCTTCGTGCCGAGAATCTTGAATGATGATTTTTCAGAGTCAATTTCGCCAAATAGCGGCACGGTTGCCGTATATCGCTTGGGCGTGGGATCGCTTGTCGTAAGGTCCAAGTCAATTTCCTTTCCCTTGAAATCGACCTTGGCTGTCTCCTTCTTGATCTTCTTCAAGAAGTATGATGCAATGACCTGTGTAGGGGTCTGGTAGAAGTCGTGCCTAAAGGATGGTTAGGAGCTGTGGATGCTGCCGTATACTGATTCGCTTCAAAGAGGCAGATGATAAACTCACCTGACTGTGGCCAGAATCTCTTCGCTACCTGACTCGGGAGTGTCCTTCTTCCCACTGCCAACAAATAGATGCTTGTCTTTGGTCTTGCAGCCCTCAATTTTCATGAATTGGTCAAACTCTAGCACCCTCCTCTTGCAGCATGAATAGCCCTTGCTACCCTCATGGAAAATAGGGACACCAGGGTGGTGCACACATTCTTCTCCTTCCCTCGCGGATCCCTTCTTGTATTTGATGCTGCATCCCTTTCGGCGACATTCAGCTCCGTCAGGAATATCCAAGCTCGGATCGTCATCCTCGGAATCTGGGGGCGGGGGCGGAGGGGTGGGAATGTGTTGTGCTGGTTGGATCGGCAATCGAGCTGGGGCGGATACACTGGCCTCTTCAATCTTCTTTGCCAAGGCGGCTTCGTCGATCTGAGGCTTCTCTTCCACTGGAGGGGGCTTCTCAGTGGTAGAATGTGTGCCCGTCGTACAAGGAGGAATCTCCATGAATTCGTCGAAAGTCAATACTCGTGGCTTGCAGCACTTCCATCCTATAAAATTCTCAATTTAGTATATAGACCCAAAGGGCCGAAAAAAAGAGAAAAACGCTTATACATAACGAGAAAACACAGAAGAAGGTATCGTACCTTTCTGCCCCTCGTGGAAGACAGGTGGACCAGGGTGGTAATGGCACTCCTCTTCCACGTCAGTAAACTCCTTGCCGCAGCCCTGGCGAACACATTTCTGCGCCATGGCGAAGGTAGAATAAATTATCCAATGGTTGGTATTACGAGAGAGGAAAACTGAATATCGTGCAACACAAAATAAAGAAATGTTCAAGCAATTGGAAGCTTTAGCTGCTCGGAGAAAGTGGGTAGCTGATGGGATCTTCTAGAACTGTAAAGATGACGGAGCTGTTCTGGGTCTCTCACCGCTTTCCTATTTCGATGCGGGGTTCAAGATCTCAAAGCTGCTGCTAATCGGGTATGCAATTAAACCGTAGACTACATAGGATGATAGTTTAAAGTTCAATGAAAGAATCTCGAGCTGTACAACGTGAAGCCAAATTTGCAGTTGGTGCGCAGCAGCTGGGGCGGGAAAAAAAAATGTTTATGACAAGGCGTCTTTTGCACGCCTGCAGGATTACTCTGTTTTCACGGGATGACTGTGGCCTCTGCACGCAAGCTAAAGATGTCCTCTCCAATGTCTGGGATAAGCGGCCGTTTCACTATACCGAAGTGAATTTGGCAAAGCCAGAATTCAAGCATTGGAAGAATTTATATGATTTCGACATTCCTGTTGTAAGCAGTCCTCTGTTTGGTAAGATCATAGTATATTGTATTGATGCTCATTAAACAGATACATATTAGCAAAGCAGAAGCCGGCGAAGAGGACGTTAACAAGACCGGAAAGGCCATCAAATTAATGCACCGCTTCACGACAGAGCAAGTCGAGGCAAAGATGGATCAAGCTGAAGGCATATAGTCTACCCTTCTAATCTATGTATCCACATCATTGGAGGAACATGTACCAGACACCTGCCTGATTTAACTTTTGGCAGTAGTAAGATACTGCTTGACTACGTCCTCAAGGCCCATGTAATCCGTGACGACGTGGACCATATCAAATCCTCGCTGCTGGCACTGCTTGGCATGGGCACCGTTAAAAGTATAGATGCCACTTTTCTTGCCGGCTTTCTTAGCAGCGACCTGGACCTTTGAGATAGCATCGTCGAGTTCTGGGGGGATGCCGGCCTCGCTGACGCGGTGCCCGATGTTTATGCCTATAATTTGCCGTTTGTGGTTAACAGCCGAAGATTGTCGTAGCCATTTTTGGGGCTACCTTACCAAGATCAAATGGACCAACGAACAGCACGTCAACTCCCTTGACAGCAGCAATTTCGTCCACGGCCTCAAGAGCTTCTTTTGTCTCAATCTGAACCATAGTCAAGATATTCTCATTGGCTTGGTTAAGGTATTCGAGAGAAGAGATAGTGGCGCCAAACTGCTTGGCAGAATAAGGAGATCCAAAGCCTCGCTTCCCCAAAGGAGGGAATTTGGCGGCCTGGACGAGATCCTCGGCCTCCTTGACGGTACGCAATAGTGGGACAAGAATCTGGGTTACGGGTTTGGTATCAGTAAATAAATTGCCTTTCGTATAAATGAATTCAATGCTGGAAAATACTAGGTGAAATGCTTACACCATGGGCGCCACAATCCAATGCACCTGGACGTTGTCACGTCAGCTTCGTTAATAGATCCTAAGATGCAAGATGTGACCTACGCTTTACCATCCATGGCTCCATTCCCGGGATTCTCACAATGGGAGAGACTCCCAGTGCCGCAATAGCTGGAACTGACTCATGCATTGCACGATCTGCCAATCATTTAACATGTTAGCTCATTTTCCGTCAGGTTTTCATGCAACATCATAATTTGTCTTAGTATAACATACCGTCCAAGCTTCCATGCTCACAGTCCACCAGCACCCAATCTACGCCCGATTGTGCCAGTATCCTGGCTGGTGCCGCCCCGGGAATCATCTGCCAGCCTCCCCAGGCAGGTTTGTTCGCATCGAACAAGGCTTTGAGCCTGTTACCCTCTCGCACCGTTGCCTTTGCGCCGCCAGGCGTTGCTCCCGCTGCGATATAAGACATTTTAAATGGATTACACTGTAGAACTGGCCTCTGCCGGAGTAATAAACGGGAAGTAGCAGTTCTTAAGAAATAAGAATTCATGCCTGTCGCAGATTCAAAGGAGAGAGCGCACGAGAGGCGTCAGTATATATAAATGAGAGTTGGAGGGTTAGGGACTATACGTGGGGAACTAACTATGCGTCAGAGCAGGTAGAGCGCAGCGTTTCTCTCTCTGCAGCAATCGTTTGATTGGACGATTTGCATGTGAGGAGATGATGTTTTGAACAATAGGGTTTTTCGGGAGATGGATTCGGATCGGGATTCTACTTACATTATGGATTCTCTGCTGACGTGACCAGAGAGCTGGGAGCAGGATGATCGGGGTGTCGTAGGGAGAGTGCGGGGGAGTACAAGCCGGAGGGCGCGTGGGGAAAACGCAAGATACATGCGGACCCCGTCCGGGCCAAGAAAGAGGCCAGCGGAGGATATTCCGTAATACTCTGTAGATTGAGGCTAATTGCTGACCTTTCAGTGGTGTTGATTTGTGCTGAGTAAATAATTGAAGTGCTGCCGGCGTTTGTTAGCGTCTCATAATGATGAGCTACATTCATGCACATGCGCGAGAACCAAGGCAGTCAAAACAAGTGCTGTACATTGATCTATCAAATTGCATTGGTATTTACAAATAAAACCGAGTTTGCTTCCAATTTTAGTTTTTTTTGCCATTTTATTACGCCCCCAGAAAAATACATCCTTTGATTATCGTTCAGTCCAGTCTTGGAATCTACGTCTGCGAGAAGGAGGGCTTCGTGTCCGTGGTTCTATCGAAAAGAAAAGGGCATCTTTGAAGACGCGCGTCTGATACTCTTTGAGTTTGTATCTCGAGAAAAGGATGTTGTGCCGGTATTCCACGCGCACGAGTTGCCTAATCTCCTATGAAAAGTTGACCCAGCCGTGAGCTGATCCTTGGTGAATTTGCTAGGAAATCATAGGAGCGCAAAAACATCCGCTGCTCTCAAGCTTAGGGAGTTTATCGAGATAAATGAATGTCTATAATTCATTAATCTTGAAGACATCTGTTGCTTAGCGTCAGTAAAGGACATATTCATGCGTCTTCCAACAGCTGTCCATCATACCCAAGGTAATCCTCTTTGATGCTTCCGATGGCCCACATTTCGCCGACTTCTGTTCGAGTACCGATAATCTTGACACGCACATGCGTACCCGGCTCAATGACGGTGTCTTCATTGTTAGTAAACTGTGGGGGTGTCGCGTTGGGGTCCCATTTGATGTCGCTGGGTATCAGCTGTGGTACTGTGAATCAGCGCGATTCTAATAGCTATATGGCATTGCCTGGGGAAAGACGCACATGAGCAGACACAAACAGTCTGAGGGGACCAGCTTGGGCGAAGAAACCCTGTGGATTGATGGAGTAGACAACGGCATCAACCTGATCAGGGTTAGACAACTGCTTGCCTCAGCGGGCGCAGGTTTCGCCTTACCGTCTCTCCTTTGAATGGCCGCCATACGACCGCGCGGTATCCAACAGTAAACTCTGCGAGACCATTGCTCGGTAAGATCCGGCCTTCGGAAATGTCGAAGGTATCCATGATAGAGATGATGTAGTAGCTGCCGGCGCAGGTACCTTCGACATCTTTCAGCAGCTTGCTGGTTACAAGGTCGTGCATGTTACGGCCGAAGTAGGACGGGTGCAGGGTGACCCTCCGCTCCATGTTGTAGAGAAAAAACATGATGGGCAGCCGGGCAGAGATGCGTGTGCGTGATGGGAACGATTCCGGGGGGGGGGGGGGGGGTAGCAGCGAGATGGGAGAACAGCGATGGGTCAACCTTCCAGAGAAGCCCCTTCAGTTTCCCATATGAAGGAATATCGAAGCCCCGTTTGCAAGGTTCGTATCCTAGGGGCGCACGAGCGCTGGATGCGTATCCAATTGTCAACCGGCCAGGGAATGAAATGGAAGGCGAATCGAAATCGGCGGAAAGAAAGGGATGTCGAGGAGAAGCCCGGCGGGGGCGGCGAGGAAGGCGACGGGCGGGAAGGAAACAGAGGAGGAGACAAAGCCCTTGAAGCAGACGCAACACGCACAGCTGGATCTCTGCGCTTTCGAGTGTGCGTTGCTGGCTCCTCGGCTGGAAAAGTTGGTGAAATGATGAGGATGCTGAAGCGCGACGAGGCTGCGATGATTTGGCGACTGGCAAATCTTTGGGGATTGCGCAGCCGGCGCTAAGACCTGGCCCGTGCGCTATTCCTAGACGGGACTGCCGCGAGGGCCAGCGCAGCAGTCAATCGACGATTTGAGCTTATTGGGCACAAGCTTTTTGGTGCTCGCCGCAGCATTGGACGAGCAGAAGATGCACGGCACTGTAGGCCGGCACGGTTGGGGTAAGAGTCTCATTACTCCGCATGAACGGTGTCTATCACATGCCTTTTTTTGCGTCTTGCAGATTTTAGCATACAGAGGCAAAGAGCATGCATAGGTACGGAAAGCGAAGGGACCAAAGAGCGGCAGTGTGTGCTGTTTGACGCCGCATCTGCAGAATTGGTCGTACCAACGGCGATAAATCACTTATTTAAGCTTGACATCAGCGAGTTGTATCTAGGCCCATCATCAATCTTCGATAATAGTTGTAATGACGAGATATCCGGCATAGTGGTGATTTTCTTGTCTAAAAATACGTGCTAATGCTGCCTCACGCGCGCATCTTCAGCCTTCCAAGGTACCTCTGCACGCTAGTAGTCTCAGCGGCAGCACGGGTACCTGGCGGAGACCATCCGGCATCTAGCTGTAAGAGAGCTCACCTGCGGACCTCTGGAGCTCCTTGTCTGTTGCCGTCTCCTTTCTCTCTCTATCCCTTGCAGCTCCGGCTTACCAGACATTCGGTTATGCGTCTTGCCTGTCAACGGCGGCTTATGGCTGTTACAGTGGAGGGAGGCTGAGCACGAGGCGCGCTGAGATGGTCCGAGGCTCCCAAATCCCCACCATTCTGAACCATCCACAGCAGCCTTTCAGTGGGGGACGCAGAGCTCTCAGCGCCTCGAACCTCCTGACCTGGGGCATTTCGCTTCAACATCCTCTTCTTCCCTCATGCCGAACGGGATTCACTCGATGCTTCAGCCTCGACAAGCCGCTCTGCTCTACCCTGCGCCAGTGTGTCTGTTCTCCGAGTCGCGTCCTGCGTTTTGCCGCTTGCCGTCCCTCTGAGCTGTTCGATTGCGGCCCATCATCTTGTCTCACGTGCCAGCCGGTCGCGCCAATTCTTCGGACAGCACGGTGCCTACTATCACATTTTGTTGAGCGCCTCTGCCTCTGCCGCCGTCTCCTCTGCCAACCCCGAAAGAATGTCGCTGGATCTGGAAAAGCACTTGACGTTTGTGAGCACAACTCCAGTCTTTCTCATAATTCTTTCGTTTCCCCACTAACAAATGAGTTTCGCTCTCAGTATGGCGCATACCACCATAACAGCGTCAATGTGGCCATTCATATGATCTGCGTGCCTCTGCTCCTCGTATCAGGATTTGCTTTGGTATGTCCATCAGCCCCCTGTCAACTCAACAATGTCACCTCAATCAGTATCCTTACGCCCCTTTTTTTATTCTCTAGGCCACGTATACGGGTACGCTCATTCACACGCCCAGCTGGTTAACCGTCCCATATCTGGATCTCAATCTTGGCACCATCGGCGCTTTCCTCTATGCATCGCTCTATCTGCTGTTAGAGCCGGTAGCGGGCTTTGTTTTGGCTGCTTTCTGTATCGGTAGCACAGCTTTCGTCAACTCATGGCACCTTCGTGATCCTACTTTGACCTTCCAGGTTGCCCTTGGAGTTCACATCGTTTGCTGGATCGCACAGTTCATTGGCCATGGAGCTTTCGAGGGTCGCGCTCCTGCTTTGGTGGACAACCTCATCCAGGCCATCTTCCTGGCGCCCATGTTTGTCTGGCTAGAGATGCTTTTCAAACTTGGGTACCGACGAGAGCTTCAGGCCCGCGTCGAGAAAGCCGTCGTCAAGGAGATTGCCAAATTCGACGCCGCATCAAAGAATGGCAAGGCCAACTAAACCGGTGCTAGCTGAGAGATATGAGCCCTGGGCCACATATCTTTGCCCTAGCTAGATATTTCGAGGCCCCTCAAATCTTCTAGCAATCATGCTTAACCTGGGCTTTTCCCCCATTTCGTCATCAGTCAATCCACGCCACTTTAACTTTGGATGAGATACAGCCTCTGACGAAAGGCCTCAGGTTCCCAATTCTCACATCACATTAACTCAAACAGACACAATTTAATATTGCAAGCAAGCGCTCTCAATCGCACTTTCATATGAGCCATATCTGCAAAAAGTTTCCCCCCTTTTTTTTTCTATATTGTCGGTATAGTCGAGGCACCCCAAAATTATCAGGAGAAGTGAGCTTTGGCTGCGCTTTATCGGAGATGCAGACAAGGGCATAGTATAATATTGTTTTTCCAACCCGCTTTTCGTATTAGTTAACAGCTGTAAGCTGATGCAGTAGTAGCCTAGAAAAAAATTATTAAAATTATATTACCTCATCTCCCTTTTCCCGCCGAGAACAAAGAGATGTGTAGCCCTGGCTTCAAGCTCATATCTGTTGCTCCTCACCAATGTTAAATTTTCTAGCTGGGCTATTCTATCCTATTTTCTACTGTTTTGCTACAGACAGAGTGCACGTATTGCTTGCTTAGCCAAAATATCCGACCTCTCCCATCTCATGCTTCCTTTGTCTCCCATATGCTTCAACGCATGGTGGTACATTGCTCCATAACTACTAGTATATGAGGTATATGATATACATGAGTAAGTACGCAAGCACTCTCTACACGCACGAGATACAAATCTCAAAATCATCAGAAACTCTTAGACACTATGGTACAGGAACAGCAGCAACTATCTAACTTTGTGCGGGTCCGAATACACCATTTCTACTACAAAATTTCAGCGATAAGTACCATAAATAGTATAAATGCAATTGAAGTTTGCATTGCCGAGCTATGTCAGAAGTCAGACGCGAGATCAAAATAAAGATACTCCAGTAGTACAATTCGAGGCACGCCACCTAAGCGTAGAGCTGCCCTGGTCTATTTATAGATAGCCAAGAAACCAAAGATGAACTCAATTGCTATGGCAGCTACTAGTATAGAGATTTCTATCTCTATATTCCAATTAAATACAGAAGATGATGAAATAGAGACAGAAATAGGTAACAGACATTTTTCGAAGTTGATTAAGTATCGCGGGGGCTAGCCCCAGCAACAAACTACAGTAGTGTTAGATATAGGTCTGCTTTAAGAAGCACATTACGGCAGGCTTGAGATTAGCTTCTTAAAATTTCGGCACTAGAAAGTCATAGATCGATTTATATCTTAGTATCTACGTCTATCTACGTCTTCTCGTACCTGTCTACATCTATTAAAGCTGGTTATGCCCATTTATATCCTTTTACGTCTACTAGCATCCATATACTGCGTCTATTTACCTCGACATATACCTATACGCATATTACTATTTTCAGAAACCAGAGCCTGGTCACACTCTAAAGCAGAGATAAAAGCTTCAGTTTACTCTTTCAACCCTCTATCCTATACACGTAGAAACTCCCAATGCGGCTAAGCAATATTGGAATATCTGTCCAGCCTGTAGCCTACACGTCAAAACCCACCTGTACCGTTTTTATTAAACTAGCGGAGTAGTTCTACTATATACACTCTATTTTAGTGTAAGCTCTCTTCGTATCGGCAGCCTTGCGACTAATAAAACAGCAGTTGCTGGAAGAAAAATTTCGTGGAGGATTTCCGCATGATATCTATAGGTTCCTTTTTGGATAGGATTACTTGCTGATTGGTGCTATTTCTTGCGGGAAATAAAGGGGGGCAGGGTAGCAATTTTTTTCACCTAGTCGTGCTGTAGGGGCAAAGACATATATGTAAGGCGTACATGACGAGAATCCGAGTTTACTCCCTGGGATCTTGAGATTCAATAGAGGTGATTTGACTCCGTATCCGAGCCATCTCTAACGCTTCTACTACTCCGTAGACCCAGTTGCGATACCGGAGCTAGAGGGGAAAGCGTCAAATGGGCAAATAAATGAGAATGGGGGCCGGCGGCAGCTATGATCGGGGCGATGGTCCGTGCAGTCACTGAATCAGTAGTAGTCTCACAGAGCCAGGTTGCATTCGACAGGACGCCAGATGCTCTACTCTGGGTTAGCGAGCCAGGATATCTGAATTGCGAGTCTGCGTGCGGCTTAGAGGAGGGTTTGTGCTGGCCAAAGCCTCCACATCCAGCTAATCGAGATATCGCTCAACTGGCCCGGGGGGATGTGCGGCCTAGGGCTAGAAGGCTTCCAGCCGCAGCCAACGAATGGCCAGTCATGCTAGCTGAGCTGCTAGTTTAGCCCCTGTTGATAGGTGCCCTGCCGTCCAACCTGCTAGTAATAACCACCAACGGAGTTACTAACAAGCCAAAAGCCAATTCGCTGATTGGGCTCGACAGTCTCTCCTGGAGCCTCCCCACAACGTCATTACCCCCTCTTAGTGTGGAAATTTTTCTCTTGCTCAATATTCGAATGGGGCGCGTCAAAAACAATCTTGAATTGGATCTGGTGGTTTATCTCTCACCTAAAAGAAGAAAAACCACATCGATCCTTATCTAATCGGTGACTCGTCCGTGCCTCCAGAATCGGCGACCACCGCTTTTTTTGGTCCCGGTTCTGGAAAGACTGTGCAACCTCTTAAACCCCACTATCTGTAAGTTTTTCTTGCTCTCTTTCCTTTCCTCTTTTCTTTTCTTCTCTCCACCAGTCAGAAGAGTCACCAGTCCAATTGCACCTTGTGCATCACGCATTCAACTCAATTAAACTTACTTCCTCGTATACTTTAGAGTGCCTTGCGCCTCGTTTTTACATCTTTGACTTGCCGTCTCTTAATCCGCCTTTATGAACGGCCGCTCGTCGGAATTCACTTCTCAGGTATGTGGCCTTTTTTGTGTGCTTCTGATATAAACTACCTCATGTGCCCTGTGTATTCAATTGCCGCTTGTCTGATTAAATAGGCAATTGTTCGTCTTCATTTTTCTTTCACAAAATGCTAATATTTATTATTTTACAGGACTATCTTTCTGGTTTGTATTACCATGACTCACCCTCATGATGCACTCTAACAAGCTTCACATAGACCACCTGTGGAGGGCCTTGTCAGCTTGAAACAGCTCCCCCAACAATCGATTATTGCTTCTACTACCTGTGAATAAAACGAATTAAAGGACAGTGCAGCTGTAGCATTGAGCCTCTAACCACAATGCCTGCGACTTTCTCTTCCGCGGCGCTAGCTGCTGCTCGAGCTCCGGTTTTGCTCCGAAACAGCACGCGCCTCCCTCGAACTCTCCCAACTCGCCTCTTCACCACGGCCGCTCTCAGGTCTCAGGCCAGAGCCTCTCTTCAGTCGAACATCCCTAAGCGACTGGGCACAATTTCAGTCTGTCGCTCGTACTCAGCAACGGCTCAGTCTGCCCCCAATCCCAAGGCCTACCTTGATAGCGGGGTCATCAAGCCGAAGCAGAATGTTGATGTCAAGAAGGTCCTTGTCATTGGCAGCGGTGGTCTTGCCATTGGACAGGCTGGTGAATTCGATTACTCCGGTAAGTCTTCTTCCCTTCCCATGGCTACTCTTCATCTTGCGTATTTGCATGCTCTTGTATGAGCCGTGTCTGCGCACGTGACGAATGAAGCAAATGTCAGCAGCTTCAACTGTGCGCGCCGACTAACACATTGAATCATAGGAGCCCAAGCCCTGAAAGCCCTCAAGGAGGCCGGTGTCGCCTCTGTCCTCATTAACCCTAACATTGCTACAATTCAAACCAACCACACTCTTGCCGACGAGGTCTACTATTTGCCCGTCACTCCCGAGTATGTCAGCTATGTTATCGAAAAGGAGAAGCCCGATGGCATTCTCCTTTCCTTCGGTGGCCAGACTGCCCTTAACCTAGGTGTCCAGATGCAGCGACTAGGTCTCTTCGAGAAGTATGGTGTCAAGGTTCTGGGAACCAGTGTGAGGACACTGGAGCTCAGCGAAGATCGAGACCTCTTCGCTAAGGCGCTTGAGGAGATCAACATTCCTATCGCCAAGTCCATTGCCGTTGGCACTGTGGATGAGGCCCTCAGTGCTGCCGACAAGATCGGATACCCCATCATTGTCCGCGCTGCTTACGCTCTCGGTGGTCTTGGTTCAGGTTTCGCCAACAACGAGGAAGAGCTCCGCAACATGGCCGCTCGATCGCTCACTCTTTCTCCCCAGATTTTGGTCGAGAAGTCGCTCAAGGGATGGAAGGAAGTGGAATATGAAGTTGTGCGGGATGCCAACAACAACTGCATCACTGTCTGCAATATGGAGAACTTCGATCCCCTTGGAATCCACACCGGTGACTCTATTGTTGTTGCACCCAGTCAAACTCTCAGTGACGAGGAATATCACATGCTTCGAACCGCTGCCATCAAGATTGTTCGTCATTTGGGTGTTGTGGGAGAGTGTAACGTTCAGTATGCTCTCCAGCCCGATGGCCTTGACTACCGTGTTATCGAAGTCAATGCCCGTCTTTCGCGATCTTCTGCGCTTGCTTCCAAGGCTACTGGATACCCTCTCGCTTACACTGCTGCTAAGATTGGTTTGGGACATAGCCTTCCTGAGCTTCCAAACGCTGTTACCAAGACTACCACTGCCAACTTCGAGCCTTCCCTGGACTATATTGTCACCAAGATTCCTCGATGGGATTTGTCCAAGTTCCAGCACGTGAAGCGCGATATCGGCAGTGCTATGAAGTCGGTTGGTGAAGTCATGGCTATTGGCCGAACCTTTGAAGAGTCTTTCCAGAAGGCTATTCGTCAAGTTGACCCCAAGTTCGTCGGTTTCCAGGGTGACAAGTTTGACGATCTGGACTTCGAGCTCCAAAACCCTACCGATCGCCGATGGCTCGCTGTTGGACAAGCTATGCTTCACGAAAACTACTCTGTTGAGAAGGTTCACGAGTTGACCAAGATTGACAAGTGGTTCCTGTACAAGCTTCAGAACCTTGTGGACTGCACTCGCGAACTTGAAGCTGCCGGCGGCCTTGAAGCTCTGCAGAAGGATCAAATTCTCAAGGCGAAAAAGCTGGGTTTCTCTGATCGACAAATCGCAAATGCCGTTAAGAGCACTGAAGATGAGGTCCGCGCCCGCCGTCGCAGCTTTGACATCCACCCATGGGTGAAGAAAATCGATACCCTCGCTGCCGAATTCCCCGCCGATACCAACTATCTGTACACTACTTACAACGGTTCTTCTCACGATGTTACCTTCGACGACAAGGGAAAGATTATCCTTGGTAGCGGCGTCTACCGTATCGGTAGCTCCGTCGAATTCGACTGGTGTGCTGTTAGCGCTACCCAGGCTCTCCGACAGATGGGCGAGAAGACAGTGATGATCAACTACAACCCTGAGACCATGAGCACTGATTATGATGAGGCTGACAGGCTCTATTTCGAAGAGCTGAGCTATGAGCGTGTCATGGATATCTACGAGCTGGAGAACGCTTCCGGTGTCGTTGTCTCTGTTGGTGGTCAATTGCCACAGAACATCGCTCTTCGCCTTCAGGAAACTGGCGGTGCTAACGTTCTCGGAACTGATCCCAAGGACATTGACAAGGCTGAGGATCGCCAAAAGTTCTCTGAGATTCTCGACAGCATTGGTGTTGATCAACCTGCTTGGAAGGAGCTTACCTCCGTGAAGGAGGCCGAGGAATTTGCCGATCAAGTGGGCTACCCCGTTCTGGTTCGTCCCAGTTACGTCCTGTCTGGAGCTGCCATGACCGTTATCCGCAGCCAGGAGGACCTCAAGGATAAGCTTGAGGCCGCTGCGAATGTTTCACCTGACCACCCCGTTGTTATTACCAAATTTATCGAAGGTGCCGAAGAGATTGATGTCGATGGCGTGGCCTCTCAGGGTAACCTGATTCTTCACGCCGTTAGTGAGCACGTTGAGCAGGCTGGTGTTCACTCTGGCGACGCAACCCTTGTTCTTCCTCCCGTCAACCTTGATTCTACCACCATGGAGCGCCTCAAGGAGATTGCACAGAAGGTTGCCAAGGCCTGGAAGATCACTGGCCCCTTCAACATGCAAATCATCAAGGCTGAAAACCCAGAGGGTGGCGAGCCTCTTCTCAAGGTTATCGAGTGCAATCTCCGCGCTTCTCGATCATTCCCCTTTGTCAGCAAAGTCCTTGGAACCAACTTCATTGATGTCGCCGCCAAAGCACTTGTTGGCAAGAACGTCCCCGAGGCCACTGATCTCATGACTGTTAAGCGTGATTACGTTGCTACCAAGGTGCCTCAATTCTCTTGGACTCGTCTTGCTGGTGCAGACCCCTTCTTGGGCGTTGAAATGTCTTCCACTGGTGAAATGGCCTGCTTCGGAAAGGATCTCGTTGACGCTTACTGGACTTCCCTTCAATCTACCATGAACTTCCGCATGCCTGAGCCAGGTGAAGGTCTGCTGTTCGGTGGTGAGGTTAGCAAGACCTGGTTGACTCAGGTCGTCGACTATCTTGCTCCTCTTGGATACAAGCTGTATGCCGCTGACAGCGCTGTCAAGAACTTCATCGAGACTAGCGCAAAACAAAAGGTCGATGTTGAAGTCATTGAGTTCCCCACTGATGACAAGCGTGCCCTTCGTGAGGTCTTCCAGAAGTATGACATCCGCGGAGTTTTCAACCTGGCCCTCGCCCGTGGCAAGACCACATCAGATGTTGACTATGTCATGCGCCGAAATGCCGTCGACTTTGGCGTGCCCCTATTCATGGAGCCCCAGGTAAGCTTAAACAAATTACCCTTATCAAAAAGTTAATAGCACCTGTACTGACTGTTGAAATAGACTGCTATTCTCTTTGCTCAGTGCATGAGCGAGAAGCTCCCCCGCCCCGAAGGCATCCCCTCAGAGGTCCGAGCTTGGTCTGACTTCATCGGCGGCAAGCCCCTGTAAATTTCTATATCTTTTACACTCTCTCGGCGTTTCTGCATAGGTAGGAGGGCAGAGAAGTGAGCTGGCGTTTATCATTTTGTATACTTGTGACCTATTTCTTTATTTCATAATATCATTTAATGAGCCCTTGGGTCAAAAAATGGGCGCCATCCACAGATATGTAGATGGAAGGGGAGAGGGTCGGATACTGGACGGACGGATAGGAGAAAGGTGTAGGAGGACAAAAACAAACACAGTGATAGGGCGTTTTTTCTAAAATTATATAAAGAATTTTTATTTGAAAACATACTTTGACTTTGTTCTGAAGTGCATGTATAGTAAGGCACTCATGTTTTATAAGTTGTCATACTGGCATATCAATAGGTCATTGGAAATTTAATTTATCAGCATCTGCTAACTTGAGATATCTCGTTTAGCCCGGTTCTTAGTTACCGAGAAATTATACCATTCCAACCCGTTACAACAAGCCATCTCCCAATATTTGCCTTTCCTTCAAATATTCGCAATAAGAGTTTGTATTGACTCTTTTAAATTATGCAGCCTGCTATTTCCCTAAATTATGGCTCTCTATAGCGCTGCCACTTTTTCGTTCAAACGCTGGTTCTCAGCTTCCACTGTTTCAAGACGTATGTTTAATATCATGATAGCGTCTTGTTGCTTCATAATAGCATCTTGTTGCTTCGTAATAGCTTCTTGTTGCATCGCAATAATATCGTTTCGCTTCTCAATCGTGCCTTTTTGCCCCATGATACCATCCCCTAGAGTAGATACTAGATCTTTCAGGTCCCCCAATTGCACTCGTGTCATTTCTGTCGCCTCCGACTGCATATCTAGATATGCTTGGACATGAGCACCCAACTCGCAAATGTCGAGACCAATATCACGAAGAGCGCCAACTCGGGCACCTAATTTCCCAACTTGGGCACGTATCTCGCTCATTTGTGTAGATAACAGCGCTATGCTATTCTCTATATCATAGTCTTAGCTCCAGCTCTGTTGATAACTATTCAGAATCAAAGACAAACCTAGGGTTCTGACTTGAAAGTTGGGATTCGAAGAAAACAACTGCGGCTCGAACGATGAAGAGGGAGATCGCTCTAGATGTTTCTCCGCCATGCTTGCGTTTCATAAGTTTTCAAGCAAACAATAGACGGCAGAGTAGTTTGAAGAAGAAGGTGGGGATGTTAAAGAAAAAGAAAGAAAAGAAAAAGGTAAGAGAGCAGAGAGCAGAGAAGAGCAGAGAAGAGCAGAGAAGACTTTATATTGGTGGTACTTGGAGAGTTTGCCAACTGCAAGCCAGCTGTCTGCTATTTACTTGCCAGTTACCATTAAAAAAGAAAGAAAAAAGAAAAAGAAAAAAAAAAAAAAAACCTTAGTCGGTGAGTAACTTCCGTGTTTGAACAATAAGCTGATTTATAAGAAAGCTCTTTATATATTCCTATGATTTATAGATGGCTGGAGCAACTTATCATCTTGCAATGGCGAACCGATCTAGAATAGCAACAAGTCTGAGGACATATTGTAAACAACACATTTGTAATGATATATTGCATACCTTACCTCATATATTGATACACATATAATATGTTACATAGCACTAGAGTTATAGAAGCTTGTTTATTTTATGGCCATGGTTTGTGTAGAGTAAGAGTTGAACCTGAATAACAAAGCAAACAAACTAGACGATAATAAAAGCATCTACCAGATATTGGTATAACGCAGATTGTGTAACAAGACGCTATAATCTTGTCTACTAGACCCCTACTATAACTGCTTCAAGCTTGTTAGCTGAGCTGATCCGTAGCTCTTGGCCGCGACTGCCCGCTGCCAGCTGCCAGCTGCCATTCCGCCCCACATTTAGCTTCTGGAAAGTCACGTGAAGAGCCTCGGCCTCCACATCGCCGAAGATGCAGCGCATGGCAGTAGCTACTGGAGCTAGGCTTAAGCAAAAACACGAGCAGCAGCTGGTTGCAGCTTATCGATTTTAGTGCCAGCAACAGCCGTTTCTTGAGCTGCCCCTCCCGTTCGTCATTCCATCACCACCATTCCAGTATTGGGAGAGAGAGAAAAAAATAGTACAACTCCCGGTACTTGATTTTCTTTTCCTCTTTATTGGCGACTTCCGCGAGCTGTCTTGCAATTGCCGTCTGATCTTTTCTCGTGTCCGGTGCTTATCGCCTTTCTTTGTTTTGTCGAAGCTTCGCCCATTTCTGTCAAGATGCTGTCATCGGCTGCTCTTACGGCCGCTCGTCGCGTGCTCACCAGCACCGGCGCAGCAGCTCCATTGCGCCAATCCGTCGGCCTTGCAGCTCGCGCACTCGTCCTGCGTCCTGCGGCGCCCTCGTTGCGCCTGATCAGCACCTCAGCGCCTGTGCGCGCGGCCGCAGCGAAGGCGACCAAGTCCAAGTCAACAAAGAGCTCCACCAAGAAGCCGGCCAGCAAAAAGACAGCAAAGCCCAAGGCTAAGAAGCCTGTTAAGAAGAAGGCTATTAAGAAGAAGGCCGCCGTCAAGAAGCCAAAGAAGGCGCCGAAGAAGAAGGTGTTGACGGACGAGCAGAAGGACAGGCTCGAGATCAAGAGGCTGAGACAGATGGCGCTGCTGAAGGGGCCAACTTTGCTTCCGGAGACAGCATGGAACGTGTTCATGGTCGACAACGTCCGTGCTGGGGAAGGCAGTCTCGTGGACAAAGTCAAGGCCCTTGCTACTAGCTTTAAGAACCTGCCCGAGTCCGAGAGAGAAGTAAGCTAGCTCGTCCCTTGCTTTGATTGGTTATGAGACTAACGTTCCTCGTGTTCTCAGCGTATGGCAGCAGTCGGTCACTCTAACAAGATTGCCAATCAAGAGGCAAAGAAGAAATGGATCGAGTCTTTCCCTCCCGAGGCGATCCATGCTGCCAATCTGGCCCGTCGCCGCCTAGCTCGCAAAACAGACAAGTCTAGAACCTACCTCATCCATGACGAGCGCATTCCTCAGCGAACTGGATCTGGCTTCACATTTTTCATCAAGGAGCACTTCAATGACAATGGTGGCTCGCCCAAGGATGCTATGCGCAGCCTCAGCGAACGCTGGAAGGCTTTGAGCAACGACGAGAAGGCCCCTTACCTGAAAAAGGCTGCTGACATTGCGGAGGTATCAGGAGCGCAGCTGAAGGAGCTGCGAGAGAAGGGCGCCAAGTACTGGAAGGAGAAGCTTGCTTCAGCCAAGGTGTAAGCTATCTGGTAGTAGATGCTGATGATATTGTATGTTATAAGCGAGTAGAGGAGCTCCTTTTTTTTTTTTTTTTTTCTTTCTCTTGGGCCATGTCACTTGTCTGTATTTTTTATGGTATATCTATCTTTTGGTTTTGGGCTGGGGATAGGAAATGAGAGGGACAATGGAAGTGCGAAAGCGAAGAAGAATAAAACGCCGGTCGGATTCCTTTAGTACTGTTTTGCTCGATAGTGATATGTCTTCTGTTGCGGATCAATGCAGTGCAATGACCACTTGTGTATTATATGAATGTTAGCTATTGAACGATATTTCTTATACAGGGGGAGAAAAACGGTAGAGTGTGAAGTATTAATAAACATTTCCACTTCCTGAAACGACGCCCATCCAATACGTTCAAAATGAGAGCTCCCCAGCGCCAGCCTCGGAAACCATGCGACGTTTTATATCAACTGATAGGTGTGATGACAACTCCCGCCTCTTGATAAATCATTCCATTGTAACAATTTAGGCCGCCTTACGCATCAAGTAGCAGAATAATAGCCTAACTACTTCTCCGCGGGAGGCACTTCTATAACAACCTCCCCATCGCCATCGATCCACTTCGCACCAGTCACTTTCAAATGCCTGCCGCTCGCAAGATACAGTAGCAGGTAGGTATGCTTGGCGACGTGAGCCCAGCAGTAGAGGCGGATCCAGCAATGCGTCTCGTCGCGACGGCACCATACGCCCCAACCGGCCAGGCCGCTGCGAAGGTAATTGGCCAAGAAGGTCCAGGCTTCGCTGTGGATTTCTTGAGACCAGCTGGCACACTCGACGAGCCAGTAGCCTCGTTCAAAGGGGTCAGTTGGGCGGTTTACTTTAGGGCGGTATCGTGATGATAGATCTCGCGCGAGTTTGTCTAGCTTGTCGGAGACCAAATTGGAGGGCTCAAGGTGTGCGATTCCGGTAGGAGGAGTTGGTGGCCGGATCTCCAAGTCATTCGGGTCTTTAGCTGTGATTGATGAAGACGCTATTGGTTGTTTATTCCCTGATGGGCCGGTATCACTCGCACTTCGATGGAGGTTCGTTGCCACGGCTTCTTCATCTGCAAGTCCCTTGTGGCGTTTTGATGGAGGCGGTGCAGACTCAGCTCTGAATGACGTGGTCGCCTCTGAAGCTGTGTCAATTGCGCTGCTAGAGATATAGATAGTCTCATCAATTACAGTTGCTGAGGGTTCTTCTCGCATCCGTGCCAGAGCACCAGGCACTCGAGGCGTGACGGGAACGATTTTAGCATTGTCTTTGTATCCAAGCGACTGACTTGCAGCTTCGTCCACATCAGGAGGAATCGGAATGGATGACGGGATATTCACTTCATAAGGGTTAACTGGCGAGTCTGAGCGATCCGCTGACAAGGGCCGAGGCTGCGAGGACGGAGGCAAGTTTCTCAGATAGTGCTCTAGGACCCTTGTTGGGGTAGTGTGGCGTATCTCAGCATCTGGTAGGGGATACGAATCATTGATCTGACTTGGAGGAGCTTGCCATGAAGATGCCTCGTCCTGGGTTGCCAACTGGGTTGAGAGAAGCCCTTCATCGTTAACTTCCGGCAGAGATGCATCTGCTGGACTGCACTTCTCCTGTAACGGCGGTGAATAGCGGTTGTCGTACACACTCCGAAAGCTTAGATCTTGGGATTCGGGTACCCATGGCTGCCCTGATGGCACTGTTGCGAAATCTATGGCTATAGGAGCTCCTTCTTCAGCGGCGTGCGGTGCTCTTTCGTGCTGACGCTTCAGTGTAGGAGCTACTGAGATGGGAGTGTGGCGATGAGGCTGAAAAGAAAGATATGACTGTGCGAGTTGCCTGTATACAGCATCGTCTGCGGTCCTGCTTGGCGCAGTGACGTGAACTAAGATCTCGACATCCAGGGTCTGACCCTCCTGTCGGGCTGCCATTGGTTGTCCAGTATTCGTTGCTGAGCTACAAAGTAGGTCATGGCGAAGGAGAAGAAGAAATCATTACTCTCGTTCTAGTTGTTGAAAAGTGTGGAATGGCAGAGGAGCGGGTGTTGTTGGATGATGCGGGCGAAGCACGATGGTGGATCATTTATACATGCTGCAAGTCTGTATCGCATCCAGCAGAGACCCTGGTTGGCCGCGGCGGTAGGTATTGGGAAACAAGCTGCACACTGCCGTCTGTGTATTTACGCAAAGCTTCCGCGTTCTTTTGAGAGGATGGGAGACTGTTGGCCTTGCACCAAGGCTTTGGACAATGATATAGGAGGAGTGAAGATGAAGAGAGAGAGTTGGGCGTAAAGTACAAAGTACCTAGTACTAGTATTAGGCTGCTCCCCTGTCCCGCTAAAGACCGCTGGACTAGCCCATTAGTGGCCGCGCTTCGGTGGTGCTACTGCATACAGCCTTGACACTCCATAATATCGAATTGAATTGACCACTTATCAAGCGGTGTTGGCCGTCCTCCATCTCCCATTCATACCTCCCCGACCTCTTCCCCAATCCGCCCTCTCCTCTGCTCTCTGCACCCGCAACCACTCGCAGCAATGGCCAGCGGAACGAGAGGCGACCTCGGCAACGTGCTCGTCATCGGCGGCAACGGCTTCCTGGGCCACCACATCGTCAACCAGGCGCTGTCCTCGTGGAACTCCAAGTCCGTGGCCTCGATCGATCTGCGATGCACCCACAACGTCAATGAAAAGGCCGCCTACCACGAGTGCGACATCACCGACGTTGCCAAGCTGACCGAGCTGCTGCAGACCATCAAGCCCGACGTCGTCATCCACACGGCGTCGCCCATGGCCAGCGGCGAGGGCAAGACCGCCCATGAGCTGTTCCGCAAGGTCAATGTCGGCGGCACCAAGGCCGTCATCGAGGCTTGCCAGAAGTCTGGCGTCAAGGCCCTTGTGTATACCAGCTCGGCCAGCGTCATCAGCGACAACGAGACCGACCTGCTCAACGCAGACGAGGATTATCCCGTCATCCGAGGCGCCCAGCAGAAGGAGTACTACTCCGAGACCAAGGTGCGCAATCTCCCATCCCAGCATTACGTTGTCCTCGATCCTTGTATGAAACTAACCAGCTGCTTTTCCTTTCTCAGGCCGCTGCCGAAGAGCTCGTCATCAAGACCAATCGCCAAGAGCCCTCCAAGCTCCTCACCACCTCCATTCGCCCCGCAGGCATCTTCGGCGAAGGCGATGCCCAGACTCTCGCCGGCTTCCTCAGAGCCTACAAGAACGGCAAGTCCAACGTCCAGCTCGGCGACAACACAAACATCTTCGACTTCACCTACGTCGGCAACGTCGCCCACGCCCACCTCCTTGCCGCCCGCCTCCTGCTCGCCACCGCCGCCAGCAGCATCATCCCCCTGAGCTACGAGCGCGTTGACGGAGAGGTCTTCTTCATCACCAATGATTCGCCCGTTTACTTCTGGGATTTCGCACGCGCCGTCTGGAGGGCCGCTGGAAATGACAAGGGCACTGAGGGAGTCTGGCAGATTTCACAGGGCTGGAGCATTGTCCTCGGCTCGCTGAGCGAGACCTTCTTTGGCATCATCGGCAAGCCTCCTACTTTCACGAAGCTGAGGGCTGTGATTTCTACCATGACGCGATACTACAATATCAACAAGGCCAAGCGGGTGCTACGGTATGAGCCGCTGTGGACGCTTCAGGAGGGTGTCGATAGGGGCGTTGGATGGTTTTTGGAGCAGGATAAGAAAGATTCCAAAGCGCAGTGATTGATTGGAGCCGGTTTATTTTTTGCAGTTAAAAGGGGGAAATCGTTGACTAGGGGTGATGGAAAAAGAGACGGAAATGTCAATGGGGCATCCGCAATGTATTATATACCCATCGATGTCGTTGATGAGTGTCATGATACAAATGCACATACAGCATGTTGATATAGCCATGTATGTTCATGTAGAAGCATACAAGTAATTATTTAATACGTATCTTTTTTAATAACAGGTATTAATTTTAAGCATTTCTCAATTCGCGTATTAGACTAAGCCCTTGAATATGAATATGAATACGGATTAACTTTCGCTTTTTAAAAGGGGCTGAAAGTTGAACACGTCAGACAAATATCAAGAGCAAAATTAATCAAGTGGGAAAATGAACAAATTCTTTTCGCACAAAATCTTCAACATCATTCCGTCCTCACTATCCATTTCCGTCTCTTTGCTTTTGCAAGAAAAAATTTTTTAAACGAACCGTCTCCCCGTCTGATACAGGGCATCCTTCCGAGTCTGCTCTCTCCCTCTCAAAAGTCCAAAAGAAATATCAATTGAAACAGAACGAAAAGAAAACAAGGTAAATTTCCCCTGAATCTTCTGAAGGAAGATAAATTCCTTCCACGGCCTTCTTTTTCCTTAAACTTCACTCGCCTTCATGAAAAGTCCCAAATGTCAATTCAATCGACCCCATTTCTCTTCATTTCTCTCCTTCTTTTCTGTACTAGCTCTTTCTAGCCTTTGCTTCCTTCTACATGCCAAAGGGCATATCTTTCTCTGTAGACGTATGCGTCATCGAAAAAGAAATGAAGGGCTTACATGCCCTCTTAAAACGCGAAGCGCAGAAAAGGAGAAAGAAAAAAGATGTTAAGGATATTCCAACAAGCAAATAGCGGACAATTCGTCTTTCTGACTTTCTTATTCCGTACAACCACTAAAAAAAAAACACCACAAAGTACTAAGCATTTGCAAAGGGCGGAGGCTCGCTCGCTCGCTCGCACACAGATGCTGTTGCGTTTGCTATAAAACTATTACCAACCACTTCCACTTCCAACATCCAACTTCGCTCATACAAAAACCAACTTTTTTGTTTAGAATGCCAACCAGGACCGTCGATTTTGAAAGGAAAAGGGGGAGAAAAATATTGGGCCAAGAACAAAAAATATCCTCCTTCCTTGCAGTGACTTCTTTCATTTATCCAGCCACCCTGTTAGGACAGGGTAAAAGGTGGATCGTTGCGATACAGCATCTCTATACTTTTAGGTCATAGAAAAGACTCAAGAGGAATATGATAATAGAGGAGTAAAGAAGGGAAAAAAAAAAGAAGAAAATGGAGAACAAGAAAGAGAAAAACAAAAAGAGTAAGACTAACGAAAGATATAGCATCGCCAGGATTGTCGTATCGAACATCAGAGTAAGAAAGTTCGGTCTTAACTGTTTGCAGTGAAGATGGACAAAAGTAATCGACAAACGCCTGGAGAAATGCTACAAAACACTGTTTCCGGGCCACGCTTCCTGTGTAAGGAAACAACACAAAAGAGACATACCATACAGATCTTCCCCAGCTTCTTGCCAAATCAGTAGAAAAGCTCAAACAGTTAACCAGAAAATCAAAACGGTTCGCCAACACCTACCCCGCCGCCTTGGCGGCCCCAGACACCAGAATTCCGCCACTCTCCCCGCTTACTATGCTCAGGGTTCTCCGAACGAGGATCAGGATGATCCATTTGATTAGCATCATAAGGAGAGGGCTGGTCTTCCGGGGGCCTAAACCGTGGCGGGGGTACTGGTGAAGCCGCATTCGGATAGGGTGCAGGGACATTGTCCTGCATTGGTCGCACTGATCTCTCGCTTTGCAAGAGAGAGGGGTCTGTTTCGACTCGCTTGGGTGGCGAGCGAGTCGAGCTCTCCTGTCGGTTGTAGATTTCACTAGGTTCAGCAGGGCCTTGCCCTCTAAGGTCTTGGTATCGTTTCATAATCTCTTTCGTTGAAATCTCGCCGTTATTGCTGAACAGATAGGGGTCATTGAGCAGCGTAAGAATCTCATCTGGAACCTAAAGATAGCTCATTAGCATTGCTGAATAACAGTCGAGAGCAACAATTGCAGATCTTTTGTTTTTTAAACTTACTTGGCACATCTCTTCGATATTGTCAATGAGAATTTCCACCGCGTCAATAACATAGATAGTCTCGCTATCCATGGCAAGTGTTTTAGCAGGGTTCATCAAAATGTTAGGCGCAATAACCGTCGCCAAATTTCTAACGTCCATCTTGGATCCGACTTCTTCGTCCAGTTGATGGAAGGTGCCCGCCCATTTGAGGAACGTAAGCAGGATTTCTAGACAGTCTCGGTGACTCTTGGGAAGGAGGCAGCAAGCCATGTGCAAGCACTGCAGTTTTCGAGCAGGATCTTGGATCTTGGCAACGGTAACCCATAGTTTGTAAAGTTTATGAGTCATGAGAGGATCTGGAAGGTCTCGCAGATACCTCTTCAGTACTGCAGCCAGCTGTATTACTGGCTGTTCCATAAAATTAACGGTGTCACAGCCCTCCGCATTGATCTTATCGACCATGGCTTGTTGTTTTTTGATATTACCGTTCTTGCGGAAAACACCCTCAACAGAAAGGTCCATTTTGCGCATAGACGAAATAATATCATCAACCACCGCGGGGATACGCAGAGTGCCAGGTCCCACGCCATCTGTCGAGTCAGCGCCGTCTCGCTCAATGATAACCTCCAAGGGTACGCCAAAGACGCCCTTCTTCTTAACACCTTTGTTCTTGTCGTTCTTGAACGCCTTGCCGAGATTTTTCCAAAACGTAGCAGGTTTCCTTGATTCGATGAAGCTTAACAGCTCTTCCAATGTGAAATCTTGCTCAACCACGGGATGCATGATCAAGACCGCGAGATGCCTAACATTGAAGTACTCGAGGCCTGATAGCTCAGGGAAGAACTTCCTGCCGACTCGAGACATCATCGGATCGGCCGTCTGGAGATCTTGATCTCTACCAGCCGATTGTGTTCTGGCGTGGCCCAAGCCAAGTCCTTGATCTGCGGCGCCAGACCGCAGGACGTCACTGGGGGGAAGTCGGTCTCGGCGTTGCTGTTGTTCACGAGACTGCTCAACAGCCACAATGCGAGAGATATCGTCCAAAGTAATGGCATCGTTTTGTCCAAACATCTGGTCAGTCGATCCCTGAGTCTTACCCTCTCCTCCAGAAGATGCAGGGCGAGGACCCCGTCCATCAGCATCCATAACACGAGACGTCCGAGCCTGCCTGACACTAGATGACAAATGTCGGTCGAGACGAGTACTGCGAAGTCTTCGAACCTCATTCAGAGTAGTCTCATAAGTTGACTCGCGACGGCGACTTCTGTCACCCCCTTGTCTAGACCTGGCATCTGGGCGTGAAGGATCGCTTCCATCAGCACCAGCTTCGCCAGATGATATGGTGCCATTGCTTCTGAGGATATCCAGCAACCTTGCAAGGGCGACTTTAAGAAGAAAAACGTATTGCTGAAGTTTGGATATGTGAGTAAATGGTGTGAGGCCGTCTGTTTTGCCTCCAATACATGTTGTGCAGTAAATCTTGCGTTCCAGCGAGTTGAAAAAAGCTTCATTCATGACACGTCCAAGCTCCCGCTGGCAGCGGGAACAGTTGACACAGCTAATGTGCCACCGCATATCGCCGTTTCGAGCACACTCGTCTTCTACCGATCTTCCACACTGGGCGCAATGATCTGAGTCTTTAGCTGAAAGGCGCTTGCCTCCCATGGTCACTTGTAGAAGGCCCTCATCACCCTTGTAGCTCTCAAAATCGTTCAGATCGTCTAAGAATTGATGAAGGCCATCGCTAGAAGTCGCTTCTCGCTCTAGACGCAATGCTCCCTGAAGGCATATGCGGATGAGTAGCTTGAGATAATGGGCTAAGCCAGTGACGAGGGATAGAAGCTCCTGAGTAACACCAAGCTGTCGAGAGCCATTATCTTGTGTTTTTGAAAGCAAAGAAAAGAAAGACACGATTTTCTTGCAGAGAAGCTTAGCCTCGCGGCCATAAGACATGCCTATGAAAAAGAGTCAGATAAGCATCAAGCCATCCTTTTAAGTTTCATATTTCACGACTCAAAGTCCTTCTTTTCACTTTCTCATTTCAGACTTACCTTTCTCATTTTGCTTTGCGACAGCGCCGTCTAGTCTGTCCGCGGACTGAAAGAGAATTTCGACGTGCCAGATGAAGCGTTTGGCTACCAGCACACCGTCGATATACGAGGCGTTGCTAACGTGGAGCAGCATATCGGATATACACGCTGCAGATGACTCTTCGAAGGTTGATAATACGCTCCATATCCTGAAAACCTTATCCTCCATGCGTTCCTCGTCTTCCCGAATACGATCTCTGTCGACATCGCTAACCTCGCCTTCTTGGATCTGCGGCGCCTCAGTTGGCTGAGCTAAACGCACATTCCAGAACTTGTGTATCATATAGCACTCAGGATGCCAGTGCTGGTTCTGCCCATTGCGGAAAATCTCCACAAACTGCTTGAGGATGGCCGTCTGGCAGCCATTGCACCGCTGCGCGAACTGAGTGGAGTAGTGGTAGTGGCAGTAGACGTTCCCGTCGTGCTCGTAGTAGCTATCTTGGGCGCCAAAGACGGTCGCACAGAGTGAGCAAGTAAAATGATCAACGTGATACTTGTGTTCGAGCGCGGTTATGTATGACCCGCGAAGCGCCCCACCACATTTGTGGCAAAGGAGGCCAAGCCGTCGAAAGTAATCAGTCTCGCAAAGGGGGTATTGTTCTCCATTTTCATCTTCTGCGGGAAAGAATTTAGATGCCACGATGTCACCACAATCCTATCAAGCGAAGTTAGTACATCTCGCGATACAGACGTGGTAAAGTGGGGGGGGAAGAGAAAGGGGATGAAAGAGAGGGGGCGCTGCATTACTCGGCACTTGAAGCAATCCAGATGAAATGTTCCGTCCAAAGCTCGGACGAACTGTCCGGTCAATTGCAAGCCACACTTCTTGCAAACTCTCGTCTGAGCACTGGTAGATCGTCCGTTTCGCGGTCGTGGTCGGTTTGCATCGCTGCCGTTTGTAGGATCCTCTGCCCATCCTGAGGGTGGTAGGGGGCTGTTAGGGCCTGCTACTGTCGGGATAGGTGCTTGCGGAGCACCATTTTGCCAGCTTCCATCTGCATGACGCGAGTCTGATCTGACATACTCATTCGTATTGTCGTTGGGGCCACCTTCGGGGGCAACAACCACAGGCGGTCCGTTGCTGTGGTCGGTTGCCATGGCACAGAATACGGTGTGCTTCCTCCCAAACGCGTGATCCTCTTCTCAATCCCGGGGACTAGAAAAACGGTTCTGCCCTGATTCAACGCCAGGTGTCTAGCAGTCGTCGGCGAGGGGTAGCGGCAACGGCCGGCATCAGCTGGGGTAGTTGTGGTAGATGGTATCGATCTCAATTGGAAGCAACGCCACGCCTGCAAACAAAGCGATGCGCGACAGCGTGCCTGAAGCGTCTCACAGCTCAAAGCAAATTGCGGCTGGCAATCGCGTGACTGTCCAGCAACGACAGGTCGGTCTCGTTTAGGACAGATGGTCGGACTGAAAGTAGAAGAGCTGGTAGAGGATCGTGGAGTGCTGAGATGGGAGAGTTAGATCCGCGTAGCATGCGGGTCGTCAACATGCACTATATGGAAATGGCGGGGGGAACGACGCCAGCGCCAGCACAGGACGGAGGAGGGGGTTCAAGGGGAGAGGAAAGGTCAGCTTCTGTAAGAGGCAGAAACAGCCCGTGATGGTAACAAAACAGAGAGAGTCAACCGTAGATTCTCACAGTGGAGGAGAGCTGGACTGGCGCACTTTGTTGGACTCACGGGACTGGGGGGCGGTCGAGGGTGGTGGGCGGCTGCTGACAGCGCGTGGAGTCGCTGTGGTTTCTGAGGGGCGGCTAGTTTGGGTGTAATTTCCAGGTCGCCTGGTCGCTGATGGGCGCTGGCGCTGCAGTTGGCTTGGGCGCGGGCCGCTAATTGTTTGGGGTGCTCTGGCGCTCCGTGTGGTACCACAGTACCTGGCTTGGGCGTTGCAGAGAGCTGAGGGGGCGCGCCAAAGGGGACCAGGTCGGTGCGTACCCTTTACCTTGAGCCGCAGGACTCTTCCCGCGCAATCAAGCAGCACGGCAAGGCATGATGACGCGGGTTTCTATCACGGGTACGAAGCATGTACAGGCATGTGCTGTTAAGGTACGAGTGCGGCAGGCGCTTCAGCAGTGCTGCTTTAATTCTGCAGTGGTACATCTCTCTCCCCCTCCTCAAACGAGGCGCACTTCGTCTCAGTTTGCTCAACTGCGCCACATCTGGGAGCATCCAGCTCCCCATGTCTAGGACCTGCAGTAGGCACTGGATCTCTCCCCGGCACTGGCATCCCAGATGGCAGGCGGATGAGTAAGGTAAGCAGGCCGAATCACACGATCAGCTTGCCTATGTTTGGTCGCATTCTTCGTATACCGAGTATCGTATCAGCCCTCTTAGCGAAGGGCGAGATATGGAGCAGCTGGAGCTACTATGCGTAAGGCTGAATTAGCTTTTATGGGTAGCTGTACAGATACACCTATTTACGAGGAAAGGGGAGGTGCATCGTAAGTAGAGAGCATCCTCTTACTAACGTCCCACAGACTCTTCATACATCTCATATCCATGTTCCTTAAAATGTCGAAGAGAAACAAGATGCAAAGCTGTGGAAAGCTTAGTCCCCTTTGTGAAATTTGGCAACGCCGCGTGCGCCACATGGGGGCATTCCTTCCGTACCTGCAATACGCCGTGGCTGCTATTTTTACTTCTGTATCTGTCAGTGTTTAGCCGACACCAATCGGTAGACCTAAGATGTAAACTAGATGCCTAGTAGCAAAGTCTACTCACCAATTGAACATTCTGGAATACTTCTCCTATGTTGCTTTGAACTTACTACCTAGGTACTAGGTAGGATATACATACCCGACTGAAAGGCGATGCTCCATAAAAACCCATAATGGCCCTGAATGACGTCTCTTCCTTATAACAGAGTCACCAAGTCGGTTTTATTTCCTTGCCGTTTGATAAGTCCTGAAACTCTATCTAGAAATAGCATGCCTACGAAAAGCCAACACAGCACTCAGCGGTAGCCTGTACGAAGCACAAAGCGCCGTCAACGGCCAGAGCTGTTTCAAAGCCGTTAGAAAGCCCCCTCGAGTTGCCAGTTAGATTTTGATATTCATTACGATTACGGAGCAGAATATAGCCGAGATCAGCCCGGTCGAGATAGGCAACCCGGCCCGGGCCACCAGCCCTGGCTCTACTGGGCATAAGGTGGTAAGCATAAAAAACTCTCTCGTTTTTATTACGTCCTACGGAGCGTGGTCCGCCCTACAGTGCTGCAGAGCAGAGCGCAAAGTAGCCCGACGAGCGCTTTACAACCAAGACGACAGCCGATCAGCACGCCATGCGCCGGGTTAGCGAGAATTGACAGACGGCTTAGGGGCTTAAGCTCAGCTACTTTTATGGTTTCCGTGGCGGCTTCGTTCCCTCAACAAACCGAGATGTATCCATTCTCAGCACGGCGGCTGTCCCCGTATTCAGCTCCCGTCGCCAGCATTTCTCCGTATCGCCAGGAACCATCTGCATAGTGCACAGCTCCTTAATTGCCAGGTCGGGGCCCTGTGGCTGGAGAGCTTCGTCCCATCTTTTCTGGGAGCCAGCGGCAACAGCACTAGCCCCAATGCGTCCAGCTCTTATAAACCGCCAGTGACCTCCTGGACCACAATGGCCATGCTCAGAAGGTACTGGGCATGTAGTAGTACTAATATATCATCAGGCATATTCATCGGCACCCGCACGACACTGCAGCGTTTGATGCGCAACCTTGCGCGCTTATTACGCTTAAAGAGGTTGTTTAGCTGGCGGTATATTACTCCTTGCGTGCCCCCTGTCCATCTATGACGTCCTTCGCAGCCATAGAATCGGTACATCTAACGCCACTGAATGCCCAAAATGTTTGGTGCTATGTAAGGATCCTGAGGCTCAATAACAGAGAGTAATACCGCATGGCCACATACTTTTTATCACAGCAGCCTTCATTCTTTTACGGGAACAAGTTTCAACCTCAGCTACGGGGTCACAAGGGACTTTTCCTGTTAGGGGCAACGTGCTGAAGGCTTAAGTGCTGAATTTGTCTAGATAGGTGCTACTAGCTACTCAACTACAGCTTCCGCGGCGCCGTTGCTCCGCTATGGCGATTTGAGTACCCGCTCTCGTGCTTGGTTGGCCCAACCCATTATCGCCACTGCAACTTTTGTTGAAGAGCTTGTATTTTGTGAGATTAGGAAAACACACGAGTCTGCAAATGACAGAATGCATTCGTTTCAGAGCCAATATTACCAATACAATGCCAGAAGCCCCTTATAATTAGCAATAACACGCCATAGTGTCAATTGAATTACCCGTTGCTATCGCCTGAGGTAATGTCACGTCCCCAACTCCGTATTCGCCTTTTCCCACTTCCACGGGCTTGTCACAATCCATGGCATCTCAGCCACTGCTAGTCCAATTTTTCTTGGTTTTGATTACTTTTAGACCATCTTCTTCAGCCTCTTCTCAATCTTCTCCCGACCCTCCAGGGTCCGCCACACCTCGTGAGGTGCATCGTCCACAATATCCCAGTGCTGCAGCTTGTCAGTCAGCCTCGTCAGGTCCCGCTGCTTGGCTGACCACTCATCGCTCGCTTTGACCCTGCGCCCTGAGCTAATCACAACCAGCGGCGTGTCCCTTTCCTGAATCTGCCTGCTGCTGTCGACGTCACGCTTGGTAAAAGAGTTGAGCACCAAGCTCTCCTGCAGCTTAGCGAAAATGAATTTTCCCGTCTGATATGCAGATCGGCCATAGATCCGGTCACGGCTGGTGCGTCCTTTGAATATTGCGCCCGGAATCCGGTCCAGCCCAAGCGGCGAGATGGCGCCTCTCAACCAGAGCCAGAAGCCTCGGCCGGGCGCTGCACCGGGGCCCAGCAGATCCTCGTGCAGGGGGTCGATCAGCAGCAAACCCCGAACATCGTGACTATGGCGAGCTGAAAAGACTCGCGAGTACAAGGAACCGATTCCCGCGCTAGCAAGAACAAAGGGCCCGGTCTCTTCTGCTTTGGCCAGCGCCTCGCTCAAGGCGTCCACGACGAAGCCGGCGGACGACGGTGATGGGGCGGTATCAGACCAAGCCAGTCCCGGACGGTCTGCGAAGCAATAGCGAGGGATAGACCCGTTCTTGACCGCATTGTCTGCAAAGTCCCATAGGCCATGCTCGACTGGCCACTCACCTCCCTCGAACAAGACTGTTGTGACCGGTTTGCCATTCTCGTCCGTCTTGTTCCCATGGCAATACAGATGGATGCGATACTTGTTGCTGTCAACCCAATATAGCTTCCCTGGAGGAGCCACCTTTGCATCCAGGGCTCGGAGGATGATGGCAAGGGTTATCAGAACAACGGCCACGACCATCACCGAGTAGCCAATGCTGGAAAGGAGAACCTCGAGCCACTCCGTAAGGCTTTTTCTCGATTCCGCTCGCCCAGTCAGCCTTTCCTCCTCCTCTGCCTTGCCCCATTGGACAGTTCTGTCGGTTACTATGGCCCAGATACTCATCAAGAGAGCCCATATAACACTGACAATTCCGACCCACCCTTCCTCATACCTTGTTCTCTGAACAGAGGCGAGGAGGATCGTATCGAGCGCAAGGAAAGCCTAGCACGGATCGCCTTGTTTAGCGGCCATTGAGTGATGATGCTATAACAGTTTATAGGACTTACGGCAATCACGATTGCGAGTATTCTCACTGATTTTGACGGTACCCCAAAGAATAATAGTGTGAAAAACATGTTGGACAACGTCAAGCTCGTATAGCCAAAGGCGAAGAAGCCGCTTCCCTTGGTATGGAACCCAGGAGGCGTGGCGAAGGCAGACACGAGCAGGATAACCCACCATAGGAATGTCAGCGCGGTGAAGAAGAGAGTAACGTAGCGGAGGAAACGGATGCTGAATAGGTTATAGGGCGACACTGCAGGATCGTCCGGCGAGAGGAAGTCTCTATTCGAGTTGACTCGGTTGGGCAACAGTCGGGTGTACTCGTCTGGAGGCCTTTCGCCTTCTTCTTCGGGGCTGTCCCGAAGCTCTGGCCGGACATCTTGCTCGCTTTCGTCCCCCTTGGAGCTGAACAGCGGCATCGTGGGTGATTTCTATCGTATTGTATGCTGAGATACAGAGGGTTCCCGAAACCAGCAGCTAACCCCGTAAACGTATCCTGGAGTATTTGGAAATTGTCCGCCTCAGTTGATGAAAGAAAGGAAATTGAAAAAGACAGAATTAAAATATGGACAAGCGAGAAGCTCAATTTGCCCCCCCTCCACTAGTTCATGGGCTCTTCAATTCGCACCCATTTTGTTGGTACCGCCGTCAAAGAAATGTCATGCTAGAAAATGTATACGTCATTTCACCTACACCCTGCTCCCCGATCCACCAATCGCCGTCCACCAAACAAGCGTATTAGACTTTCGCCTCACCCTCCTCGATCTGCTCTTTTGCTCCGGAATTTCTAATTCGGGTTCTTTTCATGCCTTTCTTTTTCGTTTTGGGGGGCTTGTTAGCTTATAGATATCGCTCGAGTGGATAAAGTGCTGGAAGTGGTGGCTCATGTGATGCGTTGCTTTGTCTTATGTTGCGAGCCTCTTGTAGCTCTTGGTGTCGCTGCCACTTTTGAAGATGTCTTGGCTATTCTATATATGACGTGTCAATTCGAGAAAATTGCATGTGAGCGAATGAAGAAATATATCCGTATGACAAAGCTTGGTGAGGGTTATCATAGACCTAGAACGACTTTTGAGGCATGCTCGCGATGCTATTCAATGGGTACTCTTTATCTACTGCTATGCCTATGCATGAGGACGTCCGAATTGACTTGAAGCTATATAGCTATTCATATATACTATTCCCTATATTAGCAATCAACTTTGAACTGGATATCGAATTGATCAACAATTCGTTCAGCTAAAGAGGAAAGTCTCTCGCAAAAGCCTAAATAAGCCATTATAATCGCGTCCGATTGTGCATAGCAAAGAAGAGAAATCTGATCATAATAAACACAGCTATATCAGTAGGCTGCATATCCCGCCAACGCCAATCATAAGTTCATAAAACTCGTAAAAGAAAGGGTGAAAAAAAATTGCAGCCAATCCGTCTTTCTATTATTCCTCCTCCCAGGGTGCAATTGCATTGCTGATTTTCGCACTCTTCGTGCTTGGAACAGAAGAAATGCCACTCGACACAGACTGGGATCCACGGCTATGTCCAGCATATGAAGGCGGCACATCTTTTGCTCGGATTTTTTCTTTGAGAGCTTTCTCAGGCGTAGGACCCGACGTGGAGGTAACAGCATCGATGGGTACTTTTCCCATGGGAGAGTGCAATTTCACAGCAGCCTGCGGATCTTTGAGATCGATGCCGTGTTTCTTAAAGGTATCCCTTTTCTGATCCCTCATTGCTTGAGCCGAGGGTTCACTTGTTGCCAGCCAATTTTTGACTTGTGACATCCACCGGGGGCGTTTCTTGTCCTCTCTGGTGGACACGGTATACTCTGATCGAGGTTCGCTGCTCAACGAAGGGTCGTACTCAGCCCGGGACTGATTCGACATGGTCCCAGATCTTGACCCAGAGCTCGTGGCAGCCGACGGCTCGGTAGACATTTTAGGGACTGGCTTGGTGGGAAAGAGGAAAATCGAATCGTATCTTGGTTTACGAGATGTCAGACTCGTAGCTGCCCAGTCCAGGGGATTCTCTAGCGGCTTGTCTGTAGAGAAAGACACTGTTCGGCCATCGACTTTGACTTCTTGGGGAACCAGTTTTGCCGCTTGACGGAGGATGGGATTATTCTGCCCCAGTGACAGTCGATGAGATGGCGAAAATCGCTTGAAATGCTGGTCAGAATTTGGCAATGCTGCGCCGGAGGGCGATGGGCCCTGGCTACCAGTGCTTGTTGGCGACGAGTACGGCTGGGCAGGGCTTGGGTTGCTTGAAATACTCCGCGACAAGAAGCGATTGAGCAGCGGGCTTCTATCTATCTCAGAAGATGCGGGATGCTATCCACCGTATATCTGAGTGGCTGAAGGAGGGCTTTGAGACGAAACAGTGTTTTCAACGACACTCGGCCGAGACTTGTTTGGAGGGGTTACGACAGAGTCCCGAACAGTATTTGGTGCTTGCGAAGTTTTCAGGGTAAGGGTCGTCTTTTCAGTAAGAGAGAATGGATAAGAGAAGTTGCGGATTCCGGATCTTCGCGATAGCAAAGTTGGTGGCAGTGGTAGCTGATTATCTGAGCAAAGTGAAGCGCAGGAGGGTGAAGAATGCGTAGACATAGTCTTGGAAACTAGGCGTCGACAAAAGGCATTCGACGAATTCGAGGAGAGTGTGTCAGGGCGTGAACATGACTCTTGAGATAAAATGGTGATTCACGCGAAGTTTGTCGAAACAAACGACTATGCGGCCGAGTAGAATTTATTCTAGAGCTTGAAACAGTAGTGTTCATCCAAAACTACACGCTCTAGGATAGCAGAGACAAGAAAAAAAAATAAAGAGTCGAAGAGAAGGCCACAGGGATATCGCGCGAGGTATGAAGATACAAAGAGGTCTCGAAGCGGACTTGAAACTCTGATATGAAATCGACGGAATTATGTAGAGAAGAAAAATGCCGCTGATGACAAGTCTCGTTCAGTAGCTTCTTAATTCACAAGTTATACTAAACGTTCGAAAAAAAGAGTTTCTCGGCTGAAGGACCAGGACCAGGGTGAACCGGGGAGTGACAAAAAGGCCAAAATTCCGGAAATGTGGAAGCGGGCTAGGAGAGGTTGTTGTTTCTGGGGAGGGGCGACAAGTTTCGGGACTAATAGATCATGGCTCAAGGAACTACATACTACAAGGCAGCCATTCATCCGCACGGCCTTTTGGGTCGCTCTTTTTGCCCTTGAGATTTCAGCTTATTGTGAAGCGAATATAATAAGATATTACCAGCAACTGCTTATTCTCCGTCGTCTATTGCTGGTGCAAAGAGGCGATCGAGGGTCCAAAGACAATGATTAGCAGCCAGATGCTGAATAGGCCACAACTCTAATTCTCTCTCTATGTTCTTTTTTTCCCCTTCATTCTTCTTCACTTTTTCTTTAGCTCCAGTACTCCGCCGTTGGGCAGAGCACTCGTGGAAGCAAAACAGGGCAGCTCAGCTACCGAGCTCGAGCTTTCCATAACACCCAATCGATCGCTTCTAGGCCAATATTCGGCCCTTGAGGCGAAGCATTTGTTTGGTATAGCCAGTGGGCCCCAGCTGCTGGGATTGGTCATTACGTTGTTAGATCTCAACAAGGGCGGCATGCTGCAGATTGGCGCGCAATAGTCTGGATCCTCCAACAGCAGGGATCGGCGGATGGTCATTCATCTCCTCTTCCTCTGTCTCTCCCGTGTTTAGGTCTGCCACGCCGGCCTGTGTCTAGCTAGTGCTCGCATGCTCTACTAGGCACCCTCTGTTGATACTGCTAATCGTAGGGGCTGCGCCACTAGTATCATTGCGTTGCGTATTTGAATATGCAGTGCAACCAAAAGGGAAACCAGAAAATGCGCGGCCCAGCATCCGCGAGTCTTCTAGCGGTGGTTGACGAAGCTGAGCATCATGTGGCGTCCACGTTCCACGTTGCTATGGATCCCATGGCAAAAAACAAACCGACTTTGTTTTCGACAAGCCGCCAAGCAAGCCGCTCCCTTTCGGCGAGCTTCAAATTGCGACGGCGAGCCGGGAAAAGACCCAAAGCTCTGTAGCCCTCGTGGATGGGGGCGTGTGTATAGGATGATGCTATAACAAGTTGCGCTACTTTCAGTTCTCTTTTCTTCTTCTCGCTGATTATTAGAGGGCGAAACACCGGAAATCCACTCCTGTTACTACGCGAATAAACTTTTATACCTAGTCTACCTCGGCAGCTAGAGGGACTAGGTATCATCATCGGCTATGCGGTGACAAGCTATGCAGCCACCTGATGGGTGGTTCGCGATATCTGTAGCTAACCACCAGCTGATCGCAATAACGAAACATCCCTTGAGAGTCTAGATTGTGAAGTTGGTCGAACCAACAACACTGCTCATTGTTGGTTGAGCACAGTAAGCATCGCTAAAGCAAGGCCTGTTGCTTTAGAAAGGGCTTAGCTCCCGCAACGGGATAGAGGTTATCGAGATGCTGGCCGATCACTTATGATCCGAGAGCCTCTGTCTTGTGCCGCTAGAAGGCCCAGGCCTCTGGCAGCTGATGGAACCCGGCAGGGATTCTGCCATTGCAAGCTAGACAGGGTCTCTCCTATGGAGCAGCCAAACTTGCAATCAATTTTACTTTTGTCTCCATGCGTCAATCAATAGTCTGGCCAAGCTGAGCACTGCCATTTGCGAAGTAAGATGGCCCTGAGTAAGGGCTCGTTGCACAATGCAGCCTAGAGACGCTCGCTGTGTAACCGCAATGAAATCTCAGCCACCGCTCTCCCTTAATCTTCATGCTACGGCACTGAAGCTTCTAGGCAGAGTACGAAGCGTTAGTCCACATTCAGTCTTCGTTTATAGTTGCCGGAGACTTTCAGCCGCACACACGTCTTGCTGTAAATGCCTTGTTCAGCTGTGATGCGGCAGGCTATTTTTGGAAGGTATCGGACTCAATATTGTGGCCAATGTCTCAGTTAAACCAACCTTGCCAACGCTGTGGGTTGTAAACATTGGCTTCTCGGCGAGAACTTGCAGGGAGCTACTACCCTGCATTTGCTCTAACATGGGCAAAAAATATTTGGAAACGCGAACAACTTAAGATTATTTTAATTTTAGTTTTTGGGTAGGAAGAATATTATTCTCTCTGTTGTTTTTAATGTCGAAGAGGAAATGGTGAAGAGCAAAACTGCTCAAGTATGTACGGCTTAAGAGTTAATAGGTAGATATAATCTCAATAACGAATGCAAGCAAACGGATTCAATAGCAACTTTAGAGCATATCTGGATAGACTTCTATCTTCGGCTGTCGAAAAGTGACCCCGTATATTTGAATCTCTTAAAAGCATGTGAAGATAGAAATAATGTCTTTCCATGCATAAAAATAGGTAGAGCATCTCCATAATAGCTCTCAATACATGCAGCTTTCCAACGATTACGATCGTGCCTGGCAAGCCGTCTTAGTGCACACCTGGCACACTACCTGCAAGGTACATGCTTTCATCACCAGATAACGTTGCTCGATCTCGTACTATGCAGGTCCAACTTTAACTTGCCACGCGAGTTGTCGCATCGCATCATGAGCTTACTAAGGCAATGACATCCACCTCAACCTCTCTAGCCTCAACTTCGACTAGGCATCCTCTTCTCTCACACATACACTCCAGCGCCAACCCCGACATCTAGGCCTCACACACGACGCGTGCCAAGCCAAAAAACCCCAAATACACAGCCACCGTATCTAGGCATCGGTTCAACGACCTCTTTCCCCTGGACTTCATCCTCGCCGCTGGCCCGGCGCATTCTGCGCTGAACATGGCCCCGGCACTCACCATCACCACAAACATGAACTCGCGGCCGCCTTCGCCTGTGCCACCTCCCATGTCGCCCATCACGCCGCCGCTTTCCTCTGCTCAGCTTTGCGTAGATGTGAATAGAAACACAGTCGCTAGTTCCGAGGCGCTGCCGCCCGCTGCGACAACAACGGCGCAGCAACAGCAGCCCGCTCGCCCAACCTTCACCCACTCACAGCCCAGCCAAGTCGGCGTCCCGCCGCCGGCCTCGACGCCTATTGAATTCGAAACCAACCCAGATGTCATTGCCCTCCGATCGGCCATCACCGTGCTGCAAATGCAAAAGAGCCGCGCAACAGCGGACATCCAGACCCTCAGCCAGATCAAGAACGAGGCGACAGACCACCCAGACGAGTTCATCCGCGACCTGGCGCAAGGAAGGATCGGCCAGGGTGCCCGACCCGACGCCGGCGACGACGAAGCCACTCGAGCATGGGCCGCGCAGCCGATACCAAAAGCCCAAGACGTGATCCGTTGCCCGCCCATCAACTGGTCGCAGTATGCAGTCGTGGGAGAGTCTCTGGACAAGTTACACGCTGAGCAGGTGACCAAACCTACGCAAGGGACGCCTGCTACTGTTGGCGCTGGAGGCGTTTACCAGTTCAAAGGCGGCGATGGCAAGCAAGAGGAATATCCTGGCGTGGCTGCTCCGTATGCGCCGCTGAGAGACAAGATTGGAAAGAAGACTAAAAGCAAGAAATGAGGGCTGTGGATTGATGGAATTCAATTGAACTGATTAATTTATAAACGCAAAAATGGTCTTTTTGACACGACATGATGGCATATATATATGAACGGCAACGGAATCGAGATTACAGGAGAGACTGCATGCATTCACGGCGTTTAGGAATTAGATGAACACTGGCCTATCAAGTCAGACGACTCAACTGGTCAGATTTTGTTTATATTTAGAACTGCTTTTATATATACATATAAACCGTAAACTGGCATCCCCAACAAAGACTTTGAACGTAATGGTACAGAGAACTAAAGGTGCTGAATGAACGCTCCACAACAGTATGGTCACAGTTATAGTATTTTAAAAGTGTCATGTACCTGAGCTCTTTAGAATTCAAGACAAATACTATAATTGTGCTCCTAAAGCTATAACTAGTTGCAATTTTGCCAATCCAGCGTGCGCCACAAATCTTAGTTATCAATTTGGTCGCTTCACCCCACCCTCTCCCAGGCCATCTAGGTGTATTGAATGAAGGTTTAAAACGCCCCTTAGTCGCCAAGTACACCGCAATACCCAGTTGCCCATCCGACTAGTAAAGAGAAAAGGAAACAGAAAACAGTGAAACATAATAAACGAAGAAGAGAAAGGAAAGGTTTAAACGCCGCCAAGTCCTTGCGTGAGATGCATCATGGTATAAGAAAAAGAAAAGCAATGGTGTGTTACGCTGAATTTTGCTTGATCCTCATAATAGTGAAAAAACTCGTCACTCGGGGAATTCCCTGTTATTTGAGTTAGCGGAACTTTCAGATAAATTAGAAAAATAGCTAATAACGGCATAAATCCTTACTCCATGCTCTGCTGCACTGATCTCCGCAGACGGCGGTTATACTGTTTCTTATCGTCTGGCTTGTTACCCCAAAACATTTTTGTTGCTTCAGGATTGACAATCTTCCTAGGGTCATAGGCGGGCTCATCTTCTTCTAGGGTTTCAAAGATAGCCTCGATATGAGACTTGACGTCCTCCATCTTCATTGGGTTAGGTGTGTAGCACGCTGTTCCATCGGCCGCAATATGATGATGGAATATCTTAGTTTCAAACTTGACACGCGGTTGTTCATTTGGGAATCGAGTGCTGAAGCTCATCCTGATGCGAAAAAGCCCACCGTCGAGATTCGTCATCGGCCTTCCAAAGTAGGTAATCAACCAGACGAAAGGGTTGCCGTTTTCAAGGACGACGCTGTGGGGCATATCGCCGCGTTTCAGATAGGCCGACACTTGGTCAAATTGATGCTGCAAATTGACGGCAACGGTTGACTCCCCTGCCTTCGAGGTGCGCCCTTCTTCTGCCCAGCGAAGCGTTTCTGCGTCGAGCGCCGCTTTGATTGCTTTGAGCCGGCGTTCAAGTTCCGTATAATTGAAGCGACCATCCATGGAATTAGTGTTGGGAGACTCAAATGGCATCCTGACAAATGGCTGCAAATCTTCCACTTCGGATTTGCCTTGTGCCACAGCAGCCATATATGAATCGTAATACCAAAGGAATTTGCGTTTGCATAGATCTTTGAATGGCTCAAATGGGACGTTTGATTCGTCCAAGTCTTCGTAATCAAAGCTGTTAGAGTCTAGACTGTCAGAGGGCGCGCTGCTGCCATTAGCTTGTAGTCCTAAGTAGGACTCCAGGCGCTGGATAATAGATATCCTCAAAGTTTCATGTCGTATCTGCGGACCGGTTAGCCGAATTTTGACTCCAGCAACAAAATAATAGGGTTCGTACCTTTTGGACGTAATGTTTTTGTGCTAGCTTATCAGATGGTGTATTCGCATCCTCAAAACCTGGTTCATTTTCATAAGGATTTGCTGACATTAAGCTCTGTATTGATAGCAAGATCGACTCAAGTCCCTGTGCTGATGACCACTCTTCACCACGTTCTCCTCTCCAAGTGCTACTAAGACGTTAGAGAGCTCTCAAATTATCAAATGATTTAGCTAGTGTAAGAAGCAATACCCCAAGATTGACCTGCCTTGAAAATTAGCGGGTAGAAATGAAAATTTAGAGTGCTGTTGACTTACAAACAAACTTTCCCACTTGAATAAATGTTGGGGTTGAATCGGCAACGCCCTCCATTTGTAGTGATGCATTGAACACTGGGTGATTTTGACGGATACTCTTAGCATGGTCAGCATTATTCCCACGACGGAATACAGGGAAGAATTAGTGAAGCCCTACCTTTGTTAAATCTTATTGCAAACTTGATCACAATGTTAGCACTTGGGATTTGAATATTACAGCGTGTCTGCTATCTACCTACTTCAAAGAAGCCGAATTCGTAAGGAGTCTCATGCGGGCCCATGACGAGCGCTCTGACGTTGCGGACATCGACATCACGGCAAGCGACTGCAATAGCTATAGCGGCGATGACTCCGATTAGTGTCTAGCGCTTAGATAAATGCCATGACTTGTTCTAATATAAATGCCAACGTACCTAGATCCGAGCCTTTCTGGATGTCGCTGAGCTCCTATGCATGCTGCTGATCAGCCATGTGACCCCAATAATGCTATTTGTGAGGCTCCCCGAACCTTGGAGATGCGAATTATGGATTGATCCATGACGGCTGCCTCGTGATTGATGGGCTTGCGGATGAGGCGATGTAACAGAAGATACCCGGCTAAGCATCAGTTGATAAATTAGGTGTCGAAACTGCAGTGCGCGATAGCCCTTGCTGAGAAATCTACATATGCGAAGGCGACGGCAACCAGGAGGTAGCAAGTTCAGGCTTTGGCTTTGCAGTGCAAATTCTAAGGCAGAAGACCGTGCAAGGAGGGGTCCGACAGGAGGGGCTCGCCGCCAGGTGAAGCAAAGCCGAGCTGCCTGCCGCGGTTGCTGGGTCTGCCTTGTGCCTGGCCTAAGGATGCAATGGCGAGAACTGGGAGTGCAGTCACCTTATGGCCAGAGAGGGTAATTATATCGTAACCAATGTGAGTGTAGTCGTGAGCTGGATAGATGGGAGATGGAGGAATGAGAGAGAGAGTGTGTGAAGAAAGATTAAAGAGAGCCAGAAGAAGGTGGCATGTACTAATACGCAATCGAGGCGTAGGTAGGTGCACTTCTAGGCGCTAGATTGCGCATCAGAGCCCCCCAAGTGGCTTCGGGTACTTGCAGGCAGGCAGCGGCGCTGTTATTTTTTTTTTTTTTTTTTTTTTTTAGCTCGGGTACGGCAGCGCCACAGACGGATGCCTGTCGAGGATTTACGGTATAAGAGCAGATAATAGCAATAGTCATATGCTGTAAGCTACTATCTACTTGCTGCCAGGCAGGGCGATATTCGAGTAATGTTTCGACCAATTTTCGAAATACTAACGCATTTTTTTTTGTTATTATATCGACACAGTGGGGATGAAGGAATTATTGCTATTAACCTTCGCAATGTGAGTTTCAGGTGAGTGAAGCTTGGGCAGCAGCAGAAAACTTACTACTCCTACCTAGATAGCACTCCCATTGCTATTGCTATTTCTATTGCTTCTACTACATCTTTTATTAGAAAATTTGATATCGTTAGTATTCGCACTCCTATTTGTGTGTGTATTTTCAGTTCGTAGTCCCTAACTTTATTTTTCGCTCCCACCATCAAATGCTAGCAGCTGCAAAGACGAAGCTTCATCTATGCCATTTCTAGATAGGTATTCCGTATACTTCACAAAAAGCCGTTCTCCTTGCTCCTAGTATAGCTAAGATCTTGATATTAAGGCATATTTTAATTAAAAGAAAACCCCCCCCCCCCGAACAAACGAACAAAAAACCGAACAAAAGTTCTTCTTTTAGGCTCTGATGCAGAATTTGAATTTGTATCAACGGGGCACGTCAGGTGATGCCTCTGCTGGCACGCACGAATCTCCGAATCTACTGCGACATAGCCGGAAAGCAACCTAAGGTGGGGTGGTGCTCTGGAAGCCTAAAATAAGCCATTTGCTTTAAGGTGCCGTGGGGTTCATCAGCCTTGCAGCTGGGCTACGCGCCTCGCGCTATCTCTGTACCAACCGACGCGTTAATGGATTTTGCTCCATCACGCATTGCTTGGTACCAGACACTTCTATATTTTAACGGCTATTTGTTGTGGTCTGGCTCCTTACACTGACTATTTTTACTTTTCGACGCTGGTACCAACAATTTGTCTACCTCAACAACTTTCTTAATTAGGTAGCCATTGAGCCCAGCATGGCCAGCTTTTTCGATCTCAAGGCTAGAAAAGCGGCTGCCGCCAATGGAGCTTCATCGCAGAAACAGGATAAACCAGGCAATGTGCGGGCTCAGCCTTGGGTTGAGAAATAGTCAGTTGAACCATATTCATCAATTGATACCATCGATGGTAACTATGCTCATACTTTATAGCCGCCCCAAGAGCCTGGACGATGTCACTGCTCAAGATCACACAGTGACCGTTCTCCAGAGAACACTACAAGCTTCGAATGTTGGTCGATTTGCTCTTAGTTAAGTCCAGAATGCATGTTTAAGCTAACGGACGCTACCTATCAAGCTCCCGCACATGTTATTTTACGGCCCTCCTGGCACAGGCAAAACGTCCACCATCCTTGCCCTTGCAAAGGAGCTTTACGGTCCGGAGATGATGAAATCGCGAGTCCTTGAGCTGAACGCGTCCGACGAGCGTGGTATCTCGATTGTTCGACAGAAAGTCAAAGATTTTGCACGAATGCAATTAACCAACCCGCCGCCTTCCTATAAAGACAAATACCCCTGCCCACCGTTTAAAATCATCATTCTAGACGAGGCCGATTCCATGACGCAGGATGCTCAGAGCGCCTTGAGACGAACGATGGAGACATATAGCAAAATTACACGCTTTTGTCTAATTTGCAACTATGTTACTAGAATCATCGATCCCCTGGCGAGTCGATGCAGCAAATTTCGTTTCAAGAGCTTGGATCAGGGCAATGCAAAGAGGAGGTTGGAGTCAATAGCGGAGGCTGAAGGTGTTACGCTTGAAGACGGTGCTTTGGATGCTCTTATAAAGTGCAGCGAGGGTGATTTGCGAAAGGCCATTACCTTTCTGCAGAGTGCGGCGCGATTAGTTGGAGCGAAACTTTCAGGAAAAGACAGCGAAGGCGACGACTCTATGGATGTGGACAAGAGGCCAGTGACTGTCAAGATTGTTGAGGACATCGCTGGTGTGATTCCCGGCTCAACAATCAACGATCTTGTCAATGCTATGCGCCCAGGCACATCAGGAGAGGCGTACCGGTCTATATCCAAGGTAGTGGAGGATTTGGTCGCAGATGGCTGGAGTGCCGGCCAGGTAGTAAACCAGGTAAGCCTGTCAAATTTCCTTCTTCTTCTTCTTTTTGGCGTGTTTAGCGTTGTTATACTGACTCTCTATAATTGTATAGCTGTACCAAGAATTAATCTTTGATGAGATTGTTCCTGATGTCCAAAAGAACAAGATTGTTCTCGTCTTCTCTGAGGTGGATAAGCGGTTGGTCGATGGAGCAGATGAGCATCTGTCAATCCTTGACCTGGCAATGAGGATATCTGCGATCATGTCCGAAAAGTGAATCACGAATAACTTGAGGGGCTGAATGGAAAAATAAAACGATGAGCTGGGATCAACATGTCTTATTCTGACTAGACGGCGTTTGTACTTTTTAATGGAGATTTATAGGCATAATTGAAATACATAAGGCGGGGGGTATACTAAAATTGTTGATGATATGATTCAGGTCGTGTCTTTTCTCAGCTCAATGCTCCTAAATTTCCGTGTAGTCTAGACCAAACATCGTGACCGTCATCCATTATGCTGCTCTCTGATGCGGACTTCCGTGATTCAAGCTTCGTTGCCGCCACCAAAGTCTTTGATTTATTATCCGCGCCTTCACTGGATACGTCTCCGTCCGGATGACCTAGCAGGAAGTCAATCTCTCTAAGATTTTCCAAGCAATTTTCCAGCGCGACTTGTCCAATGTCGACGGTTTCTGCAGCGTATTCAAGAAGTGTGATTTTGGCCGAATCGGCGGCGAATACCCATGGCTTAACCCGCTTCGAGATGTCCGGCTGTTCAGACTTCGAAGCTATTTCTGTTTGTATACCAGACCTCCGGCGTAGCGAATCCTTCATGGGGTATGCTGGCAGCAAATGGCTTTCTTCGCCGAGACGGCCGAGTAATTGGCAGGCATCCTGATTCTGCTTGGACAATGCTGATGTGAAAAAGGATTTCTGAGTGATGGCTGCCTTCTGGCTTACAGACATAGCAGCCAAGGCTCTCAGATAGGGCGTCAGAAGATGGTCGATTGGTACCGGAGGCTTGCTACTATTTCGATCCAGGCCCGCAACTAGCTGCGCAGGTGGTAGCAGAGATGGTTGAGCTGGCTGGGAAAGCTGAGACTGCTGTGTTTCTAGGTCTAAGAGAGTTTTTCTCATAGACACATATGTGGCATACTTTTTGCTAATCTCCTCAAGATGAGCTGCAATTGTTGACGGGCTAACCCTCGATTTATAGGTGTGTTTTTGGCCCGCCTCTGAGCCGCTTCCAGGAGATGCTCTGCCGAGCTCGTTTTCGATCCAAGCTATAAGCTCGTTCCGGGTTGCAGTCAACGCTTCTAAGCGAGCGCCGTTGCTGACAATCTCGAATTGATTTTGAGACCGGGCCTTCGCTTCACGCCGTGTTTGCTCCTCTTTCTTAAGCAGCAGCTTTGCCCTCAGCACCGTCTTCTCCAGCTGATGGATCCGATCATCGAGGCCTGAGTGGGGAGAGTTCTGGTCGGGCGCGAGGCTGTTGATAACGTCGTCTGGCGCACTTGGTGCGCTGGGCATCCCTTGGAAGATGTGCCTGGCACCCAGGAATTCACGGGTTGCAGCTGGTCTTTCCATAAGCAGATCCAGAGACTGTCGAACTGCGAGCAAGCTCTCTCGCTTCTGCTGCAGCTTCAAGAGACATATGCGCTCCTCTAGGAGATCAGCACTGCTCGCTGCTCGAGTAGGCGGCTCAGAATCTCCAGGGGCATTATTTTGTAAGAGATCTTCAAACTGCCGGCGTGCTGCAGAATTGGCCTGGAGAGCTTCGACATATTCCCTAAACACACCAGTTAAATCCGATGGTGTGGTAACTTCTTGTGAGCTGTCCACGAGGAACAGGGGATGCTGAACGGCGCCATTGCCGGAGCACGACCCGAGGTGAAGCGCCAAAACACGCCTGATATAGTTGACCTGTTCTCGGGGTTTAATATATGGCTCGAGCTGCTTTTGAAATTTTATCAAGATTTCAGGCTGAGGGTCAGGCATATTGAGATGCTGATAATCATTTTCCTTGATATGCCAACGTTGGGCAGCGCGTGTCTTTACTTGGGCCAAGTCAGGAACCTAGGTACTAAGGTACTCCCTACATACCGCCTCTAATACTACTACTAGGTACCTACCTAGTAGGTATCCCTGGGGCCACAGGTGAGCTGTCCTGCTAAAAAGTGCCCACTACGGAGCACAGGCTCGACGCATAGCAGGTCTCCACAGTGTGGCTCGGGTAGCTTTTTCAATGTGGCGCATTACACTAACTATTTGCTGCTTGGCGCGCGTCCAAGGCAGAAGATGTTGGCTCAGGAAATTTATCGCGACGGAGACCAAGGCAGCGGTTTCAACCAATTCAGCGACTTCACTTTGCTGAGACGCCTAGGAAGCTGCCCACCGTTCCGACACGATCCCTTCTGTCTGGGCGGCAAGCACATGGTGAAGTAGAGGCTGAGCTCATCGAGCTTTTGTCGAGCACATCGACGTTCTCCCCCCTCTCTTTTTTTCGCCTTTGACACTATCCTCGACTACGACCGCCACGATGTCGGACCCTCATCGCGATGTATCCCAATACAAGTACTCGGCCATGTCCAACCTGGTTCTCCAGGCGGACCGTCGGTTTGTCACACGGCGGACTGATGAGGCCACTGGCGATCCAGAGTCTCTTGCTGGGCGCTTGAGCATTAATGATATGGGTTCACGAGTGGCTCGAGACGAAGCCCCGAAGCAGAAGAAGCAGCCTGGAATGCCCGACATTGAACGAGGGAGTCTTCAAGAAGGCCAGGATGTCTTGCTAAGAGAACAACGAAAACGAAAACCCGATGCCCAGCAAGCTGGTGTATTGGGGGCAAACGATGCCTTGATTGAGGGTATCACATACCGACCTCGGACTGCTGCGACGCGGGCGACTTTTGATCTGATCCTGACCCTCGTGGCAAACAACCTTGGCGACGTACCGCATGATGTCGTACGAAGTGCTGCGGACGCCGCGCTGGAGTATCTGAAAGACGATGACATGAAAGATCTGGACAAGAAGAAAGAAATCGACGATATTCTTGGCACAACCCTGAGCCCCAAGCAGTTCAACGAATTAATCAATTTGGGAAAGAAAATTACGGATTACGATGCCCAGGACGAGGATGAGGATGTTGATATGAGAGATAACAATGACGATGACGCAGAAATCGACGAACGGCAGGGTGTAGCCGTCGCTTTTGATGAGGATGACGAAGAGGACGAGATTGTCAACGAAGTTCGCGACGAATCCTCGGAGGATGAAGAAGAAGAGGAGGAAGGCGAGGGGACAACGAAAGCAGAGGAGGATGCCGCAGAGGCAGACGACGACATGATTCTCGACTCAGCACCCGTGGATTCTAAGCACAAGAAGAGCGAGAAGCCTTCAATACTTGCACGGGATATAGATGCCTTCTGGCTACAGCGGCAAATTGGTCTCCTGTATCCTGACGCACACGAACAAGCAGATAAGACCAAAGAGGCCCTACGCGTGCTCTCCGGAGAGCCTGACGAAGTTGGTGGCGAAGAGAAGTCTCTTCGAGAGATTGAAAACGATTTGATGGAGCTCTTTGATTTTGAACATCACGAACTTGTCCAGAAGCTGGTCGAAAATCGTGAAAAGGTTTTCTGGCTCACAAAGCTTGCCAGGGCAGCAGATGCGGAACAGCGGGCAAATGTTGAGCGGGAAATGGTATCGGAGGGGCTGCAATGGATTCTTAACGAGCTGCGGGGCAAGTCTGGAACAGATGGAGATAAGGCAGGGAAAGGAGGTATCAAGATGGACATTGATGTTCCCGCTTCTTTTACAGCCGAGGCGCCAAAGACAGAACGGCTCGAAGGACAGCTAGTTGGCGGACTGCAGCCAAAGAGGCTCATCAATCTGGACAACTTGGTTTTTGACCAGGGCAACCATCTGATGACCAACCCCAAGGTCAGATTACCAGAGGGATCGACAAAGAGATCTTTCAAGGGCTACGAAGAGATCCACGTCCCCCCTCCGAAGAAACGAAATGACCCAGACGATATCCTTATTCCCATCACCGATATGCCGGAATGGTCGCGGCTGCCCTTCAGCACGTCCAAATCCCTAAACAAGATTCAGTCTAAGACTTACCCAACTGCCTTTGAAGATGATGGTAATATGCTTGTTTGTGCGCCGACCGGTAGTGGTAAAACAAACGTGGCTATGTTGACCATATTGCGAGAAATCGGCAAGAATCGAAACCCGGAAACCGGCGAGATTGATCTTGATGCTTTCAAGATTGTTTACATTGCCCCCCTGAAAGCTCTAGTTCAAGAACAAGTTGGCAACTTTGGAAAGCGTCTGGAGCCATACGGAATCCGCGTGTCTGAGCTTACTGGTGATCGTCAACTTACCAAGCAGCAAATCTCAGAAACTCAGATCATCGTTACCACGCCTGAAAAATGGGATGTTATTACTCGCAAGGCAACTGATCTCACTTATACTAACTTGGTGCGCCTGATTATCATCGATGAAATTCATCTGCTCCACGATGACCGTGGTCCAGTATTGGAGAGCATCGTCAGCAGAACCATTCGCAAAACTGAACAAACCGGGGAACCAGTCCGAATCGTCGGTCTTTCTGCAACGCTTCCAAACTACCGAGATGTTGCTAGCTTCCTCCGCGTGGACACCAAGAAAGCCATGTTCCACTTTGATGGTTCTTACCGACCTTGTCCATTGCGCCAGGAATTCATCGGTGTCACTGATCGCAAGGCCATCAAGCAGCTAAAGACGATGAATGACGTAACATACAACAAAGTTATCGAGCACGTTGGCACCCACAGGAACCAAATGATCATCTTTGTGCATTCCCGCAAAGAGACTGCAAAGACTGCCAAGTACATTCGAGACAAGGCTCTAGAAATGGAGACTATTAACCAGATTCTTCGACACGACGCTGGCAGCCGAGAGGTCTTGGCTGAAGCTGCAAGCCAAGCAACTGACCAGGATCTCAAAGATATCCTACCTTACGGATTCGGTATCCATCACGCAGGTATGAACCGGATAGACAGAACCGATGTGGAGGATTTGTTCGCCAGAGGCGCCATCCAAGTCCTTGTATCTACGGCCACCCTTGCCTGGGGTGTCAACTTGCCTGCCCATACCGTTATTATCAAGGGCACACAAATCTACTCTCCAGAGAAAGGTAGTTGGGTTGAGTTGAGTCCCCAGGACGTTCTCCAGATGCTAGGTCGTGCAGGACGGCCTCAGTTCGACACCTACGGTGAAGGTATCATAATCACGACTCAGAGTGAGATTCAGTACTATCTTTCGCTTCTAAACCAGCAACTTCCGATTGAAAGTCAGTTTGTTAGCAAATTGGTAGATAACCTCAATGCTGAAGTTGTACTTGGCAACGTGAGAACTCGAGATGAGGGTGTTGAATGGCTTGGATATACATATCTCTTTGTCCGAATGCTTCGGTCTCCTGGGCTGTATCAAGTTGGCGCGGAATACGAGGACGATGAAGCTCTAGAACAGAAGCGTGTTGATCTGATACACTCTGCAGCAATGGCCTTGAGGAAGTCGAATCTTGTCAAATACGACGAGAAAACAGGCAGGATCCAATCTACCGAGCTTGGCCGCATTGCCTCCCACTACTACATCACATCCAGTTCTATGGACACCTATAATAACCTCATTCAACCTTCTATCACGACTATTGAGCTTTTCAGAGTATTTGCTCTCAGTGATGAGTTCAAATACATCCCTGTCCGTCAAGACGAAAAGCTGGAGCTCGCGAAACTGATGGGCAGAGTGCCGATTCCCGTCAAGGAAAGCATTGAAGAATCACACGCCAAAATCAATGTCCTACTTCAAGCGTATATTTCTCGTCTGAAGCTAGACGGCCTGGCTCTCATGGCAGACATGGTATATGTCACTCAGAGCGCCGGCCGAATCTTGCGTGCTATCTTCGAGATCACGCTGAAGAAGGGCTGGGCGTCGGTTGCAAAGACTGCTCTAGATCTTTGCAAGATGGCTGAGAAGCGAATGTGGCCTACTATGTCTCCGCTGCGCCAATTTCCCTCCTGTCCGCGCGATATTGTCCAAAAAGCAGAAAGAATTGACGTCTCTTGGAGCAGCTATTTTGATCTTGATCCTCCAAGAATGGGCGAGCTGCTGGGTATGCCCAAAGCGGGACGTACTGTCTGCGGGCTGGTTGCCAAGTTCCCCAGAGTCGACGTTCAGGCACAGGTCCAGCCTATGACCAGATCCATGCTTAGAGTCGAGCTGAGCATTACTCCTAATTTCGAATGGGATGATAGCGTTCATGGTGCTGCTGAGAGCTTCTGGATCATAGTCGAAGACTGTGATGGTGAAGATATCTTATACCATGACACGTTCCTCCTTCGCAAAGACTACGCCGAATCTGAAGCAAACGAACATATCGTTGACTTTACTGTCCCAATCACGGACCCTATGCCACCGAATTACTTCGTTTCGGTCATATCGGATAGGTGGATGCACTCTGAGACGAGATTGGCTGTTCCGTTCCATAAGCTTATCTTGCCAGAGAAGTTTCCTCCTCACACTGAGCTGCTTGACCTTCAGCCTCTGCTGGTCTCTGCTCTGAAAATTCAGGACTACGTCAATCTGTATCCAGACTGGAGGCAATTCAACAAAATCCAGACGCAAACCTTCAACTCGCTGTATAAGACGGATCAGAACGTATTCATTGGTGCCCCGGCTGGAAGTGGTAAGACTGTATGTGCCGAGTTCGCTCTCTTGCGGCACTGGTCGCAGGGCGATGATGCTGGTCGAGCTGTTTATATTGCTCCGTTCCAAGAGCTCGTTGACGCTCGCTTACAAGACTGGCAGAAGAGGCTCAGCCACTTGGGCGGTGGAAAAGAGATTGTGAAATTGACTGGTGAAACTGCTGCAGACCTCAAGCTTCTCGAGGCTGGTGATTTGATTCTCGCTACGCCAACGCAGTGGGACGTTTTATCCAGACAGTGGAAGCGGCGGAAGAATATCCAGACAGTACAGCTATTTATTGCGGACGAAATCCACCTTCTAGGTGGCCATATGGGCTATGTATACGAAATCATCGTATCGCGTATGCACTATATCCGTACTCAAACAGAACTGCCCATGAGAATCGTTGCTCTTAGTGCCTCTTTGGCGAATGCTCGGGACATTGGCGAATGGATTGATGCCAAAAAGCACGATATCTACAACTTTAGTCCTCACGTCAGGCCGGTGCCCCTTGAGCTTCACATTCAATCCTTCTCAATTCCTCATTTCCCGTCTTTGATGCTGGCCATGGCGAAGCCCGCATACTTGGCTATCACGCAGATGTCACCAGATAAGCCAGCCATGATTTTCGTACCCAGCCGAAAGCAGACTAGAGGTACTGCGCGCGATTTGCTGGCCGCCGCCGTCTCCGACGATGACGAAGACCGCTTCTTGCACGCTGATGTGGAACAAATGCGGCCCCTTCTTGACCGCGTCCACGAAGAGGCACTCGCTGAAGCCTTGTCTCATGGCGTTGGCTACTATCATGAAGCTCTCAGCCAGAGCGATAGGCGTATTGTAAAGCATCTTTACGACAATGGTGCTATTCAAGTACTTGTAGCATCTCGAGACGTCTGTTGGGAGTTGACGAACACTGCTCACCTCGTGATTGTCATGGGAACGCAGTATTTTGAAGGCCGAGAGCACAGATATGTAGACTATCCCCTCAGCGAAATTCTACAGATGTTTGGCAAGGCGCTACGACCTTCAAAGGATGGGCGCGGCCGCGGAGTGCTCATGCTACCTCAAGTCAAGCGTGACTACTACAAGAAATTTTTGAATGAGGCCTTGCCAGTCGAATCACACTTGCACAATTATCTCCACGATGCCTTTGTCACAGAGATTAGCACCAAGATGATTGAGTCTGGTGACGATGCGATTAACTGGACTACCTTCACGTACTTCTATCGAAGACTACTGGGTAACCCAAGCTACTATGGCTTAACTAGCACTACCCACGAAGGCTTGAGTAACTACATGTCAGATCTTGTGGAAACGACGTTGCGTGAGTTGGGCGAGTCTAAGATTATTGAGTTTGATGAGGATGATGGATCTGTTGCTCCACAGAATGCTGCCATGATTGGCGCATACTACAACATTTCATACATCACAATGCAAACATTCTTGCTCTCTCTCACGGCGCGGACGAAGCTCAAGGGCATCTTGGAAATCGTCACTTCTGCTACCGAATTTGAATCTGTCCAAGTCCGCCGACATGAGGACAGCCTCTTACGGCGCATTTACGACCGCATTCCCGTTAAGATGGCACAACCCAGCTATGATACGCCTCATTTCAAGGCGTTTGTTCTGCTCCAAGCTCATTTCTCCCGGATGCAGCTCCCGATTGATCTTGCCAAGGACCAAGAGATGATCCTTTCCAGAATTCTCAGCCTCCTCAGCGCCATGGTAGACATTCTCTCATCAGACGGCCACCTCAACGCCATGAATGCCATGGAGATGTCTCAGATGGTTGTCCAAGCAATGTGGGATCGAGACAGTCCCCTCAAGCAGATTCCTCACTTCTCTCCAGAGGTCGTGAAGGTTGCAAATGACTTTGGGTATGTATTAGATTATGACTCCGCTATCTCTGTAGATGAATCGACTTGCATACACGAACCGTGGCTAACTTGTGTCTATAGAATCAAGGACATTTTCGACTTCATGGAGGCTATGAATCCCGAGGAAAACGCAGACTACAACAAATTGGTCAAGCAACTGGGTCTTTCGCAGAAACAACTAGCACAAGCAGCAGATTTCACAAACGAGAAGTATCCAGACTTGGAGCTGGAGCATGAAGTTGTTGAGGAAGACGAAATTAGAGCGGGCGAGCCATCCTACCTGAGCATCAAAATCACGCGAAACATCGAGGATGATGATGAACATGACTCTACGGTGCATGCACCATTTTATCCAGCTAAGAAGATGGAGAATTGGTGGCTGGTTGTGGGCGACGACAAGACTCGAAACCTGCTGGCGATTAAACGAGTTACCATCGGCCGCGAGCTGAACGTACGGCTAGAATACACTGTGCCATCTCCTGGTGAGCACAATCTCAAGCTGTTCCTAATGAGTGATAGTTATATCGGAGTGGACCAAGAGCGGGAGTTTTCAGTGACGGCAGCAGAGAGCATGGATGTGGACGAGGACGACGAGGACGAGGACGAAGACGAGGAGTAGATGCCGGCGCGCGCTCTCCTACCATTTGATATCTGGAAAAAAGAACGGTTATGTACAGTAAAGGCAAGCTACGGATACAATCTTAATATGTGATATATTTTTGCCCAGACTTCGTTTGCGCGATCGCCCTGCTTCTGGTTCTGGCTTTACAGCGACCCAAATGAAGATGATCTACTCTTTGTGTATTGTTTTCCGGGTAAAACAGGGGTTGTGGTGGCGCGCGGTTGTGGAACAGCTGTTTTCGAGGCCCAAGGCGGTTGGGTAGTTGGGGCGAGAACCTCTGCAAGGCAGGGTTGGAGTGGCAGACGTCCAAGGCGCCGCCTGCCGAAGCGGTCGAATGAAGATGGTCGCACGACCCATGCGAGCTATAGTCAATTGTCCAGCGCAGCGGCACCGGGAACGCCGTTGCCCTATGGCGCCTCGGCATTGTGAATCGCGGTTGCGGGTGCTTATGGTCAATCGCCATTCTAATACCACACCATGCGAGTCACGTGATGTAGATTCAGACTCAGTGACGTTTGACGTGTTCCTGCGGTTCGTTATTCGCTCCAGTGTTTTTCCTTTCGTCACCCACATCGATCCTAGCACAACGCGGGCGAAGCTGAACGAGACAACTGCGCCTTTCATCCGCCGAGCTTCCAGTCTCATCACGCAACCCGCCTTGCGCCACCATTGAACACGCATAACACGCCGCGAAACGCGTCCGACGCTAGATTTTGGAGCTTGCCTCGACCCTCGTGCCGTTCGCGTGAGATCTGCCTCTGTCTCTAAGCATTGGAAGCTGCGCATCGCCACCCAGCGTTTCGCCATGGCTGATAACGCCCCAGAGAAGCCCGAGGTCGCTGCGCCTGTTGCTGGCACTGAGGATAAGGTCGCTGGCGAGGGAGATGTGGCCGCCAAGACTGTGGATAAGTCGGAAGCGGGTGATGCTACAATGGAGGAAGTAAAGGAAGCTGAAGGTGAGCTTCCCCAACGCGCGTGCAGCAAGCTTTTCGCCCACGTTCAAAGCTCCTACTCTTGCTGGGCTTCAATTCTGCAATTCTAAATAACAAAAAAGCTCCGAATTGCTTTTCATTATTTTTTGTTTACCTTTTCTCCGAGTCTATGGATTTGCGCTAACTATAGCTGCTATAACAGAACCCAAGGTGCCCGAGAGCGCAGAAAAGACTGCCAAGGCCGCAACCGAAAAGCCAGCTGAGAACGAGAAAAAGACCGATGCGGACGGCGATGCCGAGATGAAAGACGCTGCCGAGACTGCTGCTGCCGCTGAGCCTGAAGCTGATGCTGCCGCCGCCGACACTCCAGCTGCTGCGAAGGGCAAGGGTCGACGAAAGTCGACTGCTGGAGAGTCAAAGGGCAAGACTCTGAGTAAGAAGGGCTCAAAGGCACGCCTAACCCACATTGATGCTCAGCCTGGCGATCATTTCTTGGTGAAGCTCAAGGGTTTCCCGGCTTGGCCCGCCATCATTTGCGATGAGGACATGCTCCCGCAAGCTCTCATCAATACTCGACCAGTCTCCGCGGCACGTCCTGACGGATCCTACTCTGAGGCTTACGCGGATGGCGGTAAGCGAGTGCACGATCGAAGCTTCCCCGTCATGTACCTGTATACAAACGAATTGTGAGTTATGCAACCCCCAAACCTTCTGCGTCGAGGCCGTAGCTGATTGGTTCCAGTGGATGGGTTGCAAACACTGCCCTATCCGAGTTGACCGCGGATAAGGCCCGAGATACGATTGGAGACAAGATGCGAAAGGACCTAAAGGCAGCTTTCGAGCTCGCAATCGAGCAGAACTCAATTGAGCACTACAAAGCGATTCTACAAAGTTTCCAGGATGAGCTGATTGCCCAGGAAGAGGCTAGGAAAGAGGCTGCAGCTACGCCGAAGAAGTCCAAGAAAGGAAAGGCGAAGGCGAACGATGAGGATGAAGACGTGGATATGGAGGATGCGGAAGAGGCGCCAAAGGCTAAGCCAAAGAAGCGAAAGGCCGCCGATGAAGAAGCCGCTGTAAGTTCTGCCCTTTATATCGTATCTCTCTGCCAAGTTGCTTGGTTTACTAATGCAGAATCGCGGCCAGGTCCCTCAGCGCTCTGAGTCCGTTAAGAAGCCTAAGATAAAGCTTAACACATCATCATCCGCATCAAAGGCTGCGAATGGAACGACAGCGCCTAAAGCCAAAGAAGAAAAGCCTGCGAAGGTCGCAAAGGCCAAGCCAAAGAAGGGAACCGACAAGAAATCTGATGCGCCCAAAGAACCCAAGTTGACCCCAGAGGAGCGACATCAACGCAAGGAGGTGAGTTGATCATCACATTGTCGAGAGAACTTGATGGATATCATGTACTAACTAAATCCATAGAAAGAAATTATGTACCTGCGCCATAAGCTCCAAAGGGGTCTCTTGACTAGAGAGCAGCAGCCACGAGAAGACGAGATGGAGGCGATGTCCAGTTTCATCACTATCCTTGAGAATTTCCAGGATCTTGATGTGTCAATTATTCGGGGCACTAAGATCAACAAGGTTTTCAAGGCTATTCTAAAGCTCGACTCTATCCCCCGTGAGGAAGACTTCAACTTCAAGAAGAGGTCTCAAACTTTGCTGGACAAGTGGAACAAGCTACTTGCTAGCGATCCTGCGCCCGCTAACACGGCGAATGGTGTCAATGGAGCTTCTGAATCCAAGGACTCCAGTAAGCCGACTGGAAACGGCGATGTGAAAGAGAGCGACGACAAGACTAAAGAGGTCGATGATGAGAAGCCTAAGGGAGATGATGAAGAAGTGACTGGCACGACCGCAGCCAAAGATGAAGAATCAAAATCCAAGGAAGATGTGAGCGAGAAGAAGGACGAAAAGGCCGAGGCCGAGGCAGTGAGATAACACCATTTACCAGTTATTGACCAATTCTAATTTTTCTTTGTAATAGGCTCCCGCTTCCGCAGCAGTTGAAGCCGCTGCTTAAGCTCCCAGGGTTTTCGAATATTCTGACATAATTCTGAGAACAAAAATGTCTTTCATATCTAAGTCTCGGTTCTGATACAGACTACTCAAGGACATCCTGTTGATGTCCGACACTTTTCTTTTTCCCTCTCTCTTTCATTTTGTGTGTGGCGCAACGGACTCATTGTTATTATTATTTCGCACATTTTTCTTATACTATAAAAGGGGTCACAGTTTACTCTTTGGTTTGTGGTGTACAAGTAGTCACCAACATGGATGAGCAAATCGAAGGATGGAGAGAAGGCTTAGCTGATTTGTTCTTCTACGAGCCGCTCTGTTGAGTGGCGTGAGAACGTCTTGGGTGAAGGAAAGGAGTACTGCTAGTAGTATTGGGTGTTTCAACCTAGCATGCACAACACACGGGAAAGAAATGAGATGTGGAGTGACTGCGGTATCTGAGGGGGGCGCACACCCGAGGAGATGAGACATATGTATTTGTTGATTCGCGCTGCTCGATCTTTTCTAGGGGTGGTGATTGTTACTGCCGGGGTCAAAGGATGCTTGGTTGGGAGGGGAAGGATAGGTTAGCATGCTTTTTTCGCGTTGAGAATCAAAGCTCTATTTAGTTTATGAAATCCAGCGTGGTAAGATGATCAATTGGCCTGTATGTATACAAGGATGCGCAAGTGTGTGAGAGGAGCTCATTCCATAATGTGGCCTGTCATTTGTAAAACTGCTAAGCGGGTAAATTCTGTTATACAAGTATAAGTGCATCTCTGGTTGTCACGCATACCCTTATTGTACCAAAGTGAGTGTAAATTTGTGTTAACCTACTGTACCCAGTTGTTTTCTACCGCCTCTACCACTTCTACCGCCTCGATTACATGTATTATAACGGACATCCTTATCTATTTAGCGTTCTTATTCCTATTTGTGTATGATATTTCATTTGTGTTATTCAATTTTTATTATCTGGTCCCTCATGCTTAAGTATATAGAAAGGCTCCAAACCGAGATTGGGCATACGAGATATCAGCGCGTGATGTTGTTGGAATAACTCGAGAAAGCACACTAGCAGCTTTAAACTAGATACTGGAAATTTTGATATTATATAACCACCCAGGCTTAAGCATCGTTTCGTTACCATACTTGAGAACACGATGCCTAAACTTGCCACAAGTAAGTAGCCCGACCTTGTAATTCTAAGAGCGACTGTAGAGACACAGTGTTTATACTGTATTTATGCACTGTATAACGAACGTGTTTCTGCCAAATCGCGCTCCGCTCGACGTTTGACGACCACAAGCCCTTTAAGTGCAGCCAGCTTCTTGCTGCATAAGCGATTTCTTTCATTAAGATACATATACCAAAGGCCAAAATGTCCACTGAAGATCCTCAAAGCACTTTCACCCAGGAAGATCACCAGGTAAGCGAAGAAAAGTTCTGAGCTTTCACCGCGTTCTAAGCCTCACGTTCTAATATTCTTGAACCATATATAGGTGGCCTTCATCTTTAATCCGGAAGAGAATGAAGCTCCACGCCGAGAGAGGCCCTCAAAAAGGCGGAAAACTGCCAAGAGGGCTGCAGCAATCGAAAATGAAGCACAGCAGGATGAGGACAGTTCATCATCGTGGTTCACTCCCTTGCTTAGTGGTGCGGAGAGCATGGCTTGCGTGCAGCGACGGCAGCGGCTTCTTGACGAGAATTGGGCGGTGGTTGATGCTCGTATCAAGGTATCATGCGTCACTCGAACTGGGATGGCTGAAATAAGCTTGCTGATGAAATGGGTAGAATATTTTGAGAGACTCCAACTCTGCGACTCTGGAGGACGTGTCGCGATTTGTGACTGAAGCAGAATCAGAGTGGTGAGGATTGCTAGCCCCCCTTTGTCCCTCTAATTCTTTTTCATTCTTTTCTCCCCCCCTCGCTTGCTTGTAACGTCACTCTCTTTGCAGCCCCCCCCCCCCCCCCCCCTCTTTGCCTCCTGGAAAGAATCATATGCGTATTTCAAATCTCAGAATTGGTTCTAATCTAATGAAATCGTAGTGGCGATAAGATACCCTCTGCTTTTATCATTACAGGCCCCAACATCGCCTCTCAAGATTTACTCTTCGAACAGCTGTCGGACTCACTTCAGAAGACATCACAGAGCAAATTCATTAGGCTACGGTCTTCGGAAGCGACCAACTTGAAGAATGCTCTGAAGAAGATTATTCAAGATGCAACGTCGCAGACGCTGGTCGTTGACGGCGAGGAAGACTTGCAAGTTGGGCAAGGCTCAAATCGGCGCTATCTGCCGTATGACCTTGAGGCATTGCATGAATTCTTGGGCCATCAGCCTCACGAGAATGTCTTTGTCGCATTTCAGGATTCTGAAGGGTTTGACAGCGGCTTACTATCCGATATCATTACTTTGCTTAGGTATGCGGATGAAATCATGTTTCGGGGACGAGAAGAAGATCTCTGTTTGCTAATATTAGGCATACATACAGCTCATGGCGACCGCAGATCCCTTTTACTTTACTATTTGGAATTGCTACGTCAATTGATCTACTGGAAAACCGCCTGTTGAAGTCGGCGTGCCGCCTGATATACGGTGCGCAGTTTGATTGCGTACAGACAGACACCATCTTGGAGAATGTCTTCAAAGGAGCGGTGATATCCAGCGATGTCCCCCTTAGGCTAGGACCGCAGATCTTGAGGAGCATGCTTGATCGCCAACGGGACCATATGGCTGGTATTCAGGCATTCATAAGCTCTTTGAAGGTGAGATTGATCTGCGACTAAAAATAGACAAGACGAATGGCCTTGAGGCTGACGACAGCAGTACATTTATATGTGCCATTTTTACGCCAACGCCCTCAGCGTCTTACTGGCCCCAGAGGTTGAAGGAGGGGGAGAAATCCTACAGGCCGAGCACATCGAGGCACTGAGGCATCTCCCCTCGTTTCGCAACGAGGTGGAGAAGGCCGTTGGGCTCGCAACCACCGACAGCCTTCAACATGCTCGCTCACTTTTAGAGGACGACGAATATCTCCTCTCACAGGCCCAAGCTAGTAACGACTGCCGACAAAGCTGGATGGATGGCCACCTGCGCTCACTCCTCGTTAGGGAAGCTGCAGGAGCAATCCAGCCCCCACTCTCGCGGGCGTATGTCGACTCCCTCTCTACGACGCATCCTGAATCAGGAAATGGTAGCCTAACAGAATATATCCGGCGTATGAGCATAGGCGCGCTTATTGGCACGCTGCGTCGGGTTATCTCTATATTTAAGGAAGGAGAGCCGAGCTTGCATCTCCAACCAGCGTCACAGGAGGAAGACGTCGCGCTACTAGGCTTCCTAGAAGAGACGCTATCACGCCTAGAACAGCTCGAATCAGACGCGGAAAGCGCAGGCATCACACTGCTCACCAAATATAGTAGCCAGAGCAAGGTGATGCGGACGACGGTTATTGCCCAGCGGGTCCAACTGAGTCGCGACTCTGCAGCCCTCCGCGATGAGGATAGGCAGTTGACAAACATCGTAGACGCAGTATCAGAACGGCTGACTCTACACATTAGGGCAAGCCGCCCCGAGAAGGTGCTGTTTTCAGAGACGTGGCTGTATGACAACAGGTCGCCTCTCCGGGATATTATGGTGCCACGGCCTCGGGTGACATTCAAGCGCAGCTTGGCGCGGCCGTACGACTATCTGGCTTGTAGCTGCTGCCGAGGCGGCGATGCAGAGGACGGTACCATGCAGGCGACACTTCCCGCCACGTCTATTCTATACCATTTGTATCTTGAGGCAGGCAGTTTGATCAATGTGGCAGATATGTGGTCAGCATTTTATGCCCTGGTGAGCGGGCATAAAGAGGAAGAGGAGGAGAGTGAGGAGCACGACAAGCAGCAGCAGCAGCACGATGAGCGGACAGCTCTGGTCATGTTCTACCGAGGCCTGGCTGAGTTGAGAGCCATGGGATTCGTCAAGAGCAGCAAGAAGAAGACAGACCACATTGCCAAGGTGAGATGGCTATGAAAGCGAACGAGCGAGGGAGCTGAGAAGGCCAAAATACTCGGCCTGAAGCTTAAACACGAAAGTATCACTAGCATTACGTGGCTATTAGATTTATGAAAAGAATGCGTCCCGGCAGCATGGAACCATGGGAAAGTCAGGGCACTCGTGACAAGCACAAGAGAATAGGACTGGAATGTACAGTTGAAGCCAACACTTGCCAAGTCCCAACCAGATTTCAGGATTAGCCGGTACTAGGAGACGGCTGGCGCTTTCATTTTTTTTAGCCCTTCACTAGGATGGCGCTTCTTCTCCCAGAGACTAGAATCGCGCCTTTCAAGCCACGTGCGGCTGATGGAGTAAGAGAGATTGGACGGCTCAGCTAAGGCACATACCAAGCCCAGACGCCTTTCATTCTCTCCTGACTTGACCGGGAGCGGAAGTGGCGAGCTGGCGAATACCAAGCACTACGGTCTACTGAATAGGGCGAAGCAATGGCGGTGGCAGTGATACTGGATGGATGAGTGTTAAAGCAATCTCGTGATATACCTACCAAAGCGCGAGCACCGAGCCGTGAGTCTGCCTACCTACCTATGGAATACTGGTGCGTACTTGTACATGCAGCTCTGCGACTAGTAGCCGCGAGGCGAGAGACAGGTGGAGTGACAAGGGTATCGGACGTTTCATTGGAGTGTTTTGGCTTGGTGTGGGATGGGTCACTAGCAATTTATACGACGTCAAGCGAGCCGTGAATCTGGTCCAAATCGAGGAGGGTGATCTTTAGCTCCTGAAGAAAATGCTGCTCCATAGGTAGCAGCAGGTTGGTTATATGAGCACAACCTAGCATATACAAGTATAGTAGGTATATACGTTTGATACAATGACCATGTCCAAGTACCCTTTACTTGCTATTCACAATGTCTCACGCATCAAAAGTTTTTTTTTTTGAAACATGGAACAGAGGTCCGTAGGATTCAATGCCTTGATACCCAAACGCCGCCTCGTGCATAGATGGCGTACCCCAGGCTTGGTACGCTGGAGCGCGATATATGTGATGTAACGCGCATGGGAAACGGGAAGTGGGGGAACGAGGACGAAGATGTAAGGGAAGCAAAATCGAACGAGTCAAGTTTAAAAAAAAAAAGAAAAAGAAAAAGAAAAAAAAAAAAGGCGAGTGTCTTTTTCTTTCTCCCCTTGCTTGAGCCAGAGCGGCGTGGTATGGTGGCTTGTTTCTATTTTCTGCTCATGGCTTATACCTATCTCGAGTAAGCCTGGAAAAAAGGCATAAACAAAAAAGAAAAAGGGCTGAGAGCTGAAAAAGAAAAGAAACAAAAAAAAAAAAAAATAGACGGAAGGGCGGTATGTAAGGGGCGGTCTGTGCGAAATACTACTGCTAACGAGTGCCGAGTATCTATCTATCTATACCTGACTTGTGCATGCCTGTAGGGTTTTGCAGACAAGTACCGATCATGCTCGGCAGCGGTGGAGGAGAAAATGGAGATTTGCTACTGCCGGTATGTATGCCGCCATTGTGTGCTGCGATGCAATAAATTACAGATGATTTCGGGTCATAGTTTGCTAATGTTTGGGCTTGGTGAGAATGAAACATAGTCGTGTACAACGTTAATACGTGCTTTGTAATTGACCAAGCAAAACTGTCTCGGAAGGAAAATGGAAATTTTTTCATCGAGTCGGGTCCGAAAGAAAAAGTTTCGGATTTGGCTGCGAGTGCTTTCCGCATGTCTTGTTTGCCTTCCTGGTTTGAATGAAATATACCTACGTACGGAGTGCGTGTATTATACAATTACATTAGGGGAGAGAGAAAGAGGGGGGGGGACCCTGTTTCTGGAGCTGAATGTCACTCAGCACGACGCGGAAATTTATCTTGTAATACTGGGAGGGGCGTGTGTGTCGCAGAATGAATCACATTACGATATACCACTCGTTGCTGGGTGATAGCCGTCATGTTTGCTCCATTTCATCATTATCTTTTTTTTTTTTTTTTTATTAATCCGACGGACTGCGGTGAAAATGTTTAGGTCGGTAAGATGTTGTGCGCGTTTTGTCTCTGTTTACGGATGCATGGGTTTTGTATCTATGCAAACGAGAGCAGATTCGTGGGAGGCTGGTGGTTCCACCAAGCTGGGGCTGGGAATTTGAGACATGTAAGATGAGAAGAGAGAGAGGTGGTGGTGATGGGTAAAAGAAAAGTGACGACAGCGGTGGTATTGGTTACGGAGAAGAATCTCACCTGAGCGGTGCCATACGTGGTATACGTGGACATGCATTAGCAACTGGGCATGGCAAGCTGGCGATGCTACGCATTTTCGGGCTACTGATGCCGCGGAAGTCGTTTGCCATTGTTGCTGCTGTTGATTAGGATTAGTTGCCAGCATTGCGATCATCACTCGACTAACACTCGACTAACACTAACAGCCAGCCTAGTCGTCGAGCATAACACCCGATATTGCTGCTGGCTAGCACTGCTACCTAGTATGTAGAATATGGCTCCATCTGCAGCCACGCATAATCACACGCCTGCCAGTGGGCAAGGCCTCCATCGTGCAAGATATACGGTGTAAGGGCTCTTCCAAAAGACATGATCCATGGACGTGAATAGCTTCTCATGCATATGTCGACTGACTCAAGCTGAGTTTTGCGTCTCGCACCCAACTACAGAGTAGTAGTACTAGCATCATGGCCTAGCAGCAATTCCAGCTCGCTGCGACTCTATAATAAGCACCAGTGTCCACAATGACTCTTGACGTTTTGCTGCCCTGCAGCAGCTAAACCCGGCAGCGATTTATTTATTGTCTCTGCTAGCATGTCTTGTATGTGACACACGCAGCTTTTAGTACGCCGGTGGGCTGAGCGGCTATGCCGTAGAGAGCCTGTACGTGCAAGCGGGAGGCATGGGTTGCTGCCTTTCTGTTTCTTCCTCCTCTTCTGTTTGTTCCCCTACCAGGGATCTTTTGCAGTGGGCCAACTGTTTGTTTTCTGGAAACAAAAAAGAGTCATCTCTGGATCCAAACAATCCATGTAATTTCACGCTGGCTACGGATTGGCGGAGCTCCATGGGCTCCTTGCGGTTGGACAAGACGGTGCCAAGTAAGGAAAGGTAGTACATGCGTTGTCGATCATGTTATCTGTATTACTCTAGTTCGTGATCAGACGACCGGCTTTGCGAGCGAGTCTCGCTTTGGCTCGGGAGAATGGCACAGCTCCAATGGCAGTAACTGGGCGCGAGAATCCAGTAGCGCGAGAGCCAGCCAAGATAACGGATTGGACGCTGTTTAATGCGAGTGCTTATGACTATCAGACACCGTCCGCAGGGAGAAGAGCAGTAGTCTCCCATGCATGCAAGGACTCGGGTGCTCAGTGGCAAGGAGGCTCTATTTGTGTCTGGCGGCCACATGGCTGGGCGGCCTAGAAGCCCATGTGCCACCGATCCTTTGACATGATGGGCTTTGTGTAGATCGCGCGCGCGCAGGGCACCAACTGCATGCAAGCATAACCTGTTATTCGGGCACCAGGTAGCATTTACTGCACAACGAAGCAGCTTCGCCGGTTCGGTAATCAAAAACGGAAAAGCAAAGAGAAGGGAAGGGAGAGAAGCATAGCGCCAGGTAGCAACCGAAAATAGCTGCTCCATGTACCGTACTCAGTGCCGGCCCAGCATTCCAGCCCAAAGCACCGGCTCGCCGTGGACCTGGCCGCTGTCTCGCCTATTTGGTCTCTTCTTCTGCTTGCTTCCTTCGGCGTACTTTAGGCAATTTGAGACGTGGGGCGGTGGTGATGCTGAGAGGCGGAACCGGCCTTGGATGGATTAAGCATCGCCCGGAACCAGCGTCGCCGGGCCACGAGCAGATGCGGATCCGGGAGCCGAAGGGCTCAACGGCTCTCTTGCTTGCTCTCAGTCTGTTGGCACCGTCGAAGCCAACGTCGACGGAGACATTCTTCTGGTCTCGGCGTTGGGTCGAGTTGGCCGAGCACTGCGCAGTCATCAATGGCCATTCGCCGGCTGCACAATGCGACTGCATACAGTATGGAGGCCCAGCGAATCAATACCGGCATCGTTGGTGCAGAGTCGCATCCATCGTCACGCTGTCTGTCCGCCTAGGGTCCTGGTCAGCTCTGCTAGAATGTCTCACTCTGGCGTTGTCGTGGCTGCGTCCGTCGCAAAGCGCTGCCCCCTCCCCCCATGGCCATGGACCCTCAGGTGAGGTAGCGTAGCGTCCAGCTACAACCGCCGCGGTGGTAAGGGCTGGCTAGAATTGTGCACCATTTACATCATCTCTCCTTGCCGCCCGGGGGACGAATCTGGGTGACGGAAAGAGGGTAGATCTGGATTGCGGGATTGGAGACTGGCGGGACGAGGGTGTGGGACATGGCAAGCCGGTTATTCATCAAGGACTAAATACATGTATACTTGTGCGTGTGCCAGTCTGGCTCACTGAAGTCTGCTGGATTAGCGGCTGGTGCCAGTGCGTTTTAGTGCTTCGATGCGACCTGGCGCTGCATCGCTGACCTGTAATGGGCGCTCCCAGCGGGCGGGGCCCCAGAGATTCAGCGCACGCGAGCGGCGGCACCGCCGTCGCCTACAAGGCCCAGGTACCGGTACCAAATTGCGGTGCGACGACAGCGCGCTTCGGCGCCTTGCCCAGAGCAGTAGCCAACTGCGTGGTCGGTGGGGACCAGACAGCGCTGTCTAGTCTCGATAGCAGCAAAGAGGCGCCTCCAAGGCGTGGCGTGGCTGTCAGAGCCAGAGACAGCAGCGATGGGGGCGGCTGAGGGCCCAAGGCCGTCCCAGATCCCGGCCCCGGCTCCAGCTCCAGCTCCTGGCTCTAGACCAGACTCCTGGCGCTGGCCTGCCGACACACCCCATGGTGGTGATGGATCAAGTGCTGATGCTGCTGAGGAAGAGGCTGCCGTGGTAGCGGCGCCAATAAGGGGGGCCCGGCAGGCACAAAGTTGTAGATGTAAGGCGATTGCGTGCATATTAATATAGCACGAGCTGGGGTGAGTCGATTACCGACTGCCCGTCCATTCATCTATAAAGACTCTCTGGCCTCTGTTGCCTGCTCCCGCCTCTTGCAGAGCGAGTCGAGTCGAGTCGAGCCATCCCATTCCTCTACTGTGCTACCTTGATCAGTATTATTATTACACCGACCGTCCAAAGGAAGAAACACCAGTCAGCACATGACCACGGATCTCAGCCTTGTCCTCCATCCTGCGCCCTGCCCATTGCCCAGAAAGGAAATATTAATACTTCGCCGGAAGGATCCTGCCAACCAGAGCGTCATTTAAAAAGGGAAGCTAGGACCTGCTTATAGAGCCTGCAACTGCCATTGATTGTCTCGCATCCGGTGCAACGGCGACTACAAAGTGAACAAGGAACGCAGGAACCAACAACAGGAGGCGCTGTTTCCATCTATAAGCGGCCAGGGGACAAGAGCAGAATTTCTTCTTTTTTGCTTTCGGGGGAGCCATTTTCTTTCTCTTCTCGCTTTCGTTTTCATACAAAGGAGGAAAAAAAAACCATTTTAGCTGAGCAAGCCTCGCTGTCTCGCCTGGCATTTGCGCTTGTTTTAGCCTTTGAACGGACTCGTACATTGTGCGCGCAAAACAACGGACGGTCGCTCCGCATTCACACAGGCGCTTTTACTTGGCCGACCCTTATTTAAGCTTTACTTTCCGAGAACGGCAAACTTTGCACGAAACGCAAAGGCACAACAGCAAACGATCTCAGAGATCTCTAAGTGGCTGAAACGCTTGGATTTTATTTAAAAGAGGCTGACCTTCCTCTTGAAGCGAGAGAGTCGGCACTCGTCATCTGTGTGTTGAATTGTCGAGTCCGGCGTATTCGACAGTGAGCCTCGCCATCAACACCACCACAGCCTTTGTCTCAGCTTACTTTGACCTTGGCATAAACAAGAGAGGGAAAAGAAGAGAAAAGAGGACATTCACTACCAGAAATACAGATTCAAACAAAAAAAAAAAAAAAAAAAAAAAAAATTCCTTGTCGACCTCTTCCACAGACGCCATGATGCACCACCGCCGCCTACCACCCCACCACCACAGCCATAAGACATCTCTTCGCCGCCGTCTTGCCAAAAACCCCGAGCTCGCTCACAAGCTACACCAGATGGCCCTGCCCCTGTCTCCTCTTGTCCAGCTCACAACCGGTGCCATCCACCCTCATTTCCCGCGCACCGTGCTTCAGTTTTGGCTCCTCACTGATGCTCAGCTCGAATCCCTTGCTCAGTTCTATCACCAGCGCACCCCATCACCCTGGTCTAGGCAGTACCCTTGCCCGGTCAACTGGCGTTCCGATGCGCCACTTGAAGAGAAGCGCCGCAAGATGGGCAGGTTTATTGGCCTAAGGGGCTGCGAGAGCCCGACGGCTGTCCTCAAGACCGAGGAGCAGATTGCGAGAGACGCTAGACTCGCCAGCAGGAATGCAGCCGATGAGGATGTTTTGAGACGGAAGATGAACCCTTTCTCCCAGCCGTGATGGACGGACTGGTTTATTTCCTTTCTCTTTTTCCCGGGCACAGCATTGTTCATCATTATCAATTATCCTCATGGATCCGGAATCGGCATCATCCTCGGTGACGGGTGGCTTCTGGCTCTGGAGTTTCGAAAGGCTCTATGGCGTTTTGTTTTGTTTTGTTTTTGGATTTCCAACCATTGGATCGGATGTTTCTCTTGAAACGGCTACTACTTGCATTTTAGATTGGCAACTTCACACTGCCATTCCCACATGGGATTTTCGTACATACTCTGTATATACTTGTGTTGGACTACGGGTCGGGAGGGTCAGGAGGGATTATAAGAACAGCATATATGGAGCATTGGAGGGAGAGGTGGACTAACGGATGGCCTGCGTAGAATACTTACAGCAATGACTTGATATGACTTGAACATACTTGTTTATCTTTCATATTAAATATAAGACAAATTCAACCAATATTTCGTCTTCTCCTTTGTGACACCCATTCAAAGTTGAATTTTCTGCAGCAATTCCCTTTAATAACCTGACCAGAACGTTAATCTAGATTTGCTAACTGATGACAAATTGAATGTTGCTATCCCGCTCGTCCTTGGAAGCATGTAAAATCTTCCACCGCCACCAACAACGCCCTTTGATGCTTGGGTAGAACATTTCAACAGTCTGGCTATTAAAAATGTTCCAGATGAAGCATTTATCGTTTCAAATATTCTCAACCTTCTTCACAGGGTTGAATATTGTCCAAAGAGGCGACAGGCTCTATTGTAAGAAGATTTCTCATATTTTTGAGAGTGTTTGCGAAAATTTTCAACAACGATGAAAGCCAGGCTGGCTTGACTCTTGGATTGACTTCGTACTCCCTCCTCCAGATAACCACAGCTAATAAGAAACAAACTTTCAAAAGGACCCTATTTTGCTATACCATTATTTCATTATTATTACCAACTGAATGCCTTTTAACACCTGACTGAATGGCCCATACTTGTATACTTGAGTGTTGGAGACCATATATGTTCACAATATGCCCACAAGAAAATCGAATTTGCTACATAAGCTCTGTTTATTTCAAGAGTACAACGTCTTTAGAGGGCCTATGCTTTACACTTGAGTGCTGAAGACTGTATTGATTTATGAAAGTCTTGCTGCAATAACATCATTTGGGACCTTATTTTGCATCCATGTAACTGGACCTATAAAGGACCACAGTGGCCCTTTCCCTTCTCTCCATAGAATATTTATATGTACATTGACACAATATCTGTGTCGCAACCTCAACTCTCGCGTCTGCATCTGCATCTCCGTCTCCCCATCTCTCTCCCCTCTCTCCCTCTCCTCTCCATCATTTCTTGCCACCCTTCTTTGGTGAATTAACCACCACAGCGTCATCTTCATTTCCGTCCTTTGTTGAGCCCTTCTCAGACTCTTCAAGTTCCTTCATGAAGTCTGCCTGGATTTGCCCCCTCTTCTTATCCCACCAAGCCTTTTCGGCGTCGGTCTGGGCTTGGATCTCCTCGAGGCGCTGGCGGAGCTTTGTGTTGGCGGCAATCTCGTGGGCAGATTGGAAGATGATGGTGCCCCAATTGGGTGCCAGGGCGTTGGCCTAATGTAACCCTAGTCAGTGGCCTTTTCTTTATTTCTCTTTGATCTCCAAGACAACATTATGGCAAGGGGGACGACATACCTCAGTGACAACATCTCTAAGCTCCTCTTCCATTTCCTTCTCGGCGCGCAAGAATCGCTGCCATAGGTCATCACCTACGCTGCCCCTCTGCAGAAGCGAGCCACATGCTTGCTTGGCAGTCTTGATGTGGATCAGGCGCTCGATATCTTCAACTGCGCGTCGGAGAAGGGCTGCTCGCAGGACACCGTCAGGGACCCGGGGAGACTTTTCGGCGCCCTCTTCCGGATCAAGGTGCAAGAGAGAAAGATAGATGTCTCGCTGGAGGTGAGGCCCGAACCAGGGTGCAAGGTTTGCGCTTTCAGCTGGTGGTGATTGATAAAGTCAGCGTCGGATACTAGACGAGGGAACACCAAGAGGAAGAGGAAAAGAGCAGCGCCGTACCAGCCTTCCGTCTGCGATAGATGGTAGAAAAGGTCATGAGAGCGCCGCCAAGGACAAGGAGGTAGGCGAATGGAAGGGCGAGGCCCTTCCAGTCAATATCGAACATTTTGCCGGCGTGGGTGGTGGATAATGGCCCTGCAGCTATATGGTGGTTTGAGAGATGAAAACGCCGAATCGGTTGCTTCCTGCTAATAAGAACTGCGCCGGGAAACAAAATCCCAGGCAAGAATGCAAAAATGAGCGGACGGAGAAAACCGTGTAATCGAGTGAGTCGGGTGTCGAGGGTCGGGTTTTCCCCTTTGGCCACTTATTATAAAAGAATAGAGTGCACTGGCCGGCGTGCTGCTGATGCTTATCGACACGTCGCACACATGCCCGTCTTTTTCTGGCCAGATCGGCTGCAAGGCTGTCGCGGGGTACGTACCGAACAACTGCCGCTCTTAGCCAAGCAGTGACAGTTTCCGGCACCTCGAATCGCTAGCAAGGGAGCTGCAGCACGGCGGGCCGATTAATCTTCCACAGCACACTGCTTACTTCATCCAGCTGTGGCGCCCGCTTCAGGCACACTGTGAATGACGCTTGACGTACGGTTACTGCTGGAGCTTCGCATGATTTCATCAAGCTTCAGCTTCTTCTTTCCGTCTTCCCTCTTCGCTGCGCAGCTTGTCATGCTGCAGCATCGCCCCCTTGCCGATCTATAAACTAGTGGTTCGGATTTTTCTTCCTTTTTCTTCTTTTCATTTCCCTCCATATCTGCCTATATCTCGAGCTATAGCTCTTCTTATAGCCATACCATACCAAACCACCGATACTGAACTTCCCCCCCCCCCCCCCACTAATACACCGCGCACCACCCCGTGGTTTTTGCAGCCATCATTCGCCCACCATGTTGATTAGACTTCGTGGGCCGGATGGCATGATCCGCCTGACGGTAGAGCCGTCAACAACATTTGGCGACTTGGGACAGCAGGTGGGTTTTGGGCAACGGGCCTTGGGTGTGCTTGTGAATAGAAAGAGGTAGAAGTTCTGACTAAATGGTGCCTTCAGCTGCTTACTCACCTACCTTCGTCTATTGATCCAAAGACGATCGTCCTGTCAAACTCCCCGACCGGCCGTGATGCGAAGAGGCTAGGCGATATTGTTCAGTTTCAGATCGGTCAGATCGGCCTCAAGTACGCCATTGACTCGTCGTTCGCGTATAAGGCAGAGGCTTTGGGAGGAATGCTAACAGATCGATTTATAGGCATGGCGATCTGATATTCCTTAGCTACCAACACGAAGCTGAAAATGACACCAACGGCGAAGTTCCCGCGCCTGTGACGGCTGCCAGACTCAACGGCAAGCCTGTCCTTCCCACAGAGGACTTCCCCATCGACCCCAAACCCGAACGAATCTCGAAGCCCTGGGAAAGCGTAAAGCAGTCGGCATTAGACGACCGGTTGGATAAGCTGGATGGCAAGATCCCCCGAGGCCGTGATAGGATGTGTCGACACGGACCCAAGGGCATGTGCGATTATTGCCAGCCAATGGACCCCTTCGACCCAGGTTATCTGGCAGACAATGGAATCAAATATCCTTCTTTCCACTCTCATCTACGCAAAATAAACTCCGCGACGAACAAACCAGAATCTGGAACATCATACATACCTCCTCTCGTGGAGCCATATTTCCGAGTCAAGAGAGACTGTCCATCCGGCCATCCGCCCTGGCCGGAAGGCATTTGCACCAAGTGCCAACCGAGTGCGATTACTCTCAATCCTCAGACATTCCGCATGGTAGACCATGTCGAGTTTTCTAGCCCTTCCATAATTGATGGCTTCATTGATACTTGGCGGAAGACTGGTTCACAGCGACTAGGTTATCTCTACGGCCGATATGCGGAGTACACCAAAGTCCCTCTTGGAGTGAAGGCTGTCGTGGAAGCCATTTATGAGCCACCGCAGGTCGATGAAGTTGATGGAATCAGCATGAATGCCTGGGAGAATCAAAAAGAAATTGATCATATTGCTAAGCTCTGCGGATTGGAGCCCGTAGGTGCCATCTGGACAGACTTGCTCGATTCAGGACGTGGCGATGGATCCGTTGTTTGCAAGCGCCACCTCGACTCATACTTTTTGTCGTCTCTCGAGATCTGCTTTTCATCTAGGTTGCAGGCACAATACCCCAAGCCTTCGAAGTGGAGTGATTCTGGCCAGTTCGGCTCCAATTTTGTCACATGCGTTATCACAGGCGACGAAGAAGGAAACATTGCCATCTCAGCATATCAAATGTCTAACGATGCTGTCGAAATGGTGCGAGCCGATATAGTCGAACCTTCAGCAGACCCCAACTCTATGCTTGTTCGCGAAGAAGAGGAAGATGACGGCTCACTCAGTCGGACGAGATATATTCCCGAAGTGTTTTATAGCAAGGTGAACGAATACGGCGCAAAAGTACAGCAGAACGCGAAGCCAGCGTTCCCCGTTGAATACCTTTTTGTGACTCTAACACACGGTTTCCCTGACGAGCCTAAGCCCACATTCACGCAGACAGGATTCCCCATCGAGAACCGCGAATACATTGGCGAGAGTCAAGAGCATTCGGCCCTGGCACGAGCGTTGAACCTACGATCTGGCCAGAAAGCCAGCGATAATGGTCAAGAAGTATCAAACTTCCATATTCTCTGCTTCATCCACAAACTCGGAGTTCTTTCAAAGGTTTGTCTCTCCGATTTTTTCCTCGATGGTATCATCAAACTCTTTCAAGCATACATGTGGCTAACTAATAATTCCTTCCCTTTCTCTCTCTTAGGATGAGGAAGCTCTTCTCTGTCGCGTTGCAACCGAACATGATCTTGCCGATTCGTTCCAGCTCCGCTCTACACAAGGCTGGCAGACACTACAGGCCATCCTAAAATCGACTGGTGAGCGAATCCCTAAGCGTTTACGGGAACACGATGAAGTTCCGCTGGCGACCTCGTCTTCTTCACTTTCTTCATCTTCTTCTTCATCATCTTTGCATCCCAAGGCCCCTTCTGTTGTTAGTGAGCCGGGTGAGCCACTTGCTAAACGGTTTGCTGCCTTCAGGCTGAACGAACGTCGTGCCGCAACCCCGAGCAATTTTTCGCCGCCGCCGCCGCCGCCGCCGCCTCCTTCTTGAGCTTCCACTGTGGGTTTGAAAAGAACATATTCAAGTTTGCTGTTGTTTTCTTTTTAGGCGTGTGATACCAGCAGGGAGGATTTTGAGGGACAGGATTTATACTTCTACTTCTACCGTATAGTTAGATGGTGTTGAAAAAAAAAAAAAAAAAAAAAAAAAAAGGGGGGGGGGGGGGGGAACAAGCCATCAGGTATTGAATTAGGGTTATTTAATGGCATCAAGATGGGCGGTAATATTGCTTAGGGATGAAATGCAGGCATATAGACAAAATAAAGCGAGTACATTTCTCTGACAATTACGATTACGTTCACGAGTTCCAGACATGCTACAGTTTTAAAACACAGTCAGATTTTTAGAAACGAAGCTGAAAGCTATAAATTACTCAGATAGCGACAAGCGAGACACCTGCTGCAGTGAACCAGCAAGCCCCTATTCCGCCCCATTGTAACGCAGATGCTGTGCTACAGTCATGTAATATTAGCGAATTAGAGAACGAGCTTCGACCAGTTCACGAAATGCAGTCTCCTCAAAGAGAGTATCTCGAAATGCAAAATCAGATTGTGGAACTTGAGATTCAGCATTTGAAGCAAGTAAGCGAAATACAACGGAGAATAATTGAACGATACCAGGAGAAATTCCTCAGACTGGAGAAGGAAGGCAGGATAACGGGACGACGAGACTGAAATAAATCAGAATATGGGCGTTGTTGGCATTGTTGGCGACAACGGTTGAGGTATGTGATATGTGTATGATTTATACTACATATATGCAGGACAGACAAAACTCCATGTAGATAAATGATACAATCCAACTGCGATTTTTTTTTTTTTAAAAAAAAAAAAAAAAAAAAAAAAAAAAAAAAAAAAAAAAAAAAAAAAATTTACAGGATCTTATGAAAGCCGAGACAGTACGGTTTGCTCTTTTTTGAAGATAGCATGGTGAGATGTGCATTTTAGAATATGTGTGTATTTTATGGCGAAACACGCATTTTACAACATCCGCTTGAAACATCTGTTTTCATTGCAACTCATTAGAATACTAACGAAATACTACCTATTCTACGATAGCCTTGTGAAATATGTGCATGTATAAAAAGACGCTCTTTACGAGACTGCCAATTAATCACCTAGTAGGAATGAATGTGATTGCACGTGCCATTCGTGCCCCAGATCAGCTATCTGAAACCAGTCTTCCATCTCTTCCATCTTACTTCCCGAGACATTGAATCGAATATTTTGGAACAGGAATGCAGCAAGGTTGCTCGGCACAAACAAAATACAGAATCCATGCCAATCAATTTTACTAAAGAGAGAAAACATGCTGTCGGGACTCAAGGGAAAGAACGTGGTTTGACGGGCGATCAACGAACCCCTTTCCTCAGAGGGTGAATTGTTTGAAACAGCGTGGCTCAAAGATTGTGGAATGCGGCTCATTCAGCACCATTGAATGTGAATATGTCGGAATCCCAATGCTGGGCACTGGCTAGCTGCACATTGCCTTTCTGTTGGTAAACTACTCCGTACTGAAATGGCTTATAGACAAAGTTCTCACATGTGTTAGTCATTGTTGGCCGTCATTCATTGGTTTCACGGCATATCCCCCCATCCAGTCTACGTTCCATTAAGAGTCTGAGAGAACAAATCGCGACTGGAGCTGCGTTTCAGGCATGGAAATCCGAATCAGCAGCACTGTAGGCCCGAAAACAATGAATACATGCTGCTATACCGCAGGACTATGGAGTATAAGAATGGTGATGCCCATGCTATGCCATTGAGTCGATGGAATCACTCTCTCGCTCCCTATTCCGCAACGGCAGCTGAGACAGTCACTTCCGTCTTGTCACTCATTAAATCGTTCTGACCTATTTGTTTGTCGCCAAGCTCAGCATGAAACCGAGCACAGCCGTCATTCTTCTTGCTGCGCTTGCAGGGCACTCGGTGGCAGCACCTACCGGGAATGCCGCGCTGCAAGCTCAGCAGCCAGACACAAACGCTTTGAGGTTATTAGCTACCCATATATCGACAGGCGAGCTCACTCAATCAGACCGTGTGCTGCTTAGCCACTTGTTAGTAGCAGCCTCTTCGCTGCAGAAACGAGAAGCGGATTCGTCGGACGCAGCAGACGGCATCTTCGGCGCTCTGGGTAGTGGCATCGGTGGAGGCCTCGGGGCTGGCCTCGGCGGCCTACTTGATGGAATTTCTAGTCTCGTCACCCAGCTCTTAACAGGCCTGTTCGGTGGTGGTCTCAATCAGGGAGCCGCTTTGGGACTTTCTGTAGGCTCAAATGGCGGCAATGGGCTCAATTTGACCGGCACTGTGTCGAGTCTTCCGTTGCAAAACATTTCCCTTCCCGGAGGCAGCATCTCCCTCCCTGCCAACATCACCACTCTTCCTGCAAACATCTCTCTTCCGGCAAACATCACCTCTATTCCTGTCAACATTACCGGAACAGTGGGCAACCTTGGGGGCGCTCTTGGAAGCTCCGGCTCCGGACTGACCGTGAGCAGCATTAATGATACCGTGAATGAAATTTTTAGGAGCCTGCTTGGCGGTCTGGATGATTCCGTGCTTACAAGCTTGATTAGCATAATCACAAATGCAAAGGGCGATGGGCAGAAGGCTACAAATGATATTATTAGTTTTGCTTCTTCCAATGGTTACGACAGCAATGCTATCTTCGCAGCCCTGAATAATGCTCTGTACCTAGGAAACCTCGATGTCAGCCTTGGGGGTCTTATTAAAGGCTCGGGTGGTATACTTGGACAGCTTGTGATTGCTCTGAACAGTTTAAACACCGTTGGTGGTCACAGTCAAATCAACCTACCTGGTGCAATCGGGCTCAACGGAGTCCTCTCTGCCGGAGCTCAGAATGGTTTGAACATAACTCTTGGGAATCTTCCAGATGGAACTCTGAATGGCTTAAACATAACTCTTGGGAGTCTTCCTGCCGGAGCTCTGAATGGCTTAAACATAACTCTAGGGAATCTCCCTGGCGGAGTTCTCAGCAGTTTGAACACAACTCTTGGAAACCTTCCCAGTGGAATTGTCAATACAACGGTTGGAACAGTCACCAATGGAGCAAATGGTGGAATCAGCCTGCCTGGCGGATTGACCCTCTCAGAAGTCCAACATCTGATTGACTTTATCCGCAGCGCTACTAGCCAACTCGCAGTGACAAATGAGGTTCAGCGAGTCGCTGCGTTGCACAAACTTGATCCTGTTGGTCTTGCTCGTTTGTTGCAGAGTCTCTTGAACCTCCCTGACATTGGAAATGCTACTTCTAACAACACTGGAATAGTCACACCTCCATTGGTAAATGGAACAACCGGAGGATTGCCCGTCACTTTGAATGGAACTGTTGGAGTACCGACTGGGGGTCTTTCTGGCACCATTAACGGAACTCTAGGTCTCGGTGGTTTGGGCATCGGTCTTGGCGGCGGCTCCAATCTGCTTGGTGATCTTGTCAATGATGTTGTTGGGCTTGTTACGTACCTGTTACATCTTTTGGCCCTTGGAGGTCAGGGTGGCAGTCTCGACGCACTTGGAAATATTGGAGGACTTGGTGGACTCGCATCTGGACTCGTTTCTGGTAACCCTGCGGTCAACTTGACAGGATCTCTGGGTCCCGTTGTCAGTAATCTGACCAGCACAGTTGGTTCCATTGCCGGTGGCTTGCCAGGTGTGGACGTTGGTGCTACTATTACTGTTGGACCTACTTTAGGGTCTGTGATTTCGGGTCTGAACTCGACACTCAACGGCGTGCTGCCCGGTGTAGGATCTGCTGTCGGGTCTGTTGTCTCGGGTCTAAACTCAACAATCTCCTCCGTCTTGGCGTCAAATGTGACATCTGGATTAGGAACCACTGTCGGGTCTGCCCTGGATGGTGACTTGGGATCGGCTACATCTGACGTAGCGTCTACCGTTGTATCAACACTCACTGGCGCTGGAGTCCCCGTTGTAGGATCAGCTCTTTCTGGCACAAGCCCACCTGTGGCTGACTTGGGATCAACTCTCTCGGGTGTAGTTTCTACTGCCGCTGGGCTTGTCTCTAGTCTATTGAACGCAACTAGTTCAGGATCAACCGCCTCTGGTCTAGCTGGTTCTACAGGTGCAGGAGTCGGGACAATTGGATCAGACACCAGTCTGAAAACCGACGGGTTTTCCGATGCATCTGATGAGAAAACCACCGCAATCGTTTTTGACCCCAGCGGCTCTGGCGAGGACAACGGTTCGCCCATATCAAACGTCAGACGGTCTCATGTCGTGCGATCACGACCCTCGGTCCATGGTAGAATTGCCGCCTAAAATGTGTTTCCAAGGAGGTGGATGAATGCAGTGCAGTGGCACACATGTTGGAAAGTTTAACCAGTCCGTTCAGTTTAAGGGGGCCGAGGGATAAGACTGGCATCGACAAGTTGCTTGCGAGGCTATGAATAATTGGATGAAATTAAGCAGTATTTATATAGTTATGTTTTTCGTTTTCGATGTCGGAAGAGAGCAGCAGACGAAGCGTCTGGTTAGGAACAGGATAGTTACTTCTTTTTACCCACAGCTATAACACATATTTTATTACAAAGGTTTAGAATCTTCCTAGGCCATTGCCTCCATCACTCCCATTTTAATGGCATTTATTGGTTTCTGTAATGGCATAAAATCTAGCTTGCTATAGGAATATGGCCTCGAAGGGACCCTGTGGCCAAGAGCGTAGTAAAATACATCTAGAGGTCACTTTTAAGGATAGGACTCCACGCCTTTCATCCTTCCAAAGTACTGTTTAAATAGTAGCGAAAATTGGATTCGTAGATCTTATTACCCTACATGGATTCAACGCATTACCATTTCAAATAGAGCTTGTATATTATCATTGTTTGCTGTTCTCAACTTCTCGAGCTCTTGAGCAGACAAATGACTCGTTTGAAGAATTTATTTGATGATACAGGCTCTTCATTTTCTGAAGCCGCTTCCTCACCTTCTTCTTTGTACGGACAATTTCAGTTGGAGGACGGGGCTCGTCGCTTTCTCTTCGGCTATGATTTCGCAACTCTGCAAAGCCAGCTCCACTTGAAGGCGAATACAGCATAATGTACGTAGACGTATACCATTCTAACTCGAGTATCGGCATGATTAAGTCTCTTAAACGTAGCCTTTGGCTACGCTGAGCCCTTACACCATCATCTTGGGCAGATCTGACAGTACCACGCTCATTGAGAAGTGTACTATCGCCCACGTCCTTCACTTTGGGAAAAATGCTCTTCTTGTGCTGCAGGCTATTACCAGCGTATTGGCAGTGGTCAAGCTTGAGCTCCTTGTCTTGGGGAGATTTTAGACCAGCCTGCTCGCCATTGAATGAGACATCATCAGTATTTTGGGGGCTTGGAGCTTTCAAACTGTTATTTCGAGCCAGTTCAGAAGGAGCGCATTTGTCATTAAGTGAGCCACTACTAGCATTTCGAGTCAGACCGGCCTCAGCACCACGATCTCGGGATAGTTCAAGACGAGATTCCTTGGTAATATGTGAGCTACTTCCAGCATCTCGATCACCTTGGACTTGAAGAGTATTGTTCGGGCGTGTTTCAAGACGAGTGTACTCGTTGCGCAGCGAGTCGTCGTCCATACCCTGGACTCGCCTTAGAGGTTGTGAAGGAAGCAGAGCAGGATTGGAGTTGACACGTCTGAAGCCAGTGGCACTGGTACTCACTCTAGTAGCTTTGCAGTTCTTCTTTTCATGGTACCATTTGGCATCCTTTTTTGCTTGGGTGGTAGGAAGGCTGGCCCGCTTCGTGCTATTGACGTACACCTCGCGATCTTTCTCCTGCATTTCGCATTTCGGGCATAGAGTAGCGCGATGCTCTAACTTTTTGGCTTCATGGCGGTGACTTTCGTTAGATTGAGATTGGCTTGGAAAATATGTTGCCGAATGATGGCATTTATGCAGTTCACATTGTTTATTGCAACGACACAAGTGGCCACAGTCGTATTGGAAGAGCTGCTCGCACATACTTTCTGTGAACCTTACCGGGCCAACTCAAAAGGGATAAAAATTTTTAGAAGAGCAAATCATATTAGGAGGTAGCCCAGGGTGCTCTGGTAACAGTTATATAGCTGCTCAATGAAAGAGAGAATGTCTGTTTAACAGAGACGAAATTCTATCATTTGCCCCTGCGAATACTATTGCCTTGAAGAAGGACAGTTAATAAAGATGCTAAAGTGAATCAAAGATCTCCATCGCAAAGATACTGTGGGGTGATTCACTACAGTGTACTGTTGGCAGCCGCAAGTTACTCTGGACAATACGGGTAATTTTCTGAAAAGCAGCTGTTTGGTGAATGAAAAGCGTATTGGATGCCGTTCAATGACGTAGATCCTTAAACGCAAAGAATTTCCGCCACTTCAGAGGGAACTCTGAGTATCTTTTTTTTATCCTAATTGTTTTTTTATTCTCCTCGCCATTACTACATCTACTACATCTACAACCCGCCAGCCTAACTTGAGCTTAGAACCAGACCTAGTGATCAAGGGCAATCATTAGAAGCTCCCTAGAGCTCCATTAGCTGGATGTCTTATCTACTAGCAGCATTGGATCAAATGGGTTAATAACACGGGGCTGGTAGAATTTGACCACTCTTTGGATTAATCCCAAAGGCAATGGAAACAGACTCGCAGCATGAAGCTTTTGGTGTAAATCCTAACGATATTAAAGAATACACGGTGTGAGATAATGTACCAAGTTACCTATAAGGTCCCTTCAATAACTCCACACTATCGTATTGAGTTGATGCTTTGTATGATGCCAGCAAGCGAAGTACCTACTATGTATAATATGGGGGGAAGAAATAGCTTACCCACACGAATTTGCACTGGCTCTCACGGGCCCCGGGAGTGTCCAATTTTACGGACTGTCGAGCTACACCATCCCCAACAAATCTCCAGAAAGTGTTGTTGCGCTGGACCAGCCCTTGTCTGACCGGCTCTCAAGATGTTCTTAGTGAGTGAGGCCAAAGACGGCCCATTCACAAGAATTTCAGCTAGTTTATTTTTCTATTGAAGTCGCTACAGCATCTGATAGAGAGCTTGATTCATGAGTCAACCGAGTAATCCCTTGTAGGAAATCGAATCACGTCTCTATCCCGCTGACGATGGCAGCCTTCCAAGCACTCCGTCGAAAGGAGATGGAAGCACTAACCAAGCTTCAGGGCGATTCAAGTGGTACCTCTGATAGGGAGAGATCTCCTCATCATCGAAATTTGCCTCTCCCTCTGTATTCGTCCGTAGCAGTTCTTCAGGATCGTTGCTAGGCTACACCGAAGCTTACCAGACGTGGAGGCCGGGTAGCAGAGATTTGCAACAAGCCGCACTTTGAGAGACAAGGCGTAGCTGGGGCAACGTGGACGGAAACCGCATGTCACCAACGATTGCCACACGACTATCCGACCCAATGTCCACAAACAGCGTAGCAGTCGAAGCATCTTGCCGGAATCGCTTACAATGGTGATGAAGAGGTGAGAGTATAAAAACCGGGGGACATAGAGCTACACGAGAAATACGCAAACATAGATGTAAAGAATTATACATGTATATCGGTAAAATATAGACTCGGGAGTTAATATACCCCAGCGTATCTAGGTTTATACTTGTTGTTTACATTATTGCTCTAAATATTTATCAATAATTCAAATGTTAACATATGGGTCTTCGTAATAAGTAGCAGTTACAAGTATATCTTGCGCAAAAGTACAGTACTGCCACCTACGTGTAGTCAATACTTATAATACACACTACCAGCAGCTGCGAGGCAAATACTTGAGCAGAGTCCATGAGACTAAGGCAAGGTAAATGGCGCTCCTTTACAACGTAAACTACCTAGTACTGGCATGTAATCTAGTGTCTGGATAACGACGAAGTTGCGTCTTTCTGTATCGTGGAACTACAAAAAAGAAAGCTTGGGTTGGAGTGACTAGGAGTCTCGTTTCTGGATAGCATTTACACCAGATATAGTTTACAGTAATAGAGCCGAGGTTGGATCAAGCATTTTCCAAGACCCTCTTCGCACAGTTGACCCAAAGTTTCTCCCCGGGGCGTGTTTTTAGTAACTACACGTAGCTTCAAAGTAGGTCTTGGAGGCGCAAAATTACAGTTATATGATACTTTTTTATAGCTGGTTTTTTTTTTTAACAGGAGTGGAACTTGCTGGCTTTATACACCAAATTAATTCATCACCTGCGCCGAGTATGTTTGAGTTCATGTGGTGGAGTGACGTGGCGAAAGGAAAATGTTGGGTCTATAGAGCAAGAAGACCAGGATATAAAGCTACGTGTATAAGGAAGGTGTAAGGCAATGGATGCTACCCAATCCCAATCTTTCTTGCACTCAACTTCTTCAATTTGCTCACTCAACTGTCACATCAACCTATAGTGTTATGCGCGGACTGAGCAACTTCATTTTCAGTCGGAAAAGGTCCTTTCAGCAGCAGCCCAAGCAGACCCTCCCCCCCGTCTCGGAAGAGAGTTTAGAGCACCCTGAAGTATACAGGGAAGTGCTGGGCCAAATGGCGAGAGACATGGAGCTTCAGATTAATAAGATATTTGACTACATCGATAAGGTGAAGAGAGACTTACAATACCGTCTCGGTAACATAAGGCATCATTTGGAGGCCCTAGAGACCCGGATAGAAGAGCTCAGCGTCCAGTTGAACATGTTGAACGCCAAGCAAAGCGCTGCGTAAGTTCAAGGCTTTCCTGGAGGTGGTTTCGCTTTGACAGCTAACCTATATAACCAATTTCCTTGTACAGAGAGTATAATGCTCGCGCGCGCGATCAAAATTCCTTGGTCACAAGTAGAGAGATGTATATCTGTCCGCTTCGGAATCCCGAGACCAACGATGACGTCCGCTGCCCGAGTACTTTAGGGGAATTGGAGGCTTACAGTGGTACGTGATTCAGAATTTTAGTTACTCAAAAGTATAGAATATCTTGGCTTAGGAATCCTAGGGTCCGAACTCGATGCCCTCTTACAAGCCCTGGGAGAGCCTGTCCCGACTGCAACGAATCATAAGCTGGAAATAATAAAATGGGCCTTGGGAATTCGGAGTGGCAGATATAAATAAGCAGGTAAAATCTCATCAAACCCCCTATTTCTCTCCTTAACGAGGAGATTGCGTTTTCTTTGTCTAGCTAATGCTTCATAAAAAAATGGACAGCTATTGTATTTTACCAGCGATAACCGAGCGTTTGCCAACCATGAGAGCCATTATAATTATATAATCAAGTTGATACTGCTATTTATAGTATTACTGATTATTTTTCTTTCTCATAACATTGGAATTTAGGTGCTAATAACTATGGAGTTGATATTCCTCTCTTCAACACTCACTATATTTACTTGCGTGGGGGGATTGAGCAGAAATGCGCACATTTTATGGCAACGCTACTTTAATGCTGTTGGAGCTTTCTACAGTAGCAGCGATAGGCGCGAGACCATATTCATCCAATGGCCTTTAGCTTTTTTGCAAAGCCTATGGGGATCTTGCACGATATGTGGAATTCAGGCAAGGATCCTCGCATGTCTAAAAGGATACATAGATACAGCACGCCAGATTCGGCAAGCCTGGACCTGGAGCAGAGTCCAAAGGGCCCGCCTCGACAACGAATCGTTGAGCAGATTAGTCTACTTATTTATGTCTGGATAGAAAGATCAAAACTTACTAGGCCGTGATGAATTTGCATGATGTGGCTCACTGACTAATGGCTGTTAGATATTGAATTGGCCATGGACTAGTGCAGTTCTCAAGCCAGAAAATGGGAAGCTATCTAGAAGAGATGTCCACGAAAGTAATCGTCGATATTGCGAGCGGCCGCAAAAGAACCAAATAACAATTTGAAAGAGAAACTTTTCAAGCCAACAGACGGCGGCCAATCTACCAGAGCTCCTCTCGCAAAGGCTGCCATCTCTGTCCTACGTTGATGCAATGACAGCAGCTCCTACCAGAGCATATCTCCAACAGCCTAATGGTTGTACGAGTAAGTCATGAGACTACCTACCGTCCATGTATACTGCTAATGGCGAGACCGCCACCGTTACGGCTATTGTGCTCAAATCTTCTCAGGATCGAGAATCTAAAATTCCCCTCGTCTAAACCACATGCACCGTCTCTTTCGTGTGTAGTTGCTAGAAAGCTCAACAGCTCAGCATTAGGCGATTTGTTGCTATACAAGTAGCTCAGCATGCCCTGCCCGTCGACTTTATGAACAAAGACGTCCAGAGTCTGGATTTGGAAGTTGCCTATACCCGAACATCGGCAGGATAGTCTCAGCATGAAGTTGTCAACCGCAGTCCTGGTGGCAGCGAGCGCATCCGCACCCGTCGCCGCGTTGCAGGGCTTTGGCCAACAGTCGACCGGATACTTCCCCTACTGCGCCACGGCATGTAACCGGGCTCTGGGATCCAACTATCTCTCATGTTCCTTCGATGGCTACGTCCCCGGCGGCATGATGGACAGCGACTCGGCCTCGGCCACGCCCGCGTGTCGCGCGGGCAACATGCCGTTCCTCTCCTCGCTGGCGTACTGCATCAGCACCCACTGCAGCTACGACATGGGCGTCATCGAGACCTGGTGGGCGGCCAAGAGCACCGGGTCTGGCGGCGTCTTTGAGCCACCCAGGTGGTCCTACCAGGAGGCTCTGATGAACGTTACGGCCGCGCCAACCCACGTCCTCACGGCCAAGGACAACTTGACATCGGCCATGCTTGCCAACGAGACCAACTACCGCAACCAATACGGCACGCTGTTCATGGTGGACCGCGAGGAGTTTCTGCATGAGAAATACGGGTATGAGTCCACGTCCCGTTCTGCCTTAGTGCCCTCTGTCGAATAGGATGATGCTCACATGTATGTTGCTGTAATGACAGACTTGTCCTCCTTATGGTGGGCTTCGGCATCCCCCTGCTCGCCACATGGCTAAGCTACCTGCCCTTTATGAATCCTCTCATCCACAAGCTCAAGCCCTATGCCGTCTGGCCCAGCACCATCGGATCCTACCAGGTCCGGCCGCTCCCCTACCTAGGCGGAACCGCCCTGACAAGAGGCCAAGCACTGTACGTGGCCGTCATGGCCATCCTCACCGTTGTATTCATGGCGGTGCACTATGAATCATACCAGCCAAACCTGTGGTACCCGGGCCAGAGCGTCGAGCTCATGGCGTACGTTGTGTGGCGCACCGGCTGCTACTCTCTCGCCCTGCTACCCGTCGTGCTTCTCTTCGCTGCCAGGAACAACACGCTGCTGTGGCTGACCAACTGGTCACACGAGACATACATTCTTCTTCATCGCTGGGTAGCTCGAATCTTTGCCTTGCTCGTCATCATCCACTCTATCCTCTCCATCGCCTACTATGTAAAAGATGGCAACTACGGTTCCAGTTTCAGCGAGGCATGGTGGGTTTGGGGAAGCGTCGGAACCGTCGCTGTCAGTGCCATGTTGATCACCGCAACTCCGTGGGTGCGCCGTTATTCATACGAGTTCTTCTTGCTGTCGCACATCGTGTTAGCCGTCTTTGTCCTTGCAGGCACGTGGTATCACCTCCTGTACCTCTATATGAATATGTCGGGCTATGAGCAGTGGCTGTATGTTGCCTTTGGTGTCTGGGGCCTCGACCGCCTCTTCCGCGTCCTCCGTGTCCTGAAAAATGGCGTTCAGCGTGCACGCATCATCGATATTGGCGGTGATATAGTCCGCGTAGACATCGAGAGCATTTGCTGGGGATTCACGCCGGGGAAAGTCGTGTATGCCTTCTTCCCGACGTTGCAGCCGCTCCGCCCGTGGGAAAATCACCCCTTTTCCGTGCTCCCAACCGCCATGCTGGAACGCTCCAATGCCGTCGCTCCGGCACTGGACAAAGACTCCAGATCCTCTCTTGGTTCCGGTACCCGAAATGACGTCGAGAAGAATGTAATTAGCCAGCAAATTCCTACGAAGCAAATTGCCACCGCGGCGGAGCACCAGCCGACAGCAGGCATCACTTTCTTCATTCGCAAGTCAAGGGGCTTCACCAAGCAACTCACTGCCGGCACCAATATCTTAGTGCTCCTAGACGGGCCTTATCCTGGCAACCCGACCGCTCCCATCTTGCAATGTGACCGCGTGTTGCTTATCTGTGGTGGAATTGGCATCACAGCCATCCTGCCTTGGATCGACAGCCACCCGAATGTGAAGCTTGCGTGGAGCGTGAGGGAGTACGCCTCGCCGCTGGTCGATTCAGTAAGCAAGGTTCTGGACAGGGTCATCGAAAAGGACGTGAGGATCGGCCACCGTCTGGATATCGAGGAGCTGCTTGCGGAGGACGCGCAAGCCGGGTGGAAGCGTATCGGAGTGGTGGTGTGCGGACCCGACGGAATGTGTGACGATACGAGAGCGTTGGTCACGGCGGCGGCGAAGCGTGGAGATGCTCAGTTTGAGCTGGAGGTGCATGCTTATAGCTGGTAGTAGGGCCTGAAGAAGTCCGAGCAGAGAGGATGTTGTGAAGATGGCAATCTCAAATGATTAATTGCTTTATATACCGAGCTTGAAGAGCCGCAATACCCTGTTTTGTTGCTGATACCTAATTTCTCACTTGTATAGGGCTATATCGGCATGTGCACAGATATTGAACCGATGAGAGAGGAGAAAAATAAATATATACCCCATTTGATGTCTCCTTTTCCACGCCAGGATGGCCTAAGACCTATGATGATTCTCAGTGGTTACTTTCCCTCTATGTTGAGCTTGAAGGGCTGCCATCAGCTGTATTATTATTTTAGAAATTACTAGCATACGATATTTCTAATCATGCATAAATGCTAATTTGTTGATAGAAAACTAACCAAGTTATACCATACTTTCTATTCCTCCTTATACCTAGTAAACAATCAATGCTATCACGACGATTGTATAAAAAGGGGGCAATTCTGTAAAATTTCAAAATAGTCAAGCTTTGATGCTCCATTTGCTTGGTGTATTTAAAAGCATTTGGGAGTACCATCATCCAGTCCCAGTCCGGTATTGGATAACAATAATTTAATATCCCTGAGATAGCAGTCCCATGTGAACGCTGAATTGAATGTAGTAGCTCGAGGCCGTCCCATCAACGAGGCCGTCCTTTTGTTCATTGGAAGCATTCTAATCTCCTTTAAACCACGACAGCCGTTATTGTGCATCTCCCAGCTCTTCTATAGTATGTATCTTAAGGAGGTGAGGTCAATGTATCACCATGTGATGGCCTCATCCGCGCCAAGCACGCCGTCAAACGAAATTGGGATGAAAGGAACAGACATATCACCTTTCTTCTCCACAAATTTTCCGCGTCACACGGGGTACCGTTTCCTGATGTGATATCTCAACGGCCAGAATTAGCGAGCGCCAAGAAAGTATGTTGTCATCGTGCTTGTCATGATAGGTAATAAGTATATACTTGTATCAAATTCAACTGAAACGTGTTGAGGAGTGAAGCTCGGTTGAAAATAGGTTAGACAACATTTAGAGCCAGAAAATGTATTCAGAATCAGGCAGTTTCAAAGAGACATCCTCATAATAAAGCAAATTTCATATTTTTTTTTTATAATCTCTAGATGATTCGCTCGCCAAGAACTTACAAGAACCTACCGCGTATTTCCTTGTCCCCACTTATACCGAATACGCAACGCGGAAATATGCCAGGACGAGAATCCTGCGAGCTGCTTTACTGGAGTCTTGGTGAGTAAGAAATTGCTCAGTATGATTTTCTCCGGATTCATCGGATGTAACGCTAATCATTCGACCAGTTCATGCAATATATATTGTGTGGTATGACACTCGCAAATCTCTTGACCTCTAGAAAATCTTATAGGCCGTGTTCCATAGCGATTGCATGCCATGAGATGTCAAATTCTCATATAACGAGAGTTCTAGTTTAACGACCATCGTTTTATAGAGTAACCTCTCTCTGGCGTATCCTTTCTCATATCGATCTGATCGAGGCGAGCTCGTCATCCTCGACCCACTTTTACGATGCTCTTCACGCTCTTCTCCCGGCTTCCCTTGTCTGTCAAAGTATGGGCAGTTCAACAGGTTGCGTTCCACGTGATCGGGCTCGTTTTCGAGTGGCTGGACTCTTCAAATGCTCTAAGCAAGATCAGGGCCCGAGAGGCAGACACCAAGCCGTATAAACGGATGCTTCCGAAAGTCCTGCTAAACCAATGTCTCGTCCTCCTACCTTGCATGGCGCTTTGTGAGGCGACTGGACTCTGCTTCACAAACAAAGGCCACATCTCGACGGGGCGTGCGGTTTTGTCGCTGCCCGTTCTCGCCATTGGACACGATGTCGTCCAGTATCTTACTCATAGATACCTGCTGCACCAGCCAAACCTGAAGCTCATGCGGATGCTGCGCCACTCAGTCCACCACTCGACGACAGCCAGCAAAGGAATCAGCGCGTGCTACATGTCGGCTCCTGATTTCTTCCTCGAGATTGTGCTACCCTATTTAGTGCCGCTCGCGCTCGTGGGCGGCGGCGGTGCTGATCTGCGTTTCCATTCGCTGGTGGTTGCTTCCGGCGCTTTTGGTGGCATCTACGAGCACTCGGGCTACGATCTCGCCTTGGCATTCCAGGCATATCCCCGGAACAAGGAAGACGGATGGTACTGGAAAGTCGTCGCATCTGTGCTCTCCGATTTGGTCAGCACTCGTGCCCACCACGAGCACCACTCGAGGGGTCAGGTGTCGTTCTCCGACGGCTTTGGCAGCCCGGGAATATGTGATACCATCTTTGGCACACGCTGGGACTTGGTTCCTAGACACCGCGACGAGGTCGAGCGCGAGTGGCGGTCGCAAACCGAGCAGCAGCAGCCCGCAGACGTGAGGTAGATGGCAGCAGGATGTCGAAGATGCCTGGCCCAAGTCTCGATGCCGAACTTGAGGTTGGTGTGCGGCAACGCTTACCGCTGGTTTCGAATCCAGTTTCATCAATTTTGTTTACAGATACCCTCAATTCGAACAATTTCATTTCATCATCTCATGAACCTTTACAGCGAAGATCCTTCAAGCGTAGATCACCACTCAGCAACCCACCAGAAGAAACATAGGCAACTAGCGCGAGAGTGTCTAGCCATCGGCATCAAGAATGTATATCACGGACAGAGCAATGGATTCAACATAAACTCGGCATATTGTTTAAATTTGGCAAGGTGCGGTGATCACTAGCAGGGGGGTTCAAAGAAGACAGTCGCGAATGATAATCAATTCGAATCTGATGTTGAAAATTATCATAATTAGTCTTGAATTTTTACTGTTGGAATGCAAATAAAGTGAGCTCATGACAGATTATAAATAGTAAATAATATGGCAATCAGGTTGGGAATTGTGCTACACTTATATAGTTTGACAGCTCAGCTGAGCACATATGAGCAAGTTTTCATCCTGCACGGGAGCACAAATGCCATTTCTGGACTAACAAATGCTGAGCAAGTTTATTTACCAGAAATGGTCAAAACACTATACCCTATATCAGCATCGATATACTACTAGCACCTGTATTTTAATGTTTGATATGTTATTATATATCAACTCGTGTTGTTCTGCCTTCTGTTCTTTCCTCCCCAGTGATCTCTCGATTCGGTGTTTGGGCAGCACCTGCATGTATTGCCTATGAATTCGCTTGTCGTAGCATGATCTCATTTGCAATTCTGTATATTCTTATATGATCCTGCTGCTCCTATCTCCATCTCCCTTCAGTCTATAATATCCGGCCAACAAGCAACAAAATGGCCATCGCACCGTCCGTCGATCCGCCGCTCGAGGCAGAGGCAAAATACAGCAACAAAGCTGAGAATACTATTCACGAAGTGGAAAGTTCCGACGACAACCAACAAGTAAACACGACATTTCAACCCGGTGTCCAGGACATTGAAGCAGTTACTATTACATGGTCGAGGACCTGGCTCATCGTGGCCTATATCCTGATATGGATCACCTACTTTATCCAAGGCCTAGTGACAGGCGTAACTGGTGCTCTTCTTCCCTATGTCACCTCTGCCTTCGCCGAACACTCGCTCACGCCAACCACTGGCATTTTGAGCGCTGTCATCGGAGGCGTTACCAACCTCAGCATTGCAAAGGTCCTGGATATATTTGGACGCTCCCAAGGATATCTCCTCTGTATTGTGCTCTGCACCATTGGCCTTATAATGTCCGCTGCCTGCAACAACGTTGAGGCCTACGCTGCCTCCCAAGTCTTTTACACCGTCGGTATCAACGGCATAGGATACAGCTTGAGCGTGTTCGTCGCCGACACGTCGTCACTGCGCCACCGAGGCCTGATGCAGGCGTTTGTCAGTTCTCCAAATCTGATAACATGCTGGCTTAGCGGACCTATTTCCACGGCTTTTCTAAACGGAGCTGGCTGGCGCTGGGCCTTTGGAATGTTTACGATTCTCGTCCCAGCCGTAACCCTTCCTCTCTCTGGGCTGTTCATGTGGCAATTCTCAAAGGCCAAAAAGCTCGGCCTCATTGCGAAGCGTCAAAGTGGACGCACACCCTGGCAGTCCTTTGTTTACTACTGCCGCGAGTTCGATGCTGTCGGCCTCCTTCTACTCTCTGCCGGTGTTGCTTTCTTCCTGCTCCCATTCAACCTTTACACAAATGAAGCGAAAGGATGGAGATCTGCGCTGATTCTCTGCTTTCTGATCATCGGAATCCTTCTCATCATTGTTTTCGTTGTATGGGAGAAGTTCTTTGCCCCAGTTTCATTTCTGCCGTGGTCTATTCTCCAAGACCGTACCGTCCTCGGCGCCTGCATTCTCTCTTTTGTGCTATTTCTCAGCTATTTCTGCTGGTCTAGTTACTTCAGCTCATTCCTGCAAGTGGTAAACAACTTGAGCATTACCAATGCCAGCTACGTCATCCAAACCTATACAGTAGGCGGTGTCATATTTGCTGTTGGCACTGGCGCTTTCATCAGCTATACCGGCCGCTTCAAACCTGTAACGCTCTACTTTGGCATTCCTTTGACAGTTCTTGGCATGGGTCTGCTCATCTACTTCCGCCAGCCTGACCAGGACGTTGGCTACATTGTCATGTGCATGATCTTCATCTCCTTTGCTGAGGGAGTCCTAGTCATCTGTGACGAGATTGCCATTATGGCCGCCGTTGTGGAGCAGCAATACTTCGCCATTAGTCTGGCTGTGTTGGGGTTGTTTTCGAATATTGGATCTGCCATTGGCCTTACTATCTCCGCCGCCATCTGGCAGGGCACCATGCCGGGAAAACTTGCTGAGTACCTTCCTGCTGCTGATCAGGAGAATCTACTCCTTATCTATGAGTCCCTGCCGACGCAATTGTCGTTCCCAATCGGATCGCCCGAGCGTATTGCGATTCAGCAAGCCTATGGAGACGTACAACAACGTTTAATGATTGCAGGGACTGCGGTCTGGGCTATCGGCCTGGTATCTGTCCTGATGTGGCGAGATATTAAGGTGATCAACATTAAGCAGACGAAAGGACAGGTTGTGTGAGGACCGGTGGTGTTTTGAATGAGTGTAGCGAGATGCTTTCATGTAAATAAAGAGAAGCTTTCATCAAATGATTTCATGGCATTATAGAGAGGTGAACTGTCTCAAAGAGAGTATTGCGGTATTACGATATACTCTATCTACGTGTAGTTCGTGTAGTTAAATGTATCTCACATGTGGTGAGCAGAAAGGCTGCTCTGTGGCGTTGTAAAGACGAACCATACTCTAGTACACAAAGCTATACCATACCTATATAATGTTATTTTCTAATACAGAGAATTATTGCGATTACCTTTCTAAACTCTTAAGATAACCCTCAAAACTTGAATCAAATGATACAATTGCTCTATAACATCGAGTCGTCGGATGGCGCTGGGCAGGTTAGAAGCGTCGATATAGGGCCAGCCAATCGCGACAAGGATGGTGGGGATGTGGCTCTGAGCCGCCACTTTCTTGCGTCCAGATCATGCTAGTCCAGGCCTCGGTCCCTGTCCGGCCATATCCAGGTGTTTCCTGCAAACGAAATACCTAATCTTGTGCTGCCTTGGGAATGCCGAGTGCTACTGTACCACTATCAAACAGCTAATCTCGAGCTGAGGATCCTCCTGCACGTGAATCCCAGGTCACGGTGTCATTGGAAGCCCCGTTGCTGCAAGTAGCTCGTGCATCGGAGCCATTAGCTCTACAAACTGTGATTGGGTCCCCATTGAGCCTCTGCGGATTGAGTCAACCTCCCTGCTTTCGATTGTGCCACCCTCAGAACACAACTGGCACCTTGTACACAGCCGTAATCATGCCACCCTCTACATCAACGAATTCCGGCATCACCACAGACGAGGCCAGCGGAGAGCGTCACATTCCCGAGTCCATTCGAGCTGACGGAAGCACGCGAAAGGCCATCAAGATCCGGCCCGGCTACCAGCCTCCCGAAGATGTCCAAGTCTACAAGAACCGAACGGCAGAGGCCTTTCGTGAGCGAGGCAAGCGAATCGGCATACCCGGCGCCGCTGGATTGCAAGACGACAAGTCAGAGCAGAGCTCTGCTGCGAGCAATAAGAATGCGAAACGGCGAGAGGCTCGAAAGAAGGCCAAGGCTGACGGCGATGCCAAAGCCGATACAGCTGCGACTGCGAAAGATGCCGAATCCAAGGCGGAAGAGGTTGATCCTGAAATCGAGCGCGAGAAGAAGGCTAGAAGTCTTAAGAAGAAACTGAAGCAGGCCAAGGAGCTCAAGATGAAGAAGGATGGCGGTGAGGGTCTGTTGCCGGAGCAGATTGCAAAGGTCATCAAGATTAACGAGCTCATCCGAGAACTGGATGCCCTTGGGTTCGACGCGGAGGGAGAGCCAAAGACCGAAGCGAAAGACGGTGCGACTGAAAGCGAGAAGAACTGAGTGGTATCTTGTTTATTCTGGCAAAATCCAACTCGGAGGCTCCGTCTCATCTCCTGGCCGATATACACATACGGTTGATCATGTCATCTTGTGCCACGCCAGTGGTGCTGCTGGGAATCATTCAATCCTGCCCATCTCGCCAGCCAAGCCAAAGATGTCTGCTGGCCGGCTAAAGGCACTTTTTGGAAGCAATCCAGAACAGCAAAGGGTTGGTTTGATAGACTTTTTTATCGGCTTCGAGAATCCTGGCGTGGCGGGGCATCAAAGGATCCCTGTACATCCATCTATCCCAGGAATAGGTAGTTTTGGAGGCATGGGACGCATAAGGCTATGAGGCACGCAGCATGTATATTTAAGAAGTCTCGCATGTACAACTACAAATTTGTAAATATTACACCAAATGCACGATCAATTGGAACAGCAATGTAATTCAAGAGTTTTTCTGCTTCTATTACGGCGCAGGGTCGCGGGGTGCAATTGCATGTCCTACTAACGGACTATGAGGTAACTTAGCTTATGTACCTTAGGTACTTAATACTAAGGTAGTAGGCAGTCCATAAAAGCTTCGCCTGAGCAAACAATTCGAAGAAGAAGAAATGCGAGAGAGCTAAGGAGATACAAAAACAAAACTATGAGGGCATTCGTACATGATGCAAAAAGAACCTGAATCTGAAGCTACCCAAGTGCGCATACAGCATGTCAAAGGTGCAAGGTCCAAGCTGAAGAGTATCGCCGATCTTCTGCCGACAAGCGGTGGCAGGGATTAGCTCAAGGCTCCAATGAGTGAGGTAAGCCTCCACGATTTCAAAGAGCAGCCGCCACTGTTAGATCCCCATCCAGCGCATGCAACTCCAGCCAAGCTCCCAAAATAACCGACACGAATAACCCCAGAATTGAAGCTGCATATCCCGGAATAGAAGGCCCCTGAATCAACCGCTTCCCGCTTCTGAATTCCGCCAACAATCATGTCCGCGGAAGACGAGCGCCAAGTCGCCCTCAACGCCTACCGGGCGAAGCTCATCGAATCCCGCGAATGGGAAGCAAAGCTCAAGAACCTACGATTAGAGATCAAGGATCTGCAGAAAGAGTATGACCGAACAGAGGAGAACATCAAGGCGCTGCAGAGTGTAGGACAAATTATTGGTGAAGTCCTCAAGCAGCTGGATGATGAGAGATGTATGGCGCCCGTCTACCTATAACCCTTGTCATGGGGAAGCTATCCTACGGCCTTTAAGAAAGCGATTCTAACTCTGAGCGCTTACAGTTATCGTCAAGGCATCATCGGGTCCTCGTTATGTCGTCGGCTGCAGATCAAAGGTTGATAAGACGAAGCTTAAGCAAGGCACACGTGTCGCTCTCGATATGACGACATTAACCATCATGCGTATGCTCCCACGAGAAGTCGACCCGCTAGTTTACAACATGTCACTGGAAGACCCTGGCCAGGTCAGCTTCGGTGGAATCGGTGGATTAAACGACCAGATCCGAGAGCTGAGAGAGGTGATTGAGCTTCCCCTGAAGAACCCGGAGCTCTTCCTTAGAGTCGGCATCAAGCCGCCTAAAGGTGTCCTGCTCTATGGCCCTCCCGGAACAGGAAAAACACTCCTAGCCAGAGCGGTTGCAAGCAGTCTGGAGACAAATTTCTTGAAGGGTGAGTGACATGCAATTGAAAAGACCAGACTAGGTTCGCTGAGCTAAGCTAATAACCCATTGCAGTTGTTTCATCCGCCATTGTCGACAAGTATATCGGAGAATCTGCAAGATTGATCCGAGAAATGTTCGGCTATGCCAAGGAGCACGAGCCTTGTATCATCTTCATGGACGAAATCGATGCTATCGGAGGACGACGATTTTCTGAGGGTACCAGTGCCGACCGTGAAATCCAGAGAACGCTCATGGAGCTGCTCAACCAGCTAGATGGTTTCGACTACTTGGGCAAGACAAAGATCATTATGGCTACAAACAGACCAGATACCCTGGACCCCGCGCTGCTACGTGCTGGTCGTCTAGACCGAAAGATTGAGATTCCTCTGCCCAACGAGGTCGGACGGCTGGAGATTCTCAAGATCCATGCCTCGTCTGTCGTCATTGATGGCGATATTGACTTTGAAAGCGTAGTCAAGATGAGTGATGGCCTGAACGGAGCTGATTTGCGAAACGTTGTCACTGAAGCGTGAGTTGCTAGCCCGACCCCCAAAGATGACTTTTTCGAAAGCCATTTTCTTTACATTGCTAACAAATTTTGAAACCAGCGGTCTATTCGCTATCAAAGATTACAGAGACTCGGTCAACCAAGACGATTTCAACAAGGCGGTGCGCAAGGTGATGGAGTCGAAGAAGTTGGAGGGCAAGCTTGAGTACCAGAAGCTGTAAATGGCTTTTGATAATGATGGCTTTTGGGAAATGTTTCTGGCGTCAGCGAAAAGGAAACCGATGATGGGTACTTTTTTTTTGAAGCTGTATAATAAAGAAAGGCAGTGTAGATGCAAAATGCCGAGTGAGCTCTTGGCATAGAAATGATACGCATCGGCGACAGGGGAGCGGATACCAGCATCAAGTTCAACCTCTTAAAGGGGGGGTCCTTTTCTCTCTTCTGGTGACGATGGTGGTGATTCCAGGTATTCTAATAATAAGTCATGGTGTTGCTGTGTAAGACTGACATGTCTGTGGATCCTACTAAGTAAAGATATTTACAGAATATACAAGGATAACCACTGCTACAAGGGACGAGCATTTTGCCTTACGCCTTGTTGTCTCTCCCTAAGGCAATTAAAGTGCTCTCCCGCTGTGAGTAGCTGCATGGCTAGCAGAACACATGCCGGGTGAGACGCCATAGTAGGCCTCTTAGTGAACGAAGGAGCAAGGCTGACTGGCACATTCCCATACTGATTGTCAGATGGCATTACAGCTACGTCCGCAAACTGCTATTATTGAGGACAGAAAGCGAGGATGTGGCCAGGGATAAGCTACCAATGAGACACAGGCCACAGAGCATGTTTCCTCCTCCTCGTTCCTTTTGTTATCTTGATTTTCTCCCCTTTATTGACATGACATGACATGACATGGTTCTGGTTCTGGTTCGGGCCGCAAGTTGTTGTTGAGTTGATCAGCAGGGTGCTCTTGAGCGGAGACAACCTGACTAGACAGATTAAAAAAAAAAAGAAAGAAAGAAAACTCGAGTAGTGTGTGTGGCTTTGCTGAGATGATCACTTCCTTAGCTTGCTTTTACTGACATGATTCGATTCTAGAAGGAAATAGACACAAAGACGTAATTTCTTGACTTTCCCTTCCTTATCTTTGTGTTACAGTACTTAAGTAAATCGTCATTTTTAAGAAAAGAAGGGAAAAAAAAAAAAGGTCTATAATAACGTGACTCCATATCTCAGCACAGCGCACAGCATCTGATGCTATTCTTGGAACAAGCCACCGTTGACTAAGGATTACTAGGGGCAAGCCGATGAGGCTGTGAAAGGGGAGCTTTTCTTGTCTAAGGCCCAAGGCGCGAAATCTAGATCCCTCGGAGGCGGCGACGCCAAGCCAGGATGTAAATTGATCATTCTTATTTCTTGCATGAACTGGGCATGGGAAGAGAGGGCGCGTGGAGCTATTATTGGCTTTTTTTGGTGTTTTTTTCCCTTATCTTAGGTTCTCATTTTGCTTGAAGCGAGGTGGCTATCAAGGCAAAAGCATAGCATACATACGAAGTACATGCATACATACGAGGCTGTAATTTCACGCACGAGCCGGGATGGGGCTATTTTCAGCACACACAACTTTTCCAGAAAAATTAAGATGCCGGACGTTCTGCGCTTGGCACAGTACCGGCAGGAAAAACCGACAGGGGGTGCCTAGTTGAAGGGGGTCGCAGAAAAGAGTTGGATGGAGATACGGAAGTGCGTTACCGGGGGCCGGAATACGAATGTATGACGTCTCTGGAGGGTGACACTGGAGTTGTTGGTGCGGCGGCGGCGATTTTCGTCGTTTGTTCTTCTGCCATGATTTTTTGAATTTTTCATGGTGAAACTTGTGCCAGGGATGGGGCCCGCGGCTGTCGTGCTAGTTGGCAGCTTACATGTGCACTACACAAAAAAAAAACAGCCGGAGTAATACTGTGTAAGAGTGACTTTGTCGCTGCCAATGGCAGAACGCACTTTGGACGGAGCTGGCTACGGATCCTTTTTTGTTGTGTAAGACGTTTTTAGCACAGGCGGCACGACTCGGGCGCGGCCATTGGCCGGATTGAGGGTCGGGCTGGAGCGGACGGTGAGATGGTGGTGAGTCGCTGGTGGACGCCGCGCGAGGCTCCTTTTTTCCCCTTGATCTAACGCATTCGGAGAGCGACGTGAGACGCCCTACATGGGACGGCGAGAGATGCTAGCGGGCAGCCGGCGTGGGCCAGCCCTGAGCTGCGTGCCGGCATTCATTCACTGGATTGCGCGCTATGCGGTGCTGCGGCGCATCCCTGGGAGGCTCTCGTCGGGTCGAAGCTTGCGTCAGGCTGGCCCCTCGGCATGACGATGACGAGAAGTAGGTACCTAGTCGCAGCGTCGCAGCCAGGATGGAGCACAGGAATCTGTGCCGGCCCCTGAGATAGGCTAGCGAGAGAGCCCCGCCATCGACGCCTCCGTACTGTAGATGTACCTATTGCATGCACAGAATTGGTACCTCCCGTGGAGGGGCCGTCATCTGGGCCACCGCGCGGTGTTTATACCCATCGACGGCACCCTTTCGCATCGGCCCAAGGCCAGAGAAGAGGCCGTTGGAGCAGTTGGGGAATCAACAGGAAGCATGTGTACCCAATGCCCGCTGCCATCAACAGTGTAGACCGTCACGGGCAGCCCTTTGTACTGCAGCTTGGAACCGGGCCCAGCACCGCAACCCCGCCACGAGTCGAAGCGTCCAGTCAAACGGCTGGGCCACGACGCAAGCACACGCAGTTCGCCAGCCTAGGCGAGCGAGATGCCCGTGAATGCATCTGTATGAGCTGCTGTTGACAGCTTGTTTTTGGCCTAGATTGCTCAATCGTCCGCATCTGTCCATCTCACGCTCAGCTCCATCGCACACGCCCTCTGGGCATCAACCAGGACGGACAAGGGGTGGGACGACGTCGAGTCTTTGGGCCGCTTTTGGCAATCGAGTGCGGCAGGGCCTCGCATACTAACACGATGCACTTGCGTGAATGACCCTGCTCTGCTCTAAACCCATTGTATAAGCGTCCTTCACCTATTGATTTACACGTATGCTTCTTTTGCGTCCAAGGGCCGTGCCACCCGCCCAAAGATAGGCTCGAGGCGATGCTGGGGTCGAAGCAGAAGCTAGCGATGCTGTACGAGGGGCACAGATCAGATCAGCGAGCGATTGAATGATATCGCCACGCAAAGGGAAACCAAGCCGACGCCACCACCGCGAGGGACATCAATTCACCTTGCCATCGCACCGTGCTATGCAGGTACGAGGCCAAATTGAGTGTTGATGCTCGTACAAAGTTCTTTTCGTGCCAGGGCCAAAGCACAGCCAGCGTAAACACGGTCAGCTTAGCCCGGCAACATGGAGGGTTGGAGGGGCAGCCACCCGTCATCCATCCCTCCTCTGGCCTCGCATCTGATCAGACTCTCGCCTGGGTAGCGGTACCTGGGCTGTACGCCGCTCCCCAACCTGCGGCTGCCAGCATGTGCGGTACACGCCGCTCCCTCGTACTCGCTGCTCCATCCGCGGTGCTAATGCTGGCTGCTGTCCAACCAGCCCACCATGGACCCTCTCGCGTCCCCCATCTCCACATTAAGCTGAGCCCCAAGCCTCGCTCCGCTGCGCTTCTGGCCAGCGCTCCTTTTCCTGCCAAGGGAGCACGTTTGTTATGCTCAAGGCTCTTAGCTCGCAAGTCACTGATGACAAAGTACATATAGACGAATACTTCCCTCCTTCTTGTGCTCTGCATTCACCTGTCCGCGCCTCCCCTCCTTTTACACGAACCCTTCCCCCCTTAACTCCCCTCGACGCATTCCTACTGCCTTATCTATAAACCACCGTTTGTCTCTGGCTTTATATTCTGACGAGCCCTCTCTTCTCTTCTCCCTTTCCATCTCTCGTCTCACACCACTCTCGTTTTTTTCTCTCGACTTATTTTCTTCTTTCTCGACTCTGTCCGATACATAACTATCAACCGCAAACATGTGGTGAGCTTCCCTCATCCTACCATTCACCGCCCCGCCCCGCATTCGTACTCTCGCCATCAGTGCCACCATGGCCCCTGATGAAGATGAGAGCCCAATTGGCAATTGAGCTGCGACTGACTCTTGTGTGCTTTTTTTTTCTTATAGTGGTATTTTCGGATACGTCAACTACCTGGTGGAGAAGGACCGCAAGTTCATTCTCGATACCCTGCTCAACGGCCTTGCCCGTCTTGAGTACAGAGGATACGACTCCGCCGGTCTGGCCATCGATGGCGACAAGAAGAAGGAGGTTTTGGCCTTCAAGGAGGTCGGCAAGGTCGCCAAGCTGAGGAAGCTCATAGATGAGTCTTCTTTGGACCTGACCAAGGTTTTCGACTCACACGCCGGTATTGCCCACACCCGATGGGCTACTCACGGCCCCCCCTCCACTCTCAACTGCCACCCTCACCGGTTTGTCCACCCTCATCCCGCAGAATGGAAAATCTTGGTCCAGCAAACTGACAGTAAACAGATCCGACCCCAACTCCGAGTTCGTTGTTGTCCACAACGGTATCATCACCAACTACAAGGAGCTCAAGACCCTGCTCTCCAGCAAGGGCTTCAAGTTTGAGACCGAGACGGATACCGAGTGCATTGCCAAGCTCGCCAAGTACATCTACGACCAGCACCCCCAGATTGGATTCACCGATCTCATCAAGGCTGTTATCCAGGAGCTTGAGGGTGCCTATGGACTGTTGATCAAGTCTGTCCACTACCCCCATGAGGTCATTGCTGCCCGAAAGGGTTCTCCCCTCGTCATTGGTGTCAAGACCCAGCGCCGCATGAAGGTCGATTTCGTCGACGTTGAGTACGGTGAGGACAACGGTGCTCTTTCTGCCGAGGCTGCTTCCCAGACTGTTGCTCTCAAGAAGGACGGCGACTTCCTTGCTCCCTCCAGCGCCCTCGGCGCTCCTGACAAGTCCCTGCTTCACCGCAGCCAGTCCCGTGCTTTCATGACCGATGACGGCATGCCCATGCCCACCGAGTTCTTCCTCTCTTCTGACCCCTCTGCCATTGTTGAGCACACCAAGAAGGTCCTGTACCTCGAGGATGACGACATTGCTCACATCCACGAGGGCTCCCTCAACATCCACCGCCTGAAGAAGGCTGATGGCAGCTCCAACGTCCGAGCCATCCACACTCTTGAGCTCGAGCTTCAGGAGATCATGAAGGGCAAGTTCGACCACTTCATGCAGAAGGAGATCTTCGAGCAGCCCGAGTCTGTCGTCAACACCATGCGAGGTCGTCTTGACATTGCTAACAAGTCTGTCACTCTCGGTGGTCTGCGTTCATACATCTCCACCATCCGACGATGCCGCAGAATCATCTTCATTGCCTGCGGTACCAGCTACCACTCTTGCATGGCTGTCCGTGGTATCTTTGAGGAGCTTACGGAGATTCCCATCTCTGTCGAGCTGGCCTCTGATTTCCTTGACCGTGAGGCTCCTGTCTTCCGAGACGACACTTGCGTCTTTGTTTCACAGTCGGGTGAGACTGCTGATTCTCTGATGGCTCTCCGCTACTGCTTGGAGCGCGGTGCTCTCACCGTCGGTATCGTCAACGTTGTCGGTTCTTCCATCTCCCTCCTCACCCACTGCGGTGTCCACGTCAACGCTGGTCCCGAAATCGGTGTTGCCTCCACCAAGGCCTACACCTCCCAGTTCATTGCCATGGTCATGTTTGCCCTCTCCCTTAGCGAGGACCGGGCTTCCAAGAAGGCTCGCCGAGAGGAAATCATCGAGGGTCTTGGCAATGTCTCTGCCCAGATCAAGCACATCCTTGAGCTGGACCAACCCATCAAGGACCTGTGCCAGAAGGTGTTCAAGGATCAGAAGTCCCTGTTGCTGCTTGGCCGTGGTAGCCAGTTCTCCACTGCCCTTGAGGGTGCTCTGAAGATCAAGGAAATTTCCTACCTCCACTGCGAGGCTGTCATGTCCGGTGAGCTGAAGCACGGTGTTTTGGCCCTGGTTGACGAGAACCTCCCCATCATCATGATCCTCACCCGTGACGAGATCTTCAAGAAGTCTCTCAACGCCTACCAGCAAGGTAAGTTTATATGATACCCAGCCGCTTATTTGTTCTATTCTGAAGCTAACATTTATTGCTACAGTCATTGCCCGAGGCGGCAAGCCTATCGTCATCTGCAACCCTGGTGACGAGGAGTTCAAGGCCTCTGATGCTCTCAAGATCGAGATCCCCAAGACCGTTGACTGCCTGCAGGGCATCCTGAACGTCATCCCCCTGCAACTGATTTCCTACTGGCTGGCCGTTCTCGAGGGTCTCAACGTTGACTTCCCTCGAAACTTGGCCAAGTCTGTCACTGTCGAGTAAAGAGGCGCCGGTCGGCTCTACGTACTGGGTGTTGGCATAGCGGAGATTTTCACCGCCCCAAAATTAAAAAGATAATGAGGAATCGGCAGTCAGGAAGTTTTTATCGGCTTAGCAATTTGTTTTTTAATCGGAAGATGCCCCCTTTTTGTATTTAATAAGATCCCGAGCGGGATTCAACTGTCAGCGAGGACGACAGGGTGCTATATCACTCACATAGGGCACTGGAGCTGCTGGAGCGTATTGGTATACTTGTTTTTTTTTTTTGAAGCAAAACCAGTATCCTTAGCGTTTTGTACGTAGACTTTGTGTTATCTACTACCTGCATAAGTACGAGGTAGAGAATTGATAAAAAGTAAAAGAAAAAAAGAAGACAAAACTCGTGATCTCTCTTGCAATTGAAACCTAAGCGGACTACAAGCAGGCGTTACATAATACGAAAATTGCTGGAATCTTGGCATCACACTCTCTTAAGATGCAACCTAAAGATTAATCGTTCTGCCAAGAGCTAAAGTAGAATTTATTTTACTCTTCATTTCTTTTCTTTTTTTTATACTAGGCGAAACAGTAGAACAGGCGCAAGCAATTATATCTTAATGACTCTAGTTTCCGTCTCTAGACTGTCTGAGTGCCGTAACCCTTGATCCTGTCCGCAAATGCCCAGCTTTGGTTCTCCAGCTTTTCGTCCTCTTTCAGTTCGACACCATCCTTGGTCACGACGGCTAATGAGTAGGTATCCAGACTTCGGGCGTCACGGTAAAAGAGCACCTTCATGGCCTCCTTGACAATATCGACGGCCTCCTCGCGGGTGAGCTTCTTGGCCGACTCCTCATCGGGGACGTAGCGTCTCATGATTGGCTGGGCGAGCATAGCGCCGAAGCCCGTGGCCAGGGAAGGGGCGGAGTAGGTGCTGCCGAGAAGGTCGGCGGCGGCGAGGAAGGGCTCGCCGTTGTCGTCGAGGCCGCCGACCAGGAGGTGGTTCCAGAGGGGGTCGAATTTGGAGCGGCGGTTGTAAAGGAGCTTGGAGAGGTATCGGTGGAGGTTGGCGGCGTTGAGGCGAGGCTTGTCGGGAGACTCGTAGGCCTCAGAGAGGGAGAGCTCGGTGAGATGGCGGTCGAGGTACTGCATGTCGGAGATGTCGCCGCTGAAGCCGAGGATGGAGGAGTCGGCGAATGGGCGGAGACGCTTGACGTCGGTGAAACGGGCGAGGGAGCCGTATGAAGCTGTTGTCGTTGAGATGGGTTAGCTATAAGGTCGCAGGTTGCATGAATCATGGATGGTCTGATCCCTCTACGGGAGAAGCGACGAGAGAGACGCTGGCAGCATGATGTAGATTGGGCAATGGTACTAACCCAGGTTATCAGCGGCGATGACGACGCCGTCCTTGAACTTGATTCCTATTACTGAGGTACCGGTGACGATGGGCTGCTGGGTGTTCTGCTTGGGCCCGTTCTCCTGCATGTAGGAGTGGTCGTAGGCGCCGTAGACATCGTCTCTAGGCTATACAGAAGAGTCAGCGTCGTAGTCCCAGGGTGCCATTTGGATACTGTGCTATTGATAAGCTACAATATTGAGGGTTGTGCTCACCCGACCCCATGCTTGCGGACGGTGATCCATTTTGGTTTATATATGTGCTGGAAGATGAAGAAGCGGCGACGTGGGGTAAGAACTGCTGGAGATGGAGGTTGATTGAGCTTGTAACCACTCTTCGAGGGACAAGCTAAATGTTTCTTTGTTTGGTGCTGAAGCTGCGATAAAAGTCCCCAGATGCGTTGCTAAGCGGAATTGGGGAACAAGTCGTTGGCGAAAGAAGAGCTGTGATGCGAGGTCTTGCTAGAGCTGGTGATGCAGCTCGCTGGTCGCGCGTCCCAACGGTAGCCTGCAACTGAAAGAGGCGGTTACATAAGCCGATATTGACATCACTGAGAGTGATTGGCTAAACGGGGAGGGGAGGGAAGCTTGGACCAGGGCTGCTCTCAGGTACCGCATACAGCGGCCATGGCGGGGCCGACGCAGACAGCGAAGTGGAAGATGCCTGTACTTTTAAATTGAAGCTGCAGAGGGTGCAGAAGAAACTGCTGCAATTGCTATGGGGATATCATTTAGTATCTACGTGTTTATATGGTTCTGAAAAATGGAGCTATTATGCTTGCTAGGGGGTACTTGAATAAGTACCTAGGCATAGAGGTTATCCTGTCAGTTGCTTCTATTTCTAAACGTTTACTCGGCCAAGCTAATACACCAACTCCTTTCTGAGAAATCACATTTTTTCGAAACAATTACTTCATTTGTCTATTTTCTCTACTACAACTTATTAATTTATTTTAGGGAGAGCCTTGGCAAGAGACACCAAGTTGGAAATCGTGGTATGGTTATACTCCTTACATGTATTCCTAAAGCTGGCGCGAGTGCATTGTGAGAGTTTTAACAACGGCATTGTTTATGAAATACAGCACAAGACCGCTTTGATGGCTTGTCAGATTATTGTCAATAATTCTTTTGATACTAGCTATCTCCGCATAGACAAAGCTGGCATTCAAAAAAAAAATATTGTTCCTCTAGATGGCCTCTTAACCGAGGACCAGTATTTGTTTTTTAATTGTTGATTGCAACGGTTTGTAACACTCATATCTTAAACATATGATGAAGACCTTGACAATATAGACATTTTTAGATCACTGTGCTATTTCAGGGTTTAGAAATCTGGCCCTCACACGCCGATGTAATTGACGTCAAATAAAAAATAAGACCATTGTCCTGAATGCAAGGACGAGGAGGCAATGGACCTTTGCTAAAACTACTTTATGGCAAGGGCGATGCAAGACATGTTCAACGGAAACAATCACAAAGCAATGCAGATTTTGAACGTAGCCTTTCTTCTGATGGCTGAACAAGCGATAAGGAAACGGACACTCGGCCAGATTTATTATATATTGTACATAAGCAGTTAATACCTCCGCTCCTCCACGAGCCTGCTATCTTCTCAATATCAGTAAGAAAGAAGCAGGTCAAATAGTGACTACCAGTAGCCATAACCGAAAATCAGCGCAGTTGCGTAACTCGTAGTATTTTATACTGACGCTGCCATTTTCTACTACTTTTACCATCTCTAGCGCTTTTACCCCTATTACTACCATTATTATTTCTACTGAAACTACTGATTATATGGAGGTACAATATTGTATTTGCCAATGCATTAGAAAGTTGCCCGACTTAGCATCATGATTAAGTGCGTGAAGATAAGAAGAGAGCCCATGTACATTTTAGAATAGCTGACGTGCGCATGTTTTATAATTCTTTGAATATGTGAAATAATGAGAATATAATATTACAAGTCTCTTATTTATTCGCACATTCATTTTTCCCATCATATCTTACACAACTTCATGGCTCTCTAAACAAGAGCTTTGGCGGGAGACGCCGGGTTGAAAATTGTGGGGCCGAGATTGAGTTGCTCTTGACCAATCAGCGTTGCTTACTTCCTGCTTGCATCTTCGCGAATTTCCTTAGCAGAACTTCTTCTGAGGCCATTCCTATCTCTGTAAAAACCCGCCAAAGGACAGAACCTCGGTCTCTACCAGCCCGCGACTCTATCAGAAGCATTCAATTGCTCACCAAAGCCAACATGGTAAGAACTATAGCGACCCAGCTCCTCCGATTCTCGTGCCAAAAGCTAATCGCGCATGTGCGCAGTCTCTCGCCAACTCCATCTACAGGCAAGTCACCACGACGGCACACGAACGACGTTAACTCACATCCTAACATACGGCCTTATAGCACCCTGTTCCGCAAGAACTACACCATGCTTGCGACCGTCTTCGCCGCTGGCTTTGCTTGGGAGATGTATGAGGACCCTACAATACCGATCGATCTTCAAGGCGGAACGAAAGACTAACCAGTGATGCGATAGCGGTTTCAACTCTACCATGGACAAGATCTGGGATAGCAACAACCGAGGCGTAAGTTTTTACATCACGTCAGGCGGAAGGACCAGACGATGGCTAACAAGGGAACCAGCGCCAATGGAAGGACATCCGACACAAGTACGTTGAGGGTGGCGACGATGAGGAGTAAGAAACTCCGCATTGCTCAGGATAGAATGGGTGTCGAATTGGACTGCCTTGGGGAAAAGTGTATAAATAAAACGAGAAATAGAACGGTTCACAGCTATTTGTTTTTCTTCTGTTCTTGGCCTGTATAGCTGTGATATGGTTGTGCTACGGTCGTACGATGCTGATGCTCATCGTCCACACCAGCGCATGAGCTCGCGGGACGCCGCTGAGACCTGTGGTCCATGCATGAGATAATTGTCTGTCTATTACGCTTGCTATGTTTGGCGCATGCAAAATAAAAAGCACATGCCATTAATTACAGACTTTTTGGCGAGGCTACTGTGCGCGCAGCACCGGATTCTGACGTCGGTCGACCCGGGGCTTGTCACCGAGGGGTAGAGCCAGTAAAAGCCCCCAAAAAAATGCAGCAGTCATAGCTTAGTCGTACCTTAACAGTGCTTTGCTGCTGTCTTAGTAACAATGCGTAGCTGATCTTCTCCCACCTCAGATCAAACTTCAACCAGAGCATATCATTGTCGTTTAACCGCGCCACCGGCACCACAAATAGCTTTCGCCCTCCTTTGGCACCTTATTTGCATGCGCGCTCGTCCATCTCAAGCCCCGACCACGGCCGAACGTACATTTTCGGAGCGAGCATTTCTTCTGCCGGAGCAGAAACGGCCAAAAAGTCCCCCCCCCCCCCACCTCGCGCATTACGCCACTCATCGCCAGCTGCCCGCTGTTGCTGCTTTTGATCGACCTACAAGCTGCATCATGAGCTCATGACCATGGAGAACCCCCTGTCAACTCAAGAGCAGCAGCTCTGTCAGCTACTGGGAAGTCTGCCTGCACGATACAACTATCGATACACCGAAGATGCTGCCCGAGAGCTTCTCTCCAGTCTCTTCTGGTCCCTCGCTGGTGGCAACCATGAATACATGCGGCTTCTATTCCCCGAAGGCAGACCGTCCGAAAGCCTCAAGCTCAGCGATGCCCAAGGTGCCGTAGAAGGTGCTGAATATACAGAAGCAGCCCGGGGGAAGCGATGTGGCCACATCTTCAAACCTGGAGAAGCCTCCTACATGTGCAGGACCTGTGGAACGGACGAGACGTGCTGCTTATGCAGCCGATGTTTTGATGCGACAGACCATACCGGTCATATGGTGAGGATCCAGATCTCGGTAGGAAATAGCGGCTGCTGCGACTGCGGAGACGAGGAGGCTTGGAAGACGCCACTGTATTGTACCATCCATTCCGACATAGCGTCTGGCCCCCATGCGAAGGACCCAAAAGCGCCTCATTCGCTTCCAGAAGACCTCGTCAATAGTGTTCAAATGACGATTGGAAGGGCATTCGATTATATCTGTGACGTTATATCGTGTTCGCCCGAACAGCTTCGCCAGTCAAAAACAAAGGAATCGATTTTGAAGGATGAAGAAACGTCCCGCCTGCAATCAACATACTACGGTTCAGATGTTCCAGATACCGAGGATCCCACCGAGTTTGCGCTAGTGCTATGGAATGATGAAAAGCACACTGTTGACGAAGTCAGAGACCAGGTTGCTCGTGCTTGTAGGAAGTCCCGCCGACAGGCAAGCAAGGATGCTTGGGAAACTGATGCAGTGGGTCGAAGCCTTTTGATCTTTTCGGATGACGTTGATCGGTTGTTACAAATGGCAAAGATTCTAGAAGCCATCAGAGTGACGATAACCATTCGATCAGCCAGAGACACCTTTCGGGAGCAGATGTGTGGCACTTTAGTCGAGTGGCTGAGTGACATATCTGGTTGCTCAATCGGCCACGACAACCTTGTTCTTCGCCGCACCATATGCGAAGAGGCTATGAAGCCTTGGAGGAAAGGAAGTGCCGCGACTCATACCATGGGTCTCATTGATGATGAGGAAGAAGAGGATCAGCGAATGGAATCAAGAGATATGCTGCACAATGTGAACGCGCGTTTCATCCTGGCTTTACAAGCCGCTGCTAGAGCCAGAGGCGGCTTGGAGGTGGAAATCGATGTTGACGTTGGAGACGTCGATGATGATGATGATGATGATGACGACGACGACGATGATGATGATGACGATGACAATCGCTCTTTTTCAGATGACGGAGACGACGATGTCATAATGGTCGATGCTCGAGACAGTATTTCTGAGCTAGATATGGCATTCAGGCCGAACGAGGCCTTGGAAGATCACGAAGCAACTCTGGCTGGATATCCGCCTCCGCCGCCGCCGCCGCCTATTCCTGCCACTGCCCCTGGCCCGGCTCCTGGAGAGACAGACCAAAATATCCAGCAGCGTGAGGGCACACCGTCCGATTCCGACATGCAAGAGCCTCTCATTGCGCAGGGTATATACTCAAAGGCGAACGTCGAAATCCCCAAAACGCCTGGCAAATCTGAAAGGGTTATGCCAAACCCTGGACTATACTGGCTTGAAACCCCGGCCGCATACACACGATCAGAGATCGTCCCGCCGGCGGAAGATGTCTTTCAACGAGTTCGTCTGGACTGGCTACTCCTCTTCGATCTACGAATGTGGAAAAGGGTCAGAAACGACCTACGAGCTCTGTACATCTCTACCGTAGTCCAGATCCCTGAATTCAAACGGGTTCTAGCCCTTCGATTTGCTAGCCTTTACACTATCCTAGCGCAGCTATATCTTGTTGGAGATCGAGAGCCAGATCACTCTATAATCAATCTCTCTCTCCAGATGTTAACGACGGCATCCATCACCGCTGAAGTAATCGAGAGGGGGAACTTTTTAACTAGCTTGCTAGCAATTCTATACACGTTTTTGACGACCAGACAAGTCGGCCATCCGTGGGATATTTCACCCACTGCTGTCCTTGCTTTTGATAGTGGTTCAGTCACTAATAGACGCATGTATCACTTCTATCAAGACCTGAAATACCTATTCAGCTCTCAGCATGTCCAAGAGCGACTCAGAAGCGAACCCAGGTACCTGATGCAATTTCTAGATTTGGTAAAGCTTCATCAAGGGATTGGGCCCAACGTTCGCGCGGTTATTGAGCACGTTGAATATGAAGCCGACTCATGGATTACCGCATCTCTAGTTACTCGCCAAATTAATTTACAAGCCAGAAATCTAGCTGAAGCATTCCGCGAGTGTCCACCCGATGAGATGCGTCATCTCATGCGAGCCATCCGAATTGCTGCCAAGGCTGCCGTCTTCAATTCAGTTGGCGGGGATCGCCTCAGACTCAAACAAGGAGAGATAAAAGACGAGGTCAAATTTAAGACTATGAGCGACTTGGAGTTCGACATTGAGGGCAAGTCGTATGATGTCGTTCAATTCGTTGTCGAAAAGGATTCCATCAGTTTCCACCACGGGCTGCATTATACGCTATCTTGGTTGATCGAGTGTGGAAGGTCTCTTCCTGCCTCCAAAATGCGGGCCCTGCTGAGCTTCACTCGCCAAGAGCTCAAGTCGAAGCCAAGGCTCATGGCGGTAGGACCTATACAAATACCCAAGAAAGATTATAGTCCTGAGGACTATTTGATGGCTCTCTTCGACTACCCTCTCCGCGTCTGTGCTTGGCTAGCCCAGATAAAAGCCAACATGTGGGTTCGAAATGGCATTAGCCTCCGCCATCAAGCCAGTACCTACCGTGGCGTTGGGCAGAGAGATGTCTCTCATCATCGAGACATATTTCTTTTACAAACCGCAATGGTAGTATGCGATCCTGCTCGAGTCTTAGCGTCCATCATTGACCGATTTGGAATGGAAAATTGGGTAAAGGGTATTTTTGAAGTTTTTTCAGAAGCTCAAGATGATGCTCAGCATCTCGATGTTGTAGAAGACATGATCCATCTTCTCATCGTTCTCCTAAGCGATCGCACCAGTTTAATTGCCCCAGAGGATCAGCCTAATTCTCGGCTACTGGCTATGCGCCGCGATATCATCCATGTATTGTGCCTCAAGCCCCTTTCTTTCAACGAGATTTGCTTGAAGCTTCCTGAAAAATACCAAGAGTCGGAAGAATTCCACCAGGTGTTGGATGAGATGGCTACGTTCAAACCACCTGAGGGCGTGTCTGATGTGGGAACCTTTGAGCTTCGTCATGAGTTCATCGAAGAGATCGACCCTTACATTGCGCACTATAATAAGAATCAACGTGAGGAGTCTGAGCTTGCTTACCGCAAAAAGATGGCCAAAAAGACAGGCAAAGCGATTGACGAAATCGTCTTTGAGCCGAAGCTCCGACCGATACCATCAGGTTTGTTCCAGCATCTAGCTGATTTTACCAGCACGGGCGTCTTTGCACAGGTTATATACTACTCGTTGTTATATGTATTAACATCTCACAAAATTACGCCGTCGGTGCCCAACACGAGGCTGGAAACGTTCCTCCAAGTGGTTCTTCACCTTATCCTGCTGGCTATCATGGAAGATAAAAGCATTGAGACGGACATTCCGGGTAAACATCCAAAATCCTTTGTCCACGCCGCACTTACACGGATCGCCCGGAGCAACTTTATGCGCGAAGCAAAGGACGCCAGGACTATCGTTTCGCTCTTAGATATGCTGTCTACCAATGAGGACTTCAAAGCGGTTCATCCAAGAATTTCCCTCGTTCTCAAGCGCCTCAAGCAAAAACGACCGACGACATTTAACGCAGAATTTCTGAAACTTGGGCTGCCCTTAGATCGCGTTAATACCGCGTCCCCAGCTAACATCTCTGTTGACGGCGAGCGTGAGAGAAGAAAGCAGGCAGCGATCGATCGCCAGGCCAGAGTTATGGCACAGTTTCAGCAGCAACAAAAGAGTTTCTTAGAAAATCAGGGCACTATTGACTGGGGGTCTGACCTTGACGAGGAAGAGGAGGAGACAGAGCAAACCGAAGACCGTAAACACAATTGGAAGTTTCCAACTGGAACTTGTATCCTATGCCAAGAGGAAGCTGATGACCGACGTCTGTATGGTGCTTTTGCCCAAATAAATGAGAGCCTTATCTTTCGTCAAACAGACTTTCAAGACCCTGACCTCGTCCGAGAAGCTTCTCAAACTCCATGCAACCTCGACCGTTCGGCAGAGGATATTCGGCCTTTTGGTATTGCCCAGGAAAACAGAAAGATGGTTGAGAAACTCAATGCTCAGGGAGATACATTCCTTGCCGAGCGACAGACCATTGGCAGAGGATTCAAGGCCTCCCTTTCACGATCGGGGCCAGTGGCCAGCAGCTGTGGGCATATGATGCATTACAGCTGTTTTGAGCAGTACGTCGAGGCCGCAAATCGTCGTCACACACATCAAATTGCCCGACATCATCCTGAGAACATTAATCGGCACGAATTCGTATGCCCCCTCTGCAAGGCTCTGGGTAACGTTTTTGTGCCAATCGTTTGGAAGGGATTGGAGGAATCCTATCCGGGAAATCTCCAAGCAGAGGAAAGCTTTGAAGATTTTCTGGACAAGCAAATGTCATCGTACCCATTTGGCGGTAGCAAGGCCCGTGAGGTGGATGATTCAAGGCTACCTGATATCTACACCCCAAGCCTTCCTGGCAGTTTACTACAAACGATAACTCAATTAAAACCTCCTCAAAATCCTCATTGGGCAGGCAAGGAAGACCCGGACATCCGATCGTCGACAACGCCGAGGGCATCAGGCAGCTCTTCGAGATCCGCGGCCGCCGCAGAGACCTCGGAAGCAGGGGCCAATCAGCAATCGGTAACTGCCAACGAGCTTCTGCTCTTGGAGCTGTTAGCAGCTTACCATCGCATTAAGGAGACTCTTGTGGTAAACAAGCTGGAGACCCGCTACCCTGTGGACAAGATGCAAGCAGGGGAAGATTTACACTCGAGCGATACATTGGTTCAGGTGGTTGGGTGCACCATATCCTCTGTGGAGATAGAACAACGTGGAGTGGAAGCCCAGCCAGGGATGACGTTGATTGAGAAGATTCCAGAGCAAGTAATCTCTCATTTACGGATTCTTGCGGAAACTACGTCGGCATATATAGCGATGGGTGGTCGGCATTCTCTTCCAGGGGGCCGAATAGAAAGCGAGTTCATCGCAGATGCGGAACAGCAGCATGGCCAGCTCTTCATGGCGCAATATTTTGGAGCGGAAGCTGGCGATGCGCGACGGCGGCTGTATAGCTATCCACCGCTGTTGAGCATGGACCCCTTCCTCTTTTTAGTTGAGTGCAGCTACGGTCTGGTGGTAGCCCAAAACGTCGACATCATGCATGTTGTCAGGCTATGCTACTTGGCGGAGATTGTCAAGGTTGTCTTCCATATGGGTCGCAATATGCCGGTAGGCCTATGGTTCGGCACGTTGGCCAATCGACAGACTCAAGATCCTGTCATGAACAACTTTGCGGATTTCGCCCTGACTTTGAGCAAATCGAGCGTGGAGTATCAAGCGAGGTCTGGTAACGATATTCCAGATATGGGAGAAAATCGAGGCTTCCAGCAGCCAGGTGTAGACAGTCTAGAAGGATGGTATTCATTTGTGAAGAAATACGCGTTGGCGTTTTTGCGGAAAACCACAATATTCCTCCACGTCAAATATGGCGTGGACTTTAACACCCACATCTCTTCAAACCCGGACGCGGATGAGCTCGATCGCCTCACTGAGGCCCTGCAGCTGCCGACGTTTGATGAAATGTGTGCAGCCATGACGATGGATTCCGTGACTTGTGGATGGCCCAATACTATGCCCGCATTAGTGACGGGCTGGGTGAAACACCAAGTGCTCTGGACTAAGGGTTTTCCCGACTTGGTCCCTTCAGCGATGGTCAGCCATCCCGGCATATTCGAACTCATTGGGCTCCCTAGAACGTTTGATACCTTGATCGAAGAAGCAGCGAGGAGGAAGTGCCCCACGACGGGTAAAGATCTCACGGATCCCGTCATTTGTCTTTTCTGCGGAGATTTGTTCTGCAGCCAGGGCACATGTTGCCAGAAACTTGATACGGATGGCACTAAGCTAGGTGGTGCCCAGCAGCATATGAAAAAGTACGGCCATCTGTCTCTCTCTCTCTCTCTCTCTCTCTCTCTCTCTTTTTTTTTTTTTTTTTTTTTTTTTTTTTTTTTTTTTAAGTTGAATTTGCAAATGACTAATTTTGATATAGGTGCCAAAGGAACATTGGAGTATTCCTTAATGTGCGGAAGTGTGCTATCGTCTACCTATTTTACCGCTCTGGGTCATTCACTCCTGCGCCGTACATTGATAAATACGGCGAGACAGACCCACAGCTGCGACATGGGCGACAGCTGTATTTGAATCAAAAACGATACGACTCCATGATCAGAAGCACGGTACTGAAGCATGGAGTTCCCAGCCTCATCAGCCGAAAGCTAGAGGCGGACATTAACAATGGGGGTTGGGATACCTTGTAAGATGGAGAATACGATGCGAGTGACTATTACGATGAACCTTGGTAAAGAAGGATTTTGCATCGAAAGGTTTTGTGGCAGAGCTTGAGAATATTGTGTTTTGGCGTATCAAGATGGGTTACTGTTTTTTCTTACTGCTTGTATGGATTTATAGACAGGAACCTTTTGTTTTGCAAGTGTACTCTGTAGGAAAAATCATTAACGTTATGCATTCATATCCTCTAGGCAGAGCAATTGGGTTACTCAGCAGCACGGTGAGATGGATACTCTTGTGAAGCCAGACATTTTTCAGAAAAAAAAAAGGATAAATATACGAAATTATCATTCAGGGCCCCAGCCGTGGCAATGTCACGAATTTTTAGCTATTTTCATCTACTGTTTCTACTGCCTCCAGGTGTATCTGGCAGATGAATGATTTCCTGTGTGGACTGATTTCCTTGTCGGGCCATAGCTAGGGTGCTGAATGATGACTTCCTAGATAAAAGAGCATATCTAAATGCAAATACGTTACTGAGAAGACAAAAGCACATGCCATTTGCCATTGTGCCATACGGTGTGGAGTGTAGCAATATGGGAAATAAACACTGTATTGACCACCGCCCTCCCAGCCAATCGGGTCGATCGCCACTAAAGCAACGCGCCGCGAAAAGGCTATACAAGGGAAAAAGGCCAGCCGCTGGTTGGTTCGCCCGCGAGGCTTCGCATCTCGATTGCGTTTCTGACAACTTCAACTCTCAGCCGCTGTGCTATTTGGCCTTTTGTGCACTGCAACAGGAGGCGACAACGCGCGCTTTTCGGCGTCATTCACTGCTATTAATCCACCGGAGACTGCGGGGATCCTGCTGGAGAGCTCCAGAGAGGTGAGAGGCGAAGATGCCTAGCCGGAGATCAGGTCGCGCGGCGGCCAAAAAGGCTGCTGCTGCTCTTGGTACGTTTTTTTAGAGTCCTCTTGCGAGTCAGGTCCTGTTTGGCGACTGCTCCTACCATATTCTTTTTTTTCTCCTACATAGAAGCAGTCTATCTTTTTTTTTTTGCTTGTGCATGAAGTGAATTGCGACTGGATTTCTTTCTCTTGTCTATTTCACTGTCTTCTTTCTCTTTCATTTTTCTGTTTTGCTGCAGCGCAGTTAGACTTTGTCCGGCTTTCATGGGCTCAAGGAGGAAAAATATGGGAGATCAACCACCCATTCGACTGAAGCTAATTCGCAATTCTGCGCGTAAAGGGAGCACGCCCAAGGGCTATGCCGATCTCGAGGACGAGCCTATGCCAGATGTCCGCGCCAATGCTTCCGCGGACGAGAAGGACGAAGACGTCGAAGAGAACGAAGCAGCAGAAGAGGAGTCCGGCGACGATGACGCAGAGGTCGCAGACAAGGACGACGATGGCGATGATGACGATGAATCAGAAGCTTCTGCAAAGGAGCCAACGCCGCCGCCAGAGCCTGTGATCCGTCGAAAACGATTGGGCCGCCCTCCCAAGAATCGACCGCCCGACTGGGATAACATGGTGACCGTCACAAAGGAAGAGGCCGATACACCGCGTCGCAGAGGTCGCGGAGGATGGAGAGGACGAGGTGGTCGCAAGGGAGGTCCTGCTGCGCCAAAGGCCGAGCAAGTGATTGACGCCGAGGGCACGGTTGCCGACATTGTCGACGACGAATGCGTCCTCCCTGAGGACCCAGAGGGCGAGACCAAGGTTGACAAGCTGGGCAATCTGCTAGATGGAAGAGACTACCGCTGTCGAACATTCAAGGTGCTCGGTCGAGGCAACCGACTCTATATGTTGTCAACAGAGCCGGCGCGATGCGTGGGTTTCAGGGACAGTTACCTCTTCTTCACGAAGCACCGCAAGCTGTACAAGATTATCGTTGATGACGACGAGAAGCGCGACATGATTGAGCGAGAGATTATCCCCCACTCGTACAAGGGCCGATCAATAGGAATTGTCACGGCTCGGTCAGTGTTTAGGGAGTTTGGCGCCCGGATTGTCGTGGGCGGAAAGCGCATAGTTGACGACTATGCCGTCACTCTGGCCCGCGAGGAGGGTGCCGTCGAGGGCCAGCTCGCCGACCCAGACGATCACTTTGTGCCGGGAGAGCCATACAACAAGAATCAGTATGTTGCGTGGCATGGTGCCAGTGCGGTATATCACACCAATACACCTTCCGTACCGATACCCAGTGGTAAGGTTGAGTCGAAGAAGCGCAAGGTAAACGTCAATGACACAAACTGGATGCTGGAGCATGCACGAGAAGCAAGGTATGCGTGAACTACACATAATTATATTTTCTATTTGACAAGCTTTTTATCTAACACTGCTTCCAGCGCATTCAACGCGGGCATCAACGCCATCAGAAAGCTAAATAACGCTGGCGTTTATGACATTCACACAAACATCATGCAGTATCCAGCCTCCATGCAGCCAACAGTTGCGCGCATCGAGCAAATCTCGCCCCAAGACCAAGAAGCCGCCAAAGCCGACCCCGCGTTCCCCCCTGTGCCCCTGAAGATGGCCAGAAACTTTGCGGTTATCGATACTTACTTTGAGACACCAGCGGCAGGCGGAGCTCCAGCTGCAGTCGAGAAGTCTGACCCAGCAGATTTTGTTGCGCAGTTCAACGGATTAGGTGCTGTGTCAGATGACATCAAGGATTTACTGCCAGCGGAATGCCGAGAGGCATTTGACAAGGCTCTGCAAAGGGAGACGGACTGGAGATCACGCTGGGGACTGGAAGCTACGCACATGTCACGGAAGGATCCGATTATCGACAAGGCCATCGTTCCGTATAACATGACGGGATGAGGTTGGGGCTAGTTCAATGGAGGGCTATGAATTTTGCGATTGAATTTTTGTAAACGGAGCTTTCTTTTCTTCTTTTTCTTTTCTTTATTTTACCCCTGGCTCGTTTTCTTATTTTTTTTTTTTTTCCCGTAACTACTTATTACAAAGGAAAAGACGGCCGAATGCAAAGATGGCGTTGGGAGTATGAAGAAAGCAGGCGACGAAATTTCGCTCGCCGAGGGATATCTCGTCTAAGCTATGGGTAAGGTGCCGGAGCAGGTTTAGGGAGTAGGTATGTAGTCTTAATGCAGACGATGATGATAAAGCCTTGTGTATTACTACTTTCTTTTTGGGTTTCATATGACAAGATTGGCTCTTATAACGATGAAAATATCTATCTGGACTGCTGCAGTCGAGTTATGTCACCTGGGTTCAAGTAAATACGCATAGTTCAGGTATATATTCTTGACTTACATTTATATAACCTTTTTACGTCTAGATAGCCCACGTTATTCTTGAATGCGCAATCTGGATTCTCAACTAACAGGTCAAGATCATCCTCGGTCAACCTGGTGATGGATCCCACAAGAAGCTAAACGAGACCAGACACGAAACAACAGGGTAGTCAATCACTCAGAGGATCATGAGCGTACAGAAAGAGAAAGGCATTCCACACAGTCCTATCTAGGCAGCTCCCCTGGCAACGTCCCTCTCTTTGGCCACCCTGATTCCCCCTTCTTTTTTTCTTCTTCCCCTCCTCTATCTCCTCTTTCGACCTCTTTTTTTTTTCCCCTCCCCCGCAACGGCAGCTCTCGACATGGCCTTTTTTTCTGCGGGATTAATTAGTGTCCTGCATGCATAAGCTCATGCAAGCGTTTTCGGTCTGCACATCACACACATTTAAAGAAAGAAAAGAAAAAAAAGAAAAGAAAAAATAGGTAGTGGTGCGGCTGCTAGTCGTGGGGAGTAGGTAGCAGTACTCCGTAAAAATCAATATCCCTTACATACAGGTACTCCAATATGCGTTAGTTTGCATCTACTAGTGATGATTGAACCAGGGTATAACACATGTCAGCTTCCGATTCTGCAGTTATTAGGCTCTGTTTCTTTCCCTTCTCTTGCTAAAAGGCAAAATAAAACGCCCTCATGCAAGGGTGTATACAGTAGTACATTGAAAAAGAAGGGTTCCGTGGAGCCTTTTTCCGATGCTAGTCGGGAACACACACACACACACATGCAAACAGTTTGCCCGCCCGGCGCAAATGCACGAATAATGCAGAGAGACGTCATAAAGAAGAGTCTAGATTTTCAAAGAAGAGGGAGAGACGGAGAGCTAAGGAAACCCCCTCTCAGTCGGGTTGCTCGCATGAGGTTGATATTCGGGGGGACCAACCATGAAGCCACTTTGGATGTACAGCCATAAAAGACATTGGCGGCAAAAGTCGGTTTCAGCATGTACCTCGCAGATTGACATGTAACAACATTTTGGGCTGTGATTTTCTTGATGTTTATTATCAAGAAATATCTCCGATACAGGCGTTTGAAACGCCTGCGCAAGAAAAGCACGGGGCATTATGTGTCTGTCTAAATGCAAATCATGTGGGAAATACGAGATGTAATTCGGGTGTACAGAAAATCAGCGTGAATACTAGCAGATTAAAATTCAGCAGATGAAGGAATTATAGCTCAGTGGGAGATTTTTATTCCGAAGAAGGAGAGTCTATAGAAGGGGCAGTTATTTACATATTGGTTTCAACATACCCAGCTTGAGCCTCAAACTTTTGGAAGCCATCTTAAACACCTATATAAGAATATTATTTAGAAAAAAATTATTATTATTATTATTACTATTATTATTTTATTTAATATTTTTAGATTAATTACCATATATATATATATATATATATATATATATTATACCACACAAAGAGCCTTGGATGAATGATAAATCAACAGCAAGTTACCGTTTTAAACGCTCACATACAAGGAAGTGCAAGTATAGCCATTCATCCATATGAATAAGACACGCCTCACGCCACGCAAGCTCCCATCCCGTATTATGTACTTTCGCCCTCTCATGTAATTTTTTTTTTTCTTTTCATTTCTGCCTGGGCATAATCGGGGCTCATCAGCAACTTCCCCTTTCCGGCCGTAGACCAATCGAATCGAATCAAATCGAAGCTGCAAGGTCCCATGTCATAAGGGACCTCTCTCTCTCCGCTGACGTTACAATACTGCATGTGCTTATCTACAGGTACCAGCGTTGTATTATTAATATACAATGAACGAAGAGAGTAAAATACAAACAGTCAACGCCATCTGGTACAAGTATTATTCAGTTGTGCCCATTCACCGTGCACCCATATTCCCACCCACACACCCCCCAAAAGAAAAAAAAAAAAGGAAAATCGAAAAAGAAGAAAAAGAAGAGAAGAAATCATTCTATGCTAACTACTTGTAGCTGTAAACTAAAATTTAGAGATATATGCTTGGATAAGGTTAAAAAAAAAAAAAAAAGTCCAACTTGACAGGACACTAGTTGTGACCCATCAACGCCAAAACACCAGATGCCCATGATTCTATTTCTCGTAAATCTCTTTCCCATCTTGTTTGTCTGTCTTCTTGTCGTTATTTTTGATATGCTCAACTGGGCCCAGTTTGGCCCGACAAGACAAAAGGAGGCACAGATATGACCATTACATCTGTACAGCCTCTTTGTTATTTATATCGGCCAAGTCTCTCTTCGTCATCTTCTATTAATTCGTATGCCGGTCGGAATTCTTGTTCGTTTCCTTGCCTCTTTAATCGAGGGTTTGGCAGAGTATCGCGTCTTCCGCCAAGACTCGTGTATCCCTTTCCACATTCATTAATATCCATAAACCCTAACATGGAAGAGAAAAAAGACAGCCATGTCCAAACATACCTGGTCGTATAGACAGCAATAAGGAATATCCAAATGGCGAGTAAACTAAGTTCCCAGTTAGCCCCTGGTTCTTCACCAATCGTGTTTATCCCATCCATATATGGAAGTGACTCACAGCCCAAATCTCAGCTGTTTTAACAAACCCCCGTTAGCATATATTTCTCTGCATAGATTGGACCAAAGGGTCAAAAAAAAGGCAGCACTCACTATAATGCCAATCAATCACAGGGTGTATTCTCATAAAGTCGGGCCATCCCGCATCAGTCGGGTCGAAGTGCTTCAACTTCTCCCCATGCGGATCCGTCCGCCGGGTCCCTACGAAAATTGCGCGTACGCTGGGGTTTTGCGCCTTGAAAACCTCCAGCCCCTTCTTCATCGGTAGAGTAAATCGTGCAATGTCTAGGTGGTACATTGCGCTGCTAGTCTCGACAAAATCATCAACCTCGGCAAAAGGATCCGCAGAGACAATGTAGACGGAGTGCAGCGTCTCGGGGAAAGGTGGCAGTTTGGTCGCGCCATTCTGCAGGTTGGCGCCTGTCATCGGCTTGGGAGGTGAGTATCGTCGCGCATAGCACGCAAGGAGCACGATGAGCATCACGAGGCCTATTGCGGTGGTCAGTATCCTGGTCGAGATAACGCAAGCCGCGGTACAGTGCAGCCTGTCTCAGAAGCGCAAGTCTTTTGTAACCGTCGGCTGTTGGAAACGTACAGTCTTTGCCGCCGTTGTAAGAAATGGAGATCTCTTCCGGTCTGCAATCAATCGTGTGTCAGTGCCAAGTCATTCTGCAGTGCAGAGCACATGGGCGCAATCCTGGGCGCAGAGCAGAGCAGCAACGTACCGATATCTCTCCAGCGCCTCCTCCACCACCTGCACCGAGATGCGCACCTGCTCCTGCGCTCGTCGCAGCAGCGGCGCGGTCGGTTCCTCTGCCAGAAACGCATCGACCTTGTCTCTCATGGCGACACACGCCTCGTACAGCGAGCCATACGGCCGGTTCTTTGCGGCGGCGTGGCCGTTGGTGATGGCGGCCATTGGCGGGGCTTGAGCCGCGGCTGCGGTGACGGCAGCGGCCGCGATGGGATGGACGGGGACAGCGTGCATTCGTGGCTTGTGGACGGATATCATTGTCGTGGAGGCTTAGGATGAAGAGCTCCAGCGCGCGGGCATGCTGCAGACAGTGAGTGAGAAGGCGACGGTATCGATGGAAGTTATAGCATCTGGGGTGCCCGGCGGCTAGTGGCCCAGCGGTGTGTGCCGGATCCAAGATGTATGTCAGCACCAGGATTTTTGATGCCGAGCAGCCACCGACCGGCAGCGCAAATTGCCCGAGCCTGTGCTCGCTTTGAGTTTCAGCCCAACCCCGGAGCCGCAGAACCGCTTGTATGACGATGGAAGACTGGCTCTCACCGAAAGCCGTTGCAATTGGTTGTGTTCTTTATTTCTCATTGGGTTGTCACAGATATATATTTCTTATTTTCATCGTCAGCGCCTTGTGATCCAGCATTGCGAATGATGGGCGTGGTTGCACACGCGTTGCCATGTGATTCGAGCCCCAGAAACGCTAGATACCTAACATAGTTGATATTGATGTTATTCATGCAATGAGAATACCTACTTTCCCGCTTCTATTGGCTTCTATTTCAACCATCGAACAATGCCAATAGGCCGCTCCACACTCGAGCTAATTCCCGTCTTGTTGCACAACCATGCAGTGTAACCAACCAGGTATACACACTCATAATAAGTATGCTATGAATCGAACACGGCCCGCCGCAGGGATCTCGGGATATGCATAGCTTCGAGCTTCCTCGTGGGATATGAAGACGTCAATCTTTCTCACGGAAAGCCATGCGCTACTATAAATCCCCCTGCAAAAATACAAGACATGTATCTAGCTCTAAGGTCTGTTATAGAACAATTTATAGGTTCTTTGTCGTGTTCGGACTCTGCTCCGTAAAGACCTAGTCTACTGCGGGCCGCATCTCTAAGGCCGTCTACTAGCAGAGATACCTCCAGCCTCGGCCGTTCAAGCTTAATAGCAAGTGAAGGAGAAAAGCATCGATTCAAAGCCACCAGGAACTTCGCCTATAAGAAACGAATACACAGTAAACCTACCCATTTTCCCGGCTTACATGCATGAAATGCCTAGATACGCTTTTCTCTACATACGCAGTTCTCGACCAACCAGCGTCTTGATATCGTACTGGCCAGCAACTCACAACGTATTCGCTTACATACTTCGTGCATGCAGAGTCCAGCAGATCACACACGTGAAATGGAGGCTATACCAGATTCGAGAGATCCGTACAGAATATTTCGTACATAGTCTACCCAGGCTTTGCGTCCGTTAAGCTGCATGTACATACGTATCGACTCCGTTTGCAGTATGCCGAAATAGATCCGCAAAGGCGACGAGTACCCAGCATTGTGCGTCATGCAGCATCATCCGCGCTTAGCGGCGGTGGATATGCGAGGCAAGGCCCGATCTGTCCTTTTTGCTTTTCTTCTTTCCACTCATTTCAATAAGATTCAAGAATGTGTAGCTGGCCACGTACATACCTTATGCTGCGTTGAAAAAAAGCCTAACCGTACGGCAGCAGCCAATAACATATGGGCCCGGTACCGTGCAAAGTCACGGGAGCCGTTAGCAGTGATGGCAGCCTGCGGATGGGCCAGCACATATGTAGGAAAATTAGATAATTAGTATAAATGCAGGAAAACAACTCCACAAAAAGCTTCGGCCGAGTTTGATCTGCCGAATGGCTGCTTCGTCGTGGGAAATCACGCAGCCCCTCTCGCTCCTTACACAGCGTATTGTGTTCTATTGTAGGTAGAGTATGCCTCCCTCCAGCGCAGTGGTCTAAGCCCCCACGCGCTGACGAGGGGAACCATGTCGCTCCTCTCTCTTCTGGTCTTATTTTTCTGCTTCTAGGGATGCATGTTTCATGAGTTGGGTAAGACCGTGGGAAGCCATGGAGGGCCGAGGTTCTCTTAGTTTCCAGCTGCGTCTCTGTTCTGCTCTGCCCTGCTCTGCTTGTGGTCTGGAAGAGAGGCGCTGGTATAGGGTTCGTCCCGTAGTACTAGGTATCTGCCTATATAGCTGCGTCTCTCGCTCGCCCTTGCAGAAGTAGCTGTAGCAGTAGCAGCAACCATCCTTGGATAAATCGTACCTACATGAGCACCTACATAAACAAGAATCCAGTGCCACCAATGCCCACGTATGAATATCCAAGGCTGATTGCCTACATCTCGTAACAAGGCACCGAGCTCTGACGACGGAGTAGCTTTACCCGCTTTATTACCCCTCCCCCTCCAAAGAACAACCTGTTTTTCAGAGAGCAAAGAAAAAAAAGTAATGCTACCTGTCACCGACCGGTACCCACTAGAAAGTAGCAGTAGCAATACGAAGGAGAAGGCGAGAAAAGGTACAAGTTGCCTCCCGCATATTCCCTCGTATGGATGGATGTGTGTGTGGTGTGCGAAGCCATCTACTACTACTAGTAGTCTCATTACTCACCACTCTCGGACGAGACGGGTAACACTTCCCCGAGAACCAAAAGGAGGGGAGTCGAGGGACAAAAAGAGGCGTAACCGGCCCAGATTTCCCACACAGCCAGGCTGCGACATCCTATTAGCCAAGCCCATTCGACGCTTGTAAGCCCAGCGCCATCATGCAAAACGGGATCAAACTTGGTAGCGGCCAGGCATATCTGGGCAGCGCCTCCAATCACGGCTCGCAGAGGTCAACTATTGGCCACCGACGTAGGAGCAGCAGCGTTTTCGTCGTGCAGAGGATGGCCGCGCCGAAGCGGAAGGAGGGAGGGAAATCTTCCCACGGGACTTGGGGAACCGATGGGCCGGGAAGATTCTGGGCCTTGTTCAACCGCAGAACCTTCTTGAACTTGGAAATGGCTGCTGATCGTGGCGTTCGTGGTTCTGGGGTGACTCAGGCTGACCATGTCCCGTTGATCGTCGTCTCGATCATCTCGTGTAAGTGTGACTGAGCTAGGTTAACTTGGCTTCTGTTAGATATATTACGTATGTATTCAGGCCAGTTGGAGAATCTCCCTGCTGACACATCGGTGGCAAAGTCCACGGCCCCTCCATGCCCAGAGTTGGGACGCAATCCTTACTTGCCAGTCGCCGGAGGTAGACTTGTAAGCTACCCGAATCTGCAAGGGCCTGGATGTACCGTGTCCTCGGCCAGATGTTCACGATCGCCCATTCAACTACGTAGCCTTACATACGCACTCCATAAAGCTCTCAGAAATGCAAGTCAGTCAAGCGGATGCGTAATATCATACCAGGTACGGAGTAGTACCAAGGCACCAATGGGTCATGATAGACTCTTAGACGTTTGCCTGGTGTAGTACAGGGTAAGCAGAGCTCATTGAATCCGCGATGCCCGATGGAATATCGTTGTTCCGGGTGGTTCCCCTTCAAGACATTTTCGAGTAAGAATTACGTAGCAGTGCAACATACCTACCAGCATGCCTCGGCAGGATGATCGCCGTAGAAAGCTTGATTCTATAAAAAATAAAAAAGAAAAGAAAAGAAAAGAAAAGATTCAAAAGCCATCGCTTAGCCTCCGCGTGAGCTAAGCCGAGTGGTCTGGCAGACAGGAATGGAAAATTAGACTCTTCAAGGTCCGAGGCTCCCACTCACCAGGCAGCAGAGAAGGCTGGGCAAATACCTAGCAAAATCATGCTCTTGTTGTTTACCTAACAATAGCAAGCCAGCCGTGTAACGCGTGATCAAGGGAGAGAGTGCATACGGGCTACTGCCGGGTATTTTTAGGAAGGGAACATAAAAAGGGACCCTGAAGCTGAGGCTGAGGGTTGGCGCATGGGGGAATGATCGCCATCGTCATTAATATCGAAATAGGCTTGGTGGTTGCCTTCCCCCTTTGCCATCCCTGCTGTTCTCTCCGTGTGGCTAAGACGTTCTTGTAGCATCCAGGCATTTGGTCAATGTACTCACTTTCTTGTATGGCCAATGTACAGCGAGTCTCGGATGTGCCAGATGTGCGATGTACATACGCGCGCGCGCAACAGGCCCACCTGGCACGAACCGTACAGGCAGATTGGCAGGGCGTCTGATGATGTGCAGGCCCTTTTTTATGCCCAACCATCTGCTGGCATGCCAGGCTCGTGCATGGCGCGGGAATGGAAGAAAGGCAGGTTGGGTAGACCTCCCCATGCTCCCTTCTCCGTCTGTGCCAGTAGCATGTCCCTGGTGGCATCCCGCGGTGGCATTGCCGTCCAATTTGGCTTGAGGCTGGAGAGGCTATACTTGTCTTGTATAACACCCGAGACCGTACAAAGTACAGCAGGCCGATCTGCATCCCTACCTATAACATACGGCCAAGTAGGTATCTGTACAAGTACGCGGGAGATGACCAGCAGCCTCAACTCATGCATCCTACTGCTCAATGGTCAGCAGCGCTGCAAAAGCGCGACGACCCAAAACAAAGACCAACATTTTGTAGATCGAGGCAGGTACATACAAGGCTGCAATAGTGTTGCCAGTCGTCAGACAAAACCCCAGGGCGTCTGTGTAACAACCTGACCGCCAGGTCCAAGCTGGCTCCTCTGCTGAGTAGCACATGAACGGGGGCTCAGTAGTGCGTATTTCAAGTAGGCATACTCGTAGTATTAGCTCCCCAACATGTAAAATCGCCAATCCTACCACGCTGATTGGTGTCTGGCCTGCGATTCTGGATCAACTGCCCGCACAAAGCGAGCAAAAAATATGAGAGGGAGGAAAAAACAGAGGCGTCTAATAAGCACCGGAAGGCTGAAACTAGACTGACTTATCGAAATTTCACCTTCATTTCCAGGCGTGCCGGCACAGGGGTTTGGTGCCAAAGTAGCCAATGCTTTGCTCTCCCTGCTTTTCACATGATCTCCTATTCTCAACACTCGGCTGGCGTGGTAGCGACGAGATTGAAAACGAACACGCTGACCACGCTCTGTTCATGTCAGCCCAGGCCAAGCAGCAGATCTTCCCTTGGCCCAAATGCTAGCTGATTCTGAGACGCTGTCAGGTCAGCGCATTTCCGGTTCCTCCATCCTCCCAGCACGCACTGGACTTACACCAGCCACAAGCTACTCGTCGTAATAATAGTAGCAGCACGGCGTAGTACAAGTAGGAGTTACTATACACAGAGCAGTGTTACCGCCTGAGCACTACGTACTAGTTTGATGTGGTTACTAGCAGTAGCATGTACAGTAGTACGGTATTGTAGGCAGTAATAGTTCTCCGTAATGGTAGTCGCAATGGTTAGTTAACGGAGACAAGCCGTGGAACCCATCTAAAATTGGAGTAATCTCAGTGGTCGGTGTCCGTCACTGAAAAGAAAATTAACCACGGGTCTGGGTTTCTTTGGCGGGTTCCATCAGAACTCATAACGTGGTGCTACAGGCTGGCCAGGCCTGGACTTGGGACCCCCTTGACCGCGTTTCATTTCCTAGAATACCGTGCTTCGTGCTTCGAAAGTATTGCAATACGTAGTGTGTCGCGTATACAAGTACGAGTACGGAAGACACAGGTACTGTAGATTGTACAGCAATCGGCCATTGCTGGCCTTATTCTGCAGCCGCTGCTCCGGCGCACTGCTCACGTCTCTTCCCTTCCTCTGCCCCATTGAGTCGCTAGTGGGGCTGTTTCCCAACACACCGGGCTCTTTACTTGGGAAACCCATTGTGATAATGAGTACCCAGTGCACGATGTTCCGGGGGCCGTGGCTCGCGGACTTTACGGGCTGAATAATGCTGCTGTTACTGTACCACCCAGCCTCTTACAGGAGCAACTGGTTGTTGGAGGCGGCTCATTCCGGATGGTACGGTGGGCTAGCTTGTCGTCATGTGTCCTGAAGAATCATTTTTTTCTCTCCTTCTTACAGGGTCGCACATGCATGCGTGCTAGCGGGCTAGTGACAGAAGTTCTGCTAGAGGGTTGAATCCAGGGTCGCCTATGGTGTCAAGAGAGATTCAGAATTAGCCGGCCGAGATTCTCCTTCGCTTCCTCCGGCGGTCGGCCGTGAAAGCCGGGGCAATCAGGCGCGAGTCGCGCGGCCGCCTCAAAATTCCACCATCTCGACATCACCTTCCTTTCCACCATGGAAGAGAAGCTGTCCAGTTGAGTCGTAGCATGCACGGCGGGCAATGTGCATTTGGGCTGTGATTGAACGGATGGCGATGCGGGCAGAAGTCACGCATTGCGACTGGCCTGATGGCTGCAGAAGGCCCACCCCGTCAGAGCACAGATTTTTCGCCATGAAGTCTTTGTAGTGAAGTCCTAGTACAAGTGTAAGCCAAGCTGCCTGTCCGTTTGTGCGAAGAACAGCTGCCCTGGGCGGTTGAACCGAAGCGCGAAGACGGAGGACTCGTCGGGCCCTCCTGGCGAACTGTCCGGAGCACTGGTGGGCACTGGAGTGAGGGATTTCTCTCCGCATTCTCCATCGCCCAAGCCGTAGCGGAAATTTTTTTTTGGCTTCAGAAAAAAAAATCAAAATGGAAGGCTTGAAGGCTTCTGCTAGCACTGCGACGGAGTACCCAGTACTACCGTGCTGCTACCATACAAGGTACTCGAAAGCGTGCGCCGAATGCACCTTTTACGCGCTACAGGTAGCGCTGCTTGGACACTTACGCAGGTTAGCACGCACGCATCTGCACAGTCCCCTGTCCATGCATGCTGATTTGATCCAGATGGAGGGATTAGGAACAAGCAGGTCAGTCAGTAGGTAGTGCTTCGTACCAAGCAGAAAAGGTGGAAAACGTGAGAATGTGGGAAAGGTGTGGCAGGGAACCCCAACATCCAGAGAGCACTGCGTCCCATACTCTCGCAGCGTAGTTCTCGGTGGTAATAGCATCGATGGCCTCGGTCGATGCTACGAGTAGGTCAGCAGCGCTGTGCTCTCTGCTGGGTTCTTGGCCCTGTCTGTCCTCTGGCTCCGGACTACAGAGCGCCTTCGTATTTGCAAACAGCAACAGCTTCTGCAAGAAATGGGTGTAGTTGTTTCGGGCCGCCCAAGGATCCGACAGCTCCGTCCAGCGTGCGAGGGCTTGTCGATCAGGGCTCGAAGAGCCTGAGCAGAGAGCGTCGAAGACACTGGCGCCACCGATTCACACTGGATCATGCAGGCAGGGTCTCAGGACCTTATCCAAGTTCAAAGCCCATTTGCTGGCGCTATTACCAATGCTGCTCCGTCTAAAAGTGTCAAGGCACAAGCACCGCTCTGAAGATAGCTCAAGGATAAAAGTAGAGGCCCCATCGCGCCTAACCGGGTTCGCTCCGTGACTCGCAGATATACCTCGTTCGAGAACGGGCATGGCCCCGTGCTGGGGCCAGGGATTGGGCGGATTGGCGGATCCAGCGCCAGCGACGCGATTCCCTTTTGACAAGAATGTGCAGTGCCAGTGACGACGGCCTGCCGGAGACAAAAGCTGGAGACTGTGCTGGACGCACGCCTGGGTCGGCCACCCCTTCACTTTTGGCCTTGCGTCACATCCCATCAGACGACCAGTCCAGTGGTGGGCAGCAAGCCGCCGCGAAAGATGCCTGCATGTGAGTCGTCATTCCGAGCATCTGCAAATTGTAGTCATCGGCTCCGTACTCGTGCTCGCGCTGGCACGGACTTGCGCGTACAGGGACGGAGCAGGCGGTAGATATTTTTCTTTGGTGCCTCACCATGGGACATCAAACGGCGGATTCCGACTCTGCTCCAAAACGACACGCCCAGTTCTGGCCAAAGATGGGGCTGCTTATTCTAGCTTTGGTGGTGGAAAGGGGCAGAAAAAAAAAGTTGACGACGTCAAAACTTTCCTAGGAAAAAAAAAAAAAGGAAAAAAAATTCCATTCTAAAAAAAAACAAAATCGTGCCACTTTTCCTGTAGTGGACGTCGAGTGAGCTCCAGTCGTCCCGGCCAGGCAGGCACTACCACTGTGGCAGAAGTCAGTCACGGTGGCAACTGCGTTAACGCCCCTCGTGCAGGTCGCTGTGGGAAATCCTCAGGAGGCACCGCGAAGCGTCTTCCAAGCCTCCCCCAACCGTCCTGGAGTACACGAGGTGCCAGGGTGCTCTGGCTGCATGCGCCGACGGCGTCTGAGGTACTCGGTACGGGATGCATGTACCTGGAGGAGGCGAGGCACGCTGATGCACGAGGAAGGCGCTGCGCCCCTGGACCAATCAGCAGGCACGGCGGCGCCCTTGTTCTAGCTAGCAACATTGTCCATGATTGCCCACAGAGGCGCCACCAAAACACCGTGTGCAGTGGAGATGGCGGCCAAGGTACCGTCCCAGCCTCCTACGCGCGCGTGGGTACTTCTGGCGCCGCTGCACTGCGACCCCCATTCCGCTAGGCTCTTAGTTGGCCCGTCAGTGGCGCTGTTGCGGCCCCACCCACTCCGGGGCAAAGAAAAAAAAAAAAAACAGCTACGAAGCACCAAGTACTCGTACCCGAGAAAACCCCTGTCCGGCCCAAGTGCCTCCAGCGCCCCATACCTGCAGTACGTACTCCGTACTTGCGGTAAAGAACCTGGGACGGATTGGCAGGTGAGAGAAAAAAGTTGGCTGCTCCAGCCAGCCCCAGGTACCTTGGCGCCTGGTGTATGGTGGGTGTCCACTGCAATACCTGCTACTACCGCTGCCACCTAGCACGAGTACCGTCCTGGCTGTTCCACCGCCCATGCCCTAACGCTGCTGTCGCTGTGCCGCCCGTAACCTTCATCTAGTAGAGCTCGCGCTCTTCATTTCTGCGTTCCCACACCTCAACCTCTTCTTTCATATTTTCTTCAACCCTTTCCCTCCTCTTCCTCCTCCACCGAATTCCGAATCCGCCGATTTCTCGACAAGCCTCGTCGCGAACTCGCCATCGTTCGTCGACGTCTGGATTCAGGTTTCTCGCGTGAGCCTACTCCTTTGGTTGCCTCCAGCTCGCTGCTGTGCAGGTAGCTTCTTGTGTTCCCACGGCTTGTCTGCAGTGGCCGCCATCAACACGGTCACGTCTACTTCCGTTGAACGGTCACATCCTTTGGAGGGTTTCTTTTTTAAAAGCTCCTGTTAGGACACCTCTCGACTAGAGGTTAGTATTTGCTGCTTTATTTCCGGCTGTATCATCGATTTTGTCGCAACATGGTTCCTTCCCAACGTCCCGCGAATCCTCGCCGCGACACCAGCGATTTGTTTTGACAACGCTCTATCTATAATCACCTGCCTTCCTGTACCGTCGAGCGATTCATTTTCCGATGCTTCATGAAGACTGTATTCATAATCAGCTATTCGACGTCATTTCATTTTGTTTTCTTCTGCCAGTGGCAAAAAAAATACTCGGCAATGTGTGAACATTGCTTCTTTTACTTTACGCCTCTTTCATCACACTGGAAGACGTTTTTCTTGAGCATGACTTGGTTCTCACCGCGCCGCACGTCCTCAACTTGATATAATCTATTCATTAGATCTGTCTGCTAACAGTTTCCGACACAGAAAAGCTTTTTTCATCCCGCTACATTTCTTTCTCTTTTTTTTTTTTACCTCAAGTCTCGCTTCCCGCTTGCGTTAACGCCCATACTTGGACTCGACGTTGAGCGATCTCTGAACCTTGGACGGCCATTATATTTGACCGACTGATTCATTACGATATCCTTTTGTCACGTTTTCCATCTTCAAATCGCTCCCAACAGCTTTTTCGTCGCACTTTACGGCAATACCTTTCCCCGTTAAATGGCTCTTGCGTCACAGTAGAGCCCCATCGACACATTTCCTTTCCGCGCCGCTTCGCCGTTCCGCACGTTTTGCTTTCTTGTCCCGAGACTATTCCATAAAACAGCAGTGCATTGCCACGTGCTGTTTTCGTCTCCGACAAGAAATCTTCTATCCGACAAAGATCTTTGCGATCTTCGTCGGACCTCTTCCACTACCGTCATCATGCCCGGAGGCGTTTGTGCCGTCCTCGATTATGAGGTCGACATGATGGCTGAGTATGTCGCTGAGATGGCAACTCGCGTGGTTACTCCCGAGGCTAGCGTCACTTCTCCGTTCCGGAAGTTTGTGTCGCAGATCCTCACTTCCACAAGGCTGCCCAGCACGACCATCCTTCTTGGAATGAACTATCTCGCCAAGAGAATCAACTCCATGAAGACTCAGGGTCCCTACAAGGCTTCCGAGGGTCAGGTTTGGCGTTTCCTCACCGTTTCGCTTCTCCTTGGCAGCAAATTCTTGGACGACAACACTTTCCAGAACCGATCCTGGTCTGAGGTTAGCGGCATTCCCGTCTCCGAGCTAAACACTCTGGAGTATGATTGGCTTCAGGCCATGAGCTGGCGACTCTACGTCAACCTTGATCACAGCAAGGATTACCAGGCCTGGCTTGACAACTGGCGCGAGTGGCAGCAGATGAAGAAGCGACAGGCCGCTCAAGCCAACAGAGAGCGTCTGGCTTCGTTGGTTCCCGCCATTGATACCGATTTGGCCAGGTACAACAGCAACCGCTGCTCTCCTCACTCGCGCTACATCCAGGCTCAAATCGCAGAGTATGAACGTTACCAGGCTATGAAGACCCAGCAGCATACCTACCGCTCGCGTGAGTCTTCGTGGTCCAACAACCCTTGGAACGCGCCTCTTACTCCTCCGGATTCTGGCTATGGTACCCCCGAGTACGCCACATCGGCAGCTTCTAGCAACGCTCGCTACAATGAATGGTTCGCTCAGGCCGCCGCCCAGTACAGCAGCCGCTACCCCCAGCCTCCAGCTCACAATACGTTTTATCCCAACCGCCCAACGCCCTATGCGTCCCACTACCCTTACCAGCATCATAGTGTATGGGAGCATGGCGTTGCTGAGTGCAGTTGTCCGGGATGTGTCGAGCCCATGAAACAGACTTCCTATTTCATGTCACATGGATATGGACAGCCTGTCATGGGTTAATGTTTGCAACGATTTTCCTTTCTCGTCTATCTTATTGAGCTCAGATGGCTCTCATATTTTTCCTTATTCGGTCTCGGAAAAAAAAGGTGCGGATTTCGAGTTTTAATGGCTACGAGTTTTCGCTTTCTTCTCTTTTATAAGAAGACGCGTGTTTTTCAGATACCCCCGGCATGAAAAAAAGAATTTCTACACACGCGATCAGTTTCAGCACGTCTTTTCTTCAGCCTGTTTTATGATGTCGCCGTGACGCGGCTGTCGGATACCAAAGTGGCCTGCGAATCTTTTTCTCTTCGTGACACAGGCGCTTCGCGACCATGGTTGGCTTCAACTATAAACGGCAATTTTTTTACGGTACATGTTCATAATGGTTTGGTTCGGCGCAAGGTTATACTTTATTTATTACTACTACAAGATGTTCATCGATGCAAAGCGAGCTTGATACTAGCGACAATCCTGTTACCTACGGATTACATCTTGTCGAAGGCTCCGCCAGCTCGCTACAAACACCGAAGGCGAACATTGTCCACTCTTTTACAAAAAAAAAGAATTTTTCTCTCTCTTTGTTTTGATACCATGCTCTATGGAAAATCTTGCGTTTGCGCGCGCGCTGCACATATAGACCTGGTATTGGTACCTTGCATTGGTACCTCGATAGATCTGGAATTCAGTATTAGGCACTGCCTACAAAACGAAAACTGCTCACTAGAACCAATTACGGATTGTGGGCAGGCGTCCGAAGTTTTACAAAAAATTAAAAAAAAGGTCTGAGCCATGTCATCAGAAGTCACTGCCAGCCACGGGCCCATTGTTTTGGGTTGGTTGAAACACCGAATTATTCGTGCCGGCTATAGCGACACTGTTCATGACGCATCAAAGGCAATACAGATTTCAAAAAGTTTTTGGAGCAGCACATATGATACTATACTTGTTTGTTCGTGGTAGGAACCGGTGTCTGTGCAAAATGGGTATTTTACGAGGGCGCTTTTATGCATTGTCTTCAGCGGGTAAAATGGAAGATTGGACCGGTTTATATATTTCTCTTTCTCTTCTTTGGCGCATTTTTTATTATTTTACCATTTACGGTTTTGCATTCCGCGGCCAAACATCCCTTGATGTATTGCCCTGGGTGGTTCGGTGAGGTCAGATGAGCATCTTTTATGCATCATCTGACTTGTTCTATTCTCTTTTCTTCTTTTCTATGAGATGTTAGACGTCTTGTTTTATGGATTGACTTTGTAGAGAAGGAAGGTTTGATGGGGATGGAGAAGAAGGTGTGATTTTTTTTTGTTCGATTAATGAGATTTTTTTTCCATTCGCGCGAATGCGGACAGATTCTCTGTATTCATATGATCAATTCCATATTTGTTATTGTGGAATCTTGCGCTGTTGGGTGATTTCAGGGAGTGCGATTGAATCGCCTGGGCGATAACTGATGGATGAAAAGGTGGTTCTGATTTTGCGACTGAGGGGATATTTCCGATACGGTGGCAAAAGAGCAGCGGCTTTATTTTCATACCCAGAAGGATGGGGACGATTGGATGGAGGGAGGTTGTGTGTGGGTGTGTTATCCTGAGACGGAAACAGTTGTGAAGACTTATTAGCAGGGTTTTAGCCCAAGGTGACGTCTCCTATGGTTCTCCTGATGGCATCCCTATTGTGAGATTATAGTACAATCAAATTGATGGGCAGCCTTGGCTGGAATTCATTTGTATAACTTGACACTGTACAATTCTATGAAATCAAAGTCCGATTCAATCTGCCTGCGTGATGAAAAGGGAAACAAAAAAAATCTCATGATTATAGAAGAGAGTAGAAACGAGCGTCCGGCTGATTATCGGAAGTTGAGACTGTACCGCGCTTTACATTCCGCGGGTACCCTTCGGTCTATAACTATAAGATTTCACCGCCAATGAATATATCTTTCGACATATCTCGTACCTAAACAAACTATTGATCTCCCCAATCCATCTCATTATTTTGCATTGAAACGCTCCTAATTTCAACCACTCTTTATACGATCTTAGAATTCACCAAGTTGGAAGCAGCCCGGGAGGCCAAGTCCATCTCTCGTTCCAAGTGTTCTATAAGCTGGCCCTCTACTCCGTAATAGACTCAACCACGCTCTTACCAATTCGATACATGTAATCGGAAGAAATAAAAGGAAAAAAAAGGAAAGCCATAAGATTGATTAGCTATAATGTCTAGCCGGTTCGTCTCTGGCGGTACGATAACTTCTAGCGGCGAACCCTCGAAAGATGAGAGCGGCCATGAGGCGGTGGTGGCGGCCGCGAGGGAGCCGCTGATGAAGAAGAATGCCGAATGGGAGGCGGTGCAGCACGAACTTGAGGAGGATAGGAAGAAGAGGGAGCAGGCGAGGGCGAATTTGGCGGGGGAAGGGCAGCAGAGCTTGTATGATGTGCTGCAGGCAAATAAAGGTTTGTTTTTCTTGAGATGCGGTATGATGAAGGCTTGTGCTAATATTTTGGGGGGTGGCTTTGATTTCTTATAGCGGCTAAGCAGGCGGCTTTTGAAGAGCAGATGAAGCTGAAGAATCAGTTTCGCGCCCTGGACAATGACGAGATTGATTTTTTGGATGAGGTGAGGGCGAAGGAGAAGGCGGATGAGGCGCGGGCGAAGAAGGAGATGGAGGCGGGGCTGAAGGCCTTTCGGGAGAGGCAGAAGAGCACCGGGGGAGAGATTGCGGCGGCGGCGAAGGAGGATGAAGGGCCGGGAGGGGAAGATGAGGAATGGGTTGTTGGGGGGAGGAAGAGGAAGAGGCATGAGAGGGAGACGTTGGGCGTGAAGAAGAAGTCCGTGAGTAAGAGGACTGAGAAGGATGAGGCTGTGGTGGTGGGTAAGAGTGGCGATGGTGATGATGGCAAGGCGAAGAGTGAGAAAGAGCCTCAGAGGGAAGAGAAAGAGGAGAAGGAGAAGGAGAAGGAGAAAGTGGAAGAGAAGAAGAAGAAGGGATTGGCGCTTGTAGGATATGGTTCGGATTCGGATGAGAGTGGTGGTGAAGACTGATGCTTGACGGGAGTAGGAGAATAAGGGGAGATAATAAGTGTGGTTTGTGGATTAATACGGCTGCAAAGCTAGATAATATGTATATACGCCCTCTATCATGACCCATTCATAGCGCGCTCTCCTCCAATTTTTGTTTTCTCTCACGCCGAATATCCGATTCAATACATAGTCGTACAGCTCATTGTTATTACAATACAAAAAAAAAAAAAAAGATAGTCCCAACCTCCCATCTGTGTACATCATGCCACTTTCATACCGTTAGATTCTGTTTCTTTTCTCTTTTCTTTTTTTCACCTCCATGACGTCTTTCTTACTCAGTCATCATCCAGATTTCCCACGTTGGGGCCCTGAGGTTTGCTCGCGAATGAGCTCGCGCCCCAGTGATACAAGCTCCTCAGATTACGCTTGATCCAACCCTCAATCTCTGCCTCGGGAACGACAATTTCCTTCGCACGAGCCTCATCCTCGGGCTGAATCTGGAAGCGACGCATCCGTTCCGCAATGCGTGAGTCTACTACCATTGGAGAAGCCCAGATCTTCTCCTTCGGCGGCTCAGCGGCCTTCTTCTCCTTTTCATCGGCTGCGGGTTCTTCGTCCTTCCAAACGAACTTGGGCCAGTCGTCTTCCTCCTGCTTTAGGACGAGCTGCTGCTCGTATTGGCCGTCGGCCTCGCGCCACTCGCGCGCAGCGGCGAAGCACACCGCGGCGACTTCTCGGCCGATGTCGTCTGCCAAGTGACGGCGGGTCAAGAAGCGGCCCAGGCGGACAAAAGTGTGGCGGAAGCCGAGGCGGTGAGGGAATGCAATGGCGGTGGAAGGTGAGAATTCGGCGGGGATGATGGCAGGGAGGCTTGCGGAGGGATAGTCATCAGAGGAGTTGTGAGGGCGCGGCTGCGGAGGGCGCTTTGGTGTTTCGTCTTTCTTTTCTTCTTCTTCGGGCTTCTTGTCTTCGGGCTTCTTGTCACCCTCGCCTTCTGTAGATGGGGTTTCAGGCTCGGACTTGTCCTCGAGAGTTTCGACAACAGGCAAGGGCGGGGGGTCGAGAGGTCCCAGCCATCCCTCGTGTAAGCCTCGAACATACTCTTTCCACGTATGCCGGCCAATGACGATATCGCCCTTGACGCCGCCATATTCTGCTAGCCCGATTTTCTTCCTCTGATTCTCCACAATGGCTTCATCTGTCTGTGGTAATTCCTCGTCCGGCCGCTCATGGGCCTTTCTTGATCTTCTAATCTTCTCGGCAACGGCCGCTCTCACATCTCCCTGCTGTCGGCCCTGGACGAACTCCCAATCGAGGCCGGAAGCTGCCAGAATGGGCTTGACGTATTCGATGAAGTGGTCTTGAGCGGTGCGCAGGCCATCACCAGGAGGCGATTCCAGATAGACGGTGAGCTTGCGCGGAAGCTGGCTGGCATTCGTGAGCAGCTCTTGGGAGAGGGGCGCAACGGCTCGGCGCCACTTGGCTGTCGCGCGGTTTTTCTCGCGCTTGTCGTAGATGATTGCGGCGGCAAAGGAGGTGGATATAGACAGGAAGATGAGCCAATTGCGGGATGGGAGCTTGCGAGGCAGGGCCGGGAGGCCCATCATCTTGAAGACTGGATTGCGCGGGCGAGGCTTTGGAGCGCTCGAGGAGCCGGCGGCCGGCGGGGTCGAGGGATTGAGGTCGGCCATGATGGGTGCGCGGCTGTTGGCTTGAGGAGTCGCTTTAGTGAAAAGATACAGAATGGAGAAAAGGTAGGTTTTGGCCTGGGTGCTCCCTTTGATATCGATTTGCAACCCGGAGCCGGCCAATCTGGTGTTGCGAGTGAGCTACGTACCGCAGCTATCAACTGGGTGCTGGTATGAAGTTGAAAAAAATTGGATGCGATAAGGATGCGGGACACGATAAGGGTCGGCGGAGCTAGACCGCAGCCAGTACGTACAGCTGAGCTTCTACCAGCTGGCAACGGGGAGAACTAAGCAGATAGTGACATAGCTGTCGCGTTGAGATGAAGAAAAATCCTGATACATTTTCTAAATTCAATAAGACCGGATTGAATTATCTGCACGCTGACTTCGAAATCATTTGACATGTGCAAGCACATAAGATGACGTAATGAGTTTATGTCACCTCTATGCTAGCTTGAGTGTCCAGTCCATCCTATCTGCCGCCTAATTACCAGCTGCTGCCCATGAAATCGGGTGTATCTGGCTACAGGCGTTATCGCAACTTCTAGATAATGGAAATTTCAAGCTCAATGATTCTCAATACTACCATAATAGTGGAAGAAAAAAAATCGTAGAGGCTTCTGTCACTAGCAATTCTCACTCATACACAGCGCCGTTGGTTGCGTAGACAGACTCTCTAGAAACGACGAAGAAATGAACGTTTATCACGCATTAATTTGATAATTTCGTCTGTATAATATGGATGATTGAGGCAATAGATGCTTTGCGCTTTGTAGCGCGCAGAGAACAGCCTCTTGTTATAATCATGTCCTTGAGATGAAAGTAGCGAGGTCATTAAGCTCGAGACCTGCATCAAAAATGATGCCAAGCCAGCCCCAGCTTACCTGGCGCAACGTTTCCCAGCAACAAGGTGTCCTATTTGGACTGGCCAAGAGAAGATCTGGGGCCTAACAATCTGACCTCTGTACCCTGCATGAAGCAAGGTAGACTGCTAATGCAACCTCGAGTTCCTTATATAAGTAACCTGCGTCTCTTGTCCAAAACGCGGCTGATTTCGCGGGTAGTGTCGCAGGTCAACCTGAGATTGGGCTAATAACTGGGGAGTGACTGAACCAGTGGTAGATAGGCCAGGGATCCTGGAGCTAATGGCAATCAGATGCTACTACTTGCCTAGCAGCAGCGGCAATATATTTCGTGCAAAACGCGACCCCTGAGGGGCCCAAGATAATCGCCCATTTATGAGACCTCATTCTAGGTCCGTGTTCGTGACTTGTACGACTCTCCAAATTCTGGCACTTTAAACAGAGAAACACAATCCTTTGCTTAAATTTGTTTTAAGTCGAATTGAAATACACACTGAAATGGCAGGCTACCAACGTAATAGGTACAAGTGCCTAGGGAGTCAGTCCCATCCAAGAGATGGGACGAAAGGTCGAAAAAATGTGTTAGCGGCCATGTTTCCGCCGTCCACACAGGCCTTGGTCGTGCTAATCTCTTCCCATCCAAGCTCTCAATGCCATTGCTCACTTCTCACTCTAATGAATAGTCAAGGTATGGGCACTGATGTAACAATAAAGCCTGTAGCAGCCAAAACAGCTAAAATAAAAAAAAAGTATTGCATTCATTATTTTGAATTATATTCAGCTGTCAATACCTGCTGTATGAGATCAGCGTGCTGGCTAGCGAGCACTTAAACACCTGCGGCAATGGTACAATGCCAAAGTCTAGTGAACAATGCCCTGGGCGGCCACTAAGAAAACTTACTTGTAGTGCCAACATAGCGACAAACGTCCCTGGTGCTCTGTATTTTTTCGTGCTTGGGGGCGTCGACCAGGACAATTTAGCGGCCAACCAAGCACTGTGCCCCCGTCCCCCCCCTCACTAGCGACCCCTTGCATCGGCGCTGGGGAACATTGAATATACCTAAACTCGCCGCCGTCCATAGCAAAGCAGCGCCTGTGTGAAACGCGTTGCTCAGGTACCCAGCAAGTACTCGTCACCCCGCTCAGCTCATTTTCACATTCTTAGCACGCTGACCGCCCTCCTGGCCTTGTGCCACTGCAATAACGCCTCCCGCCTCTTTCGACCCCTCGGCCTCGCAATTCCCCTTTCCAGCACATCACCAACAAGGAGCTGCATCGAGCCGCAAAACTGACCGCGCTGTGCCAAAGACCACCGCTCCATTCTGCGGCCAGGCCCTTGCGTTGCTCTCGCTCTGTGACCGCTGGAAAAATTGGGCCCGCCCGCGCTGAGTAGCAGCGGAGCACTCGCTTGCAGCGGCATCGAATCGCTGCCCGCCCAGCTCGTCCCAGTCACGCACTAGCATCTCCAGCACCGTCTCTTGTGCCCCCTTTCCGACCCCTCAGGCCCCGTCAGGCTCGCATACCGTACCGCAGGGCCATCTTATTGCTTATCGGCTGCGGATATGGACTCCAACAACGGCCGTCTGTACTTGAACTTCGACAACCAGCGACCGGCCGCCAACGATCGAGCCTATCCCACCACGCCCTCAACCTTCCCCCAGCCCGTCTTCCCCTCGGGAGCTCAGCCCAGTATGCAATCGTCCCAGCAGCAAGCCTACGGCGCGGGCTACCCGCCCCAGGGCTACTTTGCGCAGAACCAGCAGTATCCAGGCCAAGCAGTGACGAGCGACTATCCCAACGCTGCCTATCCCCCGCAGTCTGGCGCGCCTGGCACCAACGACCCGAACACGGGCTTGGCTCACCAGTTCTCCCATCAGAACCTCGGCGGCAGCGCCGCAAGGGGAGGCCAATATGCTGGTCGAGGACCATCCTCAGGACGGCCACGAACTGCGGGCGGCTCAGGGCAGCAGGGCAGCTATGGCAACTACGCGCCTCCTTTGCCTACCCAGGGCGCTGTGTCCTCGCCCGAATTTCAGCCTATCCCAGAGAGGAACCCTGATAAATATGGCACAAATGCCAATAGCAACCAGAAGAAGTGCTCGCAACTAGCTGCGGATTTCTTCAAAGACAGCGTGAAGCGAGCTCGTGAGCGCAATCAAAGGTACAATCACTTCACCTGCATACATATACATGTCTCCTCAGTCCCGCCTCTCTTCTCTCTACCAGACTTATGGACAACCATGTCGATATTCCGTTTGCTGACGACTGTTTCACGTGAAAAACAACAGACAGAACGAGTTGGAGCAGAAGCTGCAAGACCCCGGCCAGAGCTCAACTAGGAGAGAGCAGCTCTGGTCGACTGCTGGCCGGAAAGAAGGCCAATATCTGCGATTTTTGCGTACCAAAGACAAGCCCGAGAACTACAACACGGTCAAGATTATCGGAAAGGGTGCCTTTGGTGAAGTTAAGCTGGTGCAGAAGAAGGGAGATGGCAAGGTCTATGCTATGAAGTCTCTGATCAAGACTGAAATGTTCAAGAAGGACCAGCTGGCTCACGTCCGATCAGAACGTGATATCCTTGCCGAGTCTGACAGCCCCTGGGTTGTCAAGCTCTACACCACCTTCCAGGATGCCTACTTCCTCTACATGCTCATGGAGTTCTTGCCCGGTGGAGATTTGATGACCATGCTCATTAAATATGAGATTTTCTCAGAAGACATTACGCGATTCTACATTGCTGAAATTGTCTTGGCTATCGAGGCTGTCCACAAACTCGGTTTCATTCACCGGTAGGCTATTCTTCTGGCTTCCTTTTTGCCAAACCTCGTCTTTAGTCGTTGGCTAATTCGAATGAAATAGTGATATCAAGCCCGACAACATTCTGCTAGATCGTGGCGGCCACGTCAAATTGACCGATTTCGGTCTTTCCACTGGCTTCCATCGTCTGCATGACAACAACTACTACCAGCAACTCCTGCAAGGCCGCTCCAACCGCCCCCGTGACCGAAACTCGGTTGCCATTGATCAGATTAATCTCACAGTCAGCAACCGATCTCAGATTAACGACTGGAGACGATCTAGACGACTGATGGCTTACTCCACCGTTGGTACGCCAGACTACATCGCCCCCGAGATCTTCACAGGCCATGGCTACACCTTTGATTGCGATTGGTGGTCATTGGGTACTATCATGTTTGAATGTCTGGTGGGCTGGCCGCCTTTCTGTGCTGAAGACAGCCACGATACTTACCGCAAGATCGTCAACTGGAGGCAAACGCTGTATTTCCCTGACGACATCACGCTGGGTGCCGAGGCGGAGAATTTGATTCGAAGGTAAGAATCTACTCGTGTTTTTTTTATGAGGTTACAAATGGCTAACCAATATTTTAAATAGCATGGTCTGCAACACGGAGAACCGACTCGGAAGGGGAGGTGCCCATGAACTCAAGAGCCACGCATTCTTCCGCGGTGTCGACTTTGATAGCCTGCGTCGCATTCGCGCTCCTTTCGAGCCTCGCTTGACTTCCAACATTGACACCACCTACTTCCCGACTGACGAGATTGATCAGACCGACAACGCGACTCTGCTCAAGGCCCAGGCCATCCAGAACAACCGCACTGGCCAAGCTCCTGAGGAGTCACCCGAGATGAGCTTGCCATTCATTGGTTACACTTTCAAGCGGTTCGATAACAACTTCCGATAGAAGGTCTTGATTTTCATGATGAAGCGGGCATATGCAGTAGAGATTTTGAGTTCAACGCAATGTAGAACTGCGTTTATAAGATGATGAGAATTTTTGAAAAGGGGTCTATGCTTAATCGGCTGACCAAATTACGAGGAGCAACCTGCATAAAGGGCCACAGTTATACAACAGAGACCCTGTCGTTTATTGAAGATGCATGATACTTGGCATGGAAAACAGTGCTGATATCCTTGTTCATATTGCTGAAAGATTTTGCTTTGCTTCTGATTTTTTATTCAATTGCATGAAAGGCAGAAAGGGGGAGGTGGGAGGTTGGGAGGGAAAACGCTGGAAATAGCTCAGGTCTCATGGATATATCAGCGGCGAGAGACGCTTTGGTGGCATTAGAGTATATGAGTGAAAAGAAGCTTCGTTAAAAGGCCAGATTTCCAATTTAATACTTATATACATGCTTCTACCCATCGTACCCATAAATGTAACTCGATTACCCTGACACCAAACTCCTAAAATACATTGCGCCGAATGCGTTGTCTCCCGTCTTTGTTCCTATTGCTTTTTTCTCCTTGCTCATTCTGAGGCTGGTTTGCCATGAGCAACACGGCTAATTGCAAGTCAGCAAAAATGCATGCTGCTGTTGAGCCAACGGACAGCTTCTTACCCCGTAAGTCGTCATATTAAGTGTGCTAAATTATGCTGTATACGTATCGTGTGCTCAATGAAGGGTGCGACTGAATACAAGCCTCCTTCTACTGATATTGAGTATTTGAAATCCTCGTACGACGTTGCTGGCGATTGGAAATGCTTTTCATCAAAAGACGTAAAAATCTCCATATAGACTGTGATTGGCTGCATATGTTCATCTCCTGGCCGTCAAACCAGGGGCAGCGTTGAACCGCTCCTCGCGCTCCGTCATGAACATGACCTGGATCCAATACTCCTTGGAGTCGGGATCCCAGAAGCAGAACTGCTTGTCCTCCCGCTTGTCCAGCTCTCTGGCCGGAATCTTGAATCCCACGCTCTCGTACGGCTCTGCAGCGACGACCAGGTACTGGAAATTCCTGTCCGGCTCCTCGGCGCGCTGCGTGAATGCGTTCATGACCTGCCACTTGGGCGCTAGCTCGGGCGTGGCATCCGGGTACTGTAGCTGGAAGAGAAGGCCCTGCTGGCGCGTGACCGGGTCTCGGATCTTGGTGATCTTGTAGCCGGGTCGGCCAATCTTGACGACGTTGCGCCTGGCCGTGAGGCTCGCAGCGACGCTGGTCGGCAGGCCCGTCGCAGGGTCGATGCTCTGCTTGCCTTCCTTCTGCTCGCGGGCGGCGCGACGGGCGAGGTTGGTCTGGTGCTTTTTGCCCTGGGTGTGGGCGAGGTAGGAGCCGTCGTTCTGGTGGACGGTAAGACAGAGGCGGCATTCGAAGGAGCCGACGTGGTTCTTGAAGAAGTAAGGGTCCTTGTCGAGGTCGATTGTCTCGAGGGCGAGCTTGCGCAGACGCTCGCGGCGGTCGGCGTTGGTGGCGGAGTGGGAGGCGACACCGCCGCCGCCGAATTTGGAGCCTGCGCGGTTTTGGTAGTCCATCTGGGTTTATATGGGCGGGCTGTTTGGGGGTGGTTTGGGGAATTCGGGATGTTGGGGTGGTTTGAAGAGAATTGGCTGATGGATTGTTTAACTGTAGGCGCGACTGATAGGAAAAGTTACGAAGTGGGCGAGGCTGCAATAGGATGGATTATGTAAAGAGGGAGGCTAGCCAATCAGCATTGCACATTGCCACAATGCACTTTTACGTACAAGTACCTCCAGCAAAGCTCAACTGCTCTATTACACCAATACCTGTCAAGGCAGTCTTATATGCCCACTACTTGATTAGTATTTTCTCTTGGACAAAAAGAAGAATAGCTTGTGTATTAGCTCGACTAAATCCTCATAGGATCACTCACACTACTAGAACTAGTAGATCACCGCCTCAAAACACCAATACGTCACTATACTTTGATACAAATGCCTGAACTGCGTCGACAAACCTATCAAGCTCAGACTGTGGGGTCTCGAGTATCAGAGCAATGAGACCTCTACGAGTGACCCAGAACCCTTGCTCCAGCATCTCAAACCAGAACAAGTCTTTTAATGCTTCGTTCTCTGTAAAGTCATCTGCGCTTGTGATATCCTTTAACTCCACATCTCCATCGATGAATCGAGAAGATAGGATTGATCCGAGTCCCGAGAAGCCCAGTCTGGTTCCCTCGACTGTCTCTTGGAGCTTGGTTATGAATAACTCACCAGTCTTGAAGAACTTATCCGCGACATCAGGGGTATATATCTTTGTTAAGCCTGCGTATCCAGCGTGTGTCACGAGCGTGTTGTTATTGAAAGTGCCAGAATGAGGAATTGAAGTGGCCAGCCTCGGGTCAAATGCTGCCATGATATCGGCTCTTCCTCCAAGACCGCCGAATGCGAGGCCGCCACCGAGATATTTGCCAAATGTCTTGAGATCTGGCTTGATTCCTCGCATGCCTGCAAGTCCAGAGGCGGATATCCTAGAAGTCATTACCTCATCGAGGATGAAAACAACACCGGCCTAAGGTATCCATATCCGTGAGTATAATGCATAGTATATGTGTATAGTTTCGTTATTATCCTCACCTTGGCAGCGGTATCCTGGATGCCAGTCAAGAATTCTGGAGATGCAGTCAGACAACTTCCATTGCCTTGCATACCTTCCATTAGCACGGCGGCTACCCCCTCGCTTTGAATTGCCTTAACGGCGGCATCGAGATCATTATACTTGACGACAATCCAGTCATCAGGGTCAACATTGTTGGGTGCCGGCATCCCCCCCTTAAAACCCAAAACTCCTCCGTGATAGCCCCTGTTAAAGACGACCACTTTTCTCTTCTTAGTGAACAGCCTTGCCGCGGCCAGAGCATGAAGATTGGCCTCGGTGCCGGAGTTTGTGAATCGCACTCGTTCGAGATCAAAGCGCTGGCATAATTCTCGAGCAAATAACTGCTCTTGAGGCGTGGTTGCCCCGACATTCAAGCCCACGTTGTTGAGGACATTGTTCACAGCATCGAGTATCATAGGATTAGAGTGACCATATAGAGCCGCTGTAAATTCGGCTGTGAGATCTGTGTAGCTATAGAATCGGATCAGCCGATAAAGATCTTTTGGACGATCATAAACCATGTTCTACGTGTATCATCATATTTATTTCACTTACACATGGCCATCCTCGGATGTAAGCTGGTAGCCTTTGCCAGACTTCATAGAAATGGGGAATGGGTCCGTATGAAGCACTGTCCTAGTATTGCCGCCAGGAAAAGACTTGGTGGCTTCTTCGTGAAGGGTCTTGGATTTAGCATTTCGTGTGATGTAGCGTGCCTTGGCCTCTTCAAGGGCTTGAGAAATCTTCTGAGAGGAAGAGGACGGCATTGCTTCTTGAGTATGCGATAAGCTCTTGGGGTAGCTATGATGTCTTACACCGAGAAATACATATAATGATCAACGATATCACTTTTAATGACTCGAGTATTGAGCTAATAAATAGAAGCAAAATGAGATATATAGAATAAATTCTTGCACAGACACACACCGATTGCCAGTGTGCCTTATATAGTTGTAATCGTCTAGACTACCTGTCTTATACAGGGACATGTACCTACCAGGCTGGAGTTCCAGCAACACAATCAAAGTGGGGTCGATACTTTCCTATTAGACGTTTCTATTAGACGGCTGGACCCATCTCCTGGGCAGGCAAAGTAGCGTGTCCGACAAAGGCCAAAAACAAAATAATCGCAAGCTGATTGTTGAGTATGTCTGTTCGGCCAGACTCAAAGGGAAACTCACGACGAATCAGTGCATAGATAGTATTGTCCAATTCGGACTATGTGTTTGTGGTGAACGATGACCGGCAATGCGAATCGGCAATGCAATATTGACCTGATACATTTGCTACCATAACTGTAACTACTAGGTACTTATCATACATGATACAAAATTATGATAAAAAGTAATACACTGATCTCATCTCATATTGTCGCAACCTCGTCAAAGAGACCGAGTGCTCATTATCCTATCTCGCAAAATATGGGGCTGATAAAAAAGGCGGTGTGGGGAAAATACATGGCAGAATCGCATCCCACTTAATTTTTTTTTCTTAGCACGGCAAGCCATCAAAGTTGGGAGGACGCTGCAGCTCGTTGTTAAAAGAAAAAATTGCTACCATTGGCAATAAAGAAACAAAATTAAAGCACAATGGCAGGCACAATCAACAAGCCCAAGAGTATGTCCTGGATATCATTTTGATCTTTGGTCAAAATCTCCCCCAAATATCAACCTGCGCAAAATGCTGACCAAGGCGTCGTAGGACCCAACTCCAAGCGGTCGACAACCCGTCTTCGCAACAAGATCCAGAAGGCCTCCGCGGCCAAGCAGAGAAAGGACCGCAAGTTGGCCAAGAAGAACCCAGAATGGAGATCAAAGCTGAAGAAGGATCCCGGCATCCCCAACCTCTTCCCCTACAAGGAGAAGATGCTGGAGGAGATTGAGCAGAAGCGCGCAAAGAAGGCCGAGGAGGCCCAGAAGAGAAAGGAGATGGCCAAGGCTGCCAAAACAGGCGGCGCCGAGAAGAACGAGGATGCCATGGAGGATGCGGGTGCGGATGGTGACCACATGGATGAGGATGACGGAATGGACGATGTCGACGAGTCCAACCCAATGGCTGCCCTGCTTGCGAGCGCTCGCGCTGCCGCCGCAAAGTACGACAAGTCTCTTGCCGCCAGTGACGACGACATGGACGAGGATGACGATGACGACGACAGCGATGATGACGCTTCTGATGACGGCGCACACGTTTCCATTGGCCAGGCCTCATCGAGAAAGACCTTCGACAAGGTCTTCAAGCAGGTCGTCGATGAGGCCGACGTCGTGCTGTACGTCCTCGATGCCCGCGACCCCGAGGGCACTCGTTCCCGCGAAGTCGAGCGCAGCGTCGTGGCTGCTGCTGCCGGTGGCAAGCGCCTGATCCTCATTCTCAACAAGGTCGACCTGATCCCCCCCAAGGTGCTGCGCGACTGGCTCGTCTACCTGCGCCGGTACTTCCCTACCCTCCCCGTGCGAGCGGCGCATGCGGCTGCGAATGCGCACATGTTTAACCACCGCGACTTGAGTGTGCAGAGCACCTCTGCTGCGCTGTTCAAGGCCCTCAAGAGCTATGCTGCCAGCCGCGACCTGAAGCGCGCCGTCTCTGTTGGTGTCATCGGCTACCCCAACGTCGGTAAGAGCTCCATCATCAACGCTCTGCTTGGCAGAGTGAGCGGCAAGGGCGCCAGCTCTGCCAAGGCCTGTCCCGCTGGCGCTGAGGCTGGCGTCACAACGAGCATCCGCAAGGTCAAGATCGACAGCAAGCTCACGCTGCTCGACTCCCCCGGCGTCGTCTTCCCGTCGTCGTCTTCCGTCCAGTCCGGCGGCCTCGTCGCCATCAAGAACGCCACTGAGGCTCACGCCCACCTTGTTCTGCTCAACGCCGTTCCCCCTAAACAAATTGACGATCCTATCCCTGCCGTCAGCCTGCTCCTCCGCCGTCTCTCTTCTACCCCCGATCTGCTGCAGAAGCTCACCAACGTGTACGACATCCCCGCGCTCCTACCCAGCAGCGCCGACGGCGACATCACCTCGGATTTCCTCGTCCAGGTCGCCCGCAAGCGTGGCAGGCTCGGCCGTGGCGGCGTCCCCAACATCAACGCTGCTGCCATGACCGTTGTGACTGACTGGCGTGACGGTCGTATCCAAGGATGGGTCGAGGCTCCCGTCTTGGCAGTCGAGAATGCAAAGGGCCAGAACGGCGCTGTCAAGCCCGCTATCAAGAACGCTGGCGAGGAAGAGGTCATGGCTGACCAGAAGGAGATTGTCACAGAATGGGCTGCGGAGTTCAAGCTTGATGGCCTATGGGGCGATGACAATGCTAATGAGGGTGCGGATGAGGGTGATGCCATGGAGCAGTAAAAAAAAAAAAAGAAAAAGGAACCCAGAGGAACTCATGATGCAATGTGGCCGGATTTTTTTTTTATTTTTATAATTGCGCATGTTTCGTGCTCATTTTCTTTTTCACATCTTTTTTCTTAATGGTATTCTCATAACGAGTTTGGCGTTGTAGGTTGGTTGGTAATATAAAAATAAAGCGGACTTAAACTGTATGCAACACACGCATACATGTATATCAATATTACATATTAGATGTACACAGTTTCTGAAAAAGGTGGAAAAGGAAAGTCTTCTTGAGATAGATTTTCTTTAAAAAAAAAAAAAAGTTTCCCTCTTTATACGTTTTCTAGTCTCTAGCATTTTGTGCATATATCCCAAATTGACAATTTCCATTAAAATTAAACGTCCTGTCCTTACCCTTTTAAACCTCCTTAAGCACTCACCAACTCCATCTTGACGCCTCTCTTGCCCGTCCTCTCGTCCTTGTCGTCATGGACTCTAACCACAACCTTCTGGAAAAGCTCTACTTTGATGCTTCTCTCCCCCTTCGTCGTCAATGTATACGTCTCGGCGTCATATTCGCTCTCCGGCTCAGGATCAGCCAAATCGCGCAACCTAATCAAGCCCTCGATGCCGAACCGCGGCACCAGAACCACAAATCCATTGCTGAAAATCTTCATCACAAAGGCTTCCTCCTCGGCAACCTTGCCCTTCAGGGCTTGGCCGACGTAGTACGCAATGCTGGCTCGGCCGGCCATCTGGGCGTTGCGGTGACGGACATTGATGTTCTTGCACACGGCTTCGAGACGACCTCTGCTGCGGACGGAAGGGTGGACGGCTTCGTAGCCGATGGCGGCCGCAAGTTGTCTATGGGCAAGGAGATCCGCATATCGGCGAATAGGTGAGGTGAAGTGTGTGTAAATCTCAGAAGCAAGACCGTAGTGGCGGAACTCGGGATATGATTGTGTTCCAGAGCAGAAGTACTCTGCGCTCATCATGCAGCGAGTGGCCATGATACGAACGAGGGTGTTGAAGAAGGGTTCTTTTCCGTCGACGCACCTGTCGAGGGAATCGGCCAGCGCCTTGCTAGAATCGGTGCGCAGCTCCAGGCCGCGTTTAATGCGCAGCTGGTCGGCCAACTCGTCAAAGTTGGTCTTGGGAGGAGCCGCGTGGCGACGTAGAATGGCAGTCTGAGGGAACGCCTCGTAAATCTTGGCAGCAACGCTGACATTGGCGAACAACATGAATTCCTCAACCAAAGAGTTGGTATCGAGGAGTTCTTTGGTCTTGACGTCGATAGGATCCGAAGATTCCGACTCCATGTGGACTTTGATTTCCGGTGAAGACAGACTCAGAGCACCAGCATCCATACGCTTCTTCTTAAGCTTCTTGGACAGCATAAGCAGCATTCGCATGCCCTTTGTGAGATCATCCTGCTGCGACTCGTCGTCGATTCGGAGCTGTGCTTGTTCGTAGCTGAAGGCCTCGCGTGACGCAATAACTGATTTTGTGAAGCGGACATTTACAATATCTGCATTCTCGTTGAGCTCCCAGATAACTGTAAACGCGAAGCGCTCGACATAAGGCTTGAGAGAGCAGAGGTCAGTACCAAGCAGCATAGGAAGCATGTCTATGCGCTTATCAACCAGGTATACGGTGGTACCCCGAATACTCGCTTCAGTATCCATGGCATTGGCAGGCTTGACAAAATTCGATACGTCGGCAATATGAACGCCGACCTCGTAGTTTCCGTTTGGTAATAGTCTCGCGTGAAGAGCATCGTCGATATCTTGACAGCCAGGCGGATCAATACTGCAAATAAGAAGATCGCGAAGATCCTCTCTGTCTCTCCAGCCAGGATCCTCTTTGCTGGCAGGAACCTTCCAGTCGTGACCCTCCTTCGGAAGACAGTCGAGCACCGTTTTCGGGAAAGGTCGGTACTGGACATCCCACTCCAAAAGCAAAGCCTCCGTCTCTGCCGCCTTGGTCTCGAGCTCTCCCAGGGAGCGAACTAGATGTCCGACGGGATGTCTTGAATCTCTATCCCAAGAGTCGACGGTGACCAGGAGCCTCTTACCCAGAAGCTCAGACACTTGGCGAGTGCGCAGGCGAATCTTTGGGATCTTCTTGTCCATGGGGATGAGGAAAACGCTATCGAGCTTCCGGCCTTGTGATGGGCCCTTGTTAGCCGTCGATGGGTCGATGTGGCCAACATACTGCCGCCAGTTGCGTTTTACTACTCCCACAACCTTGGCTGTTGGCTGCAGCTGGTTCTCTCCTGACGCTTTCTGGGTCCTCTTTACTTCCTCTTGAAGTGCCTTGCGCTCTTTGTCAGATACAAAGTCCTGGCGCTCTTCGGCGTCCGCATTCTCATTCTTCGTAATCGTATCCTCTTCAATGATCTTTGTTGATGGTGACTTCCACTGGTCTTGTGGGAGCAATTCAACGACTACCACATCGCCATCGATGGATCGATTGATGTTCTCGCGGCCTAGGATAAGTAGAGGCTTTGGGAAAGCAGGGACCTTGATAGATCCTTCAAGGTAGTTATACGGAGACACATTGAAGATACCCTGATGCAACAGCCCTGCCTTGACTCCCGTCATCATCCTTGACGCGGTAAAGTACTCTGGGTAAATAGGCTGCTGAGAAGCTTGCTTGAATCCACCTTGGGCTTGTGTCTGTGACTCTGCAATCATATCCAGTAACCTCTCGCCATCTTCTAGTTCACTGACGTAGTCTGCGAGCGAAGACGCGTGTAGTCCTTGCTCTCTGGCTTTCCTCAAGTTGTCCCGGTCATCACTGAGCATGACAATCGCCGGGATCTTGGCCGCCTTGGTCAATGCCAGATGCTCCCCGTACCACTTGACAGCTTGTCTAACCGCGCGGTCGTTTCTGTCATTGACACTCTCACCAGCTTCACGGTTGACATAGGTCTCCTGGCGGAATTCGTTGAAGAAGACGTAGAATCTCTTGTCCTCGCTCTTCGTCAGTCCTACAAGGCGGTTGTAGAGAGGAAATGAGCGGTTCTTGAGTTCTTCCAGAACAGTCTGCAGGATGATAACGTCATAAAACGATGAGCTCTGCTCGAATAGGTCCATGGCGTTCAATAACGCGTTTGTATCAGGGACCAGATAGTGGCCTTGGGGAAATGACTTTGTACCGGCCGGCCTCTCCGACAGGACAAAAGGTAGAGCTATCATAAGCCGTCAGCCTCGTGCCGCTGTATAACAGATTTGGTACTTGGTAGATAGAAAAGTAAGTTCTCACCTTGGTTGGCGGCATTCCGGGGTGCCTGGCTCAAGCAGGTCCTGCACAAATTTGATGAACATGGTATATCCGTCCTCAGATAGACCTCCCGAACAATCTTCTGCACTTTTCCACTCCGCGTCGACCTGACATAGACCTTGTTGGAAATGTTGAGCGCAGCCTGGTCTGACCGCTGCGTCCTCTTTAAACTCGTCATGCTGGCTGTCACTGTGTTTTGCTTGCTTCTTTAGTGTGAATTTTTTCACCCATGCTCTCTCTCACTGAAGTCACTGAAAAATGCTGATATAATGTGATAATGCACTTGCAAGTTCAATGTGGGGTGCCTTATCGATATGCGACCGCAGAACAGCGCCAAATGGAGACACTCTATACCAATGGCAATTAGTATTCTCAAGAGCAGATTCGCACGGTATCAATTTGTAGAATTTATATCTTCAAATATATTTTTGCTTCTCGACCTCATCTGCAAATATTCTACCATCCTTGAAGCCTTCCAAGAAAATAATATCACGTGATGTATATTCTGGTCGGTTATCACGTGAGTCTCCCCCTTGCCTTTGAGTGAGTCCAAAGGGTGAGCATCAGAGAGAGCGTCTTTGTACCGAAGACTGCTTTACCAAGTGGTATCTATACAAGCATCAATAAGAGTCCCAATATATGACCAAAATAAAAATTTTGTCGCATTATGCCACATAATTCTACCCTAGCAATCAGGCTTATATCCACTTCCGCTTTGTGAAAGTGTAGTTTGAAGCCAATCGATATGACTTGACAATCTCATATCCACGTCTTCTCTCGCATTGTGAGCACTTCTCTTCGCAATGTCGCATATACATCAATCTAACAATCTTTAACAGATATACTAACTACCACCTACCATGGAGAATCCAAGAGGGGACTGGGGAACCAAGAAGGCCAGGAATCGTTACAAATGCAACTTTACTCTGCAACATTACCACTCCAAGTTCACTTGCCACCTGCCTACGCCAAGCCACTCAAATGGAAAGGTGCACAAAATCAGAAGAGAGAAAAAAAAGTTGAAGAGGATCCTTGAGTACTACCTGGAGCGGAGACTTGGTACCGATATTACCGGCCGTGTGCAATCACCGAGCAGTGAACGTACCCTGTCGCAGGATGAGTCCCCTTTTTTTGGCCACTTCACCAATAAGCACGAGCTGTATCGCCACCGAGCAGCATGTTCCCTCGGCGAACTGGCCTCTCTTTGATCTAGGCCATTACTTTGTATGACTCTGAGTTCACTCAAGACGCGCTCCTGATCCCGCCCGGTGTTGGGATGTGGGCTCCGGGTGGGCTCCTCTCTCCATTTTCGTGAGACATGATATTTGTCAACCGCTCCAAAGGGGGCATACGAGGTTCATAATCACACTGTCACCGTGGTTTGCGGGAGCACGGAGGCTCTTTCAGTTCGTGGGGTCCGGTCCTCGGCTCTACTTCATGACCGCCCCTTTCTTGGCGAAGTTTTACACATGCTCTTGTATCATCATCCGTATTCGCCCTCGTTTAGCCGATTCTGTTCACATATCTGCGCCGCTCATTGGGCCTTGAGGGTGCTCAGCATCCAGCTATTCTTTCAGTGTAGCACCCAGGCTGGCAAGAATGACGCGCCATGTTCCCAACAGAAAGGGAGTGGGCGCCGAATTATCGGGTCTGTATGTGTTCCCACCCCGTCCCTCAATAACCGGACGAGAGACTGGTGTATTGGATGCAAGAAGATGCAAGAAGCGTCCCTCAGACATTCTGTTACTCTAACAACAAGCATCTTCTTATTCGTCCTTTCGTCCTAACTAGATCTCAGGGAAAGGTCAATGTAATATTGGCCTTTGTGGTAAAGCTGGAGCCCCTAATAGCACAGAAGATGTCTTGTCTCGTCTTGTACCCCATAGGACGAAGATGGGGTAAAGAGCATGCGCATGTGTTTGACTTCGACTAGCAGAGCCAGATGACCCTTTATCTCATGCACGCTTTCATCATATAGGACCACAACGCAACACTCCCGATGTTCTCGACTAATCCATCCAGCGCCGTGGATAACACTATGTGGATCTATAGCTCTTGCAAGGTGAGCAAAAAAGGGAGTATTGACTCATGATGTAAGTTACAGAAACACCAAAAGACGTGTCGCAGCGTTGGTTAGGCTGCTCGGATTTGTTAACCAAAACCAACTCTGCTAAAGCTAAAGGCGTGTATAAGGGCCCTAAGATTTGGTTCCTGAAAATGAACATGGCATGGGTGGGTAATATGAATGGACCTCGTGCTCTGAAATATGAATGGTCCCAATTATCATACGAAAGAGAATGCGGGCGCTGATCGCCAAAAACTTTCCTTTCCTTTCCCACTGAAGACCCCGCGGGGTATGATTCAAACGGACAGCATCCAGAGCTAGGCTTTGGAGCCCAAGAGGGCGGTTCTTCCATAATGGATGCCCCGCGGCCACAGATGAAGCGACATAGAGGCTTCAGTCAGGGACTTTACGGGAGTATTCATCTCATAGTGGGGGGCGTAGCATGCAACGAGTACTCCATACACACATATGCTTTCCACTTCTATTACCACCTCGCACTGTTCAACATGTGCCAAGGTAGCAGAATGCCTTATCCTGTTGTGGTGGGAGACCGGCTTCAAAGGCAGCCAATAACAAGGGTTGCAATAGTCACTGGTCTGGAAAGCCAAAGGAGCAAGCAGTGCACATTGGCTCCGTCGTAGGGATCAACAAACTTGCCCCTCTTGGGCATTGAGAGACGACGAGTTTTAAATTAGGTAACACTCGAGTGGTTTCCCAGAAATGCGTCCTTGCCTTGGCAAACCGAACTTCCATGCATCTATCCTGTTGACCTATAGTCACATGGCTATATGCGCAGCCCAAAGTGGACTCGATTAACGCTACTTCTTCATGTTCAGTCTCGTGAGATCATACATATCCAGGGTAACATCGCGACAGATGCAAATGATGGCAGAAGCGACATGATATGCTTTTGAACCCGCAGCTTCAAGAACAGCGGTCAGGAATCAGGCTTCAACACGACTTGCTAGCGTGGATTAGAAAGCGTGATGATTAACTGCATATGCGGACGCTATACAGTCAACTGATTCAAAGATATGCTTTGCCCTGGAGAACATTTGTTTTCAACAGCATGATGAGATCCACAGGGAGGAAGAAAGTGCGAGTGATTGGTAGAGAAAATTGCTATTGACAAGCGATGTCTGTCCACCGTGACCATTTTTATGCGTCGGATTACAGGGTATGGTGACGCCAAACTGCCGAATTTCTGCTGAAAGATCAACTTACCAGGTACGAAAACAGGATTTCTCAACCATCGTACATACCCCGGCCAGCCTGTCTTATCCTAGAAGCAGTACTTCGTATATCAAAGAGAGAGAAAAGGCTGTATGCGCACAATTCCCGGATCCTTCTTTTTCTTCTCCTCGGAGGGCCTGCAGGCGGTGTCTTAGACGCCGCACTCCCCCGCAGTGGCGGCGTGTCTATCAGTTGACATGGGGTTTTGTAATAGTAGAGCTATGTACGAAGCACGCTATACAATAGGTTGTATGAAAAGCGCTGATAGGCAGCTATGATTTCATATGATCTAGCATTACCCTAGACGCCTTCCCGGTGCTGAATAAGAATCCTACGAACGCACGTTTAATGAGTGTGGTAGGGTCAGCGCCATAGTAAGGGGAATGCATATTTTGCATGTAGTCTGGTGTAATATTACTTATTACTTTGTATGATCCTGGACCACTCGGGCACGAAAGAAAAAAACTCCGGTGTTAAAGCGGCACCCTCCAAGTTCTTAGTTGCCTTTCCTTAAGGCCGCGATCTGGGGGCATCGGCAATCGCAAAATGGGATTCACCAAGGTGTGGGCGTCACCAGATAGATCCGCGGTGTTACCCCTGACTTATTTCTGAGGAATCGGAAGTGTACTTGGTACACGAGCCACCAATTCAAACTCGCGCAAGGGAGGGGCTGGTACAATGGTAAATCTCGGGGCTAGCGTAACTTTGCTGCCACTGCTGTGAGGCACAAAGGCATGGTATATTGTGAGAGATTCAGGCCATGATGGCGTTGGTGCCGCCAAGCTAACAATGGGATGTGGGGTGACATGTCCCGACATCCTTGGCCGCATCTTTCTGCATGGCCAACTCCTTTGTGTGTGCATACCTACTTGTACTGGAGGTAACCAGGTAACCACACCGTGCTGTGTGCTAGATTCCCGCTTCATTCTATGGCGAAGGGAGATCCCTGATATGCAAGTTCGGCTGTCTCCGTAAGTGCTGGTTGCCACCTGCAACGCGACAGGCAGCTCAGTACCAGTAGCTTGGAGTTTTAACTTGCTAGCATTGTATCTCCAGCTAATGCCCAGGGAAGCACATGTAGAAAAGAAGGAGACATCAAGGTTTGGATAAATGGGCGCCGTACTATGCTGAACCCCTGAAAATGATAAGTTTTTTATCGCCTGATCCGGCTTTATGAGCAATATCACGATTGCAAAGCATTATCAATCTAGCGTATAGGGGATAAAGCAGGCAAATCCCGTGGTCTTTCCAGGCCCAGCTCAAAACCTTGATGCTGCTGCAATGGTAGTAAGCGTGTAGTTGAAGGTTTGGATGGTTGGGCGGCGTTCTCAGGCAGGTAGTCGCTGTTGGTCCACTAGGCCCATATTAAAGTGAAAGGGGAGTCCACAAGGCCGAGCTATTCCTAGTTGAATGAATTCTGAGCATCAGCACAGCTGTTTAAACCTGCGGGTAGTTATCCTGGGCGGCTTCGATGGAATACACTCTTTATCATCTGCAAGTGGCCGCTGCGGGCGCGGTGGGGGCGCTGGGATGGAGTCGAGTTGAGGGAAAAGGCTAGGGGTGATGAGCGGGATGGCGTAGTGCAGTATGGTAAAGCCCTGGGGCTATCTTCCGTCATACGCGTTTGCGAGGCCGAGATAGTAGAACTTTGTAGTAATAGTAACAGTAGTAGTACATAGTAGTAGTAATAGAATTTTGTTGTAATCTGGACTTGCTACTAGCAGTACTAATGTTGCTGCTATCAGTGCTACTGCTAGTAGCTTTTGATCTATCATGGGACGGGTGGAGAAATGTCTCGAGCTGCGGGTTGTCAGCAGACGGTTTTCAGCTCCGCTGTCCCGCAGATATTATCAGTGGCTGTCGAGTAGCATTGACTGTAAGAACGGAGCGTATCATCCGCAGGGAGGAAGAGGAACAGAAATCCGGCATCGAAAGGGAAGTTAACAACGGGCAGCCAATGGGTATCAGTAACCACTGCACTGCGGCAGCAGGCCATCCTGTCAGAACGTGGGGGAAGAGATCCTAATGGGCCGTTCTTCCATCGAATCGAATGAGAGAAGGAAGACGTAGTAATTCGTACTGCGTAGCGTATACCGGGTTGCGGGTATCGCTGCGATGCACTGCTGGAGAGATAGATTTCTCTAAAGAGGGTGTTAAAAGCCGTGGTAGCTGCTGAAAGGGAGCCGGGTATTCAAGAGGATGCCATCATGGTTTGGCTGCGGGGAACGAGCTTTTCCGATGCTGTTGGCCGGGCTGCACCAAGGCCCTTGAGGCGCTCTTGGTCTGGGGTCAGCACGATCGAATCGTTCCCGCACCTCACACTCAAGAGGTGCGCACGCAAGGCCACCCATCCCTGCACCCTAGACACCCCCGGCCTGGACCCCATCCCATGTTCATGATCAACTCTGTGAACGCCTGGGGCCAGTGATATAGAACGGGTACGTCTTAGCGTTGGGGCTAGTGCCGTGGTGTTGCGTAAACGCCAAAGCAGTATCACGCAGGCCATTGTCGTGCGGAGGATGGCGTCTTATTGCACCCTATGAAATATCGAGGAGATTTCGAGATTGGCCGAGCCTGGCAAGCGCTTCTTTGTGCGACTCGGGTCGGCCACGCATTGGTCGAGTGAGGCAGCCTCAGCATGCATCTGCTCCCTCTTTCGATATTTCCCGCCGCTCTTTGTCGGGCAAGGAGTCGGTCGGCAGCATGGCGACATCTTTTGCAACGGACCAGCAAGCCGTCGGCCGCCGCTAGCAGGTAGTAGCTCCATTGCCGTGAGAAGAGGTGCCTCGGGGCTGAAAGAGGGGGTGGGCAGGCTGTCGGAGCTGAGCACAAGACAGAAGAGAGAAACGCGACAGACAGCATGATGGTTCGGTTGAGCTAATTGCCGGTGGAGCCTCTGATCAAACAAAGCTCCAACTCTGTTCAAGAACTAAAGCGAGCCGTTCTTTGGCCCTGCTGCCTCGTTCTGGAAGGCTGGCTCCGTGGCGGCAAACTCAAATCCCAACACGCTGCAAGTGGGTTACGCGGATGGACTGAGGCCGTGGCGCTGGCATTGTTGGCAGCGTGGCGACAATAAGGTATGCCTCTCCCTTATTGACAGGAGGCCAATCGCAACGACAATGCTAACAAGAACTTCCCTTGCCGCCGCCCATCCGCAACTTTCAGACGTTGCAACGGCCGTGCCTGCCTGCCATGCAGCGGGAAGCGCCTCCTAGCTTCTGGCTAACCCTGACTTGCCCTGTTAGCAGGAAGAGGCATGCAGATTCGCGTTGGGGGAGGCGCTGGATGCCTCTACTGGCGCTAAACATGCACGAGCAGGCACGGGAGTAAGGACTGCATGGATGCCTCCAATAACACCTACAAGTAGTACAAGTATAGTATGACCTAGGAATGCCTGCTAGTTACGAGCATGTACTGTACTGCCTCTTGCCGACCAGGGATCGGTATGCTAGTGCCAAGTAGCCTTAGAGCAGAGTGCTTCTCAACACCTGTAATGGCATCAAACTCCGGCTTATTCGGAGCCTTCCCGTCAGCGATGATGACCGGCACGGCATCAGCAATCATTCAAGGGGATCCATACCGGCTGTACAACAACTGTGCCGTATGGTATGGTAATATGCATCAGCTTCTAACAATCACATATACCTGCCGAGTGAAAACGAGCACAGGCTGTCTGCTCTGACTCTCTGGCGCACCTGTGGAGACCCCTGCCGAAGTTTACTGTACAGTAATACGGGCAATATCAAATATCAAATCGTTGCGTAGCACTGGAATGTCATGGCTCGAACAAGGCAGCGAATCATAGCCACCAGACGCAAGCTTGAGCGTCCTTGCATGTCTATCCAGTAGCATCATCTCACTACCATAGCCGTAGGCGGCTGGGTAGGTAAGGTGGTAGTTTCCAGCAACACCTTGTATGTGTCCTATTAGTATATGCAATGCACAATGACCAAGTAGTATCTCCGGCGCACGCAAGGAACAAGCCTGTCGTGACAGAGGCGGCGAATTCCAGGCCCCGGACAGATGTTGAGGCGCATCAAAGGAAATTGCCGCTACTACCTGACTATCTTCCTACTATTGTATAACCAGACGGTGAGACATTGACGGTTCGATAAATACAGCCTCTCGGGGTTTCGGAGGGCCATACACGGCGCTGGTAGAGCAGACAGTCGAGATACCTGCGAATACTTGCCGGCGTCCCCCTCTATCTGCCAGGCCAAGCCGCCGCCCATTCAGCCAGAAGCAGAACCCCACCTCCAGGCCAACTCTATCCGGCTGCATGGCCTATGCGGAATGGATTAGTGAATCCAGCACGCACAGCCGCCAATCAGGAACCGATATATTGCCCAAAGGCGCCTAGCAGCGCAGCGCAGCGCAGAGTGACTCTTTGTTTCCGACGGGTTGCAAGACCGCTGCGCTGAGATGACGTCGTTGGACGAGCTAGCGGCACCGACATGCCAGCTAACGCTGTGGCAGGCAAATCATGCAAACGTACAGACAAGGACGACGATGCGATACATGATACATCTGATTCACGTCTGGCATGGATGACAAGGGCGGCTATTTCCCGATTTGCCACAGAGCGGTTCTAAAGGCCAAGTTTAAATTTTTTTCGGCTCGCATGACCAAATGACTCCATGGAGCTGGCCGCTGGGAAAAACATCAGCTTTTGAAAATAGACGTGCCCTGCGCCGCGATCCATAAAAACGTCAGGCCGGGCGCAAGCCCAACACGAGCTGGTAGTGACTGATCATATCGATGCATGGGGACGCACGGACCCCACGGACGAGCCAGGGGGTGGCCATAGCTTGTCGATACGGCTAGTAGGACTCGTCGTACATACAGCCAGGCAAGTACCGCCGCCGTACCAGTAGCATTTTCAGGTAGCTGGCGCGATGCAACTTCGGGCCGGGGCCTGTTTGAGCAACGATAGGTTGCTTGTTTCTGGCCTCTGATGCTTCTCTGCTCTGTCTCTTTGATTTCCACTGCTTGGACTGTCCTTTGTACAAAGTGCTTGTGTTTGTTTCAGCTGCTAAATTTGTTGTAAAAATTTTTTTTTACTCAGCTTGCATCTTGTCTTGGTTCTGCAGCCCTGGTAACTTGGCTCAGCTAGCTCGTCTCGCCCTTGACGCGGTCTGATCATTTATTCGCGGGCACGCATCACTAAAATAAGCGACGCGCAGATGGAAAGGCCGCTAGTGTTCTGCTTCAGACTGATATCAAGTATTCCGGCATACTAGCGCGCGCATCTATTTGGGCAGGTCAAGACAGGCGTGAGCGCCGACCAAAACTCACTTACATTAAAATCCCATAAGCAGACCGGGCTGACCTGAAGGATCAAATCAGCGAAAGCTGTGGTTCCCAACATGGCAGTATAGCCGAATACTACAAGGGTGGTTTTTGGAAGCCCGGGCACAGAGCATTGCTTGCATATTCAGCGGCCTCGACTCCAGCATGCATGGACGTGCCTTACAGGGCAGTTTTGGTGGCGATTGACAGCACCCAGCATTTGTGGTTGTAGTGCGCTGCAGGTTGAGGGCGATGTGCACATAGCGTATCAGCTTATACTGAAACTGGGGCAGCTGCAGCTACTATCTGCATCATCTCATTCCCTCTCTGCATCCTCTGTGTGTGCTTGTGTGTGTGTGTGTGAGAGAGAGAGAGAGAGAGAGAGTGTGTGTGTGTACTTGTGTAAATACTCAAGGGGCATCGTATCTATCGAATCTACCTACTAATTAAGGTGTAAGCCAATCATGTCTCCCTCAGGAATTGTCAAATATAGAAAAAAGAAAAAAGAAAAAAACGAAGACAACAAATACCTATAGATAGACAAGGTCTCCAGTATTATCGGCATCCATGTTAATGTCGACTACGACTATCAGGTACTCGTACACGCTCTCGTATAAGTGAACTTGTGATAGGCGGCTGCAGGGATGCTCCTCTTTCGTCGATGCTATTGGCAACATTTACAAGTATTGGGTCTTCTGCACACGGCTGAGCTGCAGCATGCTTGCTGTTGCCCCCTGGCCGGCCATGCAGTAGCAAATAACCGGGTTTCTCGTCTTTGGCTGTGTTCCGTCAGGCCCTCCAGACTTCCCCTCCCATCCCTCCTCGTCCCCGGGGCATGGGATGGCATTGCAGGGCTCTTTCGCATGGCCATCTGCTTGCTGCTGTCTTGGCCCCCCTAATGCACCGCAGCCGCTAAGGGATCAGTGTTTGAACTACTGTGCCTGTAAATTAAAAATCAATGGCAGATTCACAGTCGAGCAAGTGAACAGAGCAGCAGCCCAGGATGGCACTGGAGTAATCTGCACCGCGCTCAGTCGAACTGCCCAGTGCTACCTACCGGCCTAGCAGTACGACGTAGGTACTCCATACCTGCGCGCTACTCTCGAGATACCTGGATTCACATGTCCACGGCTCGTTCTCTTGTCCAGTTTTCTGCTGGCCACACCCCTCCTCCACAAAACTTCGCATCATCAACATGTCTATCCCTCCAGCCCGGCCGCTGCGTCTTTGCAGCCAACCATGAGGCGTCGTCATCCGCTCGCAGCCCTCCATCCGCGCATCCACAAATATATCATCCAAGTCATCCTTGCCTTTTCTCCCTCTGCTCCCCCCCTCCTCGCGGCCCCGTCAAGCCCGCTCTTGTTTCCTGCACTCTGCGACCTCTAGCGTCCGCAAAGCGTGCTAACGTACGACATACCTACCTGCCACTGTCCCATTACAAACCAGCACGCTGCCCCATCTCCACCTCCACCACCACCATCATAACCATAACCACCCTAAACCACCCTCCCTCCTCTCGCACACAACCTCATCGCGCCCACATCCGGCACAAGGTCCCCAGCTCTCGACCTTTGCGCCTCTTTGTTTTGACTGCGCCGTGCCTTGCTGCATACCGCACTACACTGCGCTACTCCCGCCCTGAGCTTCGCTGAGCTTTCGCGAAACAGAAAAAGAAAAAAAAAAAGTCTCCACCACGGTCGAGTCGAGTCGCGCTGCTTCCAACCATCGCCGATTGCCTCTCTGCATCCAGACTCGCAGAAACGCGCACGTCGCCAGACAAAAGTCGGTCGCCGCTCGTGTTTCCTGACTGCCGCCGTGTGCCATCATCGCCATTGCAGTCGCACACGCGTCGCGCCCCTCGCCCATCTGCTTTACTGCATCCAAGGTGCAAAGAATAAGGTAACAATAGCCCAAAAGAAGAAATCTTTGTCCCATTTCCTTTCTCTGTCTCCCGTTCAGTCCTGTGGCCCTCTCAAGATCAAGAATCGCAACCCAAGATGCGTCGTGCGCGGTTCCTCGCTGCGCAGCCATGGCCAGCTACTCATCCATGGCCTCGTCGCCCTGCCTCGAGATGTTGATCTGCGCTCTGGCGTGGCAGCTCTGAAGCAGCCGCCTTGACCTCTGGTTGTGTTGCGCCGCACTCGGGCGACACCACGCTCCTACACCTGGTCGCCGCTCTGCTCTCGTCTCTGCTGCCTGTCTATCCATCTGGCCTGCCCGCCACACCCTTCCACGCCCCCTTGGAAGCCAACCACCTGCGGGTCGAGCTTGTCTTTCTGCACCTCGTCCATCCTCGGAACTTCGCCAGCCCAACTATTTCACGACACGTCGCCGCCGTTGTCGTCGCTGCCGCCACCGTTGCTGGCTTGGATCTCTTGTCATGTACTCCGCACAACCAACAGGCGCCGACGGTGCGACAATCAATCCCGCCGCCCTCAACTCTGGTGAGTTCTTCATTCCTCATCTCATCACATATAATTGCTTGTCGACGTCGTTGCCCCTCCATCCCGATCTTTTTATCATGTCCCCTCCCCCGCCAGATCTTGACGGCATGCGCCGCGTAAAAAAAAGATACCAAGAGAAAACAACACCAACCCATATTTCGTCTTATTGCACATAACCGCCTATACCCCATAATCTCTGTCGCAATGCCTCGCGCGCCTCATGCAAGCTATTTTTCTTTGAGCCCTTGCAGTGCTGACCCGCCGGCCTCATAGACCTCGTTATCGCGCCTCTGCGGGGTGTCAAGCGCAATCGGTCTCCGGATCCCCTCGACTCTTTTTACCGGCCTGGCGATGACGGTATGTCGGCGATAGATCTTGTGTAGCTCGGACTCAGGCGCCGCGTTCCACAGAGCCTGCGGATATGCTCTACATGTTACATCCTGCTCCGTGCGACGGTGCGCAAAATTATGATCTTTTTGAACCAGGGACAGGAGCGATGCGATGAGATATTGATGATTTTTCATGCATGTTAGAGGACGGCAACGCTGACCCAAGATTCTATTCCTTCCTAGGCGATCGCCAATTTCAACCCAAACGAATAAGACCAATGAAGGCCCGAGCGACAGGCAGCATCTCTGAAGGCCCCGGGCAAGCGCCTGGCGGACCTGTGCCCCAAGCCATACCGCCGCCCCAGACGGCGCAGTCTCAGAACACTACGATTCCTACTCAGGCCGCGCCAGCCTACTCGGCCCCGCAGGCGCAAATGCCTCCGAAGACGACGCCGACAAAGACGACGCTCAAGGCTTTGCCTACAGTGCGAGATCATACCACTGATCAGCTCAACGCCACAGGCGATGAGTACATTCCGCGCGAGACCGACGAATTCGGTGAGAAGAAGGTGATGCCCAACGGTGCGCTTCTTGGCAACCGCCAATACCGATGTCGCACGTTCCTGGTCCCAAACCGTGGTGATAAACTATTCATGCTGGCCACCGAGTGCGCGCGAGTACTGGGATACCGGGATTCCTACCTTTTGTTTAATAAGAACAGGTCGCTATACAAGATAATTGCGAGCCAGGCCGAGAAGGACGATCTTGTCCAGCAGGAAATCCTACCTTTCTCGTATCGGTCGAGACAAATTGCCATTGTTACTGCTCGCTCCATGTTCCGACAATTTGGAAGCCGCGTCATCGAAAACGGCCGCCGCGTCCGAGACGATTACTGGGAAACCAAGGCCCGCAAACAGGGCTTCACCGAAGCTGATCCCGCCGGGGAGAAGCGTCCCGGAGCCGCCAAGGCCAGAGAGGCTGCGGAAGCAGCAGCGCAGAACAACGTTCTGATGGGCAACCCACACACTGAGATAGTGTATAACAACACGCCTGGGCCATACCCTGGTGCGCCTCAGACTCATCTCGTTCCAGGTATGATAGGAGCACCTGGAAGCGCCACAAGAATGCCGGCATTAACCATGGGACCAGACCTTAGTGATAACAGATCCCGGGACTACGGCGGCATTGTCAAGGGCGGCCCTCGACAGGAGATTACTGGACCTCCATATCAAGACCAAACCAGGCCTTCTCCTCTGATGGAAATCCACTCGCAGGCCAATCACGCAGCCGACTACAACCGATCCGTTAACCAGCAACGCGACATGCGTGACACCTACCTCCAGCGGATATGGCGTCAGCCCCACGAGCAGCCCGCTCAGCCCACTCTCGCTCAGCAGCCTGTTGCTGCGCCTGCCGACGCGTCCATTCCCACCAGTCGGCCGTCGAATTCGCCTCATACCACTGCCGCTGGCATATCCCAGCCTGGTGTTGTATCATCGCAGAGTCCGCAGATGATGATGACGGCAGCCCCCTACTCCCAGTCCATCAATGCACAGAGTGCGCTCGGTCAAGCTCCTATTAGAGGTATGACCCCTTTGCCTTTAACAACCAAGCTGAGTATCCGTGAACCAACACCTGCTGCAGGCTCTACTGGTGCCATCAACCCTTCAGCCGCTGGCTACAGCTATCAACAACCAAGCCAAGCCATGTGGTCCCAGAGCCCCCCGACAGCACAAAATAGCTACAGCAGCTATACGACGCAGCCCCAGCCCCAACACCCTTCCCAGTCTCCGGCCTCACACCTTCGTCAGACTGGGGCCAGCCAGATGCAACCCGGCATGCAATTCTCAGGCATGGGAAGTATGCAGTACAGCGCCGGTCAGGGCATGTACTCCGCCGACCAGACTCCACGTCAATACATGCCCCAAACTACGCCAAGTGCGCAGTCGGCCTCGCAACAACCATGGTCAGGCCAACACTCACAGCCCCAGCAATGGTGGACACCTCAGCAGCAACAGTAAAAACGTTGCTTGTGTTGCCATTGCAAAGTTGCCCTCTTAACTTGCGCACGTCGTGGTCATTAAAATACGAGATGTAACTATGTTTGCGCGCTGCTGCTGTCTTTATGCACCTTCTGGTTTGAAGAACTGGCTAGTTCTTTTGGCTTTTTTTTTATTATGATCTTCTGGGACCGAGCTCCTGCAGTATTCCAGATACCCCAAGCATACAGGTTGGTTGGAGCGGCTTTTTGCTTTCTTGGGTCAGCGGCTCGTTCTAGTTTGAAACGATGTGCAGCATCTGATCTAGGCAAGGATAAAGGAGTCGGGGGAGATCGGTTGGGATGTATCTTTTTTTTTTCCCCTCTCTCTTTGTCCCCTTTCTTTTCTTTTCCCTTCTTCTTTCGCTTACGATTTTTGCCATCTTCTTCTTATATGGCTAGTGGTTTTGCAAGAACCCCTACACCAATTATTTCATTTGGCTATGACTGTCGAATGGCCTTGTTTCTTTCTTTCTTTCTTTCTTTCTTATGTTTCTCCTTTAACGGCCGATTTGTTATTTTAAGTGTCCAGGATGTTATCCGGGCGAGGATTTCATATGTGTGTTTTTGTTATGGTATTTACGAAAGGGAGAGAACTCCTACTTGGCATCTCTTCAGGGCTAATTCTCATGTTTTGGCGGGGCATGTTTTGCGTTGATGTTGATACCACTCGGTTTGATTTAGTCGTCGAACGCAATTATGAGAGAAATTGAGAATTTTCTATTTTTGTTGGGCCCTTGCAATTTCTACGCTGAATGGTTTCTGGCTGATGCCTGTTGTGTGTTCCCTCTCCAATTTTCCCTGAAACCAGGCTCATCCCTAAGAGCAATGAGTTCTTTATTGCCTTTCCGTTCCTGGTTGGATAGATGTCCGATTTGTTGGTGTCTTTACTGCTTTCCCTTTTTGGATCTCTATTGGTTTCGAGCAAATCAGATATAGTCTGATGCACGCTGTGGAAGAAAGAGGAGGGAAAAGGTAAACAGGTTTTCAATGAAGGGTTATGATGATATGGACTTTTTTTTTCCCCTTCTGTATTGGAGACTCAGGATATGTATGTATGTATTGTGATTTTGGGTTTTGTGTGTATTCTTTACCTCGGAGGGTATTCTAGCATTTTTTTATATATTCTCCTTTTTTGAACGATAAATTTATGCTTAGCTGTGAATTGAATTATATAATGTCTCTCTGGCTTACTTTGTATGAGCCGAACGAGCCATCCGCTTCTGCGATATTATCTATCCCTCGCTTGCAGATCGTTGGCGAGGTATAACGTACAATACCGAGGTAGGTAAGTACCGGCGATGTTTAACTATCGAACAATGGAAACTCAGAAATTCTCATCTAAACTCGTTTCTTCGCTCAAATACAAAAAATGGCCACTTAATTAATCACTTTCATCTCCCTCCAAGGCCTCGTCCTCTACATCATCTCTACTCCTCCTCTCTTCCAGCGCATCTTGCGTCTCATCGCCACTAGCCTCTCGCTCCTCATCTTCATCCTCATCACCAGCTTCTTCTTCTTCATCATCCTCCTCGCCATCATCGTCATCGTGAGCTTCTTCGTCCCCATCGTCATCCTCGTCGACTTCATCGTCATCGACAATCGCATCAATCTCTTCGTCCTCCGCTGCTGCAGCAGAAGGATCGACACGAGCCTTTTTGGCGCGTGGGCCGGATGAAGTAGATGCCTCTTCCGAGGCTACAGTTGTGTCGGCCATTTCAGTGTCGTCGCCGCCGCCATCACCGGAGCTGGGCTTGGTGGCGCGAACTTTTTGGCGGTAAGTGGTGCGTTTTTCAGCTTGTACGGCAGTGAATTCTGCGAGAAAATAAGAGGGTCAGAGAGAGGAAGAAGAAAAGAAGGAGGAAGAAAAGAAGCCGGTTGTATGTTGTACAAAAAGCAATAAGAGTTGTATGTAGCGATCACTCTAAGAAATGGCGTAGCGTGATATGAGAAGGGCTTTTTTTTTTCTTTTTCTTTTTTTCAGAGTGAGGGGTTTGTGTGTAGACATACTGGCAAATTCGGCCTCAAGAGGCTCTTTCAGAAAAGAAAACTCGGTGTCGTCTAATGCCTTGAAAACGTCGGCTGGGGAGATGGTCTTTTTGCCGGCAGCGACAGTGTTTTCATTGGCACTGTGATGGGTGATCGTGGTTAGCCTTTTTTTTTTTTTCTTTGGGACTCTCACAGAGCTTTGATTCGTGTGTATGCGGATTGGTCTGGTCCTCGTCTATGAGATAGACATAGAGAGGGAGGAAGGAATCAATCTCAAGCCATGTTACGAAACGGTGATGCTGCACCGTAAAGAATGAAATGAAAGGTTTCGTAAGCAGACGTACTGTGAAGCTAAATAGCTGATAAAGACAGTGGCGCTCTTGCTCAGTGCCAAGATCGCATTCCCTTGAATCTGCGTGTTAGGGGGGAGGGTTCCCTTTGCCAATCTTGTTATTATTGATTTCGGGAGATTCAGGTCCTGGGCAGGCGAGTTAGCTTCCCCTGACTTATATTTTGACGCTGCTGAAATGGATCAAGACACACCTCAATTGTGATAGCATCCTCTCCCTTTGCCTTCTGGATATCCTTTTCCTTGTCTTTCTCCTTTTTCTCTTGTTGGGGTTTTGCTGGAGGAGAGGTCTCCGCGGCAGCAACAGGGGTGGATGCCCTGACGTCGGACTTGCGAGGAGGCATCTTTATTCTGTTTGGAAGGACGAACAATAGATGTGAGCGGGCTACTAGGTGGGGGGCTGAAGACTCCGTGTGGCGAGATAGAGAGGTTGTGAGGTGGAGTAGATGGATGAGAGTATAAAGCTTGTGTGGTGGATATATAGAACTCAAGATACCGCACGTGAAGAAGGCGTGGCGAAGAAAAAGAATAGAAGCAAGATGCTATATATGCCTTCCCAATATCCCTCTATATAGAATGGAGAGAGACTCGGGAGAATAGCGTTGAGGGTGATGCAAAAATTAAGAAGAAAGAAGGGGGAGAGAAGACAGCTCAGGCCCAGGTTGAGGAAGAGGATGAGCCCCCTCCGAACAGCTTCAAATCGACCCAGACTCAAGCAGAGGCAGAAAAGAGAAGCCAATCAGGCTGAAGTCAAACACTGGACCCGGATCAAATGCAGCGTATAAAGCAACGCCTGTAGACCGCAGAATCGAGACCAATTGGGCACAGAGAGCGAGAGAGAACTGGTCTGCTACGTGCTTTTTTCCTCCCTAGTCCGAAATCGAGGCAAAGGCTAGCACCTAGAACCGCATCGGGAATTATGTAAGATGGCAGGGCCAGGGTGCGAAAACGAGGGCAGAGCAGAGTGGACTGCGCTCAGGCTGGGTGAGTTGCGCGTCTGATGCTCGTGAGCAACTCGCTGGTTACGCCCAGGCAGCTGTCCGGATTATGGAGCAGAAAAGAAAAAGGACGTGCTGGACGCGTTTTCCCCCCGCCGTGGCGCGCGTTAAGTGGTTTCTGTGTGCTTTACAAGCTGCCCGTGGGCATACGGGGACAGGTACCCTCTACTGCAGCCCGTCGGCTATTTGCGCTGTGCTGACCTGCGCCTCATTAGGTAGACAGTACATCCTACTCAGTCATCAATCTCGCGCAACACCACACATTTACAATCTGTATGCTTTTGAAGATGGCTGGTCTCGCTCAGAGACGTCAATTTGGCTATGGCAATTTTTCTTTTCTTTCCTCCTATTTTCTTTTTTTCTTTTCTTTTTTTTTTTTTGGCCTATTTCTTATATGCATCGCCGGCTCCCCCTCTTCGCCGCTCAGCTCACCAAAGGAATGAATGATTGCTTTAAATCTCGCCCATAACATCCACACCACCATATACTCATACTCTCATCGCATTCTGGAGTCAATTTCTCTCTTCAATTCAAAATCTGAAAATAAGATAAAAAGATAAAGTAAAACCCTCATGGCAGTGATAGGCGCCTGCTCATGGTACATCAAATAAAAATAAAAAATAAAAAAAGGGGGGTATATCCGTCATATATATCAAATAAATCATACTACTATCAAATGAGAAAAAGGAGAGAATCAAGGCTCAGCCTGCATTCATTCGTCGCTTACCATTGGAGCGACTAAAAGGTGCCTGGCATACGAATCCTCCGCAGGAGTGATAACACCCGCGTATGCGAAAATGAATAGGAAGGGTACGGAATAATTCATGTTGATGAAAAAAGAGAAAAAAACGTGTGCTGGAAACGAACCCACCATGAATCTGCGATAATTCATGGACACGTCCTATTCTGCTTAAGAAGTGTGAGGGGATAATAAATGGCTGCCACATTCTTCATAGAAGTGGCTGTCAGAACGTATATTTCTCGTGCTTCGTCCACCGCGGTGAGTGAGACAAAGCAGCATCGAAACTTACTCACTGCCGCGAGCCTTTCTCAGCTTATACTACTGAGCAAGTCTTTCAACAGGAGTTGAAAATAGGTAGCTTGCCAAAGATGCTCATCCTATAGCACGCCCAATATCAGAACTGTGCACCACTGGCGGACGTGGTGTCAGGCCAGTCAAGGGGACCTCGTCATCCCGAAAGCCCTGCCGAGCGGCAGGAGTCGAAATAGTCGCTCTGCGGGATGCCGGCGCGGATTTGGAGTATATGTCGGCAGACTGCCGAGGAGAGTTCTGCTCTGGAGTCTGGCTGTACCATTGCTCCCGCCTAGTATTGGCACCGAAACTACTTCGCGTGCTACGTGTGCTTTTGGTCCGCGCGTGGCGAGGAGGATTGTTCTTGGTCAGGCGCGCCGAGGGAGTCCGCTTGATATTAACGTACGCATTGTCACCTCGGACTGTTTCGTCTGTGAGGCCTGGCCGAGAGTTTGGTGCTCGTGCAAGGACTGGCGTGGGCGGGATATCAATGCTCTGCTTTGCACGGGCGGGAGAAAACGGGAGTTGCTCTTCGGAGACTCGGCTTTGGTAGACAATGACACTAGATGACTTTACAGAACCAACAGATGTGTTTGCGTGGTGAGAATGGTGGGCCGGTCTTGGCTCACTAATGGCTGATTTCGGTGTACCGGGAAGCTTCTCCTCGCCCTCAACGCTTCGAGTCCGATCAATCTTCCAAGATTCAATCTCCTCATCGTCAATTGGTGTGATTCCCCTTTTGCGAAACCGAGCTCTACGTCTTCGAATTCGGTGATATACAACGGCGGCTAAGGCGATGAGAAGCACAGACGGGATAGTTGTAGCCAGGACAATGATGAGTGTTTCATGCGAAGAAGATAGGCCAGCCATACTGTCTGCTCCGTGGCGTAGTTACGGCGACCAAGTGAGATAGAGCCGGAAGGTTGAATGAAGAAGGCGTTGAGATGCCGGTATCACAAGGCCATCCGGACGACTCGGTATATCATGGACCTCCTTCTCTTTTGTCTTCTTTTCCTTTGTTATATGCCTTTTAAAAACTGAAAATGTTTGAAATATCGTTCTTTTGATCTGGAAAATTCTTTTCGACGACATTCACTTGGAATCCGACCACAGTCTTAGTCCGAGCAAGATTCTTTCCAGATACAACGACGTCGACAATATAAGCGGTGGTAGTTGATACGGCGCACGTTTAGTGAAAAGAAAAAAAAAAGTAAGCTTTGTTGAAATTGATCAACGGAAAAGCGATCGATTCCCCTCCTCCTTGTAGTAGATGAAAGACCTAGAACAAAGAGAAGAAAGGAAAAAGAAGAAGCGAACAGCAGCTGGTGCCCACTGATTAGTCTTTTTTTTTTCTTCCCTGGTCGTTTATAATTCTTCCAGGGCCCCTGAAAACATCGAATGAAGGAGGAGTTATGCAGTGCAAACCTGGTAGATGATCAACTTACACTCAAGGCCTGTGAATCATACTCCAACCCTGTTAAGCCCAGACGAAGAGCGAGTACTTGGAAGCAGCAGCACCCAAGTACATATGCCCTATGGAAGCAGAAGGGGGAAAGAGGCGGGATACGGCAAAGAAGAGGGCTGGATGGGATGGGATACTAATACCTACTACTACTAGGAATAGCAGTATGGTACTACTACAAGTGCGTTATAGTAAGTGCAGGTTTACGGAGCCGCATGCAGGCGTAGAATCCAGTACCGGCAGTGGTATCAATACTTGTTGTACCACTACTCCTCCATATGTACGGAGTGCTATGTATGCACTCAACTGGAGACGACATCTCTTGATGGTGTCAAGGCGTGGTACCTGTACTGCAGGCGAAGGGTCCAGGGGTGTGAGCGAGAGGAGCCCACTTGCGATCCACCCGTCAACCCTTGTTCAATGCAAAACAGCTCAAGAGCTCACGGCGAATTTGTTGTAAAAGAACAAGATATTGCTCCGTGGGACTACTCCGTATGAGGTATAGAGAACGCAGCAGTAGTGCATATGATGTGCTGGTGGTGATCATTCCTGTTGTGACGAACGATGGCCCATACGGACCAAACAATGAGGTGACGAAGCAATAGCTGCAGCTGCTAGCAGCCGCGTCAATACGGCATCAATGCGAGCGTGCCGCCGTGAATGGATTGCTAGTGTGACCAACTGCTAGCAAGCGAGACCTCGTAAGAGAGGCGCGTGTGCTGGACATAGCATGTAGCTCACCAGAAATGGGTGTGGTGGGTGCACTGCAAATACTCTCATTCAGGCCCGCTAGCCTCTCAGCAGCTCTTCTGGCAGCTTCAACGCCAGCGACCTCGTCTCCATCAAGTGCCTCCCTTTCGGGGGATGATCAAGGGGTTGGCTGTGGGGGTGGTCTCCAGAGCTGGGGAGGGAAAAAAAGCTGCCGAGTCCACATACTGTACTAATCACGACGCCAATTCTGATGACCCTGGCCTGGGCAAAAAGACGCCAGCAGGGAAACGTGGCGCATCCCGCAGACGTGTCTCTGGCACTACGGCACGAGCCTGACTCGAAGGGGCCTGTCTGCGGCGAGGGATGCGGCTGTGGCTTTTGGTTGGCCATTGAGTGGTTGAGTGTGGCCGATCTTTGAATGCCCGTTGGATTCCGCCAACGCCACCACGAGGAGGTCGCAGAAGGTGTGAGGGGGAAACTTTTCTCAGATTGATTGCTTGATTGCTCGACTGACTGAATGAATGAATGAATGAGTGGCCGGCTTGTTCACTGACTGACTGATTGATTGGCACAAACTTTTTGCCCGTTGGACGAGAATCTCCTCGGTTTGCCTTTATCTCTAGGCAGCACATTCCAGCAACGCAAGCAAGCAGGGCAGCCCAGTCAGTCAGTCAGTCATCCATCTTTCTTCTACGCTGCTCTTCTCATTCTGCTCCATATTCCAGTGTCTTAAAATGGGCGGGACCCACGGAGCTACAGTCCGGAGCACGGAGCATGAGCGGCCAGGAACCAGGCACAGAATCTCACTCAAAGTCCAGCCGGTAGTTGCATGTACAGGTATCGTGTCTGACGTCCGTATGCGGCGTTGGGGAGAGTAGTATTGGGGGAAATCAACCATGGCGTCCCTCGGATGGCCAGCCCCAAAAAGAGCAGGACAACCGGAATATTTCTCTGGGCGACAGTTTTGGCTCGACTTTGAATCTGTGAGGGAATCTTGGTGACAGCAGCGGCTAGACCACAAGCAGTACAGCTTTGGTCACGATGCCTGTTCTGACTAAAGGCCTCAACTACACCTTGCCCTCGGTAGAGAATGCGATTGTCTCGAGGGAGCACCATTTTCGTCTTTTACGAGACCAATTTGCCCTCATAGCTTGTTCCAGATTTTCCCTGGAGCTTCAAACAGAGTGTAAGACACCAGACAAGAAGCACAATCGCGGCGAATGGATTTGGCCAATGCTGTCAAGCCGCGTCTCGGTCCTTTGGTAGGGTGAGGCCAACAATTCCTGCTCCCTTGCATCGCTGCGTCCAGGTCCTGTAAGGCCTTGCAGACAGTTAGCACTACTGCCATGACTGCTACCCAACGCCTGCAAACTATCGAGTACATACTTCGTATTATCATAGGCCTAGCAGGTGCATGCGCGGCAATGACACCCCCAAGCCCCCCCAGCATTGGTGGCGTCTGCGTTAATACACGTTGCAGCAGGTGATATTTCGCGCTTACCGGTATTCCGCGCAATGTGATTTCGACTGCACGTACGGAATACCTACATGCTTGTGCTTGTATGCAAGGCCATCCGATCTTCCGCCAGCAAACAGGTCTGATGCGAGTTCTTCGGTCGTCCAAATCAGTTCAGACTTGCATTGGCGCTATCTGGGGTCGACAAAGCTCGCCTCTCAGGCGGTGTGGGCAGCTGGGCAAGGCAGAAAAGTATATCCAGGCACCCAAAACATGCACCTCTTGATCATCGTGGCCGCAGCAGCTGCACCGGCAGGCTCGGGATCAAACAAGTCTACGCGTGTGCATGGAGCCAGAAGCACTCTCATATCGACCAGGTAGCCTTCTTGCAGCTTTCAAGTGGCTGAGGCCTTGATTCCAACGAGTCTCCCATGCGCCTTGACTCGCCTGCGGCTCGAGCTGGCAGGGGGGCAACGAAAGGATCAAATGGCGATCATGTCGTGTAAGCCGTGCGATGCGCTACTGCTGATCACATTCACGCACATAATACAAGCAGTGGAAGAGACGTGGTAAGTCTTTGCTCTCTCAGTGGGAGCTGACGGGTCAATTGCACAGCGTTGATGCGTCTTGTAGCCATTGCTCCCCCAGTGTCCCTTGTACAGTAAGATAAGGAACCATTGGAATACGACTGCTCATAGACGACTCCCTGCCTGGTGCCCACGGTACCTGGTTCTGGGCAGACCGGAAAACCAAAGGCCCATTTCCATCTCGGCCATACTCGTTTTACTCTATTTACATGCCTAGCATCAGAAATACAGGTTTTACTATGGCTTCACAGGTACTGCCACCCTGTGGAAGACGATTTGCGCCCAAACTCTGATGCTCATGTGCTACTTTTAGAATGAATGACTTGCGTTTAAGAGTACCCATACCTCAGCCGCATCTCGCTCGCTTGCTCGCCTATTGCTCTCCTTGCATCAAGGCTCCTCCATAGCGCCGTTAGACCCCATGGGAACGTCCCCACCAGAAAAAGAACTTTGCTCTTCAGTCAAAAGAATCGTCGAAGAAAAAAGCCACCGAGATGACCGAGAGCTGGACGCCTAAATGATGGCCTTTGCGTCTCACCGTCGTCTTGGCGGTTCGTGCTAGCACTCATATTTCGTGCCCGTATCGATAGACAAGCTCCGCCACCTCTGTGGCTTCGGCGCAATGACTTAGCTTCCATGTTAGCAGATCAAGCCTTTCCTTTCAAAGCCGTGGGGAGCAGCTGGTTCATCTGCTATCGTATCCTTTCAAAAAATCTTACCCCAGCAATCTAAAAACAGCAGAAAAGCCACAGCATCAATGGCGGCCACCACCGCAACCACCGTTCAGGGCTAAGCTGCTCCCGGATCCTGGCGCGTCTGTATCCGTTATTCAAGTGGTCCAAAGAAGCGCCCTCCAGTGAGTGACCTGGCGGTCCATTCAAAACTGCTCCGCAAAAGCTCAACCCTACTGGCTAGTATTCCGTAATGAGGGTGTTATAGCCACTGCTGCTACTAGTACTATTGGCATTATTAGCAGCTATTCGCAATAGTATTTGTGAGTACTACTGGTGATATTCCCGACGATCGGTTCAAGATGCCCTCCTGGTGATGCGGATACAGAAAGAACTATTGATTAGGGAACACTAGTTCATACTAGCTGTGCTCTGATACAGCACAGCTCTGGTGGAAAGGCTCGGCGCGCTCAAAGTCAACCTCTAGTGCTGGACTAGAATGCCTCATCTCTCGTATACAGGTGTATGAGTATACACCAAGAAGCATTCATCTCCGAGTGTGATTACATCGGCCGAAATGCTATCTTATGGCCGCGTCCAGTCCAAGATTGGGAAATCGACCGCCTACTTGGGCATATTTTCCATAAGCTCAGCAGAGCATTCATACAGTAGACATCGAGATGGCACAACTGGACACCACTCGGCTTGCTTCGGGCATTACTTCTGACGTATCTGCTCTGTCTCATTCTCTTGGCCGATATGTGTGTCTTGCAGGCGATGATCATCGCGTCCATGAAGCGAGACACTGTGCTTGCAGAGGGATAGCATCCGGCTCATCTGGCAGTGCGACTCTGGCCTCCCATTCCGCGTGGAGCTGGCTCATCACGGGAGAGGCCGTCCATCGCCAAGTGGCTTGCGCGATCGAAACTAGGCGAGACTTTACTGAACAAGGGGAGACTCCGCTTCTCCACCATACTATGGCCAGGAACCCTCTTCTAGCGTCTTCGTCAACCCCTGCTCCATGTGATCATGTGCCACGCTTGCCATAACTGGTACTGTTTCGTTTCACCTTCTGTCGACCCTCTTTGTGTCTTCTTTCTGCCCAGGGGCAGTATGAATGTGTGGAGAAGCGTTGACATTTACGGGGACAGTGAATGATGTGCGAAAGACACAGAGCACAAAAAAACAAGGGAATTGAAAAAGGGGGCGCGATAAAACGCATGAATGAAAGAGACAAAAACAATCTTGCGTCGCTCACCGCTCATTCTAGCGAGGTTCCATCTTCCTTCTTTTCATTTACTCTCCCTTGCTTTTCATTTGTCACGCTTCCCGGTGTCATCACGGTCGTGAAGATTAGTACAAGTAGGGTTTGCGTGCAGCATCTTACGCACACTCCTCAACATTCTTCGCGCGCCATGGCCTGCAAGGGACGCCTAATTGATCCTTGCTTCAACACGCAGCCTATCAAAGAACTAATATCAAGCGAAAGGTTGGTTTGAGCCAAAGCTAGCCCGTGTGCCACTCCTTCCTCCAGCTTGCAGAGCTGAAAGAGAGTTTTGGAAGAGTGATGATATGCATGAGTAGTACTCGGCACTGCTACTTCATACTTATGGCTAAATAGCCAGTTTGTCGTCCATCTCTTTGAACGGGCAGCCACAGTGCAGCCTGATAAGCCAAGACTCGCTTTTTGCGTGTGTGCTGGGAGTTTAATTAAACTGCTTCCTCCTATCCCGCACCATCCACACCTGCTACACCGTATTCCTCTGACACGTCCAATCAGCTCTGCGGGGTGGCGGGAAGAGCAGAATAGCAATGCCACTAAGCCAGCGGATGAAGCGGGTAAACAGAGAAGAGAGATCTGCCGAGTGGGATTACGTTTAGCAACAGTGCTCGCAGCAGCTCCGATGTTTTGAAACCAAAAAAAAAAAAAACGGAGCATATCTACAGTTACTGTTACTGTGGTACCATAGCAAGTACCTGTCTCCATGAGTTTGGAAAACCCAGGAAGCCGTTTATGGATTAAGCTGGCCCAGATTCAACTCTTACCGATAAGAGATATTTGCCGTGCATGAGCTAAAGACGCTCCATCAGCACTATGTCCGACTCTGCACAGTACAAGCAACTGATTCTATTTTTATTCTCTGCTGTTCCCTTGAGCACAGAGAGAAAAAAAAATGCAGCAGGGAGGGCATACAAGTACGGTCTCATGTTGATAGTCTCAGTCGCTTTTAACGCCCGCATGATGACTACCCCCACGGCTGTCCCGGGATACTTGCTAAAAGAGCTCAAGATGAAACTCTCTGGCTCGTCATCGATTTCGCTCCCTGTTTATCCAAGCTGGTGACCCGAAGTGCCGCGCGTAAAGGGCATACGAAACAACACCACTCAGTACTGCTACGTATGGAGTATACTCCATCTGTATGTGACATGCTGATGAGCAGTATTGCTTTTAATATGAGAACAATTGCGCGGATTCACATTTCTGAGGGGCTTGATTATTATATACTATCTGTTGCGCCCGTCAACTTGACAGAAGGGACGGTGCGACGCGGCCGTTTCCGACGGACTGGATTCACGTAATCGACGATGACGATGTGTATGTGCATATATCCGTTACGGTGAGCACAATATGTCATAAGCACAGCACAAGTTACGGTTCAAGGGGGACACAGGACACCCATTCTCTTCTAATCTACTTACTACCATTATTTGACGGTCTTCCTTTGATTCCAATCACTCAAGGCTATGTGCCCTACACTCAGCATTATAAGTGGCAGATGTACTCGTGCCGTATGACAGCCAGTAATACTAACTTTAAAATGCAAACACCGAGAAGAAGACTCGGCCGACGCAAGCACTGCAAGAGGATGCCTTCTCCGCCAGCTAGTGATCCTTCGGAGCTCAGAAAGAGCAAGAGGGGGACGGTGCCAATGCAATGATGCTATTCGACGCCTAAACACTTGCTTGAGAGTGCATCTTAGCGTAGCTCATAATCCAATCAGAGCGCTCTTATGTCGTCGGCAACGCGGGAAGATAAAGCAGCCCTAGTGCAGCTCTGGAAGCGTGTGCGTGTAAGTGTTGACGGAAGCTGGACTCGACCTTGCCATTGGCTGGCGATGGCGAGAGCCATGCACGTAGACAATAAGCACTGAGCTCCAGCAGGCTTGTTTCATACAGAGAAGGAATCTGACACTTGTGAAGCAATTGCCACGTTGGCACCACTAACATGCCGGTCCATATGCACGATCGTGTGTTAGTGTTTTGAGGCCAAGTAAGAGGGCCGTTGCTTGTGTGATTGATCGCCTTACGCTTCCTTGTAAGGCTAGGCTATCAAGGCGAAACAAGCCGCTGACAGGAATTGTTACAGTAGATGATATGCACGAGACGCATGCTTGCAGTGGGTATTCGTCAACTTGCGCGAAAATCCAAGGCCCACGAGCGGATGCACATCCAGTATGGCCCTCTCAACCTGGACTCACATCACGGCATTTAGCACGATACAACAACAGTTCTGCACTCTTGGCCATCATCTTGACCACTGCCCGGCGAGATTCAAGGCTCCGAGCGAGCCTTTTTTTCTTAGTCCTGTTGCGCTAATACTCCCACGTCGGCGGCCGTAGTGTAAAACGGCCTTCAACAACCGACTACATAATACGACCTACCAATAAACGACTAGGTGGGCTGGCAATCTGCATTTCAGCTCAAGCACCAGCCACAGCTAATCGATCCGGGCGCCTGCGAATACTACCCCTCCATGGTGCCCGGATGATCACTTGAAGGGGAAAAGGGAACTATCTGGTAGTCATCGCCGACCAAACGAGGCGCACCAGCTCTTCGGCGGCCCTTGTGCAAGCCATCTCCGAAGCCAAGGCGCGTGTTGGTGCAAGCCAAGGCATGGCCCGGCAGACGGATGTGTGTAAGTTGTGCGCATCTCGACGGCATGAATGAGCAAGGTACTCTCAGACCAGACTGCATGCTAGGCTAGAGAGGCACAAAGAAGATGGGGGGGCACTTGTGTTTCTCCTCGTTTCGGATGTAATCGACTTTGTCCATGTCTTGCTAGAGAAAGGAAAAGCTGTGAGATGCTCTGAAATGTTCTGAAATGCTCTGAGTAAAATTCCTTCTGTCATTAATCAAAGGTTCGTGTCTAAATGGTGATAGTCGCTGTTCAATGGCATGAAACCAGCAGGGCAGCGGCTGCTTTCGTGCTTCATGCTCAATACTGAGTGATCCTTTGGTCATCTTTCAGAATCTGCCTTGCCGTAACCAATCGTCAACAGATTAAGATCCTGAATACTCCGTCTTTTCAGCATGAAATACGATTGGTTCCGTGGTCTAGTTGGTTATGACATTTCGTTAACAAGTTTAACGCCACCGAAAAGGTCCCCGGTTCGAGCCCGGGCGGAATCACCACTTTCTTTTTTTGCACTTTCTGGCCAGAAGCGTGTTAGTGCTTGCTCTCTTCCTTTTTATTTCGGTTCTACAGACAGCATAGAGTTTGGCAGGGTTGCTGTGACTGGGATGCGTCAAAAGATGCGGGCGTCTCTGATGTAATTGCCGTGCGGATATGAAAATGGTGTGGCGGCTGTAATATCGACGCAAAAGTATTAGACAGGGCGAGGCTTTAATAATAGCAATTTGGTCTCCGATGCACGATGACGAGTGAGCTCGAAAGGAGTCAAGATTAGATGCAATTCTTAGTGTATTTGATTCGGTCAGATGATGTTCAAAATTGCAAATTTGACTTTTCTGGCTTATTAACCCCCTTTCACATCTCATCCGGCAGACGAACTGCAATCCAGAGAAGCACCTGGTATAGAGAGAAGCTTCCTATCATTTAGAAACAAGAGGGGAAAAGAAAAGAAAAAAAGTGTAATTAATTAAATTGTATCATTGGGTAGCATCCCACCTCCTGAGCTAAGGCCGCTCACCACATGCTTTCAACTTCAAGGTCATAAGATCACGCTCACTTTCCCGTAACAAAGAAAAAAAATTGCAATAATACACTCTTCACGAGTACTGCTACATGTTTATTTCCAAGGTGTTTCAAGGCAGAGACTTGTTAAGCTGGCAAGAAATCGACCGAGCAGAGGTATCCGGGAGATAGGCGTTGTTGAATAATGCTGTGGCGTACCAGACCACAGAGGCTGCTGGGTCTCTGCAGTAATCGTTTCTTTTGTGATGATTGCATGTCAGTGGAAAGGGGAAACAAACAAGAGTTTGTAGTCTGCCATAGCCAAGGAGCAAAACTCACGAGTAAAGAGCGCAGGCTACGTAGAAGGGGCTGGGGACGTGCTGCAGCTTCAATGAGCCCACTTTGCCGATGCTGCGGACTTGTTAGCAACTCTGTTGGAAAATAAACGTGCCTGGGCTTCTAGCTGCAGAGGGGGGATGGGGCAAAACACACATATTGCTGCGAATCTCTACGCATTCGCCGAGTCTGCCTACGGTGAAGTGGTCTCCCTGGAAGTTTGCTTCATTATAGAGAGTTGCCTTTTTTTTTAGGGGCACTGTGTTAGCAAGCATCACGATTCAAATAACGCGTTGTTGTGGAAGAGAAGAAAACTCACAATTGGCCCAAAGGGAATCAGCTCGGCAAGTGCAGCAGTGACAAAAAGCAGAAGCAGCTGGACAATTTGATTGAAGTGCATATTTGCGATTGTAAAATATTTAAAAAATGATGTACGTAATATTACACGCAAATTTATAGAGTGAAGCAGAAAGTAGATGTCTTCAACATGGCAGTGGATGAGATGTATATTTATACGTATATTCTGTCTATGAGCTTCATCTCCCCATTGCTGGCTGATGTTTCACAAGATGTTTACTCTCTCTCAGACGAAATCAGCAAGGCTCCATTGAGATTTGAATGGTCTCAGAGACATGTCAAATGAGTGTCCGTGCCATGGATAGCTTTCTGGAATGCTTCGTCTATTGCGCTCTACGCTTTACTACTTTGTAAATGGCGTGTGCTTTTTTCTTGATTGATCGTTTCCACGTTGCCAATTCCTCAACGTTACCTCTCTCGCCGTCAGCATAATTCTACAATGATATCGATATGTATTGAATTATAAAAAAAAAAAAAAAAAGGCTGCAAAGGACAAACCATGAGCCTCGTTTAAGTTGTTCATATAATACAGACCTATGATGTAAATGTAAAACATACTGAATCATGTAACCGGTATTTGACTCTTCCTGCTTCACCTAACAGAAATGTCCCCTGGTCTACTAAGTTAAGCCTACTAACCTCACCGGTTCTATCAGCGCTTTGTGCGCATAACCTTGTGAGCGGCTCCTCTAAATGAGAGCTACCATATGATGTTCATACTTCTTCGCGGAGGAATGAGTATAGGGTTCCCTGAAAAGGGGGTATGTCGTCGCTACTCGCTTGGGAGTAGATCGGCTCCTCCGTATAATGATAGATTCTTTAGCTCTATATGTTCGTGAAAGGGCAGAGGTTGGTTTCTTTCATTTTCCAAGTGTACACTCACTCTGTTTCGCCTTTGGAAGTAAGGCGTTATGCGTATCGGAGGAGTAACTAACGCCAATGAGTATATATACTATGGCAAGGTGCCATGTATCCGCCTTGATGCAAACATGATACACGACTTGTCGATCAGTCAGTAGCTTAGATTTCCAGATAACCCTTTTCCTTTTCTGTTAATTTTTTTGCAAGATTTCAGCGTTCATGGAGGAGCTGAATCCAATCCTAGCCTCAAGCACGGCCCGTCCCACCCTTTTATCAACGTCATGGGGAATAACGCAGGGTTATAAAGAATTATTAGATACAGCATTAGTGGAGCTACAGCACAATATTTCGCCCCGGGAGAGTAAACATAACAGTGGCTATGAAAAAAGCTTGGAAAGTAGTGGAGACAATGTTATTGAATAGGAATGCATACCTACGCGTCTCTATATACCCACCAGTGGCGGTTATTTTCCGCATGAAGCACTCGAAATTAATACTTTCACGCGATACAGGGAATAATACTATTACTCTATTTACAACACACCGTTTCATTTTGGTAGGAACAGATAGCCTGAAAGCTTTCGGGATTGTCAGGCACCTGAGACATGGCAGGCGAGAGTCAGTGTAGCCACTGTAACCCTGTTTTAAATTCATTACATTCAATTAAGTAAAAGCTCCGCGTAAAATGTGCGATGGAGCTGTTTGTAAAGTCTGCAACACTACTTCATTTGTTTGGTTACCATCAATCATACTAGATGTATCAAGGTTCAAAAAGTTGGGACCATATCAAGTCTAATATCATTGTATTTAACTAAGCAGTAAGCCAACTATCCAATCATCATTCATAATCATGTATTCATTTCTCATTAAAAACTCCCCTCTTCGAGTGTATCGTCGTAATGCTCATGGTGAATATCAGAGTTTTCTCAACTTGTTCAAAATCGTGCCGACATCCGTTGTGCTCCTGTAGTGGAAAGCAAAGAAATCATTACAGTTAGCTCTTTGAATCAGAATCCTTTGCACAAAAAAAGCATTTACTTGGGGTCTTGATCTCTCGTACCTAAGCAATACACTGATCGAACATTGCCGTTATGTCGGATGTTGACCTTGCTATTCTCAGCCCTAATGAAAATGACTTCGGTGCCAGGCCTGCAGTCATCAGATCTTAAGAAAAGATCGAACACGCAACGTTAGTTTGTACATAATTAAATGCCACAAAATACTCATTTGTATGGGGGGCGGACTCACTCAAATAGAGCGCAAAGCCTAGATGGAGGAGAATTTGGCCATAGCTTTGCGGATTGCACATGCCCATGCCTTGGCCCTTTGTCAGTATAAAATAGTACCAAGATGTCGTCCAGAAGTATCAGAGAAGGGAAAAGATAAATGATAAAAATGATAAAAAAAACCTACAGCGGACCATCGACCTTTACACAAGTTCTCAGGCTGCGGGCGTCAAACTGCTGCCCCACCCACTCGGCATCGTGATATAAAGTGATCTTCAATTGAGTCTCTTAGCAAGATGTGACCAATGCCAGCCCTCATCAAAAAGGGCTACAGAAAGAGCAGAAAAGAACTCACCAGTGGAGCAACAGGGACCATCTCAACTGGCGCAGCAGCCGCGAATTTGACCAACACGCAGAGGAGAAGCGGGGAGAAATGCATGGTTACGAGTGAGTAGAATGTCTATTCAATTGAGTGCGCAAGGAAATCAATTCCACAATGATTCTTCTTCTTAAGTTGAAGAGAAAGAAGAGAGAGGAAAGAAAGCTCGACTATCTATTCTTCAAGCAGAGAACATACGCCGTGCTGTGGTTGTCTATTATACTAGTCTTCGCGATGGAGAGGAGGGAAGATCTGCATCTGCGAAGTCTGTGCACGTGTACAAGCATGTACGGCACGGCTCTAGAACCTGTTAACTAGCTGCCTAGCATTGCTGCTATTATTCACTAGATACGTTTTCATGTGCGGAGTAGGCTCAAAGTATTCGCCAAAGGCCAATGGGGTAGTACGTAATTGCAACTTCTCCGCAAATATGTTTCACATGAAGCCGAATCTGCTCGGACATATCGACCAAAGGACCGGTGGCGGATGCCACACCGCGCGACTCCCGAGACAGTTGTTGGTAAGAATTCGTCTCCCTGCTCAGAAACGTGATATATAGTACGCCTTATGTTGTTTTCATGTCAGACACGAGGTAGCGGTAAAGCCGGAATAAAAGTCGCATTCCTCAGAGCTGTTTTTCAGCAAGCGTGTATTGAACGCGGAGATATATAACTCTCTCTCAAACTAGTGGCATTGAAACTAGACGCGTTGTAATGATGTTTATTTTTTCTCTCTTCACAAGGTTTAATGCATAGCATCGGGGGTAGGTAGATTCTTGAGTGTATCAAGTACTCGGTTTATTTATTCATGCTGCCGTCATACCAAACGGACTGTGCAGTCATGTTTCAAAGTCAACGATAATGAATTCGATGTTATTACAAACTCATTAATCCATTGCCTTGGCATTGGATTAGTATGAGGGGCGGAGTTGATCAAGAAGAAGAAGAAAAAAAGGATCGTATTATCCATCCTGCCGCCTATAACGCCGATACCATGCAGAACCAAGGCTATATGTACTACTAAAGATAGTATTGCCTGGCATTATATACTATTACTCAGTCATCGAATCGTCAGTCAAAAATTGCACCTGGTTTGACGGGTCATCTGCCGTCATCAGATTTTGCGTATACTCGATTGCCAAGCTGTTTCCCTCCGTATGCTCGTTACGCCGCCTGTGGATCTCATTCATCCCTTGGCACGCCATCTCCGCAATGTGATGCAGCTCGTCTAGGGTGCTCGGATTGCAATTTGTAAATACGCCATCAAGACTCTTTTGCCATCCCGACGTGGTGTTTTCCACAGCAGTCTGGTACGCGTTGGTATCATAATCTGTGACGCCTATATAACCAGGTCGGCTTGTGAGCCGTTGAAGGAGGTAGTCTTCTCGCGAGTCTTGCGGCAGGTACTCGACGAGCTCGCCTGATGGCGTGGTAGGTTGGCGGATACCCATGACGACTTCTACGAAGCGCTGAGATAAGCTGCGAGCAAGGCCACAAGGGTCGATGAGGTCGAATTCGGGGCTAGTATTAAGGTCTTCTCTGATGTAGAGATCGTAACCAAGGAACGACGCTCGACAGATTCGCAAATTAGGCATGGTGCAGCGAAGCATCATGGCTACCCAATAATCGTCTTCGTCGGGGCGCTGGTTGGCGATGCCAACCCACAGAACCTTTTTAGAGTCCTCGTTCCACTCGCGTGATCGCTCCGTCTTCAGATACACTTCATTGAGATATAGCTCCTCGAGAAGAGCCCCAAACTCTTCTGTAAACCGCCTAAACACTTCTGGAGAAATCTCGACTCGCTTCAGTTCAAGGCATGTCAAGTTGTCGAGCATGATCCGGGGCGGTGGCAGCACACGTGCTCTCCACTCGTCGACAGGCGTATGATAAAACTTGGTCTGCTTCAGCCCTCGGGGTGGTCTATCATCATGGTCCATGCCTACTATGCACAGGGTTTCGAGATGCTGTGCGTGCTCGATGATGTTCCAAAAGCATGACCCAAAAAGGCTCACTCGGGGTGGGTCTATCTCGTGGCGGCGGAGGGTAATCACCAGGTGCTTGAGTACGGCTACGGTAGTCATGATATTCATCACATCGCTGGGGTTCATCCACAAGTGGCATACGGCGACATCGGTGACATTTTCCAGTACGAGAACTTGCATTGATGCTGAATCTTCTTCCGGGCGCGAGGCCAGCGCTTTGAAGGTATTGGCGAGGATAATGGTGGCAGCATTGCAGTTACGGCCTACCAATTGGAAAGGCAGACTCAGTCTCAACCGGTCAACATCGCGGCAGTTGAAGAAGAGAGCCTCAACGGCCTGGTAGTATTCTTGCTCGGTAAAGGAGGACTCGCTCATGCAGTAGAGGTTTTGGAGGGACTCGCAGAACTCCGCCATCCAAGGTACGCGAGCAAAGACTGTGTTCAGGAAATCGACCTCCACTATCAGGGCCGAGTTAGTCACCTGGGTTTCTCTGGTTCTAGCCAGGGCAGAAAAGGAAGTCTTACTCTCATCGCGAACAACCATCAAGTCTACATAGAGGCTCTTGCAGTGGTAGCCAATCGTTTGTAGAGCATCGGTCTGTGGCCGGGTTTGGCGGCCGGTCCTGCTCAAGCGAGAGAACTCGAGCCCCAGAGTGCGGCAGACGAAGGGTTTGAGGATCCGATTAAATGTTCGGCATACGAGGCGGAGGTCAAGAATCGCGTTTTTGGGGCCGGATGCGACGCATTGCAGCAGGATGGCGTCGATGAGCTCTGGCGGTAGTCGATTCATCGCGTCGTCTGGTAGGCTGGAGGCGGGGAGTCGTTCAAGGGGAGGCCGCCGGGAGGCATCTGGGTTGGGGCCGGTCTGGAGGAGGGAAGAAGGCGAGGCTTCTGAGCGTCTAGATGAGAGAATATGGATAGCGATTGGGCCGGCAAAGGGAGAAGCGAGGTGCTAATTAAACAGCGTGCGAGTGCGTGCGCCTGGTTGCGATGACATGACCTGCTGTAGCTTGGGAGCTTTAGCGGCGATGGCGCTATGTATAGCGGTGCTTTACGGTATCTTATCAGTGCCCTTTTATTATGTCATAGGCATCTAGCAGCTACCCTGTAGCATGGCGTGCACCTGATGAATACGATGAGACTGGAGAAAACGAGGATATGCGTGGGAAGAATAAGCGTGGCGCAGCTGGTAGCTGTAATTACGATACCGATGAAGATGCCTAGATAAAGATCGTCTGGAGAGCTGGCAATGCCAAACCTGGCGATCACTCTGATAGTGCACACCATAACACTCAAAGTAATGAGCTATCAAGGGTACCAGTCCAAGAAGCGACCCAAAAAAAACCTTCAATCCTGATGTAAACCTGAGTCGGATATAAACTTTACTAAAAAAGAAACCTGAATAACACCTTATCTATGCAAGGCAGACAGAATCCCATCAACACACAGCAGCAATATTACGAAAGATGCCCCAAGCCAAGCTGCATGAAGCAAAGCCTTCCCATGCTGCAGCTCGGGTGTGGCCGTCGTTGTATACTGTGGGTCTGTGGCGGCTGGCGGCCGAGACTAGCGGCATCTTGCAGCACAAAGAAGATTAGAAGAGACTGACGCCTTATCCAGATCAAAGGCAATATGGAGCACTACTTTTGTCGCTAGTAGTAAACCACTGAGCATCTAGGGCTAACGGTACAAGTCTATTCACCAACTGTTTGTAACAAGCGGCCATGGTTGCCAAGACATGGTAGACCTGAGAGGCACAATACGCAATGTTTGTACATGATACGCATCTGCCTGATGTACCTGGATATGGTATCATCCAGCGTCATTAGAAAAAAAGCATATGGCAAAGCCGGAAATTAGCAGATGACAAATGTGTGCTAAATTTTTAGAGTAAGCTCTCGGCATGATAAGAGGGTCGGCATCGACTTTTAACCTCGTGACTGTCAGTCGAAATAGGGAGAGTGGAGGTCAAGAGCAGCGGCTTCGATGATAAGAAACCCAAGGAAAAAGGAGAAACGCTGCTCTAATGAGGTTTCGGCTCGAATTTCTCTTTGCCCATTAAACAAGAAGAAAAAGAAAACGCACCTGAGACCTCGTACTGGTTAATACAGCCCGCCAAGTCGGATTGTGGAAAGGCAGGCCCATTATTCGGCTTTGATGTGCCGGGATGAGCGACGCTTGCATGGCACGGAACAGCAGTCAGGACAGCAAATTTGCGATTGTCGATTAGGGACCGGCACAAGAAGCCGAAACCACCGCCGGTCGCACACGAGTAGATACAAGCAATAACAACAGCATGTGGGGACAAGAAGCGATGGAACACAAAGAGAAGAAAAGGCCATCTGTGGTGGAATACCTACAGAAGTTTGTAGTTGGTGTCGAGGCGCACGGCCACAGCAATCGTTCTAGCAACCGTCCCAGCCACAGGGTGGAAAACTGACATCTGATGCGACTGGCTGCATGCATGCAGAGACACAGCTCTGGTTAGACTAGGGGGAGATCTCACGGCGCTGTTTGATGATGGTGTCTGGAGCTATGCTGATGGTGGCCATGGAAGCACAGGCCGTGTGGCCTCGCCGCCTTGTCTGAATCGAGGAGGTCTCATCGGCTTGTCTCTGCGATAAGTGGCCCATTATTCCATATTTTGAAAAACCATAGGTACTGCGAGCAGGCGCAAAGTACCATTTGGACGCAGCGAATGTATCTTTTACCCCTGTCATGTACTGCCAAGTCTCTGCAAGCGTGGTCCAGGGGAAATCGGCACGAGTTGCGGGGCGCAATTGGCGTGTCTGATTGGCGACCTCCTCGGAGCTTCACCAGCGCTGTGGCGGGAGCTTCCATTTTCTTCCGCCAAGGAGGGAAATCTTTTCTTCTTATTTTTTTCAGCGCGGCAAAGCGGCCCCATGAAATAAGGGTATAATAACGGTAAAATCACAAAAATTAAATGAACGTCAGCAGCGAAAGATTAAAGAGAATGCCGTGTTGAATCTTTGAGCTCGGGAAACGCGCAACGCCGGCATTGTGCGGCCCTCGACTACGTAGTGTAAGTACGGACGGACAGAGCATTATTTGTAGTTGGTACTAGGTACTAGGTAGGTGTACAGGCACGGCAGGTAACAGAATATCTACATAGGGTGCCGTGCTGAAACGCCCCTTTGGTATTAGAATGGTGACATGTTGTCGCAAGTCAATTTTTTTTCCCTCTTTGCGATGATACATTGGTGGCATTGAGAATAGAGATGACTATGACGATGGCACAGCGGGAGAGAAAGGGAGGGCGAGACATAATGCACTGCGGTATCTGGCCAAGGGAGCCGAGGAAGAAAATAAGGTCTCAGCGCTGTTCTGCAGCCACCCAATGGTTACATGCACGAGGCGGAGAAGGGGGGTGCCGCCGCTGGTATGTTCGTACAGAGTACGAAGTGGTTAACCTTCTTTTCCATCGTGTTGCAACATGGCATATGCACACACATACCACAGCATCATGCGTTGCTGTAGCCGAGGCGGTGGCTGATGGCGGCTTCTGCATCGCCAAAGCATCTCGGGCCTAGTACGCCAAAGTTACCACCGATGCTGCTGTACGAGCCGGGCTACTCCACACTGGGCATGGTCAGCAAAAGTATTCCTTGGTACCAATAGTCTTCTCCATTTGCTCTTCCCGCCCAGATCCTTCATTCTTATCATGCCATGCGTCCCCTGGGCATGAGGTACGTCCAGTTCTTTCGCACCAAGAGCATCAGGCTAAAAGGTGCTTCGTACTCCTTTAGGCCGCGGACTACGCCGTATAGACTCCCGGCATCTTGGCGCGCGGTCTGGATGGGGAATAGGCTGTCGCGGTGACCAGCTCCATTACGACATCGTGCTTTGGGCCAAGAGAAGAGAAGAGGGGCGGGTTCACGATCATTTTCCATTGTTGCCCAAGTCCAAGACAGCCAATTCTGAGGCCGCCGCCATGGCAACGCCTGACGCGTTTCTCCTCTCGAAAAAGGGCAGCATGGCAGAGCACAGAGGGGCCGCCTGGCCAGAGTCCAGAACTCGCCCTCGGGCCCCGTGAAACGAAGCAGACTTTGGTGTGCAAGTCCAAATAAGCACCGCCAGCCTAAAGCCTATTGGCATCGCCATGACATCAAGATGCGCGCGGCCACTGCCTATTTGCTGCGCGGAGCAAGAGCTTCAGCCACGCGAGGCCGTTAGTGCCAGCTTCGTGTAGAATATCCAAATGCCACTTTCGTGTAAGCGGCCATCACCAGCGGTCTCGCCCTCTCTGTCTGCGCTGCTTGTACGAAAAAAAGCCCACACCACCATCGCAACAACCCCCCGCCCTCTGCAGGTCCTTTTCACCCACCCCTGGCCTCATCTCTAGTCGATACGGACAACTCGGCGTTGGTGGTGCCGCTATCGTCTGTGGTTGGCCCAGCCCTGGGCATTTCTGGCCCTGGTCTATCGCGCAGCCTATCAGGCGTTGCGCTGGCATCGCAGGTACTTGCGGTACTTGGGGTACCTGCGTGCTAGCGGCGGTACTTTGCGAGCGGCAGACACAAACAAAGGAATAGAAGCAAAAAAAAAAGTCCACGTTCACCCCATGTCCTTAGCGGTAAATGAAAAACCGTCGCCGCTTTCCCATGGGCTGTCGTCGGCCTCGCCCTTGCTTCTCTCTTATTTAGGTGACGGCCCTGACAGCTGGCACGCCTTAGGCCCTTCTTTCTCTTTCCCTCCCGCCTCTGACCTGAAGAGAGAAAAAAAATATCCTGGACCGGACCTCCAATTCCTCTTCTCGCAACTCCATCACCGCATTTGCATCAGCATCAGCATCATAGCCCGTCTTCTCTCTGAAGCCATCGCCAGCCCCGTCCTTGGAGTTTGCTCAGCCGTGGTCTTTGTGCCTCTTTTTATCTCTTAATCATTCTTCGTGATACCCCCCTGTGAATTTGTTTGTCAGCCAAACCAACTCCGAAAATGCGATCCTCTGCCATCTTCGTCGCCATTGCCGCTACTGCGGTGTCGGCTCAGACTGTTCCGACCTACAAGAGCTCTCTGAACATGACCATTGACCCTAACTCTGTTCCCCAGCAGCAGCGAGGTAAGGCGTTCTGCATTCTTTTTTTCCATTCTGCTTTTTTTTTCTCTTGCTTTTGTGCCATTTTTTTTTTCCCGCCGCGGAATGCTTCTCATTGCGATTCTGTGCGAGGCGCTGTGTTTCTTCCTCTCACTTTGCTTGCTGCGATTTTGACGATAGATTCGGTTGCTAATTTTGCTCTTGTTTTTAGCTGTTTGGTGCCAGGGCCAGACCAACACTTGCCAGGTCCTTTGCGACAACAACACTGACCTGAACGACTGCAACCAGGTGGGTTCACCCGCAATCGCTGATCGATCTTTGTATGGGGAACAAGAGCTGATCAATACTTGACTTGTCACAGGCTCAACTCACCTTCGACTGCACATGCGCTGCCAACAACTCGGCTCCTGGTCTCCAGTATTACACCCAGACTCTGCCCACCTTCATCTGCCAGCAGCTCTTCTCCAACTGCATCCAAGCCAACGCTGGCAACGCAGATGGCCAGGACCAGTGCAAGAGCAACATCCAGAAGCTTTGCGCCACCCACAACCCTCCCACCATTGCCGAGATTAGCAGCTTGGCCGATGCTTCCACTGCTGCCACAACCGCCGCCACCACCTCTGCTGCCAGCCATGCCGCCACCACCTCTGCCGACAAGACTGCTAGCAGCTCTGCCCAGTCGACAACCTCCAAAGCCCTTGCCGCTGCTACCATGGGCCCTGTTGGAGCCGGTGCCTTTGCCATGGCCGCCGCTGGTCTCGCCGCTTATGCCCTCTAGATGAGCTGAGCGATTCAGTCCGAGCTGCTGGTTTTGTCTGGCGACCCAGTCCGCGGTAATGGTGCGTACTCTAGGAAGGAAAGAAAAGGGGCACTGGGTCAATGCTTGGACGAGGGGCCTCGCTTCTCCATGAACCACTTTGTTATCTAGTACACTTTGTTTGTTTGATATCACCCCCCCTTAACGAAACCCAAGACGACGAATATGATCGAGGGCATAATGATGGTTGTGTGTTTGTTCCCCCCCCTTCGAGTTTTAGTTTTTGCGTTTACAAGGTTACATGCCGTGGTTATGCCTGCCACTTGGCCACCTTTGCATTTAATCTGTTGAAGGCGTAGCAAGGGTAGTCGCCGCGTCGACTCGGAGGGGAAGAGTCTTTTCATTTTTTTTTCTTTTTCACATGGCAGAGGCGAAGGGGAGTAGTTGTTTTGAGGCATAACAAAATGCTAAAAGTCGTTTGACAAAAGATGAACTGTGCACACTTCATAATTACTTTCTCGTAGTTACGTAGGGAGCGTGTCATAAGGTCAAACCGTATCAACAAACTGATTGTTCACCTCCATCAAATCTTTTGGCTACCTGAGAGGAAACTACTCCCAGGATTTGCGTAAGGGGCGCTTGGTCGTGTTAATACCACATGATAGCCTCTTAGGTCTGAATTAGCAATTTGGGACAATGTCAGATCGAATCTTGGTTCAAATGGCGCTAGAGCCATGGTGATGCCTGACAGCAAGCCGATTGGCTCTATGAGAACCAGAGCTTTTACGATTGAGGAGAAGTTGAAGTCTGAGTTTGACTCTCCACTTGATGAACTACTTATTACTCGTTCACTGCGCCAAGACATATCCCGTTGAAAGAGGGACACACATATCCTAAGTTTGACAGACATTTGAATTATAATTCAATCATCGCTCTACAGCTGAATTGTGTATATATCTCCAGTGCCTAGACAATAGTAAAAGTAATAAAACCAAGTTCCCAAATAGCAGTAACCCATAAAAGAAAAGAGATTAGCCCATAATTTTTTGGGAAAATCACATTTCACACGCCGTTTCATGCCACAGCTTGATATTGCCTTGACCTCCTAGAATAGGGCCGGCTTAAAGTACTGTTTCTTCCCCCCCCTTCCCCTCATAACAGTTTGCTTTTGTTCAGATTCGTAAATCTGTTCCACGCTTCCTATTCATTGTCTATAATGGTTGTAAAAAACAAATGCTCATGACACATATCTAAAAGATGTAAAGAAAAGATCAAAAAAACTGGAACTGAATCCAGTGGAAATCAGGGAATAATGGGTTTAGATGCCGTTGGTACCGTTGGCGCCCTTGGTGAAAGAGACGGCAAGCTCCAAGGCCTGGAGAACGTCGTTCTTCAGGTCCTCAGCATCCTCAACACCGCAGCTCAGTCTGACGAGATCGTCAAAGACACCGACAGCCTCACGCTGGTCACGGGGGATACCGGCGTGGGTCATGCTGCTGGGGACCTCGCACAAACTCTCAACTCCTCCCAGAGACTCGGCGAGGGTGAAGATCTTGGTGACCTGGCAGAATCGCTCGGCAGCAGCGTGGCCACCGCGGATGCGGAAGGACAGCATACCACCGCCCATGCCGTCACGGTGCTGCTTGAGGGCAATGGCACGGTGAGGGTGGGAGTCAAGGCCGGGGTAGTTGACGGCAATGACGTGAGGAGAAGCCTCGAGAGCGTGGGCAACGGTGGTAGCGTTCTTGGTGGCCTCGCGAGCACGGAGGTGCAGAGTCTTGAGACCACGGTGAGCCAGCCACGAGTCAAAGGCGGAGGGGACGGCACCAATGGCGTTCTGGAGGAAGCTCAGACGGGTCTTGAGGTTGTCGCTGTTGAAAGCGGCAACGCCCATGACGACATCGCTGTGGCCGTTGATGTACTTGGTGACTGAGTGGACGACAATGTCGGCGCCAAGCTCAAGGGGGTTCTGGACGTAAGGGGACATGAAAGTGTTGTCGACAACAACGAGGACGCCGTGCTTGTGGGCAGCGGTGACGACGGCGCGGATGTCGACCAGACGGAGGGTGGGGTTGCTGGGAGTCTCGATCCAGATCAACCGCGTCTCGGGGGTGATGTGCTCGGCAATGTCGACCTCAATCTCGGGCGTGAAGGTGACCTTGACGCCGTGGGCCTTTGCGACCTGGGTGAAGTAGCGGTGGGTGCCGCCGTAGACGTCCGAGACGGAGATGACATGGCTGCCGGCGGCCAAGCTCTGCAGGATGATGGCAGTGGTGGCGCTGCCGGAGGAGAAGGCCAGGGCGTAGCGAGCGTGCTCGAGGGCCGCGACGGCAGTCTCGAAGTTGTCTCGGTTGGGGTTGGAGGAGCGCGAGTACTCGTAGATGCCCACGGGCTTGCCGACGGCCGACTGGGCAAAGGTTGTGGACAGAGAAATGGCCTCAATGACGGCGCCGGTAGAAGGGTCGATGGGGGAGCCAGCGTGGACGGCAAGAGTGCCGAAGGCGTGGACGGGGGTCGGGGGCCGCACGGGCGTGGTGACGGGGTCAGAAGTCACGGGAGGAGACATTGTTGCAGTCTGGTTGTGAAAAGGGTGGGAAAAGAGACAAGAATTTGGGGTCGTGATGTTCGAGGCAGATCCCGTTGCGCTGAAGCTTTTTGGAGGGGCAGTTTTTTTTTTATGCAGGGTCTGCTTTATCTTATCGGAAAAAAAGATCCGTTGATTTCGTGTTTGCAAAAGGATGTGTCGGAGCGATTGTGTCATTCAGCACACAGATTAATGCTCTTCGTTTCACGATTAATAGAGAAAAAAAGAAAAAAAGTGTACAAGGTGGAGGCGAGAAGACCCTTAAAAAGAAATAGAAAATTCTGGCTTCACGCGAAGAAAAAAAATTGGTAAAAAAAAAAAAGGGAACTCCACTTCAGGGACGAGAGCAGAACAACTCTAAAAATGGTGTCATCCAGCCGAGCTGTGGGTAACGTGTGTAGTAGCGGCGGTAGCACGTCACCGGCTCGTTTTGGTAGTTTCTAGGAATGGGGGATTGCAGGTACCAGTTCTTGCCGCAGGTGGAAGGCCAGGCCCTTTATGCGAAAAAGAGGCTACAAAAGGACTGAAACTGTTTCGCGGCACGCAATTCGGAATTGCAAATCACATCATTTGCGTCAAAGCAACCCCCGGAAACAGAAGCTTTTCTTTGTAATACGACTGCAGTATGTAAGCCACCTGCTCTGCTTCTCCGTATTGCTAATATTGGCGGCGTGGCCTTTCGAGATACTTCTGTGTCATGGCGGCATGCAGAGGCGCATCGCCCAAAAGCCCGACCGACAGCCGCACCTCCATTGCGGCTTGTATTGGCGGGTGATTCTACCTGCCTTTGGGGTAGTGATGCGTTGATGCGTCTTGTCGCAGCGGGCGGGATGCCATGCTGCGGGGAGGGCTGGAGTACTGCGACTTGGCGATACCTGGAGCCGCCGATGCGCTGCTGTTTTGCGTTCTCGATCTGTCACCAGCTGAATCTCACCGCCCTTCCTTGCAGTATCAGTTAGATCATTGATGCCCTCGGGGTCAGAATGCCGTAGCTCAAACGGCGATCTACGCAGATAGCACAGAGTCTGTGCTGGATAACTATCCGCTATCCGATTAACCCACTTCTAGTGCCATGCGACGCGGCTTTTTCCCACACGGCGTTTTCCCAGCACATGGCAGAACAGCTAGGTTGTGCTAGCATCTACGGACTTTATGATGCGGAACTTTTGGTGTTTTCGTGGAGAGATGGCTGACTCCCGCGGTGGTGATCGCGGCCCAGCAATCCTTATCCATCTTCCTTTTTTGGCAGTGGCCTTGAGTCGCATTTCAAGGCCAATCTCGGACGAAGCTAGCTATGGAGAGCATTAGTCGTACAGTAGCAGATGGATTCCAGCGCCGGCCAGCACCGGCTCAGACCACACACATAGTGGAATCTCTTATAAATCAGTTCTCGAACAAAAAAACTGTTTGTCAAACAACCATGCCATACGGATGGCCGCCAAGACTAGGATCCCCGTCCACGGCTCTACACACAGTAGTGTTACATGTTCTTAGCTGTAGGAGGTATTCACGTGGTGTCTTTTTGTGACGGCTTCTTAGCTAATGTGCGTTGCGTGACACAATGCATTTTTGACGGCGTTATCGTGCGCAGGCTTGGTTGTTGGTAGGTGTTTTTCTTCTTCTCTGTGACGAGTTACTTAATACACTGCCAAAGTTGTAGTTGCTGGCTGATAACGCATGCTTGTGCATCATTCTACCATATGCTTATTTGCTTGTCGCCAGCTGGACCGCGAGTTGTGATGCTGATGGTGCTACTCTCTGAGCTGGCAACCTGAACCGCCAATATTGTTGGACCGGATGTCGGTGCAACTCCGCACAAACGTTCGGCTGGCTTGATCCTGCATCTGGCGCCGCACCCATTTCCATAAATAGGCAGATAGCCACAGTAATATGGCCCGAACTAGAAGCTCACATTGGAGGTTCTGATACTACTGCTTTGCTACAGTAGTATGCTGCCTGTATGCATAGAACTTACAAAGAGATACTCGTCACGTCACGGCAAAGATAAGATAAATAATCTTACCTACAGTGGGCTCCTACATACTCGAACTTACCATGCATTACGCAGGGTGGTGCGTGGTGGTGCGTGGTGCTTGCAGCCGATCGACGCAAGAGGCTTTCGCGCGTAGTTCCAACAGGGCCTACTAAGTTGACAACATGCGAATACTATCTGAGTGCTGGATGGTCGTCAGAGGCATTCCCTTTGCGCAAACTTGCCCAAGGGACCAAGGCAAAAGTTGATAAGACATCTTCGCTTCTCACCTGGAAGATATCTGATGGATCATATCAATCTGACCAGGATACTCCGTATTTACTCCATGTCTGCTTTTGACTCCTTATATGGGGTTCTCCCACGGGCTCGCCAACGGCCCTTTGCCTGGCATTGCTCTTCCGAACGATCAAGCCACGCAAGCCCAAATGGCAATCTCGCTAATCGTGGCTGCCGCTCACTATAGTTGCCGGTAATCACTGTAAAGTTTTATCAATGCGTCATCTGATGCTGTCCACGCCGAGACACAATGCCCTCTGAACCAGTCGAGGCTTGCACGGATGACGCGGGCTTGTTGGCCCAGCGCGTCGGAGAAACGAGCATCCGAGCTCTTTTTGGCAGTGGCTGCGCCTCTGCGAGCTGTGCTTATTAACCAAAAGAGGCTTCATCAAGGCACCGGGCTCGTACTCGTAAACATCGCCAATTCAGCCAGGCTTTTGGTTCGCCCCTCCAGACGGTTCAATATCTAAACCGTGCTAGAAAGCTTGACAGCCCTATCCGCCGTCACATCCCCATCGCCGCCCGACAAAGGCACTCCAGCTCTAGCCGTTCAACCTCGCTGGACGCTGTGCAGTTGCATGGTTCGACAGACTCGGAGCCGGCCGTCGGATTTCGCGATTTCCCCCTGCAAATCGCCTGCAGCATCACCAAAAGGCGTCTCTCCCACGGCCCGCGTGGCGATGCCACCAGTGCGTGGCGCATCTAAAATCGTCGCTGCACGCACTCAACAATCTCACCAGCGAATCCTGGACTCTCCTTATGCCTCCCAGGCGGTCGCACAAAAAGTCGCGCGCGGGGTGTCGGCGTTGCAAAAATCGCAAGATCAAGGTAAGGGAAGAAAAAAAAAAAAGAAAAGAAAGAAATCGAGGTGGACAAGAATGGATGTGCACCCATATCTTTCCTTTCCACCGGGCTCTCCTAGCCAACGTCTACTATACCCTGAGATACATTAAGCTGATGCGATCAATCGTCCTTTCGTATAGTGCGATGAAGTCCATCCGCGCTGCGGAAATTGCTCCAAACATGGTGTCATGTGTGATTTCGAGAGCCGGCAAGTGCTCGAAGAACTGCATACACTTCCCACCCCGGTCACCAGGAGCCCTCAAGCACCAGTATCCGCGCCGACATCAGCAGGTTCGATAACGATGACATCGACGGCGGCGCCATCAACGACAGGTATCCCTGCGTACGACGACCATCGAATATCTCCTTCACAACTCTCACCCCCTTCTACGTCCTCAACACCGTCACTCACGCTACCCTCCGTTCCCATCATCACATCCATGACCAGGCAAGGAGACAGACTTCTCGAATTTCAGCTATGGCATCAATACATTAGCAGCACGTCCAAGACTCTGGTTATGAATTCCCCTGCTAGTACGGACATTTGGCAAAAAGACGTCCCACGCCTCGCTCTTGAGGGAAGGACGTATCTGATCGACGCCGTTCTCTCTGTGGCCGCGTTACATCTGCGCTTCAAGAACCCCGAAGACAAGGTCATGATTGAGGCCTCCCATGCCTACTCTGCCTCTACCTTGGCGGAATATTGCCGCTCACTTAACAAGGGTATAACTGCTGAAAATGCCGACGCCCTGTTCCTCACTTCATGTCTTATTGCGTTCCAGGCCACTGCTTCTCGGCTGTTCATCAAGGAGGATAGCGACCTGACAGATCCAAGCGAATCGCACCGACGATATGCATTGCCTCTTTCTTGGTTCCACGCCTTCCAAGGTGTCAAAACCATCGTCGCGACATCCTGGCAATGGATTCGAAACAGCGCCACGGTCAAGGTGGTTATTGACTCTCAGCCTGGCTTCATGTTGGATCTGAATCCCCTCGGACCAGAATCTTTCTTTGGCCACCTTCTCGATGATCTAGACGAGGAGCTAGAGCAGGAAGATGAGAGTAACAGAGCCGCAACAAACCAGGGTTATTTCCATGCTGTCTGCGTCTTGAACTGGGCCCACAAGAATCAGTACGCTCCATCTGCATTAGCACTTCCGTCGACTGTGTCACGTCGTTATGTTGAGCTTGTTGAGGCTAAGAGACCTCGTGCGCTCGCTATTCTCGCCTGCTTCTTTGCCTTGCTTAAGCGTATGGACAACGTATGGTGGTTAGATGACGTGGCGCGTCGGGAAGTCATGGGTCTTGTGAGTCTGTTTGAGACTGGCTCAAAATGGTGGAGGCATCTTGAATGGCCAATCCGGATCGCGCTGTGGGACGGAGAGGCTGATGCCATCCCGGCTGATATATGGGGTGTGGAGCGCAAGGAGAACCCTCCCGCAGATGGAGGCGTCCTGTCCGCTGAGACAATATTAAACCATATTGATCTTATGGCCAAGATGATGGACAGCACCCAAGGACCGCAGTCAATAGAGTCTATACCCGTGGTGGGAGACTTGGATGGCTTGGTTCCCCCGCCACTCGACTAGGACTTTTGAGTGACCGTGTTTGGGATATGCGCCAATACCTGGCACCCCCCCTTCAGAAGTGTATTATTTACTGTTGGTGTTGCAGCTCTTCCACCTCATTCATTGGAGAATTCGGCCTCTATTCAAAATAGGCGCTGGTGTATAGATAACCACAGGAAGAGGTATGAGCGTGGGAGTTTTTCTTTTCTGTCTCTCTTTTTTTTTAAGGAGATAGGTTGTCTTTTATTTTTATTCCCCCTTTTCTACCGGAGCTATAATGCAGCCGTTACTCTTACATGTTTTATTTTCCATTTTTTTTACCAGCGATTCGTAACTGGGCGTTTGGAACGGGATCTATGGTCAGATGATCTGATGATAGTAGGGCTCGTGGATTCTAGCACTTCGGAGTCACTTGTTATATACTGATATGGAGGACGATATGACACATAATACTGCTGGGTTTATAAGGAGTCAAGATGAACTTGGTATGGGTTATTTACATCTTGGAGTCATGCTGCTAGAGCTGAGCCGTGAATGCGAATACAATCCTTAAAATGTGACTACTTGTGCGAGATATAGGATGTGAAAAACAATGTGAATGTGAATGTGAATGTGAATGCGAATGTGAATGCGAATGCTTCTGAATCTAGATCCATCAATTCATCTCATTATGATGTCTTGATATTAGAAAACAAAATCTCAGGACACTATATAGCAGTGATCGATAGAAGCCGACTATAAAGCCGCCCAAGACGCCAAACTCCAATTCCCAGGATTTAAGCACGCCATACATCTTTTTTACCCCCCTTCCCTCCATTCTATTAGGTAGGTCCTTGTTACTTTGCCAGCTTATTTCCTTGCTCGCTTTGAATCGTCAACCTCAACAATGTCCTCCGGTTCAGCCGCATCGTCGTGGGATCTCTTCAATCCCTTCATCTTTCTTGTCTGCAACTGGCTCAGATCCTGCTTGCCCAAGTGGACACGACCAAGCTTGTCACCCATGGAGTCCATGGAGACGTTCTTCTTCGTCTTCTCCTCCGTGCCGCGGGCCTTCCTCATCGCCTCCTTGAGCATTGCCTCGTCCGCCTCCTTCATGCGTCCAACCCGCAGGTCCATTCGGGGGCCGATCTCTTCGACTTCTACGCGGGGCAGCTTCTGGCCGCTGCGCTTGGTGCTGATGAGGTATACTCGCAGGTGGATGGCGGGCTTGGCGTCGCCCTCGCCGGTGGTGTCCTCGGCCGCGATGGAGACGATGTACTGTAAGCCCTCGACGTCGATCTTGTCGGCGGTCTCTCCTCGGAAGAAGTCCATGAAGAAGCTCTTTGCGAGCGTGTATTCGTTCGGCACGGGGCTCTCAAAGGCGCTGCCTGCGAAGAGCACCATGGGCCGCATGCCAATGGCGAACTTCTTGGTCTTGAATTGCGTAATGGAGCGGTAGCTCTCCTGGTCGAGGTATAGCTCTAGCATGTCCAGCACCTTGTGGCCGAATGTGCGGATAAATGTCAACGCATGGGGGCGCTTCTTCTGTGTGCTACCAAAGACGAAAAGACTGGCGTCGTTCTTCTCCGAGAAGAACTCGATGGATGCGGCATCCTCAAAAGGGTGGATGGGGTTCTTCTTGGTGAATTTCTTGGAGAGGGGCTGGCGCATGGAGAAGAAGTCGTTCATGGCATCTTGGACGACCTGGGAGCAGCTGTTGCCGCGGAGGAAGAGACATGTTTTAGGGTTCTCGATGGCCTTGGGCTCGCGCTTCTCGAGGGCTCTCTTGGAGCGAGCGTTACGAGGTTTTCTGAAGGTTTGCGTTAGATTTGGCTCCTAATTCGGAAAGGCAGCAATCTAAGAGATTTTTGAGACTTACACTTGGCGGAGCATGATGAAATTGGCAATGGTTGTGTTAATCACTGTTTCTTGCAATTATACCAAAAACCGTGATGCCTTCTTGATGGGATAGCCAAAGTCGGAAAAAAAAAAAAAACATCTTATCGATAGTATCAGCAGCAAAGCAGCTAGAGGCACCGCCACAGCCCAAGCGCGGAATAAAGCCACAGCCCATCTTGGCGACGTATTTCCGACCCCACAGTCACGTGTAGCCCCTGATGAAGCGACGACGAGATCAAGCTTACCAACCCGGACGGACCGGCGACAGCCTCGGTAGGCCGACTTCCCCACACAACAACAAACAAACCCGTCCTTCGACCTGCAGGTGACGTGCCTGGGAGTCGCCTCTTTGCATCTTATTGCCTAAGCCGGAGCCGCTCTGCCGTCCTAGTCCTTGCTTCTTCCCGTCTAAGCGCGTGTCTTTTCGTATCCGCTAGTCAACGTCGAGCAACACAGCCGCGGCTGAGTCTATCTTCGACTTGTTTTCATCTTTCTGGCTGCCTTTTTGTCCAGCTACTTACATACCTGCTTTTTTTGTTTGTTACTAGAGCAGCAGCAAACGCGATCGATACCCCGTGCGCATTTCATTACAAACCCACACAGCCAAGATGTCGTTCATGGGAGGCGCAGAGTGCTCGACAGCTGGTAACCCCTTAAGCCAGTTCCAGAAGCACGTTCAAGATGATAAAACACTACAGCGAGACCGCCTCGTCGGTAGAGGGCCAGGTGGTCAGCTAGGCGGCTTCCGTAGCTCGCCTGCTAACGCTCCCCAGGATGAGGTACGTTGTTTTGGCCGATATATGCGTGTTTGTTTATATTACCTGCAGGACGCGCATTACTAATACACAATGTGTATCTGTTTCTGTAGATGATGAACGGTTTCCTCAATGCTGGCCCTGGCCTTCAACAAGAGTTTCCTACTTTACAAGGCGGACCTGCTGGCCAGCTTGCCCCTGCACCACCACGAGCGCAATCAGTGTCGCCATCATGGGCACAAGACTTCAACGCCCAGCAGCCCGGCATGGATGCCTTCGCACCAGCAAGGCCTCTGTTCAGCCCCGAAGAGTTTGCTCGCTTTCAACAGTCAAACCCGGCAGCCGCTGCCGCAATGGCGCCACAGATGAGGGGTGACATGTCTTCTGCGATGGCCCAACGACCGATGATGGGCATGAACATGGGCATGATGGGCATGGGATATGGTCTTGCTAACCAGTCAATGATGCAACCGATGTATCAGCAACAGCAGCCTATGCAGCAGCAACAACAGGACCTGAAGGGCAAGGGTAAGATGGTTGAGTTGGACGACAGCAAGTGGGAAGAGCACTTTGCTCAACTCGAACTCCAGGACAAGGAAGAGGCCAAGGAAGCTGAGAAGCAGGCGAACGCCGCCGAGGGAGAGTTGGAGCAGATGGACAACCACCTCCAATCGGAAACTAATGAGTTTGGTGATTTCGAATCTATCTGGAAAGGAATCCAAGCTGAAACTGCTGCTGCTAGATCGATGGTGAACGACCAACAATACTTTGACCAATTTGATACCGAGTGGGGCCAGGATCTCATGCCTGACTTCAATGGCGTGAACGACTGGGGACGATTCGCCGACCCGATTGTCGAGAAATACATGTTTGAGGAAGAGAACATCTTCCGTGAGCAGAAGAATGCCTTTGCCGAAGGTGTTCGTGTTATGAAGGAGGGAGGTAACTTGTCCCTGGCAGCCCTGGCGTTTGAGGCTGCTGTTCAGCAGAACCCAGACCATGTGGAGGCCTGGGTATACTTGGGCTCTGCTCAGGCCCAGAACGAAAAGGAGACGGCGGCTATTCGTGCCTTGGAGCAAGCCTTGAAGCTCGATCCTAACAACCTCGATGCCATGATGGGCCTGGCTGTTTCATACACCAACGAAGGCTACGATAGCACAGCATACCGCACACTCGAGAGGTGGTTGTCTGTCAAATATCCCAACGTTCTCAGTCCTGCAGATCTTCATCCTGCCGCTGATATGGGATTCACTGATCGCCAGCAGCTGCATGACAAGGTCACCAGCCTCTTTATCAAGGCCGCCCAGCTTAGCCCCGATGGCGAGCACATGGACCCCGATGTCCAAGTCGGACTTGGTGTATTGTTCTACGGAGCGGAAGAGTACGATAAGGCAGTGGACTGCTTCCAATCAGCCCTTCACTCTTCGGAGCTGGGCACCACGAACCAACAGGAGCAACTTCACCTCCTTTGGAACAGGCTTGGTGCTACCCTCGCCAACAGCGGAAAGTCAGAAGAGGCCATTGCCGCTTATGAACAAGCTCTGTCTCTGGCGCCCAACTTTGTCCGCGCTCGTTACAACTTGGGTGTCAGCTGCATTAACATCAACTGCCATCAGGAAGCAGCATCCCACTTCCTTGCTGCTCTTGACATGCACAAGACTATTGAGAAGTCTGGCCGCAGCAAGGCATACGAAATTCTCGGCGACGGTGCTTCCGGCCAAATCGACCAGGCTCTTGACAGAATGTCTGCTCAGAACCGCAGCAGCACCCTGTATGATACCCTGAGGAGGGTGTTTACGCAGATGGGCAGGAAGGATCTTGCCGACAAGACGATTCCTGGCGTCGACCCTGATATTTTCCGACCCGAGTTTGAGTTTTAGACTCCTTGTTGAGTAGTCCGTTGAGCATAAGATATTTAGCGCATCAATGAGTCGTCAAAATGGCCTCATTGCACTCAAGTTACGTTTTGGTCCATCTCATGAAATTGTATTTACGATGAACATTTTTCCCCTGAAAAGAAAGAAAAAGAAGGAAACAAAGGGGAAAAGGTCTAATGAGAAATATTTTTTTGCTTTACCCCTAGGAGTATCATAATTTGCTAGGATGCAGCGGGTATTGGGCTTGGATTTATACCGAATATATGCAAAAAAAAAAAGAAGGAAATACAACTGGCGCTTGGTCTAGATGAATATACTATAAGTTATATATGGTAGATTTAATCGTTGTTATTATCTTCTTCATTGCATAAGAGCTTGACTTTACCCTGAGTGCTGTTGTGGTGATTAAGTGTTGTTTTCTTGTTCATACGTATCATATACATCATACCTATGTTGATGCGTGAACTTGAGCAAATCTACGCTCTTTTACGACCCACGTTGCATTTCAACGCAGCCGTACAGCTCTATATTCTGACAGGCCTTTACTTGTTTAATTATCCTACATGTAGGTATTCTTCAACGACCTCTCAATTTTGGCCCCTCCCATTCTCCGTAAAATAGCATGTGAACTTTGCATGGTGTCACTATGATCTAGATAAAGAAGACATATAAAGTAACACGGCCCGACATTTCGGGGCTACTCCAGCCAGCCCCATTACGAAGTCTACTATGTATTAGATTTGATTTTTATTGAGCTCCACAGAGACGCAAATAAGAGCAAAAATAAAGTGGCTGGGGTAAATCAATATATGAGCCCTGCCTGTGTACAACCTCGCTAGGCAAGCCTCACCGCAAAGAAAAAAAAAAAAAAAAGAAAAGAAAGGACTGGGGGTCTTTGCTCCCTTATTCTGTCTCAGTCCAGCCTCTCTCTTCCCGTCTCCTTCCCGTATTTTTGAACGGATCTCGTCCTATCGCCGTGCAGCACAGCTTTCATTTGTCCCGCAGGATCGGTTTAACCTGCCGGGCCCAGTTTTTGGGGGCCGTGGGCAACATCCACCATCCATCCGGTGATGCAAGATTGCAAGTATCACGGCCCCAACACACACGCACACCCCTCTCCCCTTTTGACTTTTCTTTTTTCTCTCTAGTGCCGTCGGTGTGGTGGCACAAGCTGGCTCCTTGCTTCGCAGCAGATCCACGGCTTCATGTCGCTTCGGTGCGGTAGAGGCTGAATCACAGACACATACACATGTACTTATTAGCAATGTCCTGCACAGATCGTTTTATGTGGCGTAAAGTGGCTAGTACAGTGTAGCTGTCGAAATGCCAAGTATATTTCTCGATAGGACCTAACGTTATGTGGAAGGCAGATGTGGATGGGATTTTGTTTTCCTAAAGGCAGTGCGGCGGGAGAGAAAGGAGGAGCTGGAGATGGCGACTCAACAAGGTTTAACCTGTTTCCAAAGGATGAGAATAGAGTGACTGCTAGGGTGTACTGTGTATCACACACTCCTGTAGGTATCTAGAGATTGCCAGCAAGATGTAATTCATTATTACTTGCGTATAGGATCTTGGCTTTGGCTGGTTACATCCATCTACTGTCGCCAGTCACATGGTGGAAATGACTACAGGAAGACTTGTGTCGATTCATCTTTATTGGTTGGGGTTTTCTACATATAAGCATATGAGCGTATGGGGAAATCTTTGCACTTGCATAACAACATGGGGGAGAGCCTCCTAAGGGGGAGGAGGGGAAAAGAAAAGGACATCAAGACAATTCCATACACTCTCTCATACATCGGCCGCCAATAAGCTCTGTAGCTTGATTTCCAATCTCACCATGAGTTACTCCTATTACAAGAACTGAGGATATTTTACTAAACTATTGCTAACCTCCAGGCGCAACGATCATTGGTCAAAGCTCCCTGGTCTTTCTGGACATCTGGGCATTTGGCAGCATAAGAACCTATGGACCCCATTGGAAAGTCGTCGGAGCCGATGCAACGGAATATTTTGTTGCGATGAGCTCTTTTTTATGGCGTTGCATTCTCTGCTCCAGTAAGCTCGGGGATAGCCGTTTCCTATCTTACCCTGTCCGAACCATGTGTTTCTTCGCTTCTCCATTTTGTGAGCCTCATTTGTATATTCTTAATTTATATTGATTTACGTGTCACTCCACTCCCTCCAACCTTTGTATATAGTCCAGGTGGCAAAGGGGACCGAAAATGTATAAATTACTGAAGATCATTGTACAAAAAACTACCCAATGGGGACGAAAAAGATGATCATGTCTGCTTATTGAGTCCTACGCAAATAAGCTGGAAATGATATGGACCAGATTGAAGGGCATCGTAAGATGATTCACAGTTTGTCTCTCAGGATGAGGACGATATTGGTGGGTACGAGTGATCCATCTGTGCCGCTATATGCAAACTTTAGGCATATCTAGCAAGATAAGAGAAGCTTGATGTACATATTGATCGCTTTGCTTACGACCCATCACTTTATACCTACCATATCCTTCCAGACGAAACACAGATTTAGGTTACCCAGTAGAGGCTCTTAAGTCGACTGCGCACGGATTATCAGAATTACTCTATTGCATTGGTCTATGTCATCACTCCCCTTCCCCTGACAATGTGAGATGCAGAATTAATTGACGTTATAAATACATACTCCTTAAAATCTGCTTCATCTTACCAGCATGTACCGTTTTCTTCCAGGTTACTCATCTCACCTTCTATGGTCTATTCTCTATCTCAGAATGAGCCAATCATTAAAGCAGTCTAACGCATTTCCTTGTATCGAAGTCATGCTATCCTCTAGCTGCTTGTCTTTAGTACGGCGCATATGCAGCACAAGTCAACCCCCCGCCTACCATCTAGATCAACAGAGACTCATTATAGAAGGTAGAAGGGATAAAGCAGATCATGTAACCCAGTTCTTAGCGGATCCTTCGCCAACATTTCAACAGATTCCGTATCATAAGTTAGAATTCAGATTGAATCTAATGGTAAAAACTGTGTAGCATTGCAATACTGACGTAATCTGAAAGATAATTTGCTGGATCAACTATAGGATTGCGTATGCCATAAGATTATCAGACCAGACGCAAAGCAGTCCAGCTATCTTATCGCTGCTATGTATACCGTTGGCGTATATGCCTCATGATCTGGAGAAGAAAAAAAAAAAAAGGCGTATAGGGAATTTGCGGCAATAGTTCTTTACTAAGCAGCTCTCATTGTCGAGAGTTGCTGCCGGACAAGCTCCTTGTAATCGCTACTTCTGGACAGGACTAACAAGACGATATTTTGCTCTCTAATATGAGCCTGATGCTCTCGCCTAACCCAGCATTGATTTAACGCATCTCGTATTTGCCGGATACCTGCGCTCTGGAACTCAAATACTGTGAGATAGTAGAAACGGATTCGTCTATCGACCTTCTGGATCCTGCCGCGGGGGCTTTCAACGGGCATCTCGGCCGATCACGTTTATCAGATGGCCTTCCTTGGCAACAGGAGCCAACATCCCAATGGCAGTTGCTAAATGCTACTACAACGTATATTGAGTGAAGTGAGGAGAAGGGCCTAAGATATGAATGGAACGCACCGCATCATTTAATTCTTGCTCCTGGCCAGCCCACGTCCCTCGTCCCAGCAGATCTCGATATCTATGCTCTAAATATGTCGTCTAGGATATTCATCTCTGGCTAGAAGATAGTAAGTACGTAATTGGAAGGCATTTCTGCAGCCGATTACCATTTGGGAAAGAATGAAATAAGCTAGATGGAAGAGTTTCTCCATTCAGATACAAAGATTGTTATATTCGGTCCACATGGCATAATTGTATGTGTGCAAGCTCGATGAAGAGTTTCCTTCACCAACAGATGACAAATTCAACTTTCTAATCAATGGGGAGAGGGGGCAAATAGACTTTCAGAGCAAGATTTACCGCGCAGATTATTTTAAGATGAACTAGATATTGGGATCCATCGAGAAAAAATTCCACATCTGCATGATCTCATCTAGGCTGCTCTTCCCTCTCAGGAGGCAGGGCCAACATGATGTTTGCTATTCTAGCTGACCATGGCACCAGCAATGAGATCTCACTCAACCTCTCTTGCTTCCAATATATTTTACTCCTTAATGCTGTATACACAAGGCTTGATTAGGGGAGTGATATTTGTTAGATCCATTATAAACAGGGTACTTATGCTTATAATTGATTTCGCACTGTCTCAGCCACAAGTCTCAGAAAGAGGTCCAATACAAACTGCAGAGAGACAATTCCCAACACTCCTGCCAAGCACGGGACGGCGGGAACGCAATAGTGTTGGCGACGACGGGAGCCACATGGAGGGTCGAGAGTTAAGATTAGCGTTCCCCATTATTATGTAGCAATTAAGAATCTCGTTTCTGCTTTTGACTTCAGCCACCAGCAGTCTGGACCGACAGATATAAGAGAGAGAGAGGGGAGGCGACCAACAGCCAACACCCAAAGGCCATAGACCATAGATCCATCTATGGGCCAGCAGTACGGGGTGTGTCCTAGACAGATTCGCTTCTGAGACTTCACGGCTGGTACATCTATTGGCAGTAACAAATCATGGGTCCTTTTTTATTTCTTCCCATTGGCTCTGTACAGGGTCTCAAATTATTCACGTCCTTTAAGACATTAAAAACAGGCGGCTGTTAATTGAACCCCCCCGGAAGACGACGAAAACGTCAGGCATGAATTTGAACATTCCCTCTCTCTGATAAAGGATATGTGGTGAAGGGGGTGTCCTGTATATTGCTCATCTGCTCATCAGACATCTTTCATAACGACAAATACCTTCGAGCCGTGTATCTGTACAGCAGCACATTCGTCTCATCATTTCTGACGCAAGATGAATGATCCCTTCTCCTCGGTTGCCAAAGATTACATAAAGTAGAACGCCTTACAGGACGCAGATCGCCCATTTCTATCCGCGTACCGTCAAATCAGAATACTCCTGTGTTCTGTGAGGCGCGGTGAGGCGGCGCCACTGTGAGAGCGAAGGGCGCCTGGAGGCATGTGAGCCAAGGCCAACTAACTACTAGGTAGGATCTCCGGATCTTTCCTATTTCTCGGAGTTGTTTTGTTTGATATCGTCACACTCTTTCAGGTATGCGTGTGTACGCCACGCCACGCCGCACCAACGTGCAAAATTATCTAAATTTCGGTTCTAAAGTCTGGTGACAGCGCTGTGCCTGCATGGCAGGGGCGCTTACGATGATGATAGGACACTGTCGACCACAGGGAGCACATGCTAGAGCGAGCAGCCGGCTCGGTGGCAAAAGGGGAGGGGGGAATAAAAAGCAACCCTTGTTCTTCGTGCAATGCAGCTGAGAGGGGGGGAAATGACGTCCCTGCTTTTGGGATGGCAAACACTTGTCCGGTAGCCAGCAAGTGACCCAAGCTCTTGGCACATCTGAGTGGCATGGACCCTCCAAATTAACGCTTTAGAATTATCGGAGCCGGTCGATCATTCATCTGCGGTGACCTAAGGCGCGATGGCTGGTTTGACTTTTCTCTGCCTTGTAGATCGAGGCTCGCTTGACACAAAGTTGCAAAAGGATCCGCATCGAGGGTCCTCCTCCCTTAACGAAATTCTGTTATACATGCTTTATTTGGAGAACATCGAGGAGGCTACACAACGTATCTGTTCATTGGAGCGGTTTCTTGAGCAAATCACTGGTTAACATGTCAGCAAACTTGTTTCATAAATAGCCCTTCATTTCATAAGAAGTATACAAGGTAGATATAGACGGGCTCTTGCTACACCGTTTTTCCATGTGTTTTTGCATGGGAATGCCACATGTAAGACGTTACCTGCCGTTTAACAGTAAAATGCATTACAGAGACGGTGGATATCAGCTAAATGTGCGATCAGGCACTCCTTTGAGACACCCAACCAGTTCCGACCATGCTGCTGATTCCTGTCGTGGAATACCAGAGAATTGGCGTCCAGTATGGCCTTTGTCTTCAATGTCTTGAGTTGTGCTTATGTATGTGGCGTAGTGCACGAAAGGTTATGGTAGCCAATGAAAATAGAGTTGAGCGTGTTATTTTAGCCGCAACCTAGGTGGCACTGGCCCCTTTGTCTTGCGGCTTATGGTTCTGGTTCAATGTTGCTGTGTATGTCCTGATATCTAGACAAGTGGATGGTTTTTCGCTAGATCTGTACGTTGTATGGCTGTCAAACACCCGCGGAGTTATTTAGGGTTATTATGATCGGAAGTATGGCGTTACGTAGTAGTATCAAGAGATGAATGCATGGGTCCCTGTCTGTGCATTTTGCTATACTCAATACTATTACGAAGCTCTGGTGCAACATGTAGCAGCAGCGAGACTGCTCTGGATTTTTTGCAGCACGAGGCAACGATGAAACGTCATTTTCGATTTCCTGGAAGGGAAAAAAAAACAGACGTGGCGCTGCGGGACATGATGTTGATAAGCTACATGGTCTGTTGCGTCCCGTTCTGCCCAGATAGTGGCATGAGGATGGTACGGGAGTAGTTGAGACTCTTATTTGCATCTGCATTAGTATCTAGATACAATTTTAGCCGACGGTGACGACGTTGTGAAACTTCGATTCAAACTACTACACATACTCTTTAGCCTTATTGCCACGCATGAACTCTGTCAAAGCTTGTGGCGACGTCTGGAGGAGTGTTTTACTTGAGGTGGTTTATACAAGTAGTTCCCCTGCACTCATAATCCTGTGTACCAAGATATCAGGCTCCATAGTAGTAGTGCTGCCAGTAGCGGTATGAAAATGCGGCTCTCCACAGTTGTATCTTCCTTTTGTCGAAACACAACAAGCGGGTACGCCGTCAAGGTCTTGGATCTGCTGGGAGCCACTTTGGCCAGTGGGCTTCCGCTCGGCAAATGGCCGAGGGTTAGACACGACAGAGGAGGGCACCCGCAGTGCAGAGCTAATACGAGTGCTGCCCATTCTTAGTAGGCGCTTGTACAGAGGTATAACAGCGCATGGATTGACGGGCCACCCCTTTGCTAGTGCACAGGAGCATCAGAGTTGCTTTTGCGGTCAGAGTGCAGCGCTCCCGCATACCAACCATCGATCGTCTAGTTTCCCAATCTGGACGAGAAATTCATGCAACAAGAGCACCAAGATGGCTCCATAAATCTCGCATTCGTCAAGTACTGCCACGTACTTGCACGGAGATCTGAGTACATGAGACCATATGGGAGGTACTTCCCATGCAGTCTCTTCAGAAGAATAGCCATAGACGACTTTTGCCAAACACGGAGGCTTATGAGTTAAAAGGTAACTTATTGCACAGTGTACATCAATCGAACCAATATTCAACGGAGTGTCAGCTCTAGGGAGTTGACAGGCAAGTCCACGGTTGCAACGAGGAAGCCAACTCGCATTGATATGGTAAACATCGACTGTGCTTCTTGTTGCTCTGTTATTTTCTGTGAAACTTTGCCTTGTCGGGCCACATTCTGATTCCTCATAACGAGTAGGTAGTTGGCCATATCTTGTTTCAGATGCCTCCTGCATACGATCGCACGTGGAATTAAATCGCTGCTGCCAGCATTCTAGATGTCGGCGAAGAGGCGCACAAAGGCTCGTCTAAGCGAACAATGCTCCTCCGTAGACTAGACATACGCTATTATCACTGCCTCTGCGCAGTGCGTGAGATGGAACGTTTAAGGGCGACGTCCATTGAGAAAAGTGCTCACCGATTTTTAAATTGGCTGGTAATACAGCCCATCCATGAGGCATACCTACCTAAACAATTACTGTATGCCTGCTCTTCTCATCCTCAACAAGTTAGTGTCAGTGCCCCTCATCTTTGCCCAACAACAAAAGCCATTGGATGACTAGCTGCGATGCATGTACATCGAGTGTTGCTATGGGGTAAGGTCGTGTACAGTATAGGTACTGGCATTGGCTTATGGAGATTGGCTTGCAATTGCCAACAAAAGAGAAGACCATATATGGGTATATGGTTGGCAGTAAATGGTTGGCTAAATCGGAAGTTATAGCCATCATCAACCCTGGTCCATCAATGGCCTTCGACGTGGCCACTCGCCCAGGTCTGTTAACCCTGTCGAATTCGCTTATTCTCAGAATGGTCGTTAGAAACCGCCAGTTCTCGGTGCATGTTATCCAGGTACAGATCGCGGTCGCCGCTCATCATTAGCCAGTTGGCTTGGAGGGACTGGTTTTTGGCCCGCGCATATCATATCCGAGTGCGTTCCATGTCTCAGTAAGGGGTGTGGGCTGTGGATGAGTACCACGTGGGATGCCGTCTCCATACGTGCACCGGTATGTTCGCCACAACATCGTTGCACAAGACATCCGGAAATCATACAGGTGAAGGCGAAATCTTGTCAGATCTGCTCCTTGTGCGTGCGCCTTTTGTACATATGGGCGAAGAGTCTATGGGAAAAGCGTCCTTGCTGACATATAAATCAGACTGACTGCAAGGCTTGTTGGAACGACCTGCATGGAGTAGCATAAAGAAGATGCTTGATATCAGGCCGTCATTTGCTCATGATTGGAGAGGCGTTGTATATACCCTCTTGCCCTCGTAGCCGCATTCATTGAGAATCGCCATCGTTATAGAGCAGTAACATGTCTCAGGCTGCGAGGTACACGATACTGGCAGTATAGTTGGTAAGATGAAGCGATAGAAGCGCCAGTAACTTGCAAGGAGATCCCTTCCAGCTTTGCACACACGCTCTCCATGTGCGACTGAATTTGACGAGCTATCGAGTGGACCTTGGGATGTAAATAAAAAGCAACTGCATCCGCACGGGCCATGAACAAGAAGAAGACCTAAAGCAAAAGGAGAATGAGACGGCAAGGCATAGGCATAGGCGGCCCTGCCGCTTACCTCAAGCTGCATACTCCTCTTGAAGCACGGAGTATTTTGAGTAAGAGGGTGTCCTGGACACGCTTTTGCTCTGCCTCGGTCCATTCCGATCACCTTGTTTTATCACAACGGCCGAGGTACTCAATTTTGTTTTTCCTTCCCGATTTTTTCCACCCCTTGTGAGTCCGCTTCTGATTGTAAGGCAGAGCTGGGCTGTGTTGAAGGCTATGGTTCAACCGATGGTTAAACGATAATCACATCGGCTGAGCCGAAAGATGATAGTGCGGCGTGCCTGAGTAAGTCGTGCAGGGCATGCTAGACTGCCGAGCCACGAGGTTTTTTGACACTTGTTGGCATGGTGTGGCACACAGCTCCATAGTTATTAAGCTTCTGGCACCCCATAAGCGCCGCTTTGCTAGACGAATCGCCGAGAGGCGCGCCGTTTTATCACTTGAAGGCCCGTACGCATTCCCCTTCCGCTTTTCTGGTACGGAGCGTTATTACTAGCACCACTTGGAGAGGGGCAGCGTAAGCGTCTAAGAACATTCCAGCGCGCCTCTAGTTCTTCTGGTACCAAGTCGTCGGCGTTGAAACGAAACATTTGAACCATCAGGGCAGTTTTGGCCCTTTACCGTGCTGCCTTGATTCCTTCATCCGGATGACTTGCATCGCCTGGGCTTATGTTTGAATGCAAATACACGAACTTGTGCTAACTGCAAGCATGCGTGATGTACAAATGTGCATATACCTACTACTTGTGGTCAATGTGTCAGCAAAGAAGCGGCTTGTGCTCCGTCCAGCTGTGGTGATATTTGACGATCCTGTGGCACGTTGAAGCTGGCTTCGATAAACCACCGAGATTCCCCATTTTGCCTGTTGGTCAGCGTAACTATCCCCCAAAGTTCGCTATCTCCGGCCCCGACGTAATATGGCCGATATCCCTCACGCCCAATTGGAGCGGCGGCCGAACGAGTCTCACGTGGCGGCGGAAGATCGCGCATATGCACCCTGCAGTGGACCTGTGGGCACCCCAAGTCAATCCCGTCCACAGCGGCACGAGGAGCCCTGGCTTGGTTTGCCCCCAGGGCTGTCATCCTGGCAATTTGGCCAATCAACCCGGCGGGTTTTCCACCCCTTCTTGTCCAAGTTTGGTTGCTGAGAGCGCGACCAATTTCTGGGCTATGAAAGATAGCGTTAAAATGGTTGAAAAGACCGTCACAACGGACATTGCAGGGTCCCTTGTGGTTGTGAGTGGAACCGCATGAACATACTCTGCGTGAAGTCCTCGTAATAGCATTTGGCAATGCTACTACGAAATACCAGTGGTAGCTTCCGGCAGCACTGGGCAATTCATGCCGTCATCGCCATGCCTGTAGGCACGTTTGTCGCACGTTTAAGCAAAGATGGACAGTTCTGTTTCTGGCTTCGGTGTCCATTCCGATTCTGCATTGTAGGGCTAGTTTTGGTGCATGCAAAACGGGTTTGCCACTGGGATTGGAATCACGTTCTCGCAGCTTGACAGGTAAGGAACGTGCTTGCGCCCGCACAACGGTCTGGATGCCCAAGGGGCGTGTCAATAGCTGGCTGGTATGCCGGTAGACGACAAATTTCTGCATTACGTTTTCTGTCGTTCCCTTCCTGTATACGTATCTTGCTTTGGTTGTTCCCCTTTTCAGTCTGTAGAGAAAATCAATAGTAAATCCTTAGAAGATGGCTAGACTATTTGTTAGCGGTGCTACCGAGTAGAGTAGTGGTACTACCACTACTAGCTTTTCCATGTGATGAAGCTAGGATGGCAAGGCTTGGTCGGGACCAAATGCAGCCGGTATACGCACTCGCTATCCTCTCTTTGCTTTCATCGGTTCAAAGTATTGAGGGAACGGGGCTGTGTAGCAAATAATCGAAAAGCGGATGGCAATCTCGCGACGCCCATTGTGACTAGAACTGCTTGTGATGTCTCTTCTCCCCGTGCACATGGAGATGGATGGGGATCACGAGGAATTGGACGGAAGCAGCCTTCTCTCCTCTCTGAATGGCATGAGTATGAAAGCGGAGAGATGAAGCACGGCCAATACACGCAGTGCTCGGTATGATGAGACAAGATGCAGCCAAGCAAATGGTAGAATCAGATGTGACTCGAAGCTAGAGGGAAGTGGTTTGCGCGTTGCACCTGCCAAATCGAAGCCGCTCCAATTGTAGGTAGTGTTGTGGGGAGTGGAGGTACGAATTTTTTGCTAGGGCAAATAGTACTGCTACTAGGTAGAGTGTAAGACGAAGTACTTGCAACTACGCCTCAGCCAACTCCATAGACTTGTCGATGGAGAAATACGTAGACAGTTGTGAAGAAAAGATGGCGCCTCTCCCGAGCGTGGCATCAAAGAGACTCTCGCTTGCTTGCAGCCCCTCTCTCTCCATGCTGAGATTGCCATCTGCTCAATTGCACTCGCTTCGTCTCGATGGGTTTTGGCTTGGGTCTGCTCTGCCTTGGCTGTTACTACTATGTACTACTAGTACGATTTAGAACGAAGGATGGCAATTTTTCTTTTTTTGGAGTGGAGCTGGCCCTTTTTGCCTTGTTCCAAGCCCAAGTGCCGTCCAGGGCGAAACGTGTCGCAGATGCAACTTGCGGTTGCTAGTGTCTGTCTGCTGCCCCCATCGGCGATTATAGCCAGACCCCCGTCCTCCCGATCCACGTCCCGTATTTGATCCTCAACGGAACTCGAGGCACTGGCATTAAACACGTGTTTTGCAGCTGGCCGTGGCAATCGAGACGGAGCAATACCCCATACATGCCGCTCACTTCTGACTAGCCTCCGCACTCCTGAGAGCGAACGAGAGGCTCTGTCTTTGCTGAAAGACGTAACAAACAGGGCGTTGCGTGGTCTTTAGCGACCTTGGCGGGAACCAGTGCGACGCCGCGTGCAGAAAAAAAGGCCCTCACACATGGCACAGGTTCCGTCCGCGGCCGGGCCAATCCTCTTCACATGCTCGGATTACTTGTGCCTGTGCGAAACCCTCGTGCGCCGGAGATGCATCGAGCCTAGTGCTACCATAGATAGACACGGACGGAGGTGCACATTCTATCGGGGAACTTAGCCCTACGGCTTGACATGGGACGATGTCGAATCTGGACCATGCTGAAGCCACTGACCGCCATGCTGCCGTTTCTATCCCCGTTTAGCCAGTGGCAGCGGGCAGAGATGTGACGGAGGCTCCATGGCGGTGGCCGAGGGCTACAAGGGAGACACAAGGCTTTCAGCTCGTGGTTCAAGAGGGCCTAATAGTATTGTGAGAGGCAGGTAGCGCGCCGCCACTTGCATTATGCTTTATGCCACAGTCTGGCCACAAACTCCCCCCTTTGCTGGAGTTGTTGCTAACAGGCACAGCACATTGGCCTGGGCCCCTCGCCACGATGAGGCGCCTTGCAGCGACCCATCCAGCGGCCCTACAGCCCAGCCATGGGCAGGCTCTGCTCGAAATCTAATCCTCCCGCAAGCAGTATCCTTTCCGGAAGCACCGCGAGCTGGCAAAGGGCCCCAAGGACTTACCGTCGCAACAGGATGCGCCCCCTCGCAGGCTCACTATCAGTTGCCGTGCCTGCTGCCAGATCTAGATGACACTGAGCACAACGGCAAGCTGCCGGTGGTGGTTCAAAGAGAATACATATCCGTGTCAGCCCGCAGGGAGAACAAGGAAGGCCCTTCAAGCACGAGCACAAGCACAGGCACGAATTACCATACACGTAGGGTACTAAGGCAAGTAGGGTACCACTCTGGGGGCAGGGATGGCAGAGACTGGAGGGCGTGTGTATAAAATCGCTGCCGCTATTCAGACTAAGGTAGGACGACTACGCCTGTACTTGTACTATTCAGGTATGGATGGCTCCTGTGCGCACGAGTTGCTGCTTGTAGTTGCAGCTGCTAGTCCCTGGTTGCCTGCATCTGTTTGCATTGACTACCACTCTCAGTCTGGAGTAGCATGAGCGAGCGAGTCGAGTGGCCGCACTCCATAGTTCCCTGTAGCACTTCGAGGGCGCGCCATGCCTTTGATTTTGGCTTCCCCAAGAACCAGCTGGCTCACCCGCCTGTGGTCTGTGTGTCTTTGTGGCTCCCCTCCTCCCGATGTTTTTCGGTGTTATTAGCCTCAAGCCTGTTTTCTGTGGTGGTGGCAGCAGCCGCGCCCACATATCCCAAGTTGTGCTACAGCACAGTGGACGCCAATATAGCAGCCCCAGTCCAGTGGGCCGAGCATCAATGTTGGATGGGCTTTGATCTCTGTCATATGGCGCCGCAGTACGGCTGCCGCTGGTCGTTGAAGTTGTAGTTTCGTAGCACCACGAATATCATATCATCCTGGGAGGCGGTACAGGCAAGCCAAGTACCGCTACCCCGGGCAGTCTTGGGGCCAAGGCACGATGTACGCTGCACCTCCTGCTACTGGCAGTAGCACCGCAAGTAGCTGCAGGCCTGTTCTGCCCTGGCCAGGTTGCTCCGGTGTAGCACGCACTCGTACAAGGTACCCGCTGTGGATGTCCCCTGGATCCCAGTCAGGCCTTGCTAGGCCCAATTCCCCCGTTTTCCCCCGTGCTGCGTCTATGTGGATGCAAAAGTATCGTTCTTGCTAATTGCAATGCGCTCGTGGCGGTTCTACTAACATACAGTATATTCTGCATGTGGCTCTGAAAAAAAGGTACCTCTGGTCTCGAAGCTGCTCTCTTTTGTCAAGTGGTATTCTTCCAGGTACATGTACTTTCCACTCCCCGAGGCCCTGCTGCCAGTTGGGACCAGAGCTCCTCTAGCCTTGCCCCTACACTTTACAGAGTACCTCGCCTACCTATCCAGGCTTTTCTTTCGATCCCCTCCCAAAAATCCAATTCTAAATCTCACGTCCCAACCTTACCCTCTCTTCTTCATCCTCCTCTCTTCCTCCAGCATTCAGTCCAAACTTTTTTACTTTATACCCCTCTAGAGCGTCTACTGCATAACTGTTTTCTTTCTTTCTGCTATTCATTATCCAACTCCATGGGTAGCGACAACTGCTTCTAGCCCCTTCGAGTTTGCTGAGTGTGTTGCTCGCGCTTCTTCCTGAGCGAGAGTTTCGCTTCGCGCTCGCTTGCCAAAGGAACCCGCACTCTCGCCAATTCTCTACCCGTGTTTGTCTACCACCGTGAGGAACCGAACATTGGTCTTCTCATCGATTCGATCGTACGGCACAGCACCCTCTGTGACCATACTTGCACAGTCACTCACTCGAACCGGCGCGGCCGATCTTCCTTTCGGCTTGGATCTCGTTCCCGAGTTGCTGGCGATATTTACGTTTCTTCCTTTGCACGCCTGACTTCGCGATAGCCTCTATCGTATCGTATGGCTAGGATGGAAGCGCAGGTACAGCAGCGAACGCTGCCCACCAAGTCGGCCGGCCTCACCAACATCCTGAACAGAGACGATCGAGCACCTTCCCATACCACGACCGCCCCTCAGCTTCGCGACTCTGGGTTTTATTCTACCCATGAGAACTCTAGCAAGCGTAAGTCTTCGTGTTGAAATTTTAGAATGCTTCCCTCCCTTGTTTTGCTCACCATTTGCTGAATAGATACTTCAGCAGCATCCTTCACGGTTACTGGACTCAGCCCTGCCGGATCTGGCTACTCTTCAGTCGACAAGACGCCCTCCCCCGTAGCCTCCACTATGTTACCTCAATCGGTTGTTTCCCCCTCTGCTAGCAACATGAGCGTGGCCTCGATGGTTTCTCCCAACAATGTTGCTATTGTTCCCAACGGTGCCGACCAGCGAAGATTCGACCGACCGACCTCGCTAGACACAGCCAGCGTTTCAGGGGCAATGCTGGGAGAAGGGCTCACTACCAATGCGGCCAGCCGACGTGAAAGCGTAGACAGCAGAATCAACCAGGGCCTTAGTGATATGCGCCTGGGAGGCTCTCCTTACACTAGCAATAACCAATCTTCGTCGTCCATCCAAAACACACTCCATGCGCAGCGGAACCCCAGGCCCGGTCTGGAGGCTCTTGCGCACCATAGAATTTCAAATGGCTACCAGCCTAGTGCTGAGCGAAACCCAGAGCCAAAGGTGATTAGGACTGCCCCTACAATTACTGGACCTACGACTAGCCATATCGCCCGTGCTGCCGAGCCGACTAAGGGTCAGGCGTGGGCTTTCCCGGAGGACGATCTAAGAGCCAATAATCAATCTTCGTACGATGTATCTCGCCGCAGCAGCATCACGGAGTCGATTGCAAGCAGCCAGTTTACCACCGAGTCCAGACTGCCGCCGGGCCAGCGCAGACTTGAAGATGGGGCTGAGTTTTCCCGCATGAACTCATCCGAGTTCCCGCCTGTGCACCACCACACCATGCAGCATAAGCAGCTTGCCGATCTTCAAGCTGAGGAGAGTAACGGAGCAACGGGATCACAGCCCTATAGCCGAACCCCTGAGCTCAGAGTAAGCCACAAATTGGCTGAACGGAAGCGAAGAACCGAGATGAAGGAGCTATTTGACCAGCTACGCGATTTGATGCCTCAAGAGCGCGGCTCGAAGGCGTCTAAGTGGGAGATTCTCACAAAAGGTGAATATTACTTTTTTGTAGTTCCTTCTTTCGTATGAAGTTTTCGTAAACTAACAAGCTGCTACTAGCCATTGCGGAGCATCAAAGGCAGACTGAACACGTCCGAGCACTTCAGTCTCACTATAACACAGTCATAGCCGAGAACGATATGCTGCGGCGAGAGGTGTCGGGACTGCGAATGGAGAATTCTCAACTCGTAGGAGAGCTGAATCGCCAGTCAGCACCGCCTCCTGCGCCCATTGGCCAGCCTTCTTACTCGTCTGATCCCTATGCAAGTGCTCCCCGGACTGAGCTGCCACCTCTCCGGTCTATCAGCAACAGCATCCCGAACGGCCCTGACTCTATGACGGGTGTGCAGTATGAGGCGCCGCGATCCAACGGATACCGACCAGAGCGTTACTAGAAAAGACGCTCTTGATGGCCCTGTTGGCTGCGCCATTGTCATGATCATCTACGCTTTCCATGCCTTTCACCGTAATCACATGATTGAATGAACATGTGCAGAGAAGACACGCGACTCAAACAGTAGTCACTCTGCGACTAGATGAAACCACGGATACCGGATGAAAAAAAACAAAAAAGGCACAAAAAAAGTTATGTCCTTTGCTGATCAACATTTGAAGCCTTGGCTTTAATCTGTGTTATTAGAACTTTGATTTTCTTTTTCGCTTCTTCCCTTGATTGTTTATGCCTTCTAGATTTGTTATCTTGGAGGCGGCTGTATAATTGCGGCAGAGACTGGCATTTTCTTGTCAAAAGTAGCCATACTGGCCGCTCTTTCTTTGGTCTGGCATTTTTTTCTTCTTCTATTCTTCTTTTTCAATTTTTGTCATAAAGAACCACTGGAATATTGTGTGGTTTTCGTACCAGATTCGATCTGGTCAGGGAGGCGTTTAATTGTCTTTGAGTTTCGCCATACTATGGCAGTGGATATTCAAAAGCTAATCTCAGCCGGGCTGCCAGCAATTGGTGGAAGTGGGGGAAAGGGGAAATTGGGGAGGTATGCTCAAGGTTTTTATATACAAGGGAGAGATATGCTTTGATTCTAAAGACGCGAGGGCCACGACAGTGGTATATACCCATTTGCTAAGAAAGCTTGGGAGGGAATTGGGAGGCATGCCATTCGATTAGATGTAATGGCAATCTGGTACTGTACGTCGATTTCATGCAACTGAGATGATTCGAAACTTTTTCATTTGAAGATGATCTGTGATCTTTAGCGTGATGTAATAGGCCATGGTGACTGATGCGGACTGATGCTGAGATTTGGCGGATGCGGGCGTGGTTTTTGCTACTGACTGGTGATTCATCAGCTGTAAGTCCAAGAGACCATTTGACTCGTAAATAGGAAGAGTCGTATGTTACCAATGGCAATCTCTTTGTCCAATTTCTCAAAATCCGCAGACGCGTCACTCAATAAAGTAGAGTAAAGTGTGGTGGGAGTCTTTATTGCAGCTAAACGTCCACACTCCTGTTTCTTTCTAGCCGGCCTTGGTAAAACGCCGTCAGCGAAGAGAAAAAAAAAAGTTCCGGATCGCGGCCCGTCTCTGCCTGCTGCCCCGGAATCGAGTATAAAACGAGGCTTGGATTGAAGAGCGGCGGAGTTGCGGAGCTGGCGCTGGCGGAGTTGCGGACTTGGGCAGGTTCCGGGTCCCAGTCAAGTGGTTTTCAGTCTCCGGAGATTTTCGTCGACGCGCCCCGGGCAAGAGGACCCTTGTTTTCAGCTTTATCCATCTTTGTAAGTAGCATGATGGCATAGAGTTCCTTGGGAGATCAATTGTTTTCGAGGGTTTCCTTTCCTTTTCCTCTTTTTTTTTTTCTCCAATTTTTGCATCTACCAGATTTTGGAAATATCGTCTCTCTTTTTTCTCGTCTTGCAGGGGCCGACTCAGAGGGCACCGCTGTCGAATGAGCGAGCCGCAATATTAGAGTTTCCGCGACTAAGGCGTCTCTTACATCTTATCATCCCACCGGCGATATCTGTTCCCTAACTCCTTCCATCATTCTTCTTCTTGAAACAGCCACTCACTCACCTGCATTTTCTCTTATTACGATCATCTACCGTCTCATTCCCTTCATTTGAGTCCTCATCACCACTGCTTTATTCTATATAACTACCCAGTCTCCAGTCGCTTGCTGGCGTAGCGCGGAGATTGATAGTGTTATCTATGATCTCGCTTGATAGTCACCAACAGCAGCAGCATCACTACAGCTACTCTTTCACCTCCCCCCCTCCGTGGCCGATGGATCCTTTTACTGGCGGCACGGATACCAGCTCGCTGAGCAGCATCGGCTCGGGCCTACGCAAGATGGATCGCATCAGCGCTGACGGCGGCTCTGCGGCCTCGCGCCAGAAGAGCTGCAATGCCTGTGTCCGCGGCAAGCGACGCTGTGATAAGCGCACGCCACGATGCACTAGATGTGCAGCCAAGGGACTCGATTGCGTCTACCAGCGTCAACCGCAGCAGCAGCAGCAGACACAGCAACTCCGGCATCAGCAACAGTCACCAGCCGGCACCTCTACTGCGGCAACGGTACCCTCATGTGCCTCAGTATCAACCGTTGAGGGCAGCTGCACCACGCCAGAGATGCCTCCTGAATTCGACATGAGCTTTGATATCGAGAGCCTCAGCACCACAACCGGCACCAACACCAGCCCAGAGAGCCTCCAGCAGGATGCGGGGATGGGGCTCGGCTGCGACCCTCATTCGCATCATCCGCACGCAGATCTAGGCTTCTCCATTGTCGACCTAATGAATGGGAGCGGCACAGGCGATGGTGGTTTGTGGGATCTGAGCGGGTTTGGAGACAGTGGCAAGATGGACCTCCCCCCAGTTCCTATCGCGCCGTCACTACAGACAGAACAGCCATCACAATCGACACAGTCGCAACACCTACAACCACAACAGCCTATTCGTGATCTTTCTATTCTCCAAAACGAGGATCAGTGTATTACAGCCGACGTCTGCCAGGTCCACGACCCCCGCAGCAAGATCGGCTTCATCGTCAAAGCCATTTCTGACATGTACAGGGGATTTGCTCAGCGTCGTGAGGCGCCCTTCATGCACCCTCGCCTCTGGTCCTCACAGCTGCCCAAGCCAATCTTGACAGCGTTTTCCGCTGCTACGGCATACTCTACACAGACCCCACAGACCAAAGGGTGGACGCTCAAGGTGTTGCTGGACGCCGTGCGCGAAGTCCATCGTGACGGTGAGAGAGCGACTACGCATGCGGATCGGTTGGCAAGAGTGCAGGCGCTTTTGTTGTTGAACTCGATGCGCATCTTTGATGGTGATTTGGGCATGAGGGCCGCGGCAGAGAGAGAGATGAGCGTGTTTTTGGCGTGGGTGAAAGACTTGATAGCGCTCAAGGTTGAGCTGGAAGAGGGCTTGCCAGCGTCAGCACACATGCTGAGGGATAAGCCGCCAAAGAGCTGGGAGGTGAGTTCAGCAGCACTAAAAAAACGACACTGTCATTCTTTTGACCCATATACTAACTTTTCCTCCCTTCTTCCTAGAGCTGGATCATGATAGAATGCACGAGGCGGACCATCATGATGTCCTTTGCCATAATGTGTCTTGTCTTCGTCCTCAAGTCAGAAGAAGGTTCGTATTATTCCTATCAAGTTTTGCGTATAAGCCAGCAAATTAACGAACATGGTTAAATAACAGCCCCTCCAGAGTTTTGGGAAGACGGCCACAGCTTCACTGCCTCGCGACATCTTTGGGAGGCCACCTCCTCGGTGGAATTCTTCCGCGCGTGGCGCGAGAAGCCGCAGTACTGCGTCACAGACATGAGTTTCAAGGAGTTTTGGATGTATGCTCGGGCGGATGACATGGATGAGTTTACGAGGCTGATGCTGACGACGTGAGTTGCTCTGAAACTTTCATTGCAAATTTCCCCTTTCTTTCTTTCTTTCTTTCTTTCTTTCTTTCTTTCTTTCTTTCTTTCTTTCTTTCTTTCTTTCTTTCTTACTTACTTACTTATTTATTTGATATTCGGTATCGGCTTCTGGAGGCTAACAATCTTTGTAGGCAAGTTGGCGTGGATGCCATTGAGCACTTCATGGCAGGCGAAACAAATATTCCGGTACCGCCAGGAATGGGAACACGGTGACATCGCATGATCATAGCTAGCCACTGAGAGGCAAAATCCCCATCGTATTATATGAAAAGAATATCTAAAGGCTTAATTTTCGGAGACTTTACGGCACCCGGCGTTGGGGATGAAATTTGGATTCATCAACTGTAATATTATTTCATCAGGCGGGATTGACGGCGGTGCGTTAAACTGGGCACCAGGCGATATATCTGGGGAATTATTTGGGTGTCCTTGAGGTTTATAGAATCGCGGGGCTGGATCACGCATGGCTTTTTTTTTTCCTTCGGAGGGGGCAAACTACTTACCGTTGTGCGATTCGGGCAATCATTCGGGGATTTTCTTGTTCCCTGTTTCTTTTCTATCTTGGTTACATTACAGATACAACTACCACTCCAATTTATGGGCACTTGAGATCCAAAGATAAATTTAAATAGGTGGATGGATGAATGGATTTATGGCCATTTATATCTACATGAGGCGCTTCATCCCACTTTTAATATCTGGTTACTGCGTGTGAACCCATTTGAAGTCAAGCGTCTCCGTGTCCATTCATATTGCTTTTGTAATTTCAAAGGGAGAACCAAATAAGAAGAGAGAAGAAAAAAAAAAGCCAAAGCGCTCACCAACTAAAATCTTCAAGACGTACATAAAAAGAAAAAGAAAACCAAATGAACCATCGGAGCCAAGAACAAAACGCCGAGACCGTTTTTCAGATTTCATTTCCATCATAATTTTTTTTTGTCCCATGTGCAGCGCTGCACTGCAACGGTAATTCCCCAGTCTCCAGCCAATGGATAGACAGACAGATATTACCAGCCAGCCCCAAGACATCTCCATCTAAATCTTGCCTGGCCTCGCCATGGGTTCGCCTATCATGCCGCCCAACGGGGCGTGATTGAGCGTCTCCTTGCCATCCTTGGCATCTTGTCGCGCAGTGGGTGGGCTACCCATGTCGTGCACCATGTCGCGAGCCTTCTGGCGCAGGCCTCTCTTTACTTTTCTCTCGTGAATGTCGAGGAGCGGCTGGCCTTCCTTGGTATAAGAGTAAGTGGTGTAGGCGGTCGAGGCCGAGGACAGGGAGGAGGTCTCGGAGCTGGTGGAGGGGCGCCGCAAGGCAGAGGCAGTATTGGAGGGAGCGTCAGACATTGTGTATGTGTGTATGTGTTTTATGCGCGTATACAGGCGTATGAGCGAGAGAAGGTAATGTCACCCGCGTAGGATGCGTAGTGTTTCCTCAAGGGTCAAATAGGCTGTAGCGAAGCCGATTGACGCGAGGTTGCAGCTTGATGATGTGACTCGGAACGAGAGCGCCGGTCGGTGAGCCACCGTCTCTTGACCGAACAAGTACAGCGTACGGAATAGTGCCGTGGAGAGTGTGTGTCAGTATCGAAACCGATAAGAGGCGACTGCGTGATGGCCACTTGTGCGGCGCTAAACGGGGACCTTTTGCAAATAAATTCTCCAGACACTAACAAAACAGAAAAGCCAAAGCAGCGCTGAAGAATGATGAATGGGTTTCAATCCCGGCTGCGGCAGTGGATTGACTGGTAATTGTAGAGAAAGAAAGGGAGGAAAATGTGAGGGGGTGGCGCGCCCAGGCTCTTCTTATTCCGCTGAGATGCCCAACTGCCTGCTAACGACTAATAGCAGGCTAGAGGACGAGAGATAAATAGATAATGCTCGTACGCACTTGTACTGTAGGCTCAGCTCGCGGTTGATGGTGTGGTCACTGTGGTCTCAAATCCTAGTCTGGGCCGGGTCTGCTTTGGGCATGGCTTCAGCTGTCGAAGCAGCCAGCAGGCGGCTTACCGGCCATCCCCACGCTTTTTTTCTTCTCCATTCTCCCATTCCGCACGCTCGCATGTGCTACTTGTATGGGGTACACACACACACGAGACACGATGCCGCATCTTGCCTGACCGGGACGCTCGTCCTCGTCCTCCTGACCGTCCATCTTGTCGGCTCTCTTTTGCAATCGTATCTCGCCCGTGACGATTGACGTATTCGTAAACTCGTCCAGCAGTATTGGCTCTTCCGTCATGACACGCTGCCCACCAGATCCGCCGCCGCTGCTGCGCTGCTACCGCTGCCACCTGGAGGATCCGGCAACTAAACAACATGAACCTGACCTAACCCCAGCCGTTGATAAACGCAACGGCTCTCCGTCCATTCATGCGCCTCGAACATGAAGTGCTGCAGCGGATCCCTGCATCTGGTGGGGGGAACCGTTCTCGTGCTGGCTGCTGATAACAGATAGCGCCAGCGGGGCGAGAACGAGACCGCGCTGCAGCGGGCTTTGTGGCGTTTGGCGGACAGGCGCCAGCGACTGGGCTTGTCTGGGTAAATAGGTAAGAGAATGGTCAGCGGTGCCGTCCAGGCCTCACCCCAGCGAGACTCGACCGCTGCTGCTGCCGCCATTGCGGTTGCTATGAGGCATGGCCGACGAGAAAATAAAGAGGAAGAGGAAGGGAAAAAGAAAAAGACGAGCAAAAGAGGAATTGGTGCGCGATTTACGAGGCTTGAAACTCTGTCATGGCTGTGGCAGGCGCTGTAGGAAGAGAAGACATGCTGATGCTTCGCCCTTTCCTACATTAACCGCCATAATGCTTCACTAGCAGATGCAGGATACCACGCTATCTTGGGCGAGGCCGTATCCTGCCTGAGCTACGGCTTATCTCGAGACTCTACTGTATGTGCCGAAGGCAAGTATACACATGGCCGATTTTGAACTACGCTGTCGAATATACTATTACAAAGTTGAAATAAACAGCTGAACGCTCAGCCAACAGGCTTGACCCAGGCTTGCCTCGTCCTTTTCCATCTTTTCCCGCTTTGAGGGCAAGCAAGCAATTAAACAAACACTTCAAATTTGAATCCCATTCCCTGCCGTTGAGCACCTACTAAGTGTATCGTGATAACAAATATTACCCGTACTCATACACGGCTGTAAAACGCCAAAAACTCCAGTTATGCGTACTTGGCAGTCTGCATTATGGCCACACCAACTGTTTCGGGGCCCTGCCGGCCTGCCCAGAAAAGTCCCGATGCATAAGTATTATCAAACCCCGATGCCTACCAAAGGCAAATAATTTAGCCGCAGCCGCAGACTTTGGGTTTTGATCCAAGCAATGCAAAAGACCAAAAACGGGTAAAAGAAGGAGACGCCGCTTTCCCATTGCTGCTGGTTCGCACATCTTACTGATGCGCGCCAGTGGTGAAGCGCTCGGAGATCTCCACGCGTGCCTGGCCCAGGTCGCGGAACTTGGCTACGAGCTTGTCGTCGTTGTCCAGAGCAACAATGTCGTCTGAGCCGCCAATGCTAACCCCATTGATCAAAATGTTTGGCACCGTTCTACGGCCCGTCTTCTTCTGGAGATAGTCCTGGAGATGAGGGCCAAGCGGGTGCTCGTCAATCTCGACGACATAAGGCTCGGGGGTGATGGCGTATTTTTCGAGGAGGATACCCTTGGCACGCTTCGAATACGGGCAGTAGGTTTTGGAGAAGATGATGACTGAACGGGCGCACGCACAAGTTAGCAATCAGAGGCATTACACAAATACAGCGCATGGTGGCTGCTTACCAGGTGATTTCTTCAAGATGCTGTTCATCTCGACTTCGGCTTCGTGCTCTTCCTTTGTCTCCTCTCTCGTCGCCTCAGGCTTGACTCTCTCTCCAATGTCACCACTGCCGACTTTGACCTGGCCCTTCTTCTCCTGTCCCTCGGCTGAGCTTCCCACTCCAATAATCTTGCTGGGCATATCGGGCTTGGGGCTCTTCTCGTTGGCCTTGTCCTTTGCCTCCTGCGCAACGGCCTGCAGCCGCTCCTGAAGCTCCTGCGCCGCCACCTTGTCGTCGTTGTCAATGTCGCCGTCGCCGTCCTTGTCGGCGGGGATGTGGCCTGCCTTCTCTCCCGTCTTGGAATTGATTACTGCCTGCCCACGCGCCGTCCCTCGTTCCATGGCGTCCTTTGTTTTTTCGTAGAAGCCCTTGAGGCTGACGTCGGCTTCGGGCTCCATGCCGGAGCTGTAGAATAAGACGAAGACGACGGTGATAATCACCGCCACCATCAAGAGGCGCATTCGTCGTGGAGACGGCATCTTGTTGGAGATCTTGTAAGTGCTGATGTGTGAGCACGCGCGCCGGTGGTAGAAAAGAGAGGATTGCGCTGCGCGAGAGGGTGTGGAAGGATCGCAAGCTCCAGAGTATTTATAGCATTCAGGGAGATCTCGTCTGGTCGCAAGCGAGCTCGATATTGGGGGAGGGTAGCTCAACTAAGCTTCCTCGTATTGAGTAGGTACTAGTGAAGGCGAAAAGAGAAGAAGAAGGAGATGTGGGAATTTGGACGGGTAAATTGACGCTCCAATGACCCCGAGATTTTGTTTTTCTTTCTTCCTCTGTCGGAAGCTGTTTCGTGACACAAACTTTGCTTTTAACAGTTGCAGAGCTTCAAGGAAAGGAGAACGCGTGACCTAAATCGATCTATTAAAACAGGACCCGACCCATTCAATACATTGGAGCGCAGCGCTGTGCTGTGCTGTGCTATTGGGAGAGGCGCTAGGCCGTGCGATATTTTGAGTCGGCAACTGTCTCACGACTGCTGCGAGGAGGATTTCTAATAAGTTCGGAGCTAAGCATTGGTCGCGTTTCTGGCTTTGGGGGAAATGTTCCGGCACCGCATTAGGTAATGAAATACAGTATGAATAGCAACTGGGGCTCAGTTATCACACTCTGCCGCACATGCAATTCATTGTATTGCAAAACGAGGAGCTCAAATCTTCGTAATGAGGCAATGGGGTTAAAAATTTTCCTTATTCTTTGTAAAAATGGTGTTGCACGCCATGTCTGAAAATTTGCAAAATTTGATATGAATTCCAAATTGCAACCAATAAGTGAGAATAATTACACCAAATACCCAGCACGCTTTCCCATTACTGAGGCATCTCCACGCCTAGAAGGGAGTCGCGAGCTCGTCATACAATCTGTATAATTCCATATCATCTTCCAGAAACTGGTTTTCGGCAACATAGGCATTTGTGTGTGCTAAACCTTCTTCAAGTCGGCTGTCTGGCCAGCTGTTTGGATTCTGCACCTCTTCGTTCATCCGGGACCAACGGGGTAGGCGCAGGCTGGGAACTGGAATTCGAGCGTAGAGATAGCCGTGTCTGCGAAGGTAATGCGCTTCCTTTGGCATAGCTTGCACGCCGAATATTGAGCAGGCTAAGAGGTAAAAGAATACCAAGATTTGAGACAGCATTTTAAAAAGATATTCTACAACAACACTTTCTCTATTTCAGGGAGGAACAGAAGTCTGGCAATGCAGGGAGAAAGAGATGTTGCAGTAACGTGTAAGATGAGATGCTCTCAAGATTCCCGAGTGATAGACTTGATTTATATCCATCAGCTATAATCACAAACCAGCCATCGCCGTGAATTTATGACGGAAACGACGATATCACAAGTGTCACGAGGGGTTTTTTTTTTTTCTTCCTTCTTCCTTTCTCTGCGTTCAGAGTTTGATATTGGGTGCTTGTAGAATGTGAGACACGAGGCCATACCCAGCCCCTTTGAGTTATGCATGGAACGAGGCCTTCTGTCCGGAAAAAGCACCAGTGGTTAGTAGACAATGAGCAAAACTTTTATTGCATTCATGGCTTTTGCCTTTTCAACATGACACACGAATCAAGCTCTTTTCTGCCATGTCTCTACGACCCCCCAAACTAATAATAGCGAGTGGCAATGAACCATTTTCTTCGAGTTTCTAGAGTAGACTGCTGAGTCATGCCTTCCACCAATTGGATGTCGCCAAGATTCAGAAGCCAGATTTCGCCTCTGGGCAGTGACGGTTTTGCTCGCTCTTACAAGAGCCTTTTAGGTCCACCTAACCCATCTTCTTAAGTGTCCTTTTCCAAGCGTTGACTCATTTATAGATCACTTGTTCAGTCGTTTTATGAACAGAATTATAGACCTTTTGCACCCCTTTCTTCTTCTTCAAAAGCATACTTTTTTGCTTACTCTTTCAGGCGTCTGGCGTTGCTACAGTCGCAGTACTTCGAGTATACAGGGACAGGCTGCCATTGCAACTCAGCAGCCCACCACGCTACGTAGAGCACAAAGTGGAAAGGCTTTCTAGCAAGCAACCGTCTCACAGCTAGACTGCATTACATATTCGTTTTTTCTTAAATGTTGCCGAATATGCCTTCTATTCGGTCCAAACGCAAGTCATTACCAATCATCTTTGCATTGGTTCTGGGTATCTTGCTTCTCATAGCGGCGCCAGTTGCGGCATCATCATCTCAGCCTTCGCCCCAAGCAGGGTCCGCAAATTCGGATCTAATCTGTCACACAGCCAACCCCGAGGAATGTTATCCTCGGGTCTTTCAACCAACAGATGAGTTCCAAACAGTTCACGGTGACCAAGAATTGCCGAGTGGACTCCATGTTCGCTTGAATATCTGGACAGGAGTCAAGGAGGCCAAGATCAACGTACCTGATGAAACGAATCCTGATCTGGATGGCCTGCCCGTTGATCAGGCAGTGGTACTTGTCGACCAGGAGCAGCCAGAAACAGTACAAGTGCCCAAAGGAGCGCCAAAATACGATGCTATTGGCAAAGTCAAGGAGCCAGCTCAAGGAGAAGAAGCACAGGTGGAGGCTATTGCCTTTGCAGAGACGTTTAAAATGCTCAAAAGTGGCATTATTCCGAGTGATGAAGAATTTGACCATGGTCTCGAAGGGCTAGAAGAACTATCGCACGACATCTACTACGGTCTCAAGATTACGGAAGATGCAGACGTGGTAAGGGCACTGTTTTGCTTGATGGGATCTCGTGATGGCGAAACCCCCAAAGGAGTCACTCCGCGAAGCCAACAAGCGGCTGCTATTCTCGCTGGTGCCCTCTCCAACAATCCTTCGGCTCTGAAAGAAGTGGCCAAGATCTGGCAACCGCTCATGGAACAATCGTGCCCTCACGATGGCACCCGCGCCCACGATCTCTTCTACTATCCCATAGCCTCGGTCGGCGATTCCCCCGGAAAAGTCAAGGCCGTAGTCTCAGCCATCAACGGCCTCATCAAAGACGAGAACATCAGGAAGGATTTCCTTGCAAACAACGGTATGAAGCAACTCCTTGGCGTCCTTGTCCCAGAAGGCGAGGAGTGGGCCGGAGCACAGAGAAAGGTCGGGCAGCTGGTGCTGGATACTTTTTTGGACGAGGATATGGGTGCTCAGCTTGGCCAGTGGCCTAAGGGCCAGGCGTCGAGTAATGCAGTGTGTGAGACGGCAAAGACAGCCCTGGACGACGGCTGCTGGGATTATAACGTCGAGAGAATGGTCAAATTGAAGAGGGGACCATGGAGCAAGGAGCTGCGGGCGAGGCTGGCGGCAGCGCGTAAATCCACGGGCAAGGTGCCAAACCATGGCGAACTATAGATTTCCACATTGAGTGCTGTAGCGTATATATGTATTAGCTGTAAATAGAGATACCCTTGAATTTCAACCAGATGTGCAACAGTGGCAGTCACTTCAGCCTTCACAAAGAATCACGTCAAGAAAGACAACAATTCCTCCATGCAGAAAGGCCCCGTCACGTTATTTGTTCTTATATGGCTTTTGCTGCGACCTCTAGCCTTTTGCCCCTCCAAGCCTGAACTTCACCACTGGAAACCCACCTAAAAATCACTAGGCTCACCAGCCTACATAAAAAAATCTAATTCTCTGGCCAACCGCCGCAATTATCTTGCAACTCACAAGAGAAAGCAAGAAGAAGGAAAATTCAAAAAGATGTCTTCTTCTTCTCCATCTTCACCCCACCAGATCCGGCCTCACCCCACCAAGGGTCGTGGCCTCTACGCAACTAAGTCCTTCTCCCCTGGCGATGTCATCTTTCCCTTCACTCCTCTTATTCTCCTCCCCACGGTCTCGTACCTCAATATCGTCTGCTCATTCTGCCTCCGTCCGGGAAATCCCCGTGCCTGTTCCCGCTGCCACGCGGCCTCATACTGTGACGCGACGTGCCAAGCAGCGGCCTGGAAAGCAGTTCATTCGCGAGAGTGTAAGGTGTTACGGCAGGGCATTAAGGGTGAGGATCGGAGGAGACGATTACCGACGCCGACGAGAGCGCTGATCCAGGCTGTTCTGCGTAAAGAGATTGCAGATGGATTGGAAGATCTAGAGGGTCATGTGTTGGAAAAGAAGGCGGCGGAAGATGATGAATGGAAGGATATCGAAATCATGGCCATGGCAGCTTGTGCATTTTCTGGCAAAGGTACGGCAGAAGAGGATATTCGGAAAGCAACTGAGATGCTGTGCAAGGTAAGAGATAAACAGTAATTGCAAATGAAGAAGAAGGAAAGAGAGAGACCTGCTGACGCTGTAAATTAATTTTGCCAGATTCAAAACAATTCCTTTCAGAGATTTGACTCCGACTTGGGCGTCATAGGTTTGTTTCTCGAACCCACGCTGGCCATGGCGAACCACTCCTGCATTCCCAATGCTGCAGTCCAGTTTATTGGACGAAACGCTCTTCTCATTGCTGAGAATCCCATTCGCGCTGGAGATGAGATTGAATTAGCCTATACCTGTAAGGAAGATGCTCGACCTATGCTAATCCCCTTTCTTTCTTTAATATGAGCTAACTATTGTGTGAATCTGCGTCACGTAGTTTACACCGATCCTTTGCCCAAACGAAGAGAAGCATTGGCTCACTACAAGTTTGTTTGCCAATGCCTTCGTTGCCGAGACGATCTCAATGTCTATCAAGTCGCAGCCATCTCCCCTACTGTCAATCTCAACAGCCAGAGCCTCGTACCAGATGTCTCCAAATTCCGCCATCATCCTGCAACCAGCAACTCCAGCAAACAGTCCATAATCAATCTATATGGCGAGTCAGCTGACTCCATAGTAAGTAATTTAGCAGAAATCGAGTCGCCGTCAGAGCGGCGCAAATTACTCAAGAGCGAGTATAAAAAGCGAAAAGCTCTAGTCGAAGAAGAGCTCTGGGCCGTCACGCCACTACCAGACATCCTGTTTAGGATATCCATGCTATACGGCGAGGAAGGAAACTTTACTCTTGCTCTGCCAGTAGCATGCCTGATCGCAACGGCCTGCGATCCGTACCAATATACCTCGCCTTTCCATCCCATCCGACTATCTGGCTTGTTCACAATAGCGAACTTCATTACTCATACCGCTGCGACAACGGCTTTCCAAGAAAGCTCAAATACACCAGTCTCCAAAAAGTCGACGCTGGAGCAGAAAATCGAGCAAAGCTTACGAGAAATCGATCAAGTCTCGCTATGCCAAATGTTGCTCATCATGATTCTCAAATATTCACCAGACAAGTATGGCGCTAAGATGGATATTGCTGTCAAAGCGCAGGCGCTTTTAGATGATATTGAGAAATTGGCGGGTAGAGAGCAGGAGACATCTCTCATTGATGAATGGCGGCGAAATCCCAACGACGAAAAATCTCAGGCTTTCTTCGAGTTTGCTGTTGTGAAGCAAGTGAATGCCTTGGCTTGCCTTGGGAAAGAGATCCTGGAGCGAGACTTTGGGAATACCTCTGTTTAAATCGAGTTTTAACCTGACCTTGCCCAAAATTTCAATCCAAAAGGTCGAGGGGCTATGATGTAATATTTACACAAGCGTCTCTCCCACATGATAGGGGGAAAAGGGTTAATAGATAATCCACAGCAATATACTCATTTTTTTTTTTTTTTTTTTTTTTCAGGTTTTGGAGCCCCATCTCCCACGCCTTACAGTGCTCTTGTTTGCTGTGGCTGTAGTCCGCCGCTGAACAGGAGTTTCTACCAAAGCCATAGTCCCAGGCGACGATTGCTGCTGTTCACCATTGCTGATATAGCCAGCATTGGCAAGGGTAGGGTAATCTGAAGAGAGTGCCACTCGCTTAGAAGGTGTCGAGTTCATCATATGGCTGTCATCTCTACTTATTGCTGATCGTTTCTGGCGCGTGGCCGTTCCATAGTGGGATTGGTTGCCCTGCTCAGTTACGGAGCCGTATTCCCCAACAGACGGTCGAACATCTTTTCTGCTAGGGTTGGGCGTACCGTTGGCCATTCGAGTTTCTAACCGCTGTATTCGAGTCCTAAAGAGATCGAATTCCATCTGCAAGGACTCTACTTGGCTTGCGCGGTTTCCAATCTTGGATATGTTGCTGGCGAGAATGTCCAGTTGATGAGATGAGATTGAGGGATCTTCGCCCACCGACAAGTGACGACGGTCATTATCTTGCGCAAGCTCAGATCGCAGCTGTGTAATCTCTCGCCTTAGAGATGCCACCTCAGACGCATACAGCTTAGACGTAGCTATACCTTCCTGTGCTACCTGTTTCGCCTCGTCGGCTTCCTGCTTGAGGCGTGCATTTGCCTTTTTCACCTCTGTAATCTCCTTTTTCGCGGCCGTCAGCTCGCTTCGGAGGCCAGTGATGTCTGACTTGGATTTTTGCATTATTTGCCGAAGCTCTGCGACCACTTTGTCTGTAGTCTGAAGCTGCTGGTCCAAACGAGCAACAACGCCGTCGTCGTTCTGGCCATTCCGCTTGGCGTCGCTCATCTGTGTCTTGAGAGACTTAATGTCCGCTTGCTGCCCTTCTCCATCTCTACGAACGCTCGCGATGGATTCGCTGAGTTGCCGCATCTGTTTTTCGAGGCGCGCAACAGTGCTATCGAAATTGGACATGACCTGAAATCCAGCAACGCCAATTCGTTGGATCTCATCTTGCTGAACTTCCAGATCGGCCTGGATCTGCATAATGTCGAACCTATCCCGACTTGGAGTCGTTTCATTCTGAGGGGCTGCCCTGCCACTCACGATCGAGGGCTTCGCTTGAGTTGCGGCCGCCGACTGGTCTCTGAGCTGGAGGGTGCGCTGTATCTTGGGCTCAGCCTTACGCCTAAGGTCTTTGGCTATTTTGAGACCTATGGAAGTGATACGATATATGATTTGCCCACTGCCTTCCTTTTAGCATCATGTTGAATAAAATGGCCAAAAGACGCTCACTTGGCAAATATATGATTTGGGGGGCTTGTTATGCACTTCTGTCCAATGTTTGTATGACATGTTGAACATTCAGCATCTCGGAGCTCACTATGTGAGGACACTCTTCATTAGCAATTGTAGTCTAGAAAGCGATGATGTGTGGTTATTTTATGTGGCGTCATGAATAATGCTCATACCAGCCCTCAACCAAAGTGCCTGCATCGCCAATCCGCACAGCGCCCGTTGCCGAGATCTTGTCTGCATCGCCCTTCTCCTCGGCGTGTGCCACTGGTGTTATGTATTTTTTGCCTATCTGTGTCCATAAATTGACGAGATTGCCCAGTTTGGAATCGCATTTGGCACATCTAACGGCGACTAGGTCCATAGTCATCTGGCCTTGTGAGATCTCGGATGAGATGAAAACTGTTGAAAAGGAGCTCTAAAGGAGACGGCAAGGTTTTACGAGATGTGGTGCATTGGTTCTGCGTCTATTTACACAGAGTCTGTAGAAAAGTAAAGTAAAGCGATACGAAGTTTGGAAATGGATCCGTTGACATAATAATGATATTGTCGCGTCTCACTTGCAAATGAGACTCGCTGATACGTCGCGGTAAAGAGCCGCGAGGCTACAGTGAGATGTTGATGTTTAGCGCTATTGGTGGCTTGTGATTGGCCCAAAGCAGAGTCCTGTCCACTAGTAAGTTGAGATAAGATAAGGAAGGCTGTGGACATTTGAAACCCTGCCAAAAGTTCGCCGCTAAGGCTATGCAGACTTCAAAAAGCATCATCATTGCTTTCTTGCTACTGCTTTCTCATTGTTTGATGCTGAGCGGCTCCGGTATCTCTTGCGCCTTGGATAGCAAATTAACGAATGAAATAAAGCTACCAGCATATTCTTCTGGGCTTTGATATCTTTAAACCTCGCCATCATAGCGTGAGCTGAGGAGGGATTCTTGACCATTATCTCGTCTTCCTGTACTCTCATACTTCCAGCACACACGACGTTTCTTCTTATTTCTCCACCTTCTCCTCTATTTATTCTTCTTCTTCTTCTTCTTCTTCTTCTTCCTATTTATTGTTAGAAGCACTCTGTTCAGATTACTCTCTAGCTCTTCTTGGATACATCCCCAATTAAAGAAATCGATCATCGGCCTCAGAGAATCAGGCCTCCAACATGGCTGACGCCGTAAATGACGACGCTGCAGCCGAAACGGCTTCTCTGAACCAGAGTGAAAGCAGCAGCCTTAAGAGATCGAGCCCCCACGATATAGAGGAGCAGACAGATGACAAGGACGAGTGGCAAACCGTCACAAGACCGAAGAAGAAGGCGAAGAAAGTGCCTCGCCCTGGCAAGGGGGGATACCCAGCTCTGACATTCTCCCCCAAGGCTCGTCTACAATCCATGCTTAATCTTAGCAGCCTACGCGATCTCGTCACCTACATTTTCGCGGATGGCGCAGGCCCCCAATGGATTGGTGTCACGCATCGGCCGCAGTTCAGGAAGATTGTGACTATCATGATACCCGGCTTGGAGGAGGCGCTCTTCAAGGAGGGCGTTAACTATGCGACATTCAACAGCCTCAGGGACGTGTATGTGGATGCTACTGGAGATGGAGATGCGAACGCCTATGTTGCCACGTCTCCTGATGATTATTATCCCCGAAAGCTCGACAAGGATACGCTGCCGGAGCCTCTGAAGCCATTTGCGGACATGTTCCCCCATCTCTGGCCTGTCAAGACACCTGGCGATGACAAGCATGGAAAGATGCACTCTCCAATGGCCGCTTTCCTCACGGCACCAGCCCCAAAGGAGAAGACATCACAGAAAGGGGGTGTGAAGCCTGCTAAAGAGCCAAATGGATGGAAGAATGAGCGGACACGCATCACAGAGTTTCTGGCCACCACTGAAGAATTGGCAGATAACGGCTTCGTAATCCACCCAGCTCTTCTTCCAGAAGGAGAGCAACGAAACAATTTTGTTGCCCCAGAGGGATGGGTTGTCACAAAGGTAGATAAACTTGAGGACGGCGATGTCCCCGAGGCAGAAATCGAACAAGGCAGTATTACGGCCGGCAGAGATATCCTGGCCCTGGATTGTGAGATGTGCATGACGGGCGAGAGCGAGTTTTCTTTGACCCGTATCAGTCTTGTCAACTGGGACGGCGACGTTGTGCTAGATGAGCTTGTCAAACCCGACAAGCCAATTATCGACTACGTTACGCGGTTTTCCGGCATCACAGAAGAAATGCTGGCCCCCGTTACAACTACTCTTTGTGACATACAGCAGAAGTTGCTTGAAATTTTGCATCCCCGCACTATTCTCCTGGGTCACTCATTAGAGTCGGACACAAAAGCCATCCGAATTGCCCATCCTTTCATTGTCGATACTTCCATCATATACCCCCACCCGCGCGGCTCTCCACTGAAGTCTTCGCTCAAGTGGCTCGCCCAGAAATACCTCTCTCGAGAAATTCAAAAGGGCGGTGTCCTGGGCCATAACAGCATTGAAGACGCCAAGACGTGCCTTGATCTTGCCAAGCAGAAATGTGAAAAGGGCAAGCTATGGGGCGCATCGGATGCCCAGGGGGAAAATCTCTTCCGCAGGCTGGCGCGTGCTGGCACAGCTTATAAAGCTCAGGGAGGCGATGCTGCCATCGGCGGCATCGAAGTTGGCAAGACGAGCGCCGCTGTTGATTGGGGTGACCCAAGCAAAGGTCTCGGGGCAGGAGCCACGTATCAGCTCGGTTGCAAGTCCGACGAAGAAGTAACGACAAATATCATCCGAGCAGTCCTCGGCGATGAAGATGGAGCGGTGATTAGGGGTGGCGGAGTAGACTTTGTTTGGGGCCGGATGCGAGAGCTAGAAGCTCTGCAAGGATGGTGGAACAAGAATCGCGTCGAGAACTCCAACAGCGATGGGGGTCCCCCTGGAACAAACGTGGACGCCGAAATGGACACCGAAGCTGAAGCCATCGGCACTGCGGCCGGATCTGGCGCATCCTCTCCTTTGGAGCATGCTCTGACCCAGCTTACGGAACGCCTTGTTCGCATCCACGCTGCCCTTCCGCCATGCACCGGCTTCATCATCTACAGCGGCTCCGGCGACCCGCGGAAGATGGCCCAGCTTCAGCAGATGCATGCCAAATGGCGCAAAGAGTACAACACGCCTGGCAAGAAATGGGATGAGCTGAGCGTTAAGTGGACTGATGTAGAAGAACAAGCATTGAAGCGGGCTGTTCGCAAGGCTAGATCGGGACTTGGTTTCGTGAGCGTTAAATAAGGGGGAGGGTGGCATATATTAAGTGCTACTACCACAAAGGCATTTTCGAATGGATAGCGTATCCGCTTTGTGTAGAATGGATAAAATTGAAAGTTGCATGATTTTAGACTACTATGACGGCGCTTCCTGTCCTTTTGTATACCTAGATGGGTACTTTAATGAGACCAACGGATGCTGCACCTTTTTTGTTTATTCATATCTCATAAGTAATATTTTAAGCCCCAACCATCACTTTTCCTTTCCACCATACTCTAAAATTACTGCACTGGCGTATATATCTCAAGACTACTAGATATATATCTTCAAGCAACGAAGGTGGCATCAGCTAATCATGCAGCCGATTTTCCTTTTAACTTCTCAAAATTCACACACAAGCATATCATCAATATCATCAAGGATAGGGAAAGCATTTACTCGCTCCATAGTCATCAATACTTCCAACCAATCACATCACAATACAAGTCAAACACATAGATTATAGCTATTGCATCCATTGCATCAGAGCTTACTATTAATTACATGCCCAATATCCATCCCCTCCTCTCCCCGGGCCCATTGGAAGAAACCAGTTAAAACCCATAATCTTTCTTTTACACACATAGGGCATGCGCTCCAGAAGCTTACTATGCTTCATCATCCTGGCCTTAGAAAAAGGAAAATCAAAAACAAATAAAAAACCCCTCCCGCTTGAAATGTGCCGAGATAAAAAGGAAAAGGGAAAAAAAAAAAAAAACGCCTGCTACCACAAAATCCCCCTGATCAGAATCCTGAAAATTTTTCTGTATCAACCTTTTGACCAATAACCAAAGAAAATAAAAACAAAAAAAATAGAGGAATTAAATCCAATTTCCCACTACGCTTCATGTATCTCGCTGGGGGATAACGTCTGTATGACTCTATACAGCAAAGGAGAGTAAAAAAGGAAAAACGAAAAAAAAAATTTAAATAATCAAGGAGAGTAAAATAAACATAAAGCAAAAGTCGCCAGGTGCGCCGAAGCTTGCTAAAATGGAATAGATCGCTGCTTGTTGTCGTTCATGGCTTCGCAAGCGGATCAGGTCAATCTTTTTCTTCTTCTTCTTCTTTCTCTCTTTTGTTTATAGCGTCAATTGTAGTGTAGGTGAACACCGATCAGTTGCTTTTAGTTCAAGCATCCTTCCCTGAATGTGCATCATCTACAACAGACGCAGCAGTGCTCAAATGACCATCATCTTCATGCCGAGGATCAATCCTGTTAATGCTGTGTTGCGAAACAGTTCCAAAACCGGCAGGATCGTCATCATGAGTTGTCAAGTCCATGCTTCTCATATCTGGAAAGTCGAGTGATGACTTTGAGGATGGCCGCTGGTGGTCTGACCGTCGATCAGAACCTCTTCGCTCAAATGGGAGGCGCGGCAGCAACGATACGCCACCATTGTGCACAGTCGACACGGTTTGCTGCGTGCGATCAGATCCCCGGCTTCCAGGAGGGCTTACTTCGGGCTCTACCCGGACAACAGGCGTGATCTGCATGTTTTGATCCAGTAGGGCCGAGTGCCTCTTGGAACTCTTCCGTGGGATATCAGGCACTCCGAGCTCAACATCAGACAAGTCCTCTGAGCTGACACCGTCGCTATTCCCATCATCGTTAGATATTTCAGCTCCTTTTGAGTGCAAAGCTGTGGCGGATTGAGATATTCGTCCCCTAGGAAGTCTATCTGTGATTATGCTGTCAGGCTCGTCATCATCCTCATCAGAGTCTGACTGCGGATCGCCATTATCAGTTAGCAGCTCGCCTTCCCGACGTTTCGGCCGCTGAACTTGAGGCTCATCATCATCATCGGAGTCGATAGGCCCATTTCGAATAACACCCATGGCAACAGGAATGCCTTCAGGTGGGGTCTCATCGCCGAAGCCTCCGTTTCGAACCATGTTTGGCGGCATTCTGGCACTTCTGACGACTTCGAATCCTTTGCCCTTCTCCTTAGTCTTGCCGCCAAATATCAGCCTGCGAACCCATCCAGATGCTGTTGCAACCGGCCCGGTCGGATCTGCTGGACCAGTTCCCAGCTTCCTGCCTGGACCTTCAGAATTGAGAGCAGGACCGCGAACACCGTAATAGAAGTCAACCTCACGAGTCGCGTAGTCAGGTCGGTTTGCAGGGAAGCTGATTGCTAGATTACCAGGTCCTGGAGTGCCTCCACGTAAAATTTCCGCGGACGCGTCAGGGGCTTCAGTCGTT